GCTTCACCTGCACCACTCTTGCGCTGACATGGATGCTTAGGCAGAGGTATTTGCTCGACACTCGGACATGAGTCGATGCCTGCTCTTCTCGTTCGCAGGTATGCCTTTCTGAGCGATCATCGTGCTCTGCTCATGCTCGTCGCTTGAAGGGTCGGGAGAAGGAATGCTAGGGATCAGGCTCAAGACTGCTGGTGATCGCCTCGTTCGGCATCGGTCAGTCTGCCATATATTGTCATGACACACGAATCTGACGCGTTTCTCGCAGTGGGCGAGAACGTCTGTCAGATAGAAGTCAGGCTCGACGGTCGCTCGCTGTTCTCTACAGGCTGGCAAGTGCAATCTCTGTCATTGTCTACTAGAGCTGATCTTTCTGATGCTCAGGATGTTCATGCTTGGCTTTCGACTTTTGCGCTGGTATCGATGCCGAGCAAGTGCTTCACTGCATGCTCCTCTGAGCGCTTGCTGACTCTGACTGCATACCGGTCGCGCGTCCGGACAGGAATACAGGTAATGCACGCAGAGCATCGCAGGGTATCGCAGAGCATCGCAGGGTATCGCAGAGCATCGCAGGGTATCGCAGAGCATCGCAGGGAATCGCAGGTCCATGTTCGGCTTCCAACATAGCGGACTTCGACATGGCTTGTGTGCGCTTTCTCTACTTTCGCTGGGCTGCTCATTGGCTTGCTTTTTGCTCTGACTCTTGGCTTCTTTGGGTTGATTGCATACAGCGCTGGCCGCTTTTTGCCAAACAGAAACGTGTGAGATGCAGCGCATGGGATCAGAAGAGATGCGTGATGAGCCCACATTGAGCTCGTGAGATCTGCTGGGACATTTCGAGACGCGTTCCTTATTAATTGCGCCGCACGACCTGGTCGCACGGCCCACGGCGGCTAGTTCTAGCAAGATGCGAAGGAGCCAAGTCGCCACTGCGCTCTTTCTCATAGCTGGCTGGCTCGCCAATGACGCATCTGCGAGCATTGGCGATCGCTCTATGGCTTACCAGGCTTGTCGAAACGCCTGCATCGATCAGACATGCTCAGGCAACCCGAGTAATTCTCAGTCACTGAGCTGGACGCTCAGAGCTTTTTGGTGGACATGTGGCGATCAGTGCGCATACGTTTGTATGCATCATCTCACGGATCTGGCACTCAGCGTGGGGCAAGACAGCGCGGTACCGCCTGCCCTCGTTGACTTGCGTCCTGGTCGAATGTCGCAATTCTACGGCAAGTGGCCATTCTACAGGCTTGGCGGGATACAAGAACCACTATCTGTTGTGTTCAGCATAGCCAACGGAGTCGCACATGCGGCTTATCTCCCGCCTATGCGGCGGCTACGCGCCAACAGAGGATTCCCAGCGCCACTCGCGCCGTTGTATGCAGCACTGCCAATGGCGGGCATCAATACTTGGGTGTTCAGCGCCATCTTCCACACGAGGGATTGGCCGTCCACAGAGAAGCTCGACTACTTCTCAGCCGCAGCAGGCGTCATGTTTAGCTTGTTCGTCGCGTCCGTGAGACTGTCAGGCATATACACCGTCTCGACTGCAGATCGAATGCGGAGGCGGTTTCTGGGCACCGTCATGACCATCATCTTGCTCGCACACACGTCATACTTGACCTTTTGGCATTTCGATTACAGCTACAACATGAAATTTGGCATCTGCCTGGGACTGTCGCACAATGCCTTGTGGGTAATTTGGGCGCTGTCATTCCGATCGTACAAGCAACCGAAAGCACGTGCCAGGGAGATACAGCAGATGCGCAAGGTCGCATGGCAAGGTGTCGGTGTTCTGACAGCTTTGACAGCATGCACAGCGCTCGAGTTGCTTGACTTTCAGCCCATCGGACGACTGCTCGATGCGCATGCACTATGGCATCTCAGCACTATACCCATTGTCTGTCTGTGGTATCAGTTCTTGCTCGACGATGCCATGCTCTTGTCAGCGCAGCACGGCGATACCAGAAGGCAGTCTGCTCTTCCTGAGTCGATACCACCCACTTCGTCACGCTGGATCAGGCCCGCCAAACGATCTTGATGCACACAACTCCGGAAGAGACAACAGTACAGCCAGTGTATGCATGATGCTTTCTAATGTGGGATGAGTGATTAATTGTTGTCCCAGCCTGGCAGATAGCCATCCAGTGCGAGGTCTTCAGGCGGCGCCAGATCTTGATGGACTTGCTGCCAATCTCGTGACATGATAGACTGCAACCGATCGAGATAGGCTGACCAGGACAGACTTTCTGGGATGAATGGGCCGTCGAGCGGATGTGCAATAGCTTGCTGGACCGCATCCAGCAAAGCTTGGCGATCACCGGCATTGACAGTGTAGACTGCCGGTGGCTTGAACTGCGCCAAAAGTCGGTGTTGAGGCACGTGAAGATCAGCGCTGACGGGCATGATGAAAGGCGTGCCGAGGCATAGGCCTTCTATAGGCGAAGGAGATTCCGGTGGGTTGTTCGTGCCAATGATCACTCTCGTTTTTGAAAGCTGCTGCATAAAGTCCAATCTGCTCAGCGTGCCCATGTTGGAGAAAGTCGAAGGTATTGGCAGCTCGGCAGGCTCATATTGGATACCAGCGAGCAGCTCGAGACTCGAATGATCGACGACGGCAGCAAAATCCTCCTCTGTCCACGCAGACTTGTCTGGCTGATAGAACTGTCGCTCTTTGCCCAATATCCAAGCTGTTCTCGGTCTCTCTTGTGCTGGAATGTAAGGTATCGGTCTGCAGTCAAGTTCGGCGGAGAATCCGAGATAGGTCGCATTGATCTCAGGATGAGGTATGCCTGAGAGATGCCAAGGCTGCCGCCACAGACGGCCGGGCTCGATGCCGACGAGACCATCCCATTGGAATTGCTTCCATGCGGGTATGCCTTCAGGAAAGCTCGCCGTCTTGCCGCATCGTTCGTGTTCGCGACAAAGCGGCCTGTCGTCAAATTCAGCTCCATAGACCGAGACAGCGGCTCTGAAGTCGAGCTTACATGGATATGTAATCAAACACAACCATCTTGACGTGGTCGGTGAGGAGCGCATGGACGCGGCCGGCGCGATACAGGTCTACCTCGTCCAGAAAGACCAATGGATAGCCGAGCTTTGCCAAGCCCTCCACCATCGACTTCGCCAATACTGTTGATGGGGAACATCAGGTACGAACAGCGGCAGATTCACTGGACTTACTCGCTTCACCGTTGGCAAATTCAGATGGTCGATTAAAGGTATCGTCCCAGACCCAATGGAAGCGATGAGCTACAACCAGGACGACCTGCTTCTGCTTATCCGTGCATGTGCCCAGTGTCTTGCACAATATGAGCGTCGCCAGAGTGTCTCGATGGAAGGCCAGCTTGGGATGCCCCCAGGGTGGCATAGCGATGAGTGCGGTCGCGTTGGCCATCCGTTCAGCGGCTAGAGTGTCTATCGAGCTCACACATGTGGTGCTACTAGTGAGATTGCGCAGACCACCGACGACACTGTCGAGGACGGAGTGGCCGTAAGTGTTGGGGTCGTGACTGCTACTCAAAGCGACGATAGATCCTCCAAGAACAAACAGCAGTCCAACGCCGATCAGAGCCCATACCCGCCGCCGCTTCGTCTTGGGCGATGGCCTGGCTTGTAAAGTCGAGGCTGGCGCTGCTTCGGCTGGCTTCTCGTCGGCGCTGTCCGGTAGATCATCTATACTGTCCTCGCTTGCATTTGACAGTCGCCGTTCGCTGCCAGCTTGCAGCAAGGGGTGTCGTACGTCGGCAATCGAGACATCTGGCTCATCCAATGGCTCTGACATCCTGTCAGGCTCCGCTAGCCTGCCAGCAGCCTGCTAGGCGGAGTGATGCAGTCGGCCTGATTTGGCTGCCTCGCGCCAAAAGTTAGATTGGCTTGTCGATGAGGCGCCGCGCCAGGCACAGCTCCCACAGCTCGTTGCCCCGACCGCCGAGATGAGTCGAGTAGCGGTCATACCCGTGCCGCTAGCGACCTGCTGCAGTGCGTCACAGTCTCTCACGCAGGAGGTCGGCCACTGACGCTAAGTCGCAGCGGTACTGTCATGCTTCGGCGTCGCGATCTTGCTGGTCTTGGGAGCAGCCTTTGATGCCAATGTGCGCACGTAGGCCGCTTCAGCCTACACGGATGGCTAATGGTCGTCATGGCACAGGTCGAAGTCTTGATGGGCCACTCTGAAGACCCGAAAGACGGACACGCGGTCGCTCAGGTGTGTAATGTCCCTCATGTCTACTGCTTGCCGCTCATCGGGGATCGCAGACATGCTACAGCGCAGCCATCGTCTATGCTGTCTTCATAGCGTTATGCGGGTGCCAAGCCTTCACGGGTGTACGGTACAAGAAGCCAGCGGTGAGGCTATAATTCTATGCATGCGCGCGAGTTCCAACATAGCCAGCGTTGGGAAGGAAACGCTGAACGGACCAGCCTGAGCACTTCAGACTTGAGCCGAAAAGACGAGCTGCTCTGCTTGATATTTGGCGTCTTCGACAATGTGCCGCCTTTGCCAATCTGTTTCCATCACCTCGATGACTCGAGCCAATACGCCTGCGTTGGTGAGCATGGGAGGCAGAAAGGGTGAAGTGAGGGGACGAGCTAGCGAGCGCTGCACAGCGCTGATGAGCTGTGTGCGATTCCCGCGAAGGATGTTATAGACATATGGCTCGCCAAACTGAAGCAAGAGTGAATGCTGCGCGGACCAGCCTCGCTGATCCTCGCCCTGCTCGAACTGATACCACGAGGCATTGAAGCGTGGCCGACCAGGATTGATGAAAGATGCGCCCATGCAGAGCGCTTCAAAGGGCGAAGGCGACTCTGTAGGCCCACCGATACCGATCATGACTTTGGACATTGATATTCTCTCGAGAAATTCTGTTCGTGTAGAGACACCCATATTATCGATAGCGCTCGGTAATTCGGTCTTGTCTTCTCTGCCGTCCACTTTGACGCCGCTGATGAGGCTCAGTCCCGTCTCTTTCTTCAGCGCGGCAAAGTCATCCGCCGTCCAGGCCGTCCTGGTCGCATTGAAATATCGCTGAGATTTGCCGAGAACATAAGCCTGATGGCTTCGCTTAGTCTGTGGCACAAAGGGGAGTTGCTTGCAGTCATCTTCAAGCGTGATACCCAAGAATGTAGCCGGTGGAACAGGTATGCCTGACAGGTGCCACGGTCCACGATAAGGCAACTCGTAAGGTGCAAAGCCTCCCATAGCATCCCTAGGCTATGTCAGGCCACGTCTGATCAATTGACACAAGGTCTCACCAGATGAACATCTTCCAGAGCGGCATCCCGCTAGGATTCGTGTCCACATTGTAGAAGCAATCTGCGTCGGCCAGGCAATCTGGCTCGCCCAGATAATCGTAGATGACAAGTTTTACGCTGTCTGGAAACAGTCGATATATTCTGTCCGGTGGCATACGCTCAGCGCGTGTAATCAAAGGCGGGCAGACCTACTTTGCTGTCAATTGCACGGCATCCTTGCGTGATCGCTTGTGTGACTCGTCTATATAAATGAAAGGGTAGCCAAGACTCTTGAGCGCCCACATGAACGACTTTGCGAGGACTATAGAAGAATGTCAGACAAATTGTAGTGAGTGAGTCGGACGACTGACTCGCTTCGCCATTTGCAAAAGCAGACGGTCGCTCAAAGGTCCCGTCTAGCGCCCACCTGAACCTCCCAGCGGCGCAAAGAACTGCTGACCGGTACTTGCGAGGGCACGAGCGCCTCGAGCAATAGAGCACTTGCGCCAAGGCTTCTCTGCGTTCAATCTCCCTGCTCGCGAACCTCAGCAGGCGAGTGGTCTCGACTGCATCAACGCACCATTCGGCTTCTTGTGGTGCCGTGCTCGCGGGTAGCGGAAAGAGTGACTTTGCTACGACCCAATCCTGATGCTCAGGCACGATTGGCGTCGGCCTGACAAGGCCAGTCAAGCCTTCAGTAATTTTCTGAATGCTCGCCAAGCTACGCCCCGAGGCTCCATCATCCTTGCTATGGAACACCAATAACCCCACACTGACGATAGCTAACGCGAACGAGGCGAGCCTTCTGCGTATTGACAGCATTGCGTGGCTGCAGACCGAAGCGGGATTGCCCTCGCGCGCTTGTGCTGCAGAATGCTACGTTCGAGAGACTAGTGATACATCTGAGCCGAACTGAGCCCTGAGTCACCAAACTGAGGCGTTGATATTTGCGCCTGGCTGTCCCAAGCGATCGGTGTTGGCAAATCCCGAAGATCGCCGAACGCCGAGCGCTCGAGATTGGCCAGGAAATCTTGCGAGGCCAAAGTCTTCCGCGCAGCTAGTATTGCTAGCTAGGGTCGGATGGGACACCGCTGCTGTATGCCCTCTGCTTACTTTTATCTACTTGCACGTCTCAATCCAGCCGTCCGAGCGTGAGCTCGAGCAGACGCAGTCGGCGGCTCATATGCTTGTTTGCTGTTGCTTCGTCCGTGGGTTTCCTGAGTGTACGGCTGCCACAAAGGTGACCCAAGCCGACAGGACTGCTCTCTGAGCAGCTATCCATCGAGCGTTGAGTATGAAGACATCGCGCGCTCGTTCGATCGCGTCATTGACGTCGACGTCGACCGGCAGCTGCCTCTTCGTCCGAGCCGACGTATCTGATGGGCCCAGGTCTGCGGCTGCTCAGTGGTCGCTTCATAACACGATTAGCAGAGGATGCGCCCCGAGAGATCGGAAGACTACGCTGCGCTGGCTGCCAGCAGGCTCTGATTCAGCAATCTCGCGATTTCTCTCAGCATCGGAACACAAGGCATCAGGAACTTCTAGAAGCCTTGACATCAGTGCAAAGACGGGACAAATCACTTGCTGCTCGCCGTGTTATTCTCGGAAGACGGTTCTCGCATTTAAGTCGGTCAGGCGACGAGAATGCGCCTGGGGGAGGAGGCCCTTCTGCGCAAGATAGGGACAAAACCGGCTCGGTGCAGCACGAGCAAGCAGGAAGAGCTGCTACTGAGCTCTCGCAGGACGTAGCAACGCCAAAGACGCCCGAGTCGATCGCGCCTAGCTCTTCACAAGTCCCAGATGCAGCGGTAGCTAGTGCAGCCGCCAGAACCTCAGATGCAAAGCCAGAGAGCGTCTCATCGCCGAGCAGCGTAGAGGAAGTGTCTGCCAAGACTCTCAAAGCACAGAGAGATCAGGACATTGCCATTGTCAAGAAACTACTGCCCAACATCTGGCCAAAAGACAGTAGAGGAGCAAAGATGCGCGTCCTCATCGCGCTGTCGCTGCTCGTGGGCGGCAAGGCAAGCTACACAAGCTCTTTCCACACTATTGCTGAGCTCTTCGATGTAGTTGCTGAATGTCCAAGTACCGTTTTATTTCAAAAGCATCGTCGATTCGCTCAATATACCCATAGAATCCTTAGCGCCAGACCAGACGGCCTGGGCAATAGCAGGCACAGCGATCGTCGGATGTATGTTCGATACTTAAGTGTGCTGCCAGTCAATGCTGAATATTGCGCGCAGACGGGCTAGCGAGGATCTTCTCCACCATTTTCAGCGAGCTCCGTAATGCCGTCTTTGCCAACGTGGCACAAGGTGCTATTCGCCGAGTTGCGCGCAATGTCTTTACGCATCTGCTTCACCTCGATGTCGCCTTTCACTTGACGCGTCAGACGGGCGGTCTAACTCGAGCCATTGATCGTGGGACAAAGTGAGTTCTTACGTGATTGCACATGCTGCTACTTATGGCGAATCAAAGAGGCATCTCGTTTCTGCTCACTTCGATGGTCTTCCATGTCGTTCCGACTGCACTCGAGATCTCGCTCGTCTGTGGCATCTTGGTCCGTAAACCAGTTTTGCAGGTTGCATGCTTGACATTTTCCGTCGACAGAGCTACAAGTTCGGTATTGACTTTGCGGCTGTCACCTTTGTGACTATGGCCGGCTATGCTTGGTTCACGCTCAAGACGACGAGCTGGCGGACGAACTTTCGCAAAGAAGCTAACAAGGCAGACAACAAGGCAGCCACAGTCTCCGTCGATTCGCTCATCAACTATGAGGCTGTCAAGGTCAGTATGGCTCCCTCCTCGATGCTTGCACTTATCTTGTCGCCCGCTCTCTACAGTACTTCAACAACGAGAAGCATGAGATCGACAAGTATGACGCTGCCATGAAAGACTACGAGACTGCGTCTGTCAAGATTGCGACATCTCTTGCATTTCTCAATTCGGGACAAGGCGTCATATTCTCAGGGGCGCTGACTCTCATGATGTGGCTCGCTGCCAAGGGTGTCGTCAACGGTACTCTTGATGCGCTCTCGCAAGCAGGCCCGCTGAGATAGATTGGCAGGCAACATGACGGTTGGTGATCTAGTCATGGTCAATCAGCTCGTCTTTCAGCTCAGTCTGCCTCTCAACTTTCTCGGCACGGTCTACCGCGAGCTACGTCAAAGCTTGATCGATATGGAGACACTCTTCAATCTCGAGTCTGTCGGGTTGACCATCAAGGTGCGTTCAGATTCACGCGTCGGGGGTTCCGCTGACATCCTCCGAGCAGGATGTGCCAAATGCAAAGCTGCTTAGACTGGCAGGTGGAGAGATCCGCTTCGAGAATGTCCAATTTGGCTATCGCCCAGATCGAGACATCTTCAAGAATGTATCTTTCACCATACCTGCCGGTAAGAAGGTCGCCATCGTCGGTCCGTCCGGCTGCGGCAAGTCGACTGTCTTCCGTCTGCTGTTTCGCTTGTACGAACCTGGTGCGGGCCGTATCACAATTGATGGACAAGACATTACCAAAGTCACGCTCGAGAGCTTGCGGCGGTCAATTGGCGTAGTGCCACAGGATACGCCACTCTTCCATTCGGATATCATGCACAACATCCGCTATGGCAATTTGGAAGCGACAGATGACGAGGTCAAGGCGGCAGCACGCAAGGCGCACGTTTGGGATACGGTCGAACGATTGCCCGACAAGTGGGCGACTAAGGTGGGCGAAAGAGGATTGATGATCTCTGGCGGCGAGAAGCAGCGGCTTGCAGTAGCGCGTCTGCTGCTCAAGGATCCACCGATCCTATTCTTCGATGAAGCAACTTCCTCACTCGATACCTACTCTGAGAATGAGATTATGCGCAATATCAATGCTTCTCTTCTTGCCGATCGAAGGACCAGCGTCTTTGTGGCGCACCGTCTCAAGACTGTCGTTGATTCAGGCAAGTGAGCTCTTATCCATCGTAAAGGGCCGAGATGATCAAGGCTCTCGACAGATCTGATCATCGTATTGCGCGATGGCGAGGTAGTCGAGCAGGGCAACCACCAAGATCTCATGCAGCAGAATGGCGTTTACCAGGATATGTGGCATTCGCAGCAGTCGATGGACGATGTCCAAACCCCTCCTCTGACACAGCCAAGTGCGCAAGCAAGCACATAGACTGCATAGATGATCGTACAGACTGCGTGAAGTTTTGCGTGAGATTAGAGCTTCGATTTCGACATGACATTTGGCAAGGGCTCATAGCTTCTTTTGAAAAGCTCGTCCATGGGTACATTGCCAGAATGAGATTGCAGGGCAGATACATCGACCATGTCGCGCGTGACATCTGATATGCTTGGTGATCCGAGCAGTCGCATGTTCATGGTCATCTCATCCTTGAGAATCTGGATCGCCTTGACGACGCCATCAGGTCCGTAGGCACTGTACGCATATAGGAAGGGACGACCGATACCGACACCCTTTGCGCCGAGTGCGACTGCCTTGAGTACATCGCTTGCTCGCCTGACACCGCCATCTATGTAGACTTCGAAAGTCGGCTTCACCAGATTGCGCTTGCGAAGCTCTGTCATGACTTCCTCGAGTACTTCGATACCACTCCTTGCAAAGTCGAGCTGACGTCCACCGTGGTTCGACAAGACAACGCCTGCCAAACCTGCCTCTGCTGCCAGCACCGCGTCCTACATGCCATCGGCTCAGCAAATCATCATCTCGCTCGAGAAAGGCTGCATACCTCCCAGGTCTGCACACCTTTGAGCACGAGTGGCATGCGTGTGACTCCCTTGAGCCAAGCGATATCATCCCAGCAAAGACCAGGGTCGATGAAGGAGCTGATAGCTCTCGCTGCGCCCTGAGATTTGTCTACGGTGCCATCTCCCTTTTGGACATTGGAGCCTTCATCCGCAAACTTCATGCGCATGTCCTTCTCACGTCTGCCAAGCTGTGGTGCGTCAACGGTGATGAAGAGGCCCTTGATGCCTCTGTCTTCTGCCCGACGGATGATCTTTTCGGTGATCGCACGATCCTTATTGACATAGAGCTGCATCCACTGTGTCTGACCAGGCTGCGCCTCATCGACGATCTCATCGAAAGAGCAAGATGCAAGTGTTGGTATCTGTGCAAGCCGATCAGTTCTTGTGCGAACAATCGAGTCTGTAATACTCACCATTTGGATGACATCCTGACGCGCAGCAGCGCGAGTCAAGTTGAGCTCCCCATCGGGATGGCCAAGCTTGCCGAGCGCTGTCGCAGTAATGTAGATAGGCAGCGAGCATTTCGTGCCAAGCATCGTCGTCGAGTGGTCGATATTGGTCACATCGCGTAAGATGCGGGGTCTGAACCAGATGCGCTGATAAGCCGAATGATTCTCTCGCATAGTGATCTCATCATCTGCGCCGGATGAGTAGTATGCCCAAGCCTGCGGTGTCATGATGCCTTTTGCAACTGCCTGCAGATGATGCGAGTCCAGTCAGCACCAGTGGCGAATGGACCATATCGCTGACTTCAAAGTCGAACAGGTTAAGCAGCTCGTCGAGCGCTGGCTTCTCTTCGGCCCGCTTCTGTCGCGCGCGGTCCTCTTCGGTCTCTTCTTTGGCTTCTACGACGACCGTTGACATATCCACCTTTCCCAAGTGATGTTCTTTAGGCAACTGCAGAAAGAGTCTATCAGCCATGCCTCGCAGGATCAGCCTGGTAGACGTACAAAGTCATTGATAGCATTTGGCGGATGTATAGGCTCGTAGGCAGCTGTCGCATCCTGTGGCGACGACAGTGAGCGCGCATAAAATCCGGGGCAAGAGGTACACACACCTTGCCGGCATATTTCCGGATGATTGCTGGGCCTGTCGGGATTGCCACGGAATCAGCTGAAGCGTTGTACGCACAAGCGAAGTGACTTGCCGCCTGGATGCTCTGCCAGGAAAGAGCTGACATTGAAGGCCTGCGAAGCGAGTCAGTTACCCCACGATCGCTCAAGGCATCGAGCGCGCATACCTCGCCGTGTACGATGACCCAAAGGTCCTCATCGCTCGTGTGCTTTGCAACCTCTTCGCCTGACAGCATTCTCGTGGAGATCTGACGATCGTAGGGTGCCTGTCAATTTAGGGAGTCCAACCTATTCGCCGCCCGCAAATTTGGGCCTCGGAGAGTTGCGGAATATTATTCTCGACGTCGATCGCGCCAAAACCAAAAGCCAAACGCGGTCACGTCGACGTCGGCTCTGCGAGAGTTGTAAACTAAAGTCTAGCCCACTGCCGAGCGAAATCACGAGGATGCTACGACGATAGCTAGCACTGCTTGCCTGACGCATGCACCAGCATGACGTTCTTGAGCAGCTCTACGCCGCCTGCGAGCCCGACGCGGCTCGACAGCAGTCTGCAAACGCCAGTGCAAACAGCAACACGAGAGCCAACTTTTCTGTCGCCCTTGCAGTCATACGACACGCCATATAGACCTCCGCAAGGCATTGGACTCGGACTAGGAAGCCCAACACGACCTGACAGGCCACCGCTTGCTAAGAAGACATCACGACTGACATTGGCTGCACAATATGATGAGAGCGAGGCAGCTCTTGTGTTTGCTAGTCAGACTGCTCGGCTCAAGAGTACTTCTATAGACGAGACACCGTCCAAAGCGCGCCCGCGCAAATCTTTGCCGTTCGCAGTGCCGCGCTCGAATTGCAAGGTCTCTATCAAAGAGCATGCCGAGAGCAATGCCTACAATCTCCTGGGATTAGTAGCAATGTCGATTGCCATTGTGTTGCTCTACCGACACCAGCATCCACTCGTGAACGCGCCGGGTCACTCGAGTGATACAATGACGCTCGCGCAAGAGCTCTCTCTCGAACGGCCATGGCGCTCCTTAGCGGTTATCTACGAGCATTTACCCAAAGCCTTTAGCTGGTCTGCCTACGTGGGCGCATCGAACGATCCGCTCGCGATTCATCCCATCCTGCCACTGTTGAGAGACAGTCAAGCGCGGTGGACGCGAATGACGCGAGCACAATCGAGATCTTTGGCAGCTGCCACAGCGACCTACCGAGCGCGGTATGGCTTACCACCTCCACCAGGCTTTGCAGCTTGGTATGCGTTCGCCCAATCGCGTCAGCACCGCCTGGTGGACGAGTATGACTCGCTCATGCGCGATCTGAAGCCATTCAGATCTCTGCCACCTTCGGTCTTGCGCGAGAGAATACAAACGCTAGGGCAACTTCGAGGAATAAGCTTAGTGCACGTCAAAGCCGGCAAAATTAGCCTCGAGAGCCGGTCAGGACTCTACGCGCCGGCTCAGGCGATACGAGATATGATGAAGCCATATCAGAAGAACCTACCGGACCTCATTTTCGCTGTCAACGAGAAGACCGAGGGTCGCATATTGCCCCGCGTCTGGGCACCAGAAGAGCGATTGCGACACGATCCTACGCCCGCGCGGAATGCCACAGTGCTCATAAGAGGTACTCATCCGCACGGTAGACACGAGGATAAACGACTGACCACGCGCAGATCCACTGGCTGATGAGATCCATGCCAATGGCTTCAAAAGTGAGTGGAAAGGCGAAGGGAGCGTGTGGTCGACGTTCCAACGAGCATGTCCACCACATTCGAATGCGCGCCGATTGATCAAGGCGCTCAGATCAGACGAATCAGCGCAGACGCATGCCGGAGCAGCACCGAGACGAGCAACAGGTTACCCCTTTGTTGGCCGAGGCCAGCAGAGTACCAATAGCAGTCTACCGCCTGTCAGCAGACGGCGGAATACCGCGCAAGTCGACAGCGCTCGCGCAAGTCAAAGCCTGCCGCAGCCACGGGAGCTTACTTTCAATACTCAGCTAGACTCTCAACTCGATCTTTGTAACAAGCCAACGCTTCACGCGCTCAGTTCTGCTTGGTTCTCAGACACGCGTTCGATATCCCATCTCTATCCGCTCTTCTCGCCTGCCAAGCCGACTGGCTTTGCCGACATCTTGATCCCCGGAATCTACCATTGGAGTCCGCCGAGTGAGTACGAGTATGAGTGGGAGTTCAAGCACGGGCGTTCTTCGGCACCAATGGACGTCGATTGGTCACAGAAAGACGCGAAAATCTTCTGGCGAGGCAAGATTACGCATGGGGCAGATTCACCCATTGGTCATTCCGCTAGTTTTCAAAAGCAGCGTCTTGCGAGCCTGGCGAATGATGACGGAGGCAATCGCATTGGTGGCAAGACGATTGTCCGCGGTCGAAAGTCTTCAGTACCGGCTCATCTGCAATCAATGCGCGCTATAGTCATTTTCAACGCTAGCGATTCTTCGCTTGCATCCGTCTCTGCGCCCTCGTGGCTAATCAACAGCGAGACACTCGATGTTGCAATGGCTTGCGACTTTGCACTCGACCATCACGCTTGCCGCGAGCAGAGACTGCATGGCTTCAAGATTGCGCAACCTGGTCCTCTCAGTGACGCGTGGCAACACAAGTATGTACTCGACCTGGACGAAGTCGGTCACTCGCCACGCTTCCTCGCATTTATGGAGAGCAAGAGCGCAGTCGTCAAGAGTACAATACAGCGCGAGTTCTGGAGTGATTGGGTCGTGCCTTGGCACCATTTCATACCGCTCTCATCTGCATTCGCCGAGCTCTTCAACATCCATAGCTTCTTCACTGGTCTTCCGGACGACATGCACGATAACGATCGCGTTTCACAGCCCACAACACTCTTGGCGCCGTCTCGCCGGCTTGACGCCTCGACACTGAAGCAAAAGCGCGTCACTAGCGATGGCTCGTTCAGCGGCGACGAGGCTCTGCGCACTATCGGCGCACGAGGCTCAGCATGGCGTACGCAACATGCTCGACGAGACGACATGGAGGTGAGTAGCGCAACCACATGCTGCTTCTGATCTGATCTCATTCTCAGGTGTACATGTACCGCTTGCTCATCGAATGGGCAAGACTGCTGGACAGCCCTCTGCCCAATGCAGCTCGCAGATAGACCTTTGTTGTACTCGCACTTGCACGCATTTGCACGACGCGTCACTGCCGGCATTTATTGCTAACACGTGTCGATTGCCATATAGACTGACACGTCATCGTTGTCAGGTAAAATAGCAAAGCGCGATTGCTAGTCAAACTAGCGGCCAGCGACCCCCTATGCCAATCTTTTTCTGTGATCAGTACAATGCAGACGCAGGCAGACCACTTCGCATGACTTTCCATAGCTTGGTCCCCACCCTTTCTGCGACTGACAATGTCGGGTATGCGCAGCATCTTCTTCACATATCACATCTACGACGAAGGGAATCCTGAACCGAGCGAGAGTCATCTTTGCGGGACGCAACAAGATTTTCANAGCTAGNGGCGTCANGGAACGCTCGAGTCGGATCACAGGGCCTCTTTCAGCTCGTAAAACGAGGCAAGTCGCATGCATTGCGGATCTCAATCGATCCGTTGACCTTGAAGCTTCGAGTCGACAGCGCTTGCCGAGTGACTTGGGCATCATGGCACTCTCAGAGACGATCCTTAGCGAGGGTGCCTGTGCACAGACCAGAGGAGCTAAGATGAGGCGTCGAAAATTCCCTCCGCTTGCTCGCAGACCTCCACAGGCCTGGAATACATTTCACATAAGACCGTCTCGTCAGTCGTCCTGCATGGCAGTATTTCACATGCTGCAACGCTTGCGAGAGATGCCGCGAGCAAGAGCGCCATTGTTGTTTCGCAGCANAGCAGTCGAAAAGCGGACGGCTCATTTCGCTTAGCGACTCATTAAGGTGCCGAGCATTGCATTACAGCTCANCAAGTAGCTCGNNAGGAGTGACGGGGCTCAACGGTGCACATCTGCAATTCTCGTCGGCGGCGCGCTGAACTTAGGATTGAGTCTGGCTCTGGCCGGCTTGGCTGCGAGCGCTGCCATTGCTTTGCTCTGCTCGGGCACATGATCACACAGACCAATCTTCGATCCTCGTCTGCACACACACACACACACACACACACACACAAACACACACACACACACACACACACACACACACACACACACACACACACACACACACACACACACACACACACACACACACATACAGCTTGTTGAGACTCTGGATCGACGCAACCTCTGGTCGTATCTTTATCGGCGACGGGATCAGAGCCCATCATATGGAGCTTCGTAGGACCGTAGATTCGCGGCATGAGCTCTGGCTGCATTGCTGATTATTCTTGATCCTCCTGAGCTGCAGTGGTCAGCGCAGCGCCCTCGGACCGAGCGGCTTTGTTCGCTTCGGCATCTCGCAGGTACTGAGCGCCAATCGAAACGCGATTATTGTCGAGCATTTCGTCAAATCCCTCCTTGAGATAGNTCTACTTCTCTGGGTGATCGCGGCGACGCTTCTTCGCTCCGTTCGGGCTTGGATTCGAAGGCTCGGTGAAATCGACTCGCCACAGCGGCGTCACTTGGGCATCTTTGTGAGCGAGCTGGCTATGACAAAGGTCGTCACTCCCTCGACGATGGTGTTGCTATTGCTGGGCAGCAAGCCAGTCTTATTCGCATAGTCGGGCCGCCTGTCGTCGTCGCGTGCTGGCTCAAAGCCAAGCTTGCCACTGCCTCTGACGCTGCCCTTCCCAGCAGCTTTGCCATGTGTGAGGCCTGTAGATATGCCTGAAGTGCCTAACATCAACGAACATTGTACGGCCGCTCCAGCTGTCCTCTGCCAGCAGCGGGGTGCAATACTTCGTCTTCGTCGGCAGCTTCNTTCTGTGCTGGCTGTTTTGTATCGCCGATCTGACCCGTCAATCTAACTGGATTCTTTTCTCACAGCATGCCGATGACAATCCAATCGCCTTCGATGGGCAGATCGAGATAGCCGGCACGGCCGGGCGCTTCACGCGCCATCGAGTAGATCCGCCGTAGGAGGAGTAGAACCAGTCTTGGAGACGCTCCTCGAGCTCTGCGTGGGCGAGTATGCGGTCCCGCAGTCTGGTTCCAGATTCGGGCTCAATCTGCTGGTAGTCTTAATCGCCTGGAATCGTTTGGACGCTGCGTATGAGGTATGGGACACGGCTCGAGATCTGTGAAAACTGTTGATTCGTCATCGCGCAGACGTGTTGATACAGGCGAGCATGACTAAGACGGCAGACGGTCTGTGTGCGTGACACGCCACGTGCTCGCATGAGGCTGCTCGTCTGCCTGAGGTATACGCGGAAGCCTCCTCGCNGCCGATTTGCCAGAAGACGTCGGACGAGGTGCANTGCNTCNGATTTCCTGATGCTGTNAATGAGCATGCGCCTTTATAGATGCAGCCAAGAACGAGGATGCGGCTGGATTGTATCGCGTTGAGCACACTGCAGGAGGAAGAGNAGGGCAAGCGACGCACGCTTGTCACGTCGCTCCGTGAGGTTACGAGGCTTCCGCTCGGCTGCGAGCGCCCGTGCAAGCTTTGAAGACCGGCTCTGGGCTGTCCGCGGCAAGGCAATATCAGTGTGATGAGCTGCTGGCGCCGTCACTGTTCTCGGCGCATAGCTCCAGGCATGCTGAGATGGTGCTTTCTAGTTCTCTGCATTCTGCATGGTTCAGCTTGTCCTGCTGCCAGACTCATCGAAAGCTGCTCACTCGGCGATGCTACGACCAGAAGCTCTNCGTCGGATTCTTCGANGGTCATGCAGCCTGNNNGNATCGTTGCTCGCAACAGNCTCGTCACGAGACACAAGTCACGATCTTCACGAGTCTGATTTNGCTTGCCGGCAGGCTCTTCCAGCAGCAGTCAGCTCGCAATCTGAGGCAGATACGCGTTTTGCGGCTGACAGAGCCAAACACGGACGGGCAGGATATCTGCTTTAGACGATTGTGTTGAGATCAGCCGTTTTCAGTTGATCAGTCAGAGTCAGCGGAGTGTGACACAGCAGTCGGCGAGGCGCTCGGTTCAGGATTCCCTTCGTCGTAGATGTGATATGTGAAGAAGATGCTGCGCATACCCGACATTGTCAGTCGCAGAAAGGGTGGGGACCAAGCTATGGAAAGTCATGCGAAGTGGTCTGCCTGCGTCTGCATTGTACTGATCACAGAAAAAGATTGGCATAGGGGGTCGCTGGCCGCTAGTTTGACTAGCAATCGCGCTTTGCTATTTTACCTGACAACGATGACGTGTCAGTCTATATGGCAATCGACACGTGTCAGCAATAAATGCCGGCAGTGCGTTTCGTCAGCGTGTCTGTCTGATCTGATGGCGGATGATCTGATGCTTCGCCGGCAGGGACGATGATGTATGATGACTCCTTCTGACCGGCATCTGGCGCCTTCGCCATCACCTGATCCACGAACGCCAAGACAGGCGAGCTATGGCAGCTTTGCTTCTCCAGCTTCTGCGACGTTGCGTTCACCCAGATTCATTCGGCGACGGGCAGCGTCGGCACTACAGCTCAAGCGCTCCGGCGACCTGACGCAGCAGCGTACTGACAGTGAGCATGATAGCTTCGTCGACGGAACGCTGCTATGGACTCGCAGAAGCGATGATGCGTCACAGCCGCTATGGTCGCCTGCGTTGACTTCGCCATCTCTCGACAGTCGTCCGCGCTTCTCGCAGGCGTTCACGAGCGAGCCAGGCTCACTGCTACCAGATAGAGATGGTCCGCTCGCTCAGAGCAAGGCTGACGAGCATGTGCATTCGGACTCTGACTCGGATTCACACTCTGATGACGAGCACAAACCGAATTTACGAGCGCGGGCAACGCGGAGGTCAAGACAGCTGGGCCTCGACGCCGGTCAGGCTGTTGATAGCATCTGGACACGATTGAAGCTTGCGGCTTCAGTGCCCAAGCTCAGCGGCATCCAAAAGAATGTGCTCAAATGCGTGGTCGCCTACTTTCTCGCGTCCCTCTTCACATTTATCGACCCATTGGCAGTACTAGCTGCTGCGCCGTTTGATATCGATCGCCTCGATGGCATGCACATGGTTGCGACCATTGCGACCTATTACAACCCTGGCAAGACTGCCGGAGGAATGATTGAGGCCAATCTGTTCATGCTCTGGGCGACACTCTTCTCGCTGATAGTCTGCGTAGGTAGCATGGCTACTGCCGTACTGCTGAACGATGACGATCTCGAGATTTTGTCACACGCACTGGTACTGACATTCTGGCTAGCCGGTTCGATGGGGCTTCTGGCATGGACGCGCGTCAAGGTAGCCAAGCCTACCTTTGGCACTGCATGCAGCATGGTCGTGCTGATCAACACAACCATCATCTGCAAGGAAGGCGCTGTGCACCTAGGCATCTTTCAGACTCGCGTCATTGCTCAAAACTTCTACATGGCCTTTCTTGGCATCGCCATCTCAAACATTGTCTGCTTCTGTTTGTTCCGAGGCAGCAGTGTGGCAAAGCTGCAGGGCGACATCAACAAGACGCTAGACTCTTTCGCAAGGCTGGTAGATATGCTGGTGTCGATCTTTTTGCTTGAAGAGCAGTTGAGATCGAATGACGAATCACTCAAGCGTGCCGTCAATGCGCATCACGACTCGTTCGTTGCTCTTAAAAAGGTGGGAAGATCGACAGTCCTTTCACTTGGTGCTGACTGTGCCGCAGCGTCTGGACGATGCAAAGATGGAATTTCAGGACGCGCGCATTCAACGCACCCATGTTGCATATGATAGCATCGTCGCTTCCATGAATCGTCTCGCTCAACATATTAACGCGCTGCGTACAGCCTGCACCTTGCAGGATGCACATCTAGAGCGTCAAGCAGAAGAGCACGGCGAGAGTGGCGCGGCTGGCTTTGACAGCTTCAGAGAGCATGTAGGACCATCGCTCAAAAATCTCTCGTCTGTAATGCGCAAGACTTTTCGTAGCCTCCGCACATCCTTCCTGCGATCCCGTGCTGCTCTTGCGGAAAAGGCGGCGCTTGTCGACGCCGATGTCGAAGACGGCCTCGGAGCTGATCAAATCAATCAACTCAATCTTGATTTGCAAGCATCATTGCGAGACTTTCAGAGAGATCATGCGCGTGCTCTACGACGACACTATCGTCATCACCCTTCCGAACAGCTGCATCCAGCCCACGAAAACACTTTCGAGCTGTCGATTGCACCTGCATTCGACGTCAGCAGATTGAACGAAGAGATATTTCTGGTCTTCTTCTTCATTTACCAGCTTGAAGAGCTTGTCAAGGAGCTGGAGGCACTCATCAAAATCTTCGCAGATATTCGCATAGAGGAGGAAGACATCGAGCATCGCGAGGCAGCTCGCCGACAACGCTTTGGCGTCTTCTTGCCCCTCGTCAGGCCATTCTTCCGCTTGATTCCCGCTACACGATCTGGCAAGAAGCCATATCCCACAAGGTGGAGGACCCTCTGGGGCCGTTTCGTCACTCTGCTTCCGGTAGGGAAGAATGCGCGATCCAATGGACTCAAGACAGCTGGCGAGCTTCGAGGACAGCGCCACATCGAGGAGCGCGACGTCACTCTTAAAGGGAGAATCAAACGTATCATATGGCAGGTTGGCGTTGCACTACGCCGTCATGACGTACGCTTTGCCATCAAAAGTGGCATCGGCGCTGGCTTGCTGGGCGCACCCGCATTCATCTTCTCGACGCGCGATCTATGGATCAAATATCGCATGGAATGGGCCCTTGTCAGCTATATGGTTGTGGTGGCCACCACCGTAGGACAGGCGAGTCTCTCGCGCGGGGAGTCGTGGTATGCACTGACACGAGGCGCAGACCACTTTCAACGCGTCATGGCGTATCGGTGGTACAATTATCGGCGTGCTCGTTGCAGCCGTTGCATACCTACTGTTCCTACCGTATCCGATCTTGCTCGCCTTCTTTGGCGCCGTCTTCTCAGCACCATGTTTCTATTTCATCGTCGTCAAGCCCACTTACGCCACTTCAGGACGATTCGTTCTGCTCGCATACAATTTGACTTGCCTAGGATCTTACAACACGCTAGACGAGAATCCTAACGTATGGATGGTCGCATTCAGGAGAGCGACGGCCGTCATGATTGGGACGATCTGGGGCTTGATCATTACTGCGGTCATCTGGCCATACGAGGCCCGTCGCGAACTCCGTAAAGATCTCGCTACGCTGCTTCTCAATGCTGCTTTTCTCTACGAGCAGCTCGTGCAGACGTATTCGAAGCCGTCTTCGGTACCGCTGATCCAGGAGCATGCAAACGGATTCGAGGAGCCGACCGAAACCACATCATTACTGACAAAGGCTGGCGCGAGACATCTCAAGGCAATGACGGACGACTTTGCCGAGCTTGAGCTGAAGCTGCAAGTCTCGCTCATCCGTATCGGTGCTCTGCTATCCCAGACAAAGCATGAGCTGCGACTGAAGGGACCCTTCCCGATGAAAGCATACGCACAAATCATTCAGAAAGTGCAGATCTTGCTCGACTCCCTGCATTCGATGCGAATGGTCACACTGCGCGAGGGCTGGTACACGAGTGTGCGACGAGAATTTATCCTGCCGGCCAATGCTGAACAGCGCGAGATGGTTGGCAACATCATCTCGTATCTGTATCTATTGGCAAGCGCAGTCTCCCTAAAGCTGCCTCTGCCAGCCTATCTGCCTCCGGCAGCAGCTGCTCGTCAGCGTATGGTAGACAAGATCAGCACGCTGCCGGTCGTCCGCCGTCGTGCAATACGCGGCTCATCTGTCTACTTGCTCTTCTCGACATATGCACTCATGCATGGCTCCATGATCGATCAGATGCAAGGTATTGGCGAACTTTTGCAGTCGCTCTTTGGCATCATTGCGCACGACTCGGTCGCAGAATTCGACGCCCTCTTTGACACGACTGAGGACGCCAACGGCAATCTAGGTACCGAGTGCAACACCGAACCAGATGCACGAGAGACCAGTGATGGCGAAGAATCATCAGAGGCAGATCTGTAATCGTCATGTTGTCGTTTGATGTTCGCTGCATTGTAAATTACTCAGTGCTTCATTCCTCATAGCGCGTAAAGGTGCATCTTATCATGCGATTGCACATGGAAAGTTACAACTCTGAAAAGCGAAAGAGGACAAACATAAGCGGGCAAGCTTAAACACCGAAGCCGTAGAGAGTTCGGCCTTGTCGCTTGAGTGCGTAGACGACATCGAGCGATGTGACGGTTTTGCGCTTGCTGTGTTCGCAGAATGTAACGGAATCTGCGTGAGACACCCAGTCAGATCACGCTACAAGCCAGGAAGGATCGCGGCTCACCTCTGACGACAGACTCGAGGAAGATCTTGAGGACACCACGGGTCTCCTCATAGATCAGGCCAGAGATACGCTTGACACCACCACGACGGGCGAGACGGCGGATTGCAGGCTTGGTGATACCCTGGATGTTGTCTCGCAAGATCTTGCGGTGACGCTTAGCACCACCCTGGAAAGACAAGATCGTGTAAGCTGCGAAATGAGATGCAGGGCGTGGTCCCTCACCTTGCCGAGACCCTTGCCACCTTTTCCTCTGCCAGACATGTTTGCTTGAGTTTAGTTTGTTGAAGTGAGAAGACCGAAAAGCTTGATGATCAGGGCAGGGCAGGACCTGCTCTTATAGCCTCGATTCCCGAAGATCCGTTTGTTTGCTTGCGCAGCCTGACGAAGGGCTCACGTGCTGATTTACGCGCGCATTCACGCGAAATTGCAGAGATTTAATGCGATGTATGCTGGAGAAAGCGCGAAAAACGCATTAATTCGAGTGGTCTGGTAGTACCTAGATAGTCAATGAACAGTATCGCACTGTGCAGCGAAGCAAACAAACAAACCGCGCTCCTTTGCTTAAAAGCCTTGACCGTCCCTGAACTTCCTATCCTCGCTTTCAAGAAGTCTCTAACAAACCCAAAGCCGATCAAGCAGAAATGGCACGAACAAAGGTCAGCGACAAGGACGTTCTTCAATGGAGCAAAGCTGAAGCATGATGTTCTCTTAGCAAACCGCCCGCAAGTCCACCGGTGGCAAGGCCCCTCGCAAGCAGCTCGCTGCCAAGGCCGCTCGCAAGTCAGCACCCTCGACCGGTGGTGTCAAGAAGCCTCACCGTTATCGCCCTGGTACTGTCGCTCTCCGTGAAATCCGTCGCTACCAGAAGTCGACTGAGCTCCTCATCCGCAAGCTTCCGTAAGTCCCGAATCTCAGTACCCAAGATAGATCAGTAGCTGATGGCAATGTTTGACGCGCAGTTTCCAGAGACTTGTTCGTGAGATCGCTCAGGACTTCAAGACCGACCTGCGATTCCAATCGTCGGCAGTCCTCGCTCTTCAGGAATCATCAGAGGCCTACCTCGTCTCGCTGTTCGAAGACACCAACTTGGCTGCCATCCACGCCAAGCGTGTCACCATCCAGCCCAAGGACATCTCGCTTGCACGTCGTCTCCGTGGCGAACGCTCTTAAAGAAGCGTCTCGAGCTCTGTCGGGTTTGTCTGACCAATGCGAGAAAGTTCTTCGAGCAAGGGCTAGGCATACGCTTCAGTTGGCCATAACACTTCGTCTTTCGCTCTTGTCATCCATTACATGCACTGTTGGCACAACTCGTGTCTTTCTTGAGAGCGACTGAATCAAGACGTGCATACAAGCTACTCCAGATTGAGACTGATCAGCATGTATCGGTGACATCAGATCGGCCAGGGGATCCCCTGAGTGAATGACCCAGGACAGTGGAACCCCTGGTCGCTCGTATTCATCCGCCGGTTTCGGCCGTAATTGACTTGCAAAAAGTTCACTGCTCAGACCGAAAGCGCAGGATAGTGATCGCTAGCGATGGAAGGTAGCTAGATGATTGGGCGAGAATGTACATGATGTATGAGTGAAGCTGTTGCTCGGGTTAGAAAGGGGCCAGGATTGAGGCACGCGTAGATGCAAGGACAACCGCGTGAGCTGTATTCTTAGCCACTGCTCACATCAGACAGACTCGTACGACGAATAGGACAGACACGACCACAGCGAGTGAAAACAGGGGTTGCTACATCGTCGTCGTCATCAAAAATCGAAGGAGACGCGTCGTGTCGCAGTCGCCTGACAACCTTCTCTGCTAAGCACGGACGTCCGTAGAGTTTGTGCAGACGATCCAGATCACCTGGCATGAGCAGCCTCGTCAATAGAGGATGATCAGACCGCGTAGACAGGGCCGAGGAGAGACTACCGAGCTGCATCGGATCATCTAAACGGGGTGACAACCTCCTGCGCGAATAACAGTCTCGTCACGCCTGGCACTCGTTGACTCGCGCGCATAAGGCCAGCGGCTTGCACTCCAGCCGACCCACCGCGTCCATAGAGCCGACAGTGGACTCGAGAGGGCGACAGACGTCAGATCTGCCGAGTGCCGAGGGGCTAAGTAACCGCGAAATCACACGACAGCTGACTTTCCTGCCTGTAAAGCCTGGTCGAGATCAGATCTTGCTTCAGGATCATGTCGGTCGTCCTGACGAGATCGGACACGACCTTCAGTAGTGCCTCGGGAGCAAGTGACTCCATCTCTGGCGAGTCTGTTGACTCTTGCACGCCCTCGACTCCGCCGCTTGGCTCGGAGACACCTTTCGTAGACATGTCACTCTCATCGTCAGAAGACTCTGCATCTTCAGCATCATCCATCATACAACCCATCTCACCTCCGGCTCATGCTCTGACCCTACAGTCCCCTTTCACGAACGCCAAGGCGAATCATCTCGCAGGCTTCAATCTCGGCGGTGGTGCGCTGAGCGAAGTCTCGATCACCAATGAGACGGCACTCGCAGAGTTGTCACGCTCGCAAGCGCTGACCTCTCCTCGCCTGAGCGCGTCTCAGCATGCAGCGGCCAGAGCTCAGCCGAGCGTGCAGTCTGACCTGTCAAGCAAATCGCCCGGGAACGCGTACACAGGCGGGCAAGATGCGCCGGCACGACCCTATAGACTCTCGCGAGCTGCGACGACCGGCCGCGCACGCGCGCAAGATCGCTCGCCCAGTCCAAATTCGCCGGCTTCCTCTTCTGTCATCTCGCTAGCGCAGGAGCTACCCTCGCCGACGGTGCATCGCGACAGCGACACTGCCAACCTCATCACGCGCTCAGATACCATGACGACACTCACGGGCGATCGCACGGCGATGGCGCCCATGTCGCCAGGTGCAGCGAGTCGCAGTCAACCGTTCCTCTGGTCACGATCACAGACTGAGCGCCATCTGCCGACGCTCGCGAGTATCTCCCAGACGATGGCTCAAGAGCAGGGACAGGCAGAGTCAATGGCACGCTCCCGATCAGCCGGCAATGGACCTCAGCCTGCCGTCCGTCGACGCCATGAGTCGCTCATGCCCGGCTCGTCTGCCGGTCTGGCTGCTAGCAATGTTGCTCGACAAGCAAACGTCAGGCCGCCTCTGTCAAGTTCGCTCGCTTCGCCGCCACCGAAGTCTTCTAGTAGCGTTGGCGGCTTGAGACCAAGGCGTGCCACTTTGCAGCTGCCCGAATCCGGCACAAGCGGCTCCTTCGCTTCGAGTCTATCTAGCAATGACCCTGCGCCTAGATTGACAGCGCCCACTCGCGATGCGATGCTTGGCTCCACTTCCTCGAACATGGTGGAGGCCAAAGTTGTCATTCTAGGCTCCCAAGGCGTTGGCAAGACGTCGCTCGTACATACGTATATACACGGCGAATTTTCAAATGCTTCAATGTCAACCATTGGCGCTAGCTTTGCAACCAAGAAGATCGTGATCGATGATGTGCGCGTGCGCCTGCAAATATGGGATACAGCAGGCCAAGAACGCTTTAGAAGCATGGTGAGGATCCTGGTATGACTGCGCGATGTCCGCTGATTTGTACCTTGCAGGCGCCGATATACTACCGAGGATCGCAGGCCGCGGTGCTGGTTTACGACATCACCAACGAAGAAAGCTTCTGGGACGTGCGAAGGTGGCTCGACGAGCTCAATGGCAATACAGATGGGCCAATCGTTATTCACATCGTAGGGAGCAAGCTCGATCTTGCCCACAACGGCAAGCGCGCGGTCGACCTCGAGACGGCGCGGAGAATTGTCAATGAGTGGGCGGCAGCGAGTCCACCAGCGCGCTCGCCGATTCAATCTGCATTTGCACGTCCAGCCCCGGTTCACCGCAGAAGCGCGGACAGCAGCCTAGATCGAGATCAGGACAGAACACGCGCCGGCCTGACCTTCGGCTTCGGACTCAACACTCGAACAAACAGCTCGACGAGCACAAATACATCAACCTCGGAAGCCAATGCGCGCGATCGCAAATGGTGCCAAGTTGATGTCAGCGAAGTCAGCGCTGTCACTGGGGAAGGTTAGGCTCTCGCTTATCGGCGCGGCCGCATTACTTACACGAGAATACTGCAGGCATTGAGGACATTTTCCTCACAATCACGCAGCGCGTCGTGGAACGGCAAGAAGTCATGGAAGCAGAACGTCGTGGCGAACGACGCGGATCGATACTGCTCACTGACGAGGTGCAGACGGCCGGCGGGCCTGGCAAATCTGCCCTCTTTGGCGCCTGCTGCTAATTGTGACACCACCATCAATCAGCTCATCACGATCATCGATACCCAAACCTCGCAATACCTCATTTGTCGATCTCCTGTCAATCCCGTGTTCTTTGTATCATCGCGCTCTAGGACAAACGTGAATGTGTAGTCGTACAATAGTCACTACAACGGGCTTCTCTGCTTTCTTGCGTACATGCGTGAAACACTTTGCGTGCAAGTAAAGAGTCTGACTGAGAGTCTTACTGACCGCGAATGGCGTGAGGACCGAGAGCTTGCGAGAAGAAGGTGTCCCGCTGGCTAAGATCCATCGATTCTAGAGTGTTATGATTCGTCGAGCGACTGTTTGAGGGCGATGGCGTAGTTGTGCCAGACGACTGAATGGATGCAGACTGATCGAGCGCCGCTTGGGGCGTGCCCGAGCCAGTTGATGAGCTTGCTGATGACAGTGGTAGCTTCCCCCGCGGCCAGACAGACATGCCCTTGCTAGTCAATCCGAGATTGCCGCCTGACCAGCAGTACTGTTTGCACTCAGGTCAGAAGCTGTGGAGAGTCCAGCATGGTGAACGAACCTTCTCGATGAAATCTCCAATGTCAGAGGAGGGCAACGGAGTCGAGCCTGCCATCATCTTGGTCGGCGAGAACTCGCCTCCAAAAGTCGTGACAGAAGACGGCGGCGATGTTGGGGACTGATTTTGCGATGATGGCGAAGACAAGGACGAATTGTCTGTGGAAGAGACAGGCGAGCGATTGCCGTCTTCGTGCGGTGGAGGTGACGCTGCACGAGGGGGTGTCTCTGCTGGTGATTCTGCCGGCGACCGCCTAGGCGAGCCGGCGGGGGAAGTGACAGATGCGAATCGGCTTGCGTTTGTGACACCTCCAGGCGCTAACAGATGTTCCCGAGGTATGTCAAAGCGTCGTGTGCTGGGCTTGCCAGAGGGCATGCCAGGCAGGGCGATGGGCTCGCCAATGGGGCTGATGTTGTTCTTGAACTGATCCCAAGAAGCCGTTGCTTCGTGCAAAGGAATGACGGGCGAAGATGGTCGCCAGAACCCTCCATATTGCTCTCCAGAATCGTACAAGGGCGACGGCATATCTCGTCGATCGCCGCCGAGCGAAGGTGATAGCATGTATGCCGGCGGAGGCGGCTGTGACGTCCCACGTAGGTGATCCGGCCTCATCGCACCCGCAGTCAACGGCATTGGTTTGCGAACAGGCGAGCCCAATGCGGGACTATGTATGATACCTTCTCGCGGCGCAAAGTATGGATTCTCTGCTGTGCGATTCGCTCTTGTGCCTTTCAATGAGCTGCCAAAGTCATAGCGTGACGAAAATGTCGGATTGGCAGGCGCTACAGCATGGACTGGCTTCTCATCCCGCGCAGTGACAAGCGCTGGCGGCGACGTGGCATCATCGCTTACGAGACGATCGAGTTCCCTACGCAGATCTGCCATGCGTTCCGAGGCTTGACCAGTCGTTGTGACTGACCATTGATGTCTCGCTAGTGTTCTCGTGCGCGGTGCAGCGCTGTGAACACCACCGTCTGCCGATGTGGCTCTCACCCTAGGCGCCGGAGGCGCAATCTTGGCAAACCTGACGTGATAGTTCGAGCCGCCGTTGTTGTCCCATAGCTCTCGACCATCGACGATGTACCGCAGAGCGATCTGCATCTTCTTCTCTTCTATGCGTGCCAGGATATCAGAAAGCTTGATATGAAAGGTCCACCGGTCGGCCTGATTGTCAAGCAGCGAGATGGCGTAGTCAGCGGATATTTCAGAAATTGTGGACCAGTCGTCAAAGGTGAAGCGAACAACAACGCGCTTGTTGAAGGCGATGTTGCGCACAATGATGCTGCCACATAGCGATCGAGAATCTTTCGCCATAGTGAGCGTCTCTAGCCTGACGTCGCCGTGGAAATTCGGAGCTGAAATTGGCATTTTGTAAGGCGTAAAGTCGGCCGTGATGAGCTTGATCGAGCCTGGTAACACCTCGCCAACAGAGGGAAACGGAAAGCCCTCGCTCTCCTCTTCCGTTTCGGTCTCTTGCGGACTTCCGCCACGACTGACTGCTGTCGGCCGCTGCTGCGCCAAGAAGAGCTTGACATGCTCGAGCTGGCTGTCAAAGTGGACCATCTTGGACGCCGTGGGCGTCTGGGGCGCAGACATGACAGACCGCATGGAGGGCGCCGTCAGTGTCTCGTCCTCCTCGTATCCGTCTTCGTTGTGGTCGTGTATGTTGATGCGCGAGCTCGAACGCGAGCGCAAAGATGATTTGACAAGCTCGCCAGACTTTTTGCGCACCATTGCAGATGATATGCGATCGCTTGGACCCGTAGACTTGAGCGCGACTAATCGGCCGCTCGATCTGACATAGTTGCGATGGTTCGGCTGAGCTACCGACGCGCTCGGCGTGATCTCGGATACGTTGTCAAGCTTGACAGTATGACTGTCCTGCGAATCTGCCGAGTCTGATGTCGATGGCGAAGGCAGTATGGGTAGCAAAGGCTCTGGCTCGTGCACGGCCTTTGGCGCTCTTGGCGCTTCGAACGGCGTAGATCCAGCATGGATCTTGCGATACGGCGGTGAAAGCTCAGGCGGCACGTCTGGTGTGCCCGTGACGAGTTGTAAGGACGGCGCCGCTGCACCAAATGTGAGCGAGAGATCTCGAGAGGTCGACTCGAGCTGAGACTGTGGAGCAGAAGGGCTCCATATCGGCAGCTTCGGCGGAATGGAATCCGTGGCATTGGTGACAGAAGCCAGCTTGGACGTATTGCGCGTCGTCACACTGGCTATTTCGGCTGGCGCGGCAGGCGTTGCAGGATCAATTCCATGCAGCATCAATCGACGAGATGACTGCGGCGAGTGATCAGCGGCTGGCGATTCCTTGCTGTCCTTGCGTAGTCGGGTTTGGACAGGCGATTGCGCAGGCGAGAGCAATGAGCTTGTACTCGCAATGGGGTCTTCCGGCACCGTGTCAAAGGGCGAGGCAGGATGCAGGACGAGTTGTCCTTCGGCAGTGCTGCCTGCGTCGGAGGTCTCGCCAGAAGTTGAGGTTTTCAGAGAGATGGGTGAGCTCGAATCGGGACCCGACGATCTGTCTTCGCCGCTCTGACTACGCGAGGTCGCGAGCGCTAAGCTATCAATTGATCTCTGCCGATTGTGGACGCGTCGCATTGCGATAGTGGGTCGTCCTGCTGATGCTTCGGCTGTGAGGGGCAAGTAGAGATCCGCCTTGCTGATGCTGCTATGGCGGGTTCGAGGACCTGGGAACGACATGAGATATTGCGCACAAAGACAGTAGCAGGCGCTGCTGACCTGCATAGCTCGGTGCGCTGATCGTGTGTGATGTGGACAGAGGGCCTGCAGAATGAGGTGATTGGACCAACGGTACAGCCGTACGTAAGGGCAGCGGTGGTCGGGAGGTTTTAGTCGACAGCGTAGGATTAGGCGCTTCTGCACCCGTGGCTTGCAACGTAGGCGTCATGCTGCCGGACAGGTGTAGGCTCGTTGTCTTTGCCTCCGTGGAAGAGCCGGACATCTTTGCGTGCTGTTCTCGAGTCACCTGTGACAGTGCATGTGAGCATCGTCTCTGAGTAGTCAGTCGTTGGGCTCACCTCGACATGAACGTACTGTGGTCGTGTGTAGGGGGCCCAAGTGGCTTGCGACGGATGCTGTACTGATGAGCCTTGACGTGATGGAGATGTGCTTCTCTGCAGGCGCCGTGCAGCTCGTCCGCGGCGCTACTCAGCTGATCTCAACGAAACAAATTCTCGCTTCGACTCGACAAATGACGCTGCAAAAGTGGCGCAAAAGGTGTCTGTGCGCGATGCCGTCGATGTGGAGGAGCTCTTGATGGCTCGTCGAGCGCAGTCCGCAGCTCGAGCTCGCGTAGAGAGGCTCTTGCTTGAAGCACAGCGCAGACACCGAATGTGACCTTTCCCCGTCTTTGCTCCGAGCGCTGCAGTCTGCTCGTGTCAACAGTCAAGTCGTCGAGCTTGAACTGTACAGGATCGCTATCGGAGCGAATGGCTAACTAGACGATCCGAACAAGCCGACCGGACAGAGAGCCAAGCAAATCCGAGCTAGTCCTGCTCGTTCTTCGCGTTCGCAGCGCTCTTTCTTCGTTTACCGTCTCAAGATGAGTCTGCGAGACGTTATCACCGCCTACCAAGACCGCCCCAGCTCAGTCCTTGCCCCAGACTGGCCTTTGGCAGCCACAGACGGCGCGTTGGGTCCCAAAGCGCACTTTTCGAATGCTCGATGTACGGGCTCCTCCCCGTCTCGAGTGCGAAGCTTTCTTTGTGTTTGGCTTTAAGATCAAGATCAAGCTTAAACCCGCCGATCTTACTTCTTCAAATGGACGCGTTCGCAGCCAGCTGGTATCCGGGCGCGAAAGAGCGAATGCGCCTTGCGAAGCGTTGCTATTCACTTACTTCAGCTCTGCTTGGCCGGACAAGAGTCCCTCGCTTGCTGCCAGCAGTGCAAGGTCGGAGCCTTGACGGGGATCATCAGGCTAAGCCTGTCGACTCACTGCTGCTATCCAGACGCACTGTCTCATCTAACCCCGTGGATATGGCCGAACACCCTCAATGCTGTCTGAACACTCCGGCTGTCAAGTCAGATTATCAGCCACAAGGCAAGCACGGCATCGAGATCGCCGGCTTCCCTTGCTATGTCGTTGGTGACGAAGGCGCCAAGCATGTGCTCATACTGGCATATGACATTTTTGGCTATTGGCCTACGACCATGCTGGGATGCGATATGCTAGCGAGCAAGCTCGACGCTCGCGTGATCGTGCCAGACTTGTTACGCGGGCATTATTGGGACCTCAGACAGGGCGAGCCGACGGCAGAGACTCGAAGTCGGATGGGTCACATCTTGACAAGTCACGGTGAGCCGCATGCTCGCGCAAAGGATCTCGTCGCATTCGTCAAGGAGATTGCATCTTCCGACGCAGTCGAATCGATTGGGCTTTATGGCCTGTGCCTCGGACACAAGATCATCAGCTTAGCAGCAACGGATCCTGCGCTTGTTCGGGATTACAAAGTCAGGGGGATCGCAACTGCCCACCCGGCCAGATTAGACCCTCAAGAGTCAAAGGCGATCTCTTGCCCGTTCTTCTTCGCACCCACGAAAGACGAGGCCAAGGAAGAATGCGAGGCTTACTTTGCCGAGATCAAGTCGAACAGGTCGATCGCAGAAAAGTCAATCTACAAGCGTTACGAGGCATATCAGTGCGTATGAAGTAAGCAAATTCGATACATCTTGCTGACACCGTGGGACAGTGGTTTCGCAGGAGCTAGAGCCAAGTTAGACGATCCCACCTACAGGGCCGACTTTGAAGATTTCTATCAACGCGCGACTGATTTCTTCAAATCTGTTTTTTGATCAAGCCTCCACGCCGCACATTCTAGATCATTGCTGCACCAGACACTCCTGTACTTTTGATGCATTTTTGATTTCGTTGCTATTTCGGATTCAATGTTGGTGGTTCGCTCAGAGCAGAGCCTTGAAGAAGCCAGCTGCTCGAGAATAGAAGTCCTCGTAATCTTTGAGATTCGTGGGGTCCTTCAGGTCTGCACGAGCAGATGCGAAGCCGTGGAAAGCCTCGTACTGATGCTTGACTGACTGCTTGCCGACAGACGAGCTCTCAACGTTGGCATAGAATTTGTCCGAGACCTTCTTGTCCTCGTCCTTTGTTGGCGCCCAGAGGATGGGTACTTGGAGCTTCTTGGCGTCATCCGGGTCAATGCCAGCAGGATGGACATTGACGACTGCCTTGACCTTGTGCGATGTGACAGAGCTGTCACCGCTGGCGAGACCTGTGATCTTGGCTCCAATGCAGTAGCCATAAAGACCGATGCCCTTCACCGAGCTAGACGAAGCGAGCTCTTTCGCTAGAGCAACAACCTCCTGCGACGTCTTTGGAGGAGCGCAGACGTTGCCGATATATTCGCCGAGCTTCTTGCCGTCGTCACCCGAGGGAGGGAACTTGTCATGAGGCCAGTAGTCGCCTCTGAAGAGGTCAGGCAATAGAACACGTGCGCCGAGCGTCTCAGAGAGAATATCGGCGCCTTGATACGTCTGAGGCGCATAGCCGAAGATGTCATATACACCAATCAGAACAGTCGAAGCCGACTCCGGGCCAACGACGTAGCATTTGAGACCGCCGACGGTGACGTCTTTCTGTCCCTTGGCTGCACATCGGAATTAGCCTACTTGTATCTTGGCGCATGGTCCACTCACCCTGGTAGTCCGAGTGGACGGGAGGAATCTTGGCGCAGCAGTCTGAGGTGGACATCTCGTCTTCGTATGTACGTCAAGTCAACGCAACTTGGTGGGTGGCAATGCGTCGTGCGGCAGTCCCGAGATTCGGCCGAGATCGTCCGGCCAGCTGCCCCGTACGATGCCGCGATTCGACGACGTACGCGCGCGCGCGGCTGCCGAAACTCGCTGCAACGATGCAGCCCTGCCTTTGCACCACAATGACGCCCTACAAGCTCGCTTAGCATGCCTTTCAAGCCCAACTGGACCGTCATGGCTTCGGCAAGTCCTCAGGTCGCATATGGGGCATCAAACTAATGATGCTGTGCAGGCCATAAAGGCGTGGTCCCGGCAAGTCAAATCATCCATCGTCATCGCTCGTCAGGCAGCGCACGTCAATGCCCAACCCATACGATCTGTCCAGAGGGGCATCTTCGAGGGCGTGACGCAGCTCTTCGTCCAGTATCCCCAGCTCGTACGAGAGTTGCCTGCCAGGGTTACGACAAAAGCTGCAACGAGATGGCGTCCGCCTCAACTGACGTCCTCTGCTCTGCGATCTAGTAGACCGGCTGCTCGATCATCTGCTTGGCCGAGCGGTCACGCTCGAGTACAGACACTCGGTCTGCAGTCTGCGCGCAGCTTCAGCTCGACTGGCTACACATTTGCACAGCAGCATGCTTTCCTCGCTGACCATCTCGCTCAGAACATTCCACTTGGTTTCAGACTACTCGGACTGGAAGCTGAGGATCGCATGCATAGCTCCAAGGGCATAGCTCATCCCTCGGTCTCACGTAAGCGTCGTGCTACAGGCGCTACAACAGCGACCAATGTCAAGCGCCCTGTCAAGCAGATCAGCGCTCCTGCTCGTGCCACGGGCGCTCTGTCGGCTCGCTTGATTCTGCCACTCTATGCAGAAATGCCAGCCGATCTGCTGCAGGCACTCGAATCTGCCGACACACCTCTGGCTTCCTACGCGCCTCACCTCTCCTTCTCGAGTCAGGAGTCTCTTTATAGCGCACTGAGACAGCACGAGAACCAGCAGCGTCTTCACCAGATCCGTCTAGAGCAGGTCCTCACTCGATTGAGCGCAGCAGGCTGCTTTGCCGGCTCCAATACGTCTTTAATGCGAGCGACGGGCGGGCAAGGCGTCGTTTCTCAGGTCATGGAATGGCAAGGCCGTACGCAGCTCGTCATCGAGTTCGAAGCACGTCGATGGAGTGTGCTCGATGTGCGGCAAGCGCTGGGCCTATACAACACCAAAGGCGACTCGCTTGACATTTTTGACAGCGGTCGCAGCTACTACGAAGTCGAGCTCGAGCGCGAGCTAGCCAGACGCGAGGCTGAAACTGTCAGCTGGTATGAGCTCGAGCCGGAACCACAATGGTCGTTCTTCGGCACTGCACTGGCTGAAGCCGCTGCCAACGACTCAGATGGAGATTCGGACGTGTCCTTCTTCCATCTTGAGCCTAGGTCGCCTATCTCGTCGCCGCAGCTGACGCTATCGCCTCTGTCAGATTCACCGCGTTCTCTGAGCGGTCTCTCGTCGCTTGCTGCTTCGCCTCAGCCTTCAGTCTCGAGGCGGTCCGTGAGGTGGGCAGATGAAGCTGCACAGGATCAGGTGGTTTCGAGCTTCATGCTCCCTGCGCCAGCCACAAGCCCGCCCGTGTTCTCTGCCCAGCATCTCGACCGACATGCGTCTGGCTCAGATGGGAGCGTTCAGGACTTTATTGACTTGCTCGACGCAATGCCACGTCCACGGCGCCGCTAGTAGTGGTACATATCTTGTAAGACGGCTGCATAACGTTTACCGAGCATACGTGAGACGTAACCGCCTCGAAGTCGGTAGACGCCCACGCTGAGGGCTGCAGCAAATCCGACCCAGCCTATCTGCCAAGGCGCGGTCTGTAGCCGAGCTTTCTTCCGTCGAGGTCCGCCGGCTAGGATGCTACGAACGCCAGAAGTGAAGTGGTATGTTGCTAGCAGGATGAGACTGCCGTAGCCCACGATCGATGAAATGGTGTAATTCTGCAGAGAGTAGGAGACAAAGTTGTATGACAGCAAGGACGGCGATAAACCTTTGTAAGGCGCTTTGGACGAAGCTGGCCAGACACGATGCGTAAGAGAGTGGATCGCGACGATCGGCACGAGTAAGTAGCCCGTCCTGGCCTGCAAGGAGGGCGTATAGCTCAGACTTTTGTGGAGTTTGGCGTCGACTTGCTTGCTCTCGATCGTCTCCTGTTTTGCGGACAGATGTCGTCCCTGTCTCAAGCGATATACTCGCGCGGTTTTGCTGATCCTCTTGAGCACGCCAGAGAGAAGATGTACGCCGAGCGAGCCCCAGACAACGATGAGCTCCTTCTTTCCGCCTTGATACCACTCTCGGCCAAGGAGCATCGTCAGCGAGGCAAACTCTTCACCGCCATAGACGGCAGTGAGCGGGGCTGTGAGATGGACGACGGCGAATGTTGTGAAGACGAGGGCCGAGCTCGACTGAGTCAACGACAACAGGGCTTCCATCTCGGTCTGCCCTGGCAAAACGCGAGTGAAGCGGAAAAGTCAATGATGTTATTGATCGGCCCTGCCGAGCTTATTATTATAATTCTCGGGAAGCCCGCCCAGGCCCGTGGATCGCTGCGCAGGCGCTAACAAACGAGATAGGCACAGCGCATGCTCATCTCGGCCTGGTGCGAGGAGAAGTGAAGGAGGGCGCGAGAGAGTGTGGCATACGTCTCTGGAAGAGATTGTCGTTCATTTGGACAGTGATAGACACAGCAAGGGCAAGAGGGACAGGATTTACGCGGGCTTTTCGGGATTCTGCAAGCGGGCTGTGACTCAGTGACGAATCAACGACATCGAAAGCTGTCCGGACGACCTGAACACGCTCCTTCGGGCTCTTTCGTCGACGCTACAGTCGGTGCAACGTAGCCGAACGCCTAGAGACATATACCGAGACATTTGACTGTCATCAACACGATACCGATCCCTTGGTCATTACGGAGATCCGGCAAGTCAGCAAGGCATCAATCTCGCAGGCACTCGTGCTCGCGCCAGACTCGCTCGACGAAATAGCATTCAGACCATCAGGTGAGCACGCCTTTGTGTCATTGTGCTCGCTCTTGGCTGATTGTCTGGTCTGTTCGAGGGATAAGCCCGAGTGTGTCTTGGCGGCAGCATTGACCGCTCCTGCTGCGCCCAAAAGACTGCCCACCCGTGCAGAAATCCGGTCGGACTCGAGTATATGACGATCTGACATTGATCGCATTGACCTTGTCTGACGTCGACTGCGCACATCAAGCCTGAAAACGGCATCGTCGTCATCAAAGGCATCACTATCTGTACATCCCGCATACACTTTCGGATTTGCACACGACCACGCCCCTTTTGTCAGCTCGACCAGTAGCCTACCGTCGAGATCACTTTGTTCGGACGTGCACGGATCGCTGGCCGAGACGTCGATCCGGCCTCATCCCTGTCAAAGGCACCGTCTCGCGCCACAAAGCTCTCAAACAGATTCACGATCCACAGCTCATCTCTGTCGTCGAGCACGCACTCGGACTTTGTTCCGTAGCAGCGACCTGACGTAACGAACCAACAGAGCCGAGGCGGTGATCTGACGTAACGCGCGCGCCCTGTCGACTCAGTCTCAATTTCGACGGGTCACTTGCCAACCGCGCGTGCAACAGCAACACGACTGACCACACTTGCTCGGAGCTACCCGATTTTACAATTGGAAGACTGAAGACGAAGACGTCATTCGTGAGTGGTTCTTATCCTTCATTGACATCATTTGTCATGCATGCCTCGGATCGACTCCTATGGTCGATCAAACTTTGCCCGATTGCACTGCACGACCGATGATTGCCCTGCCCTCGATCACTTGCCACAATGCTCACCCGTCCAGCGTGCTCTTGTCGAACAAGCTGCTGATGCTGTTTGGCCATGTCTGCAGGCTTCAGGTTTGCACGTACTAGGGCTGGCTTGACGCTATCCACGCAGCGCTTATTTGACCGACGCCCATCACCACCGGCATCATGGCGTCTCGAGCGATCATGAACCTGCCCGACGTCAGCTCGTTGCCTATCGTGCCCTTTCCGCCCAACAAGGAGATAGCGATGATGCTCAGGCATGACGACGCGACTGACGGTTTGCTCATGCTCTGCGCTTCAGCACTCGCCAGTGTGGAGAACCGGGCACTCTGTCCCAATGAGATCTCGGAGATCTGCAAATCGAGAGGCTGGACCTACTCGTACGTCTCGCCTGCTTGCATCGGCTGCCCACCATGCTGACTTGATTGTCGTGGCGCAGAGGGACGCAACCCTTCGCACTCGTGTCAACTTGCATCAGGACGCATGTCAGGAGAGCGGCGACGGGCAGCAAGCCTTACGCACCTCTTTTCTCCCCTTACGAACTCAACGGACCGGTACCCGCCGAGGACATCCCTGGCATGGGCATTGACAAAGACGGTAAACCCGTCATCAAACGTGGCACCCTATGGTACCTCTCAGAGAAAGGCGCTGGTTATCCTTCGCCATTCACTTCAGCTGGCTCGCGCACAGCCGGGTCCAGAGGGAAAATCACGCAGCTGCCTATCGTCTCAGCCGAGTACGCAAAGAGGCCACCGCCGCCTTTGAACGTAAAGAAGGGCAGCAAACCGTCAGAGTCAGCCTACAGCAAAGCTGCAGTCGCGCCGTTGACAGGGCAAAGGTCAAGGACAGCAAGCAGCACGCCCATGCAAGTCGTTGCAGCCTCGAGCGGACGATCGGGGCACCAGCGGTCCTTTTCGATGTCTCTACCTGCTTCCGCATCTTACAGGCAAGGCTCATTAGAACTCGACCCATCCGGAGAGGAAGGGGAAGAATCGATGGGAAGAGGCAAGCGAAAACGCCGAGCAAGCGCGATTGCTGCCTCTTCGGCCTGGGAGAACGAGATCCGCCCTGCGCTGAGCATGACTCAATCGGGACCTGCTAGCATGCAGAGAAGTACGAGTCCGAAGTACAACATCGGCGCGCATCGGCGCACACAATCTGTCACGCCACCAATTGCCTTTAGCAACGAACAAGCGGGAGGGACAACGCGGAAACTGAAATTCAAGCTTGCGCCCTTGCTCGAACGCGCTGCAAAGGATGGGTCGAGCGACGTAGAAGTAGCAACAAGTGATGACGAGACAGATGACGACGACGCACTCAAGTTGATCAAACGCGCCAGACGCAAGAGCGACAGCGAGGCTACCTCGCCAAGGCTAGCGGCTAAGCCGCAGAATCGTCTGGCGCGTCCATCCTTTCTGTCACAGTCTTACAATTCGAGCATGCGACCATCCGCGACGAGTCTCAGCTTGCGCATGAAATCTCTCGGCTGTGACAGCGAAGCAGGCAGCGGCGAGGACGATGGCAGAGCGCCAGATCTGCAGCAGGCCATGCTGACTGCTTGCGACGAATTCGAGTTTGCCTTTGATCATGCCTTTGGCGCGTCAGAGGAAGCGGCCAAAGCAGCAGAGCAAGACGAGGCCAAGCGGGACAGCATCGAATTACCCACAAAGCGCCGTTCCGGAGAATTCGATTGGAATGACGACGAAGCGCCAGCGGGCGATGTTGACACGCCGGCCACTACGCCGCGTTCGTACTGCCCGCCTACAGCCGCTCTCAGCCCAGCATTCGAGTCAGACAGCGACGATTCTTCCAGCAGTGAAGGTGATGACGAAGAAGAGGACGATGCGATGGACACTGCGCCAGACTCGCCACGTCTCTCGCCACTCGACGTCACACTATGTCCTCATGCAGAAGCACAACCTCCCAGCTCCCTTGGTGCGTCTCGCAGATTGTCTGAAGCGAAGTACTTGCTAACCGTGTCAAGCAGACGAAGCATCGAAAGTCTCAACGACGCCCATCGATGATCAAGTGCAGTCCGCAGAAGAAGTACCCGAGCCATTGCCGACATTGCTGTCCATGCCGCTAGCACCAACAGCTGGCTTCGCACCTGCCCTTGGGCAAGCTGTTGACGGCCAGGACGATATTGAAATGGAGCTTGTTCATGTCGACAGTATCACCGATGATGGCTCGACTGACGATTCGTCAATCTCTGATTCAGATTCATTCAGTGGCACCGAGCTATTGCTGAACCGTCGGCTGTCGCTCGATTACGACCCTACCACATCGCTGTCGTCTCTGACGCTCAACCAAAGACGTGGCTCTGGCACGGCGACTTCCGTCGAATCTGCCGGTCCTTCGCCCACGGAGGAGAAGCTCAATTCGACCGCCTGGGCTGTCGATGCCCTGAAAGCCTCCTCTTCGCCGCTCGAGTCGCCATCTCAGACCACAGAGGTAGCCGCCCAGTCATTCTCTCGAATCCTGGCATCAGACATCCTTTGCCCGGAGTCTGTGGGACTCGACGAGCTAGATCAGGTCTTCACAAAGGAAGATCAGGAAGCGTATGCAGCTTGTGCACGCATGCAGGCCATATCACTGCCGAATGCCAGCTTCTTTCTCGCTCAGCCACCTTTGCTCACGCGAAGGAAGACGCAGCCGATCGTTGCTGCGCCTGCGCAAGAGCCCGAAGCGCTCTCGCCTGTGCCGTGCTCGACGCTCTCGCCACCGACATCTGATAAAGAAGTGGCAGACATCATCGTCTACCCGATGTCGGTGACCCAACCGCTCATCACCGCGCGCTTCACCCGTTTCGAGAGTGAGACGACTGCAAGGTCACCGGTGCCTTCGGTACCGGTCTACTCGATCAATGTCGTGCGAGGCGATGGCGTTGCGCTGCCGTTGCTGCGAAGAATCGACGATGACTTTGTCAACGTCTCTACGCTCGTCCAGAGTGGCGCGCAGTCTCGCGATATCGCCAACCGTCTGCAAACACTGCAGGCGCTAGATGACACGGTTACAATGACGGGCGGTGTCGGCGTCGCGGGTATTTGGGCACCCCTCCAGACGGCAAAGGAGCTGGCGAGACTGCATATCAAGTCAGCTTCTGCTCTGAATGCCTTCTTGGCCGACGACGTCCATCGACTGTTTCCGGAGCCGCTGCCGCAGATGCGCGAGACGCTGCGATCCGCGCGAGTAGAGAAGATGGCCCACGAGCAAACATCAGACCAGCCAAACCCGACGGTTCGGACGAGCAGACGTAGAACTGCCGGGCGAGCCTAAACAACACCACTCGATCGCCTCATAACAGCATGAGCGATGCTCAAACCCGGGATGCGCAACATCCCGCAAGGCAAACAATGAGAAACTAAATCCCCACGAATATGAAAGTATTGCATCCAATACATGACGCTTCCGAGTGCTCCCGTGCCTGCCCGTGTGAACGCTCGCGCAACGTCAGTAAGGTCTGAAGCGTCGGTCTTTGCGCATGGCTTCCACTTTGCTCTTGTCTCGATCGAAGCGATGTCTCAGTGTCTGCAGGCCTGGCCATTGGCGCGTCAGTTGTGTCATCACACGGTGTAGTCAGGAAGTGCTCACTGCTCTTGCGATTGGCATCACGCTCAAAGCGATAGAATCCTGTCGAATTCTCCGTGCGCTTTGGTTTCTTGGCGAGCTCTTGGGGTGGTTCCTTGCCGAGCTGACCTGGCAAGAGACTGATGTCGTAGCGAAGCTTGTCCTGGAATGACTTGCTGGCCACAGCCACGGAAGCCTTGCCGCTCGCATACCCTGATGCCTGGTTCTTGAGTCTCTCCAAGCGCGCCTTTTCGTCCTGCAGTGATGTCTTGCCGGCTTTCTGCTTGGACGAGAAAGGTGGAGCGGCAGTAGGAATGAGATCGGCTGACCGACCGTGTCTGCCTCCTCGTACTACGGTCGTCCAACCGTCGTCGTCTGGTTCGGCTTGCTCGAGCTCCGGATCGACAAACGATTCGGCTTCCGGGGCGGCCTTGGCCGAAGTCGGTCGAGATTCAAAGTGCACCATGTAAGCATCGGTGTGCTTCTTGACGCTCTCGAACGAAGGCCGTAAGAGATGATGAGCGGGTAGTCCCCAGGCTTGCTTTGGTCCGTCAGCGTCAAGATCGGGCCATTGAGGTACGAGCTCAACAGGCTGACCCGTCGAATCGAGAGCAACGGTTGAGGCGAGCTTATGAAAGTCTGCCAGAGCATCACGAGAGGTGAAGATGACGTCTGCCGTTGTGGTGGGCCTGATGCGAGCTCTTTGATCATCGTCAAGTTGGAAAAGAGGAGGTATCGAGGCATCATAGACTTCGTTCAGTACGTTGGGCCAGCCTGAACGAGTGTATCTATCTTGTCCCATGTTGACAGACTTGATGAGCGAAGAGGCGTGTCGAGGTGTCGTGCCGGCCTGCTGCGCGTGAGCCTGGTAGAGCGATTGTAGCGCGCGAGATAGTTCGGTAGGAGTGGAGCAGAGAGGCAAGTTGCAGACGAGCAAGCTGCGACTCCTGACGAGCTTGCCTTCGTCTTGACGGTCATCCTCCGATAGTGTATCCTTCAGGCTCATGGAAGGGCGAATGAAGATCCAATGAGGCGCAGGATCGTCAATCCTGATGGGCTCCTTCGACGTCGTCGGCTCGTCAGAGAGTGCATAGATGGGCGGCATGGCCAGCGAGAAGGGCAGAGGAACGAAGCCTGCTGCTGTGGTCTGCCGCTTCCTCCTCTTGCTGCCAGAATGTGCGACTGACTGGCTCCTCATGGCTGGAATGAGGAGGGTGTCCTCTTCCCCTTCTTCCTCCTCCCCTGGTGCAGGCTCGCTTGCTCTCTGCTTGCCCCGCTTGACCATGCTCGCCTTGCGCTCCTTCTTGCTGGTCGGCAGAGGCGCCATGACGGTCCACTCGCTGGACTCGGGCCGACTTGCTGTTGTCAAGGGGGGAGCGCCAGAATTTTGTCCCTTAGCTGGGCGTCTTGCTATTTATTGAGCTACAGGCGATGACAGGTCAGCTCGAGCGTGCGAATGAAGACATGCAAGTGACTGATGGGCAAGCAGACTATGCCGAGGAGAGGCAACAGGAGCTCGAAGCGCTTCAGTCCATCTTCCCCGACGAACTACAATGCAAGTCATGAATGCCTCATGGTGCTTCCCATGGGAGAGCTGACAGGTTCCCTCAGGCACGAGCGAGAAGGAGCTGAGCATCACCGTCGAAGCTGATGATCTCCCCTCTGGCGAGCCCGAGCTGGCTGTCTCGCTCATCGTCAAGCTAGGCGAAAGATACCCAGATGAGCCGCCAGAGATTGAGCTAGCGGTCCTTCGAGGAGATCTACTCGATAGCGACAGAGCGACACTCATGCACAAGCTAGATGAGGAGGTCCAGCTCAGTCTGGGCATGGCAATGATCTATACACTCCAGACGGCGCTCAAAGAGGCCTTGAACACGCTCGTCATCGATATTGTCAAGCGAAGAGAGCAGGCCGAAGCACAAGAGGCAGCCAGATTGGAGGCTATCGAACTCGCCAGACCCAAGGGGACGCCCGTCACGAAGCAATCTTTCCTCACGTGGCGTTCAAGCTTCGAAACGGAGATGAAGATCAAAGCGCGCAAGGCAGACGAAGAGGCACTCGCCTCACTTCCACTCAAAGAACGAGAAGAAGCCAAGAAGTACCACGCCAAGCTGACGGGCAGACAGCTCTTCGAGCGCCATTCGGATCTCATAACGAGCGACGCCACGCTCATCGATGAAGATGCTGTCGAAGTAGATGCAAGACAGTACGACAGAACAAGAGAATCGCGAGATCTCCAAGAAGCTGACGAGCAAGGCCACCAGCTTGACTTTAGCGACAGCGACTAGTATGGCTCGTCATCTGCGTACACCACCCTCGCGATCGGTACCGACGTTCGAGCCACAAAGGGCGACAGCGGAGCCTGGTTGCCCAGATTGCCAAGCTCGTCCAGTGAAGCTCTCTGCCGATGCCGTCGTCGTCATCAGTCATGTCCTCTACTCGCTCAGGACTGCTTACTTTGGCTAGCGAGGGCTTCTTGAGCAGCTCGCGCTCCCGCACTCGCACTGTTCTGGGCGTCAAGAGATCGGGAGCAGGCTCGTCAGAAACGAGACCCTTGTCCCAACGAACGCGTCCAGCAGGCTTCTTGATGCTTAGTTTCGTTGTGCCGCTTGCACTTCGTTCTGCATTGAGCTTGATCTTGAGCGGTTGCAAAGGCGTCGAGTAGCTTTCCTCATCCCCAGGTGCTAACCTGTGCGACTTTGTCGGGCTTCGAACAGTTGCTTGGGGATCCAATGACGACTGATGTTTGAGTAGACGACTTCCTCGAGTGGCGGCGTTCAGAGCGGGATCGGACGACCGTCTGAGGCGTTCGGACGGACTCGGCGGTCTATTGATGTCCTTATACACTGTAAACGTTTCGAAAGCATTGTAGTGCGCCTTGTTCTGCTCTGTATGTCTCTTCGTGATTGCCAGTAGTTGCGCAGGCGTCAGGCTCGGCTTCTTCTTCGTCTTCTTCCCTCGCAAGACCTTACCGCCTACTTCCTGCCCACTTTCGATCGTGCTCGTTGGACCAGGAGCTTCGCTCTCTGGTGCGCCAGCCTGTCGCGCCTGCAGGCCCGATGGAAGCATGGCGCGCGTGGCTCTCTGAACAGCCCTAGCAGGCGTTCTTCGTCCTTTCGTCAGAGCCGGCGGCTCGATGCAAACATGTTCGCTGGGCGAAGTAGCAACTGTACCAGGTCCGAACAATTTCATAGCGGCCTGCGTATCACGATCAGACTAACCATTCCGCACACGAGTCGAGACGAAGTGACTTACTCGTTCTATTGCGCCCGGAGAATGCACTTTTACTTTGCCTCTGGCGATGGAGGCTGCAGGTGTAACGGTGCTAATCGATGCTAACTCGTTAACGTTTACCCTTTGCTCATGCAGACGTGGCGCTTGCGTAACGCGAGGCAGACGAGAAGTAGATGCAACAGGCACGGGCAAGCGCGATTTTGGGCGCGCTACGACGCTCTGACTGCTAGTCTGGCTCAGGACTGGCTCTTGCAAGCGAGTCTGAACCTCAAACGGGATTGGCATTGCTTTTGGTGCGGGAGAGTCTACAATGTTGGGAACGCTATTTTGCTGTAGCTCTTCGTCAAGTTGTGTCGATGAACCAGCAGGGCAGGCAGTCGCTGCCATCGGCGACCAGGGCAGATCGAGTAGAGAAGGTATCACTGCAGACTGGGTGGGCGAGTCTGACGCTGTCAGCTGGCTTGTTATGTTACTAGGTGACGGAGTGTTGAAGTCAATGAGCGGTACCGCCGCTTCAGGTGACGAGGGTGTGCAGATAGCTTGGGCTAGACAGTCGACCATGCTGATGGCATGCATATCTTTGCACAGCAGGGCTTCTTCCGTCGACTCTGCCTTGACTGTACGTGAAACTGCCGCATCGTTGACAATCGTCTCGCGCCGGCTGTTGTGCAATAGTCTGCGCTTCTCTGGGCTTGCCATCTCGCCAAAGCAAACGCTCGTGTTTGCCGCATCATCACTGATGATGAGCATCTCCTTGCTTGCTCAGCGAGCAGTCTGACTCAACAAGCCTCAGGCAACCCTCGTCGATTTATCAGCTCTGATGATGATCTGAGGATGTGACGCGACGACCCCGTGACGCGTGAAGCTAGGATGCATCTTGGCTCAACAAGCTCGTGTCAGCTTCCATGATGCGAGTGTCCTCCTCACGAGAGAGCAGACGCAAAGCTTCGCTATAGTAGTGGTCCAGACGGTAGTCCTCCATGGTCGAGAGGAGCATATCGTTCTCGGCTTGCAAATCTGCGGCAAGTCGCTCTAGCTGCGGCTCGCCAAGCTCGGTGAAGCGCGCAGCTAGCTGGTCCCTGTCGATAGTAGAGACGGCGTCCGACGGGCTGGCGACGAAGCTGTCATCTAGACCTTGCTCGCGTGCTGACAGAAGACTCTTGAACATGGCCGTGCCCTGCAAGATTTGACTGATCTGGTCGTCCGATAGATCTTGTGTGCTTTGCAATGCTTCCCAACTGTGCCACACCTGATCAGTAACGTTACATAGTCGATTGAGCAAGCGCGAACTCGTCTTTGATGTAAGCGCGTCGCCAGAGCGTCTTGACGAGGCTATCTCGTCGCTGAGGCGGTAAATCCTGTACAAGCCCTTCAGTAACACTCAGAAATGCGGCTGACGCCATACTTTGTCACGAGCGATGATGCCGAGTGCACTGTTGAAATTGCCGGTGTCTGTTGATGCATCCAGCGTCATGATGTCGACAAGCGCCTCAGTACCCAGTACATGCCCCTGCAACAATTTTGTCACATGCGATCGGAAGAGCTGGCCTGCTTGTCAGCCTATGCGTCCCTTTCATTCTTCAGACGTACCTCAAACAGGGCTCCAAGATCGCGATAGGCGGCCGTTTGCTTGTTCGCTATGACTGCTGCCCGATCGTCGACGGGTCGCTGCGATTCCTGCAGACTGAGCAGCTCGCGGTACCTCTCTTGCATTCGACGCTGTGCTTCGATGATATCCAGCTTATCATCGACGACTGCAGCGAGTCTTCAGCCTGAAATGTGCCTCCTGCTTGACATGGTCTTACCCTCTAGCGCTCGTTGACCGGCATCTGAGCTGAGCTCTGCCAGGGAGGACTGCGCAACTTGGGCTAGCTTGCAGATACTCAGCATCACTTTTTCTTCCGCCAACAAAGAGCTGCGCCTCGATTCCTGATAGAGCGTCGTCGACACTTGCGTGTACTGTCCGAGCGAGACATGATGCAACCAAGCCAGCTTAGGGTGAGCTGTGGACGATAAGAAGCGGCTGAGAGACTGAGAATAGCTCGCATCCTGCTCGAGCAGCGCGCGGAAAAGCTCTGCATATGACCGTCAGGCACGCATCTGCACGCCGGATGCAGGGGCTTACTTTGCTGGATGTAGTACTGATAGAGCTCGAAGGCAAAGTCATCCTTGTAGACCGACATATACTCCTTTATTCGCTGCTGATTGCCCGTTGCCGCGCTCGTTGATAGCTCGACGAGAGATCGATAATCCTTGCTACGCTCGGCAAGAGCATAAGCAGGCTCAATAAGATCGTGTAGCACTGCTCGCAACTAGGTCAGCATGCTATCACACTTGGTAGCAGGCGACTTTACCGAGGCCATGTACTACGCGTTGTCGCAACTGCAAGTAGCGTTCGCGAGTCGCACGCAGCTCTGAGCTATGCCGGCTATCGGTCTTGAGCCAGATGAGGCGCTCTTCGTACACGCTGAGTACGTAGTCACCCAGATCAGTAAGTGCCTTGCAGAGTCCGAGCTGCAGTGTGGACAGGTCGTCCTGAGCATCCGAGACGTCGAGTCCCCGCATGCCGTACTGCGTACGATTGGAGCCGGCTTGCTTGAGTTCTTTGTCGAGCAGGCGTAAGAGCTCTTCCGTCAGCTCGAAGAGTTTGACGAGGCTCGCAAGCAACGCCGGACTACTCAACCAAGGCTCTATGGTGATCGATGAGGCGGGCGTCAGTTGAAAGACCTTTACAGTATCTTTACGATGCTTCGCTGCAGTGCGATAGATTGCCGAGAAAATGGCGTTGGCGTCGGTCTGCAGTTGGCATTGCCGGGTGAGGCTGTGAGTCTCCGTGCGTGCCGCCATGTCTGCAACATGCTCGGCAACGGCCCCGAGACCATCTATCTTTGTGCGAAAGAAGAGGCGAATAGCGTCTTCACCCGCGCCAAGTCTCGCATCGTGCATAAACGACAGCACTGCTTCTGTCAGCATGGTGACATCGGCCGAATTTGTACGACCCGAATTGAAGTGCTGCCAAAGAGCAGCGCCAGCTGCTAGGCGTTCGGCATCATTCGAGAGCAGGACGCGATCGTTGAGCGTGAGACGGGTGACGAGATGGTTGCGCAAAAGCTCCTCGATGAGCGCGCGATGCTTTGCTTGTCTGTCGCCTATTTGCACGCGGACATCGAGGATGGGCCGCAAGAAGGGTGAAGAGGAGTCTACGATCTCTCTGCTGATCGTACTGACAGCGGTCGAAAGATCGCCCGGCACGTCAATGGGCAATCCGAACGCTAGTGGATTGCTTTCACGCTCGCCATAGAATACAGCCTGGCGCAACCGCTTGACAATGTAGCCGGTCGCCTTGGATTCTCGTTCGACATCTACAGCGAGGGCTTGTCCCTCCATGACGGCAGGCGTACTTTCAATGAGGACGATGCCGTTGCGAGCGATCATGACGGCAGTGGCTGCTACGCCGCTCTTGCGCTGACTTGACGAGTGAGCGTCGACTGCGATGAACAGGTTGTCTACAGGATCTTTGAGGTCAAGGGTCTCGACAAAGTCTGAGCCCACGGCGAGCGAGAGTATGCTGACAGATGAGGGTAAGACGAGACATGCTGCATCGGCCGTCGAGCTCGTGACAAGACGCGGACGAGTATGCGGGCGCTCGACATCGGAAGGTAAGCCATCAAAAGTACGTACGAAAGTAACAGAGACTGTCTGAGTCGACGGCTGATACTCGAAGATTCCGACTGAGTATATTGGTGCGGCGTTCTGTGTCCTGTTGCCTTGCCGGCTGAAGAGTACCGCGAGGGATGATTGATTTGTCATGGCAATATCAAGCAGGCGCAACTGAGTTGATAAAGATGAATGATCTGAAGCAACACTTTGCTGCTCGAGATGCTCGCAGAGGTCGACTTCAGTCACAAATTGCTCGTTACCGTTGTAGCCTAGCTGCCAGATCTGCAGACCGCGTTCGGTCAGCGCAAAGAGTGTGCGGTGATCTTGTTGGCCAGATGAGATCGAGGTATCGAGCGCGACAGCGGTGATGCCGCCTTCACCCGCTTGAGAAGCAGGTGTGCGAGACCAGTATCGAGCAAGCAAGCCGCGGCCACTTGCAAACTCTGAGGCTTCGATCGTCGCTCTCCCGTTGCGTGATGCCAAATCCAATCGGAAGAGGCGGCCTTGAGAAGTAGCAACAACGTATAGATCAGGTCTGATCCTCCTCAATACTTGCACGTGCTCGTTCGCGCTCTGCCTGATGGACAGCTGCGTGCTTTGGGAGCGGTCCAGGTTGCCCATGGCCATACTGACTGACGTCCAGAAGGCAACAGCGCCGTTGGATGTGACGAGCAACAAGCCAGGCTCTTGCTCTGAAGGGTTTGCACCTCGTGGTACTAGTTCGGCTTGCGCGAGCGGCACGAGCATTTCTTTGAGCGCGTCTCGAGATTCTGTCTGCGGCTGAGGAAAGACATAGCAGGTCGGCAGGAGGTTATAGTCACGCTGCGAAGCCACAGTCAGACATGGCAAGATGGCGAATAAGCATAGCTCACTTGTGCGTAGTGCCACACAAAGACGTAGTCTCGCGAGAGCAGATAGGCATAGCCCGTCACGTCGTCCACTTTGCCACGAAAGCCCTCGAGCTGTAGATCTGCCGGGGCGAGAACTTGCTGGACTTCCCGCGGAAACTGACTGTACAAGTATGCGCTGTATGCCTCATCTTTGACAAGTGTCCTCTCGTCTGACTCTTGCAACGCTCTCGCAGATGGTCCAGCGCGGGCAGTTGATGGCGCCTCAGAGAACACAGAAGGCGCTTTGCGGCTTGTGCTCGGTGCGACACTGCCCACTCGTCGAGACGTACGGCTACTGCGATTGTACCTTGCGCTGCTGGCGCTGAGAGCAGATACATCCTGGCTGAATTCTGGGGGATAGCTGGGGCTCCTCTCCTGTGATGCTGCAGGCGTTGTTCCTCTCGAATGGGCCGCCGCTGAGCTTGCACGACTGGCAGCCCTCCTGTGTGAAGACGCGTATCGCCGCGAATCATTAGCGCCAGCCTGTCCAGTGAACATGCCGTCCAGTGAGCGAGCCAATCTCGGCGTGTGTGTGCGCGCAAGATGCACGCGGTATCTATTGACGCGTATTCCGCACCCGCTTGCGACGTCGATTGACATCGATCCAATGCTGAATTAGCAGCGGTCCAGATGGTGGGTCACACTCAGAATAACTCGGCTAAGCTTACGATACAACGCAGAGTGACGACGAAGACTTTCATGACTATCGCTCGGACGACGATGTCGAGTACATCGACGATGACGACGATGATATGGGCTACTTACCCATCGAGCCTGCCCGACGACCCGCCAACAATCCGCCCCCTGTACCTCCGCCGCAAGCACCTCAACCTCCGCCGCATCGTCGAACGAACATGTTCGGCGGGATGAGAGAGGACGATTACGCTCGCGTAGCAGGACAAGGTCTTGACCCTTTTGCCGCTTTTCAAGGGATGGGCGGTCCTATGGGCAGAGGCATGGCCGCAGGAGGCTTTGGGAGAGTGTTAGGAGGCATGATGGGTGCAGGCGGGGGTCATGGAATGGGCTACCAAGCTAGCGCTGCGGCATTTCGGCAGAACTATAGAGCTTACTCGACTGCTGTCTTTGAGATCCGCGAGGGTCGGGCGGATGGTACCGGGGTTCATGGGCAAGGAAGGGCGAACCTCATGTACGGCGGCAAGAGTGAGTGACTCACTGCTGTCATTGCAAGTATAGCCGCTGACGCAGATGCGGATAGTCCTAATGCCACCGGAAGCGCTTCAAATGCTCAGTCAGTCATGTAATTCACTGACGCAATCGTGCTCATCAGCTACTGTCTGACAGCTGATCTCGATCTGGAATCGCCCTGGAATTTCGAGATCATCAACGCACGTCATCAGGACTTGTCCACCCATGGCGGCGTGCTCGAATTCATTGCTGGACCGGGCACAGTCCACTTGCCAGGCTGGGCACGTCCTCTCGCCAGGTGACGTCGTGTCAGTGGGCTGATGATCGTGCAGATGATGACCAAGCTTCAGCTGAACGAAGGCGATCAGGTACGGATCAATGGCGCTAAACTGCCGAAAGGCAAGTTCATCAAAGTGCAAGCTCAATCAGTCCTCTTTCTCGAACTCAGCGATCACAAGGCGGTACTCGAACAAGCGCTTCGCAATTATGCCACCCTCACAGCTGGCGATATCATTGAAATTGGCTACAATGGCATGACCTTTGAGATACTGATCATGGAGACCAAGCCGGAAGGCGCCATCAGTGTTTTCGAGACCGATATAGAGGTGTGCAATACAGTCGCCTCGCTCTGACTTCTTTACTCAAAGGATGCGCGCTAGGTGGATTTTGCTGCACCCAAGGGATATGTCGAGCCAGAGCGCAAGCCAGCTCCGCCTGCACCCACAATGGCTTCCAAGCTCGGCATCGACATTTCGGCAACGCAAGATGTAGATGCAAAGGGTCAAGCGACAAACGGGAGCAGCTCAGCAGCGCAGGCCGCCTTCAATAGCTTCGTCGGCAGTGGCAACACGCTTGCTGGTAAACGTGTCAAAGGTAAAGGCACGTCGACAAAGAAGGTCCAAGAGGTCGACCCGACCAGTCGAATAGTTCGAACAGAGTAGGTCATCTGCCTACCGTGCCAATGCCAATGCTGATGGACACGGGTCCAATCAGCCAGCCGCGTATTGTCACAGCAGATACGCAGATTGGCGGCCGTCGTGTGCCTGCGCGGCTTGACCTGCCTTATGGCACGCTCTTCTTCGGCTGGCACGTTATTGCACCCGACGCACCAAAGGAAGAGACCGACATGGCCGATGCACTTCAGCAACCCTCGACGACAGTTCCCTTTGCAGGCATGGGCCAAGGTGTCACTCTGAGCGGACGACCGTCTGCCAATACCTCTGCGGCGCCTTCGCCTGGCCCTTCGCCTGCACCACCACCTACCTCGAGCGTTTTCGCTGGATCCGGCAACACACTCAGCGGTCGTAGCTCACGAGCCGCGAATCATGAGGTCATAGAGATCGACTGACAGCAGACCGCTCTTCGATTGCGTCTGTGCTCTGTTGTACATGTCTGCAAGCTGTGACGTAGCTCGAGACCCGTCGCGTCGCCACTCTCATGTGGTGTCGTTCGCTCTGACAGTGCGGACACGATGACTGCGATCCAGGCTGCCGGTGACATACTTGCGAGCTGTCTGCTCACTCTGCAATACTGCCTTACCGGTCTTTTCGCTCTGCTGATCAGCAAGCCGACCGAAGTCCGCTCCAATCCAGGAATAGGCCAAGCACAAGCTTCAAGCCGACAGCAGCAAGCATTCTTGTCTGAACTCAAACGAGCCTATCCGCCAGACATCTTCCCAGGCGGACGCTATGTCAGGCTGCCAGCCGGTCAGATCAGGTTATGGGAATTCGGCCAACAAGAGGCTACAAAGCGAATCGTCTTTGTGCACGGGCTGAGCATTCCCAGCATCATCTTTGAGAGCGTAGCCAAAGCGCTCTGCAAGCAAGGCTATCGGGTTGCCCTGTACGATCAGTACGGCAGAGGCTACTCGTCTGCACCTCAGAATGTGGCGTACGATTCTGTACTTTACGTCAATCAGCTGCTTGGCGTCCTTGATGCGCTAGGCTGGTCGAGCGCACATCTTGTCGGGCTGAGTATGGGCGGGCCCATCTCGGCTCGGTTCGCCAGCCTGTTTCCTCACCGAGTGGAGTCGGTCACGCTCCTTGCACCCGCAGGCATGCAAGACCGCAAGCCGTCGAGAGCGATAGGCATCAAGCTTGTGCCTTACATCGAGAAATCTGTCACGACACCGATAGCAAGAGTGTGTGGTTCATGACGCCAGAAGGCAAACCGCTCACGGTCATGCAGGCATTGTTTCGGTCCATGATACCTGTGCGAGCTCCGAGCAAGACGAAGCTCGATCGTTTGCTTCACGTGGCCCGTCTCCAAGCTGCTGTCCTGCCCGGCTTTCAGCTGGCCATTCTACGAACGCTTCACCAAGGTCCGCTCTTTGGCTTCGAGAGTGCATATTACGACCTTGGTAAAGTTGGCATGCCCGTCCTTGTTATATGGGTATGCCGCACCTGCACAAGAGCTCGCCAGAGCTTACGTGGGAGATACGCAGGGCACGGCAGACAGTATCGTACCTTATGCAGCCTCAAGCAGTGTCATGCGTGCATTGGGCCCCAAGGCCACTCTGCTCACCTTGGACGGCGCGGGTCACGATCTGCCTCACACGACGGACGAAGAAGTCACAAAAGCATTGCTGGCATTCATAAGCTGAACAACATCTGCCGTATCAAGCACGTGTACGGATATGTATGCGATAAGGCTTCGGCTGATGTGCCGAGTTGGGAATCTCGATAAGGAGAGAATCGATGGTGAATTCATTTGTATCGGTACGCTTGTGCAGGGTCACCGTCGCATCGGCGCTGTTGAATTGGCCCAAGACCGGCTTCGGCGGGGGCACGAGTCTCGGCAGGGCAGGCGCAGCAGCGGGCAGGATGGCACCAAGCCAGGATCGCCACCAAGACTGACGCTCGCCCTTGCTCTCTGGCTCCATCTCGGGCTCGATAACCTCCACGCGTCCACTTGATGGCTCGACAATGAGTGGCCGCGTGACTTTGCGTTTGAGAGTCTCCATCCAACCAAGCGACTGGTCACGCGGGTCGACGCCTTGCGCGACGATTTGGAACCGTACCGTCATTGTTTCTGCTCCTGTTTGGGGATCTGTAGTGACCGCACTGACGACACGACGATTTCTGTGTCCTGCTCCTTCACCTTGAAGGATATATGGCGCGCGCAAGATCGAATTGAGCTCTCTGTCATCTTTGATCAAGTCGACACATCGCGCGACGATGCGTGTGGGCGAATTGGTAGCGAACAATTCTGTGCTGAGCGAGAAGATGACAAGTGTCGTCAAGCCAGCGCCAAAGAGGATGACGACCAGACTCGCGCTACGCTCGCCTAAGCGACCCACTACACTCCATGACGTGGTCAGCTCGTCGCAGACGAAAAAGATGTGGGTTCATCAACTTGCATTTCTCGCCTATACCTAGCTCCGTCCATGACCTCCTCTCAGACGCATTGAGTGGCCGTGCAGTATCTGGTCTGGGCGGCATGGGAAAAGGTCCCGCTCGGCTACCGGTCTCGGCTGACCGCCTGAGCTGTTCGCGTTCGACATCGTCAAGCACGTTGCTCGAGGTCTGACCGGAAGCGCCAGTGTTGAAGCTCGCACTTCGCCGTTGGGCTAGCGAGATGAGTGGCTCGCCGCAGACGCAGCGACTGAGCCTGAACATCGTCAAACTGTGGAGCAGCGAGGGGAAGGTGAAGCCGTGGAGCGCGCGTCGTCGTCGTTGCTTCTAGGGAGCACGTCGATCGAGCTCGCACACTCTCAACGCTTGTCAGCATCGCCGCATCGATAGCCATCCGACGCAGGCATGCGCACTGTCATCATTGGCGGCGGGCCCAGTGGCATCGTAACGCTCAAGACGCTCCTCTCAAGTGCTGCGATCTCTGGCGCAGAGCATACCCAAGTCGAAGCGATCTTGCTCGAGGCAGAAGATCAGCTCGGCGGTACATTCCGCTACAGAGGCTATGAGAACGCCGAGCTCGTCAGCTCCCGTCAGCTCACCGCCTTTTCGGATTTCAGGATCCCGAGAAGCGATGTCGGGCCAGGCGATCACGTCTCACTACCGGCGTATATCGACTACTTGGAGCGGTACAGTGACCACTTTGAGCTGCGTGCGAAGCGCGAGATCCAGTGGGACGGCCAGCCTGGACGGATACGGACAGGCTGCAAGGTAGTCAGACTCGAACGGACAGGATCTGGCCATCGCGTTACCTATGTCAAGCGAAAGCAGCAAGGCAACTTGCACGACGACGCTGGGAAGCTATGGGAAGCACAAGAACACACACTCGAATGTGATGCGCTCGCAGTCTGCTCAGGCCTACATGTCACCCCCTCCATACCGGTCATACCTGGCATAGAGCACGTCAAAGGCGAAAAACTCCACTCATCGCAATACAAGGCACGCTCGCAGCTGGCAGGCAAGAAAGTCCTCATACTCGGTGTCGGTGAGACAGCGATGGACATCGGCTACGAGTCCATCAGGGCAGGCGCAGAGTCTGCAGTCATGTGCACTCGTTCGGGCTTCCTGAGCTTCCCCAAGGTGCTTAATGACTTTGAGGTCTTTGGTTCTACGTTCGATGGCCAGCTGCCTATCGATGGACTCATCACCAATCTCATGGAGACCGCATACGTCCATCCCTGGGTCAAGGCGACTCATCTGCGGTGGCACTTTAGCGATATGATCATCAAGCGCGTTCTCTTCGTCCTGACGGGCACACAAGCCGGTTGCGCCCAATGGGCCGGCTCACTCCCGCCAGATCGTCTGGGACGAGCCTACGTCAACCTCAACAAGAGCAGCAAAGCCATGCCGTATCTCATGCGGCCTTTCAAGCCAGCAAAGCGGCGAATGGACGCTATAGCCCGCTACATCGATCCACCCGAAGCTGCTCAGTCTGACAAGATCATCGATCTTGCACCCTGGCCAGATCACATCCAGGAGGACGGCCGCGTCATCTTTGGCAACTCGCGCGATGGTTATCCAGAGGCAAAGCGGATGAAAGATCCAACTCGCATAGTCAAGCCTGACCTCGTCATCTATGCTACTGGCTACACGCAAGAATGGGCATGGGCAGGTGACTATGCACGCCCTCAGGATACCGCGATCGATGTGATGGACTGCTTCGCCTCTAGCGATCCCACCTGTGCTTTCATCGGGCTCGTCAGGCCCGGCGTTGGCGCAATTCCACCCATTGCAGAAGTACAAGCCATGATGTGGGCGGCAGTGCTTCAAGGCGTAGCCCGGCCAAAGCCCACCTCACCTCACTATCGACTTATCGCAAAGAAAGGAGCAAGGATCCAGTATGGCGTCGATTACTCATCCTACATGCACGGCTGCGCAGACGTCATGGGAGCAGCGCCTTCGCTCTGGCCTCTTCTCTGCGAGCATGGCCTCCAAGTCTTCTTCATCTATTGCTTCGGCGCAGCCTTTGTCTCATTCTACCGACTCACCGGGCCGTTCAAGTCAGACAGAGCACCTATTGTAGCCAAGGACGAGTTATACGAGACCATACAGCGCCGAGGTCTGTTGGGCAATGCCTTTATGGGCCTCATACCCATGGTCTGATTTGCTCATCCCATCAATACTACTCAGCTGATTTTCAAGCAGATCTTTTACGCATTCGTCAACCTGTCTGCGCTCATTCTAGAAACCCTCTGGCTCTCCTTCTCGACGCCCATTCGCATATGCATGCCACGTTCCACGCTGCAGAAGCTACACGCAGCATGACAAATCTGTCTGTTGACGCGCAATCAATGCATGTATGTTTGCCTATGCGGGTGTCGTGACTATTCTCTTGAAGCCGCTGGCAGGGCTGTTGCCTCCGGTAACTGTCGTACCATCGGTCATGCCTCCCACGATGCCTCCAAAGGCGCCGTCTAGCGTGCTGTCAGGCGTTCCTAGCTCAGTAAAAGCTGAAGATCAGAGTGTACTGGCTTACCCCGAAACAGTGCCCGCAATCTGCGTTAACGGATTGAATGGGTCAGCGGCGACCAGGCCGGCTGTAGCAAGCATGGCAAGAGCAAGTAGCTTGGCGAACATTTACTTCGATCACTGGTTGCGTGTTACACAGAGATCTTGGGCGTTTATGTACTGATGCGCTCGGACCACTTGGGGAGGCATTACCCCACGAGCTTGGTCCGTGTGAACGCTGTCTTGACATCAGAGGCGCTAAAATCGAGCGTGACGCCGGCGTTCGCATAACATAATTCGATGAGCCGCTGCCAGTTGCCGATCAGATCGGTGATCTCGATTTCGCACGCATCCCAGACCGCCTTCATCAATTGCGGTGAATCTGCTTCGATGAAATGCTTTTCGACGCGCTTGCCAAGTGCTTCGATGGCCTTGCGAAGATCTTTGCTAGACAATGTGCTCACTGCGCGCTTGAGAGCAGCCTTCGAGTGAGCCGGGTTTACGCTGACTTCTGAAGGCGGCGTGACTTTAAGAAGCGATTCGAGACCATTGAAGAAATCGAGCAGCTTGGCAAGCGGACGACGTAGGACCAGTCTGACATACGATGAGAGATTTTCATTGTAAAGGCCGAGTGCTTGCTTCAAGAAGGGTTTCATCGCCGTTACGTTACTCGCTTGGGCGTTGGAGGTGAACTGGTGCATATTTTCTGTAAGGCTAAATCGGTCAGCGGCTCTGGGCGATGCTGACTCTTAACGAACCAATCAGGACGACATGATAGTTGAGCTGGCCTTTGTCTTCAGCGTTGCCAACGTCGACGACGAGCTTCGCCATCTGCTGCAGGCTCTCAAACATTGCCTTGACGAGTAGGGTGTAGACCTCGTCGACCTTTGCACGCACGCTCGGGCTAGATGTGACCGTTAGCTGCGCCTCGACGCGTTCGACGAAGCTCGAGAACACAAAGATGAACGGCGCCACGCCCTTGCGCTTCTTCGTCGTGAGCTTGGTGAGCTCGATCGCCTTCTTCTGCTCGTCGATGAATTTGTCCAAAAGCGCATAGCATCGGAAAGACTGCTTTTCGAGCATGCGAATAAGAAAGCCGTTTTGACTTTGCTGCGCGTTAAGTAGGCCTAGATCTAGGGCGGCCACGATGCCAAAGATCTGCAGGCTGTCCAGCTGCAAAGCGTGATCGATAAGCTCCTTGATGTTGCCGCTTAGAAAGCCAAAGATGAGATCTGTAGCCGAGTCGATGTCTTTGAACCGCGAGGCGTTGGCTGCCAGATGAGCTGAGGCACCACGGCGGAAGAAGACTTCTAGATCCATGTAGTCTGCGAACGTGATGTACTGATCGATGCTTTGTATGTGGAGTAGCTCAGATACGAACACAGATTCACGATGAACGTGGGGTCCTATCTCGTCAAGGGCGAGAGCGATCGCCTCGCTGCCTGGCAAGCCACCATCGAGGCGGGGTGGTGGTCGCGCAGGCCGCTTGACAGTATTGGCGCGGACTGCAGAAGCACTGTTTGGGTTTGTGAAAATTGCCTCTTGTTCTTCTTGCGTTGCCTTGCGTATGGCAGCCCGCATGACATTGGCGTAATCAGCGATCTCTTTGCGCTGGAGTTCGCTGACAGCAGTGAAGTAAGAAGCACATATTTGAGAATAACGCTGATCGTCAATCTCCTTGACAAAGAGCATCAAGCCGCAGTAGCGACCCAGGTAAGCCTCCAGCTGGGTGTGCGGCAGAAGCTTCGGATTGGCCTTCGTGATCGCTCGGGTTTTGTCGTTCAAAGTCGTGTCCGCCTGGAACTTAAACATGACAGTCAGGAAGTCAAAGATGCGTTTGCTGAAGATAGAGCTCGATTGACGGTGCTGAGCCACATGCTCGTTTGCGGCTGCCATGTCACCTACGGTTGTATCGCGAGTTGACAAAATGGCCTTGTACAGATTAACAGCAGCAGCTTCGAGCTTAGCGATGCCTTCGCTGCTTTCGAGCGAGGTTTGCGCAAGCGCGATGAGGTCATCCGCGGGGACGTTGATAGTATCGAGCAATTGCTCGAGTTCGAGCAATAGGGCGCGTTGGTTAGACGTCTGTACTTGCAGGCCTTTGTTATGTGATTCGATATGCTCGATGTCGTCTGACATGGCGTTCAGCTGGGTTTTGTGCATCGAGAAGACCTTGTCCATCTTGTCGAGTTCCGCTAGAGCCTCATCGATGTGCTTCAAGACGAAATCGACGCGGTCGTCCGACTCTATGATAGCATGAATGCTCGCAGCTTCGAGTGCTTGTAGCTCGCCGACCAGCTGAGCTTCAATCTGGTCTGCTGCACCCCTGCCTTTACCGCCTGATCGCCATTCGAACCCTTCGAGCATCTCTTCGACATTGGTCAATGTGGGATCATCGCTCCCGCTCGCTTGTGCAGGAGGCTGCGGGCTAATTGGCCGAGGCGAAGGCGACCGCGCATTGCCATTGACTGCTGGCAAGGCGGGTAGCTTAGCGTTACGAGCATGGGGACTCAGCATAGCTTGAGGGGCATGGGGCGAGACGGGCTGTTGGCCCCGTCTCTCGCTTCGAGAGGGCAAGACGGGCGAGGTGGGCGCATCGCGTGGCTTAGCAGGCATAGCTTGCTCACGTCTGACAGGCTCGCGAGCATGCGGTGGTAAGCTCGGGGTGGGCGGAATAGCTGGCGAAGCTGTTCTGGTCGCTTGGGCTGCATTGTTTGAATGGATGGAGGCGAGTGAGCCTGAACGGTCCAGCCGCCTTCTGCCATCGTCTCGCTCGTTCGGCTGTTTATCTCTGGGCGAAGGCGACACGGTCGGACGGGAGGCAGACGGTCTGCGCCCCTCTGGCGGCGTGCGCGCAGGTATAGATCGTCCAGTAGAAGCAACTGATTCTCGCCTCGGCATGGGCTCGATAGGGGCATTGTAACCTTCTGGCGTGCGAGCGGCACGCGGATCTTGTCGAACGGGGTAGCCATCTGGCGTACGCACGGTTGGCGGAGCGATTGAGGTCGCGATGCCGCCACTCCTCGCGTTCAAGTCACCTTGGGGGATGCCGGAGAGTTGTAGCGGACGCGTGCCACCTGTCGCCTGACGATGGAGCTGTATCAGCGAAGTAAGGAACTCGCGCTGATCCTGCTTCTGCTCTGTTTGCCATAGATAAGTCTTGCCGTGAAGCGTAATGAGGAATGCACTCGGCTGGGTACAAAGGCCGTATTAGCTTTGGCCCGGCGTCACAGATGCCACATACCTCTGTGACTTGTATTGCGGTCAGGTCTTCTATCGGCCATGTCTTGCCTATCGAGAACGTGCCATTGGCGTTGCGCTTGCTCTTGTATACCACAGTATGGCGGTCGGGAAGCGCTGCATTGGCGCCAACACATCAGCGCGCTCGGTGCTCAACACGCAGGGGCTATACCTGTGAGGAGTACGTAGCGAGGCTTTTTGCTTTCGCCCGGGGCAGCGCCAGGCACATCCTCCCAGGTCTTGAGGTGGTGTACAAGTTGACCTTTGTCGGCTGTTCGTGCATGATCAGCATCGTTCGAGCGCGAGGGAGCGAGACGCCTGACGAGTGGTGTAGAGAGAGGCGAGAATCTGCTGCCGTACGATCTCTCGGGGGGACGCCATGGCTAGCGCATCGCCTCAAGCGTCGTCACGACCGCAAGTCGCGGACACGATCAATGTCAACTGGGCACGCGACCAATGTGAAGCTCAGGCTGCTGTAGGATCGATGTCTGAGCAGTCATGAAGAAACAAGTCGTGTATGGCAAGAGGCCTGCTCGTCGTACGATCGAGCCAGTCCTCGCATCCCCTTTCAAGCCTGCAAGAACCGACGTAAAGCAGCTCCTCAATGTGTCTCACCTCGACGAGCCAGGCTCGGACTTCACGAGCTCGAATGAGTTCAACAGCGAGCGAGAGAACGTGATCTCACCCGTCGCACATCTAGGAAGGCGTACAAGGCCCCAAAGCAGCGTTCATAACAGCGTCACAGCTACTGAAGCCCCAAAACAAGTCAAGCGGCCGCGCAAACCTCGTGCGTCTGCGCCCGGCTGCATCTCGCCTGTCAAGACGAACCTCACGATCGATCCTCTTCCTCGTATGCATGCTTCTAAAACGTGTTCACCACCAGAATCACAGCAAAAGCCGCGCAAAGCAAAGCGGAGGCGACTAGATGCTGATCAAGATATGCTTGCCGCCGAATCCGCAGCACTACTAGCCAGCTCTGCAGCGTTCCAAGATACTGTCACTTCTCCTAAACTGCTGAATCGTGCTCGACCAGGTCGGCTGCGAACAATGGCGCGCACCGTCTCGGCGCCGCAGTTGACCTTGTCTGCTGCTTCATCAGGTAGTCGGCCAGCGCGGTCATTCCAGCGCACGCAATCAATTGCCACAGTAGCATCAGATGTCACTCTCGTCGCGGAAGCATATGACGAGGTAGCAGAGCGTGTCGAGCGAAAACGCAAGAACGGACAGGTACTCGACTTGCCTGCGACAGCAGCAAGCTCAAGCCAGACTCTGTTGCCCGACACCAGTCAGGCGAGCCGACCGGATACAGGCCAGTCAATGCCCTCCGAATCGTGGAATCTGAACAGATTTGACGACATCGTTTGGGTCGCTCTGTGCGCTCGCTCGAAGGAAAGCACGACTCAAACGTTCTGGTGGCCTGCAGAGGCATGCCATCCCCGATCTGTATGGAGAATCAGAGCTAACCTTCATGGCCTTGCAGTTCGTCAACCCAGTCAGATCGGCAAGGCCTTTGCGCCTGCGGTTGATTCACTTGCAAGCAGAGCCTGATCTTCGTCTGTAAGCAGCCGTCAGATTGCTCGAGAGCTCAGCTGAGCCAAGTAGGAAACGCAAAGACCATCGCTGGTGACGATAGCAGAGCCATCAAGCTCGAATGTGCGTTCCTTCCGCACGCCGTTCGGTCCGCGCTTCTCCACTAGCACGTATGTCGACAAAGTCTCAAATACCGTCTGTGCGCTACAAGAGGCAACGAGATTACCATCTGAGCTCGCTTTCGCCCAGGCACTCAGTGCGGCACTTGACAGAGATTCCGTTCTAAACGACGACTTGCCGGATCCCGACTTTGCCCTAACGCAGGCAGCGGCTGCGCCCCGATCGCCAAGGCGGTCATCATTGCCTCCTACAGCGCGTCTCGGCTCGAACAATGATCTTCCTGATGCAGAGCAGGAGCCCCGTCTGATATTGAAACATGATCGAGGACCGGATGACGAGCTAAGAATACCGGGGGAGGCGGTATACTGTCGATGGAACAAGCACGTGTCCACGTGCTGGCCTGCTCGGGTTATAAGCTATCACCCTGCACCTAGCCAATTGCTGCAAGTCGAACAACCCACACCTCAAGGTACCTATGCGCTTCAGAGCCTCGACGGCAAAGTCGCTCGGTTTCGTAGAGATCAGTTCTACACAATTTATGACGATGGCTTCTTGACCTGCGAAGTCGGGCAATACAGGCCCGAATTGCAGCCTATCGATTGGCGGGAGGAAATCGCCCATTTCGCAGCTCAGCTCCGAGATATTGTCCGCGGCGCTTATGCACCAACAAGACCAGATCACGATCGCTTTCTTAATTTGGGTCACGTTGCGCGCCAACGGATGGCAGAAGACCAACCGACTGGCAAGTATGCGCCCAAGCAGATCGATCAGATGAGACTGGAATTGCGCAAGTGGCTCTCAGACGGATCTGTCGATCCGACTTTCGGATGCGAGAGATTTCGTTCACTCAATGAAGGTGAACGCGACGACTACATCGACGCTGTCTTCCGACCAGCCTTTGTGCGCATACTGCTCATTGAGACGGACAAGCTTGAAGAGAGAGCCAGAGAGGAATTAGGAAACAATGCAAGCTTAGACGAAATCAGGATAGCAGCACACGAGCAAGCGCGTGCCCAACTGGAAGACGACTTCTGGTCTGACGAGCTCATGTCGACTCGCGAGCAGCTTCTCATGATGCGCCACACGATTCGAGCACATTGATCTGCACAGACGCCAACAACAAGATCATCACAAAGAGTATCAAGCTTGAGGAGCTTTCTGTACCCTGGCACGAGTACGGACGAATCTGTTCCAGGCTTCGCGCCATCCAGCCACATCGACGTCTTCGCCTTTGGGCTGCACACCCTCTTTTGCCCGAGGAGACCTTCCGGCTGCAAAGTCCATGGCAGTCTCGTAGAATTGCATGGCTGTCCTGTCGCCGCCACACCAGCTCTTCGCCTTCAAAGCAGCGCGTTTCTTCGCGGAGAGCTGCCTGTTCCTCGGCGTGTCGCCACATCCTTGTTCATGTATGATACCGCCCAGATTGGCTGCCATCGTACCGACGAGCCGCGCATCCCTGAGAATATCAGTAGCAGGCTGCTGCAAGCGCTGGAACATAAACTGCTCTGTGCTGCTTGCAATTGTCTTTGTAAATCGGGTAAAGGCTTTCGGAATTGCTGTAAGATCGGTGAGAGCCGATAGTGCCTGATTTGTGGCTTTGCAAGCGTCTACGCTGGATCGGAGGAGATTGAGCGATGCTGTTTCTGCCTGGCCCTGCGCTCGCAAGATTTCGGCAGCATAAGTCGCAAAGAGTGCTTGTCGGGTATCGAGCCAATTCATATGCAATCGTCTCACAAGGGCGGCCGCTGTACTTTGAGGTTGTCCTGCACCCGGTGGTGGCGATCGCAAGGCGTCGATGAGCTTCATTGAGACCAGATCGAGCTCGAGTGCCTCGTGCAAATTACCCGACTTGGCTTCTGCGGTCGATAGTGCTTGTACGGATAGAAGCAGCGCTCGGGCGAGAGATGGGACGAAGCTCTGGTCGCCCTGACGCATGGGCGAGAGAGCGAGCGGGTCTAGAGCGAGACGACCAAGCTCTAGAAGGAGCTGTGAAGGCTTGCGATCCTCCTGATGAGGCGCAGTAACGGGGCTAGAGAGACCGATCCTGTGCCACCAGCTATCGTTCGTCGCGTCGCGTACGGCAGGCGGAGCAATCGCGACAGCCTCGCGGCGGATGTCATCGCGGTCGTGATCGAGCACGAGACCCTCTGCGACGGACCAAGCGAGCAAGTGTCGGGCTCGCTCGATCTCCCGCTGCTGTAGCGATCCCTTCTTGAGAGTTTCCTCAGCCAGGCGAAGGGTGACCTGACCGAGCTTTCTCGAAGCGCGGACTAGCTCGCGATGTCGCCACTGAGGTCCGCGAGAGGCCCAGCTGTACCTGGGCAGTACAACGGGTGAAGGATCAGGATTGTTGGCCTTGAGGGCTTCGTATATCCTCTCTCGCCCATTGCGAGCCTCTCGGAGGCCTTTGTATCCGCCCATGCGTTCCCGGACGTCGGCCAGACGCTCCTCAAGCTCTAGTATGGCCTGGTCTGACGAGTCAAGGGAGATACCCTTCAATTCTGCCGCACCGATAGCAGCGACAAGGTAAGCCTCGGCAAGCGCATAGCCTCGGTCGGCTACATAGATCGCAGGTACTTTAGCAGTCTGACCGGCAGCCTGAGCTTGTTCGAGATCGATGAGAGCTGCGCCCGGCGTGCGGGGGCCAATATTGGCGTCCGTAAACGGTCCAGGGGCAGTCGAGGCAATCGTCGAGATTGGGCCTCCGTCCCATTTGAGGGATATCCAAGCTCCTCGAATGCATGCTTTGACTTTCCAAGGCAGCCGAGGGTCAGTGCCTCCACCTAGGTAGCCGCCTGACCAAGCTGAAGGAGAATCTTCTTCAAATCCGTAGAGCTGCTCTGCATCGCTCCTTGCGCGTTGACGGTTGCGAGCACCCAGCTCAACATACTCCACCCACATGTGAGTGCCTTGCCAGACCGTCAGGCCTGTGACTACCAGGCCCACAGATCCGTATACAGCGTACTTGAACATGCCTGTGGTTGCGGCCCGCGATTCAGCGATGCAACAGCTGGTATGACAGAGCTGGACCAACGTCGAAAGATAGAGAGTGTCGTGATGACCGGGCTTGCATATTCTTCACGAGGTAGCGAATCAGGCAAAGACCTTTGTTCGTCAGGCCGAGCTGGTCGGGGCAGGATCTTCGGGCCAGGTGCAGGATGGGTAGGGCCTGCTCGAGGCAGCGGCTTGCTCACTTCGTCGATTGTCGAATGAAGACGAACGCTGGCCTTTCTCCGCAGCGTTTGCGGTGGCCGAGGAAGTAGACGAGCTTGGCGGATGCCGCATGTGCATAGCAAGCTCATCTTGAAGTCGCAAGAGCTTGTCGAGTCGAGCGATATCGATGACGCCTGCTGGCCTGCTGGCAGAATACGCGACAGGCGCCCGAGGCACGCACGGCATCAGCTCATCAGCTCAGACCGCCCCTCGACGGCCGACACAGATGACGCACAGACTACTCGTGCGGCGTCATGAGCATCTCAGCCTGGAGGACTTGGATCCGGAGCTAGCCCATGCCGTCAGTCCGCCGCTGCTCGGGTTGACAGCAGCCTGCTAAAGATGGACTCACCCGAACAGCCCATCGACTCGATACTGTGGATCCACATGATGCTACAGATGCTCGTATGGGGCATCATGTTTCCTGGTCAGTCCAATCTTACCGTCAGGCATGACTTCACACTGACGATGGCACGGCGGCTACAGCGGGCATGGTGCTGGGCATGACTAAATCTCGGTGGCATGTGCCTATGCAAGCTACGGCCACCCTGTTGACTATCATGGGCGTCATCCTCGCCCATCGTCACGGCGGTCGCCAGTTCCCCTTCACAGCCCATGCCGCTTTCGCAAAATACGTGTTCTTCTACATGCTCGGCCAGGCAGGCGCAGGCATCTACCTCAAAGCGCACATACACGAACGCTCGCTTCGGCCTTACGTACAACGCTTGCACAGTATCGCAGGCAGGACGTTCCCGATCGTCGGCTGGGTTCAGATGGTCTTGGGTGTCATCGCTGCTCTAGGCACTTGCACGGGTGAACATTTCGGCCAATGCCTTGCGCACATCATCATGGGATCGAGCTTCGTCGGCTACGGTGTCCTATTGCTCCTCATGGCACACTTTGGTCGTGCTTGGCTTGCCAGAAAGACGGTCTCACAGGAGTTCATCGACTCTGCCACCATCACAGTCTGGGGGATCGTCAACGCCCTCACCGAGCATGATTTTCTCGGTCACGGTAACGGCACTTGGCCGACCAGAGATATGCAACATGTCGGCCTTGGCGTCCTCTGGGCTTGTGGAGGCGCAGTGGGCGTTTGGCTCAGTCGATCGGGCAAGAGATCAGTCCTGCCAGGCATCATCATCGCCATGACAGGCTTCGCTATGTCTGGTCATGCACAGCCGACCATGCTCGCTACAGAAGTTCACAAAGCATTTGGCTATGTCCTCATGCTGGCCGGTCTGACCAAGATCATCGAGTGCTGCTTCGATACAACTCGTGCGACGAGCTCGGATCCGACCGATTACGACGGCACGATTGCACCCTTTGCACATCTCACGCCATTGCTACTCACCATCGCAGGCACAATCTTCCTGAGCGCCGCTGAGGATCAGCTCGATCTCATCATTAGCATCGGCATGGATCATGTTACGTACATCATCGGTCAATTCAGCGTCGCCTTCCTGATCTATCTCGTCGCATCGGTTATGATATCGCTCTACAATGCATCGGGCAACAACAGCAACCAAACAGGCAACGGTAGACCGGTCGGTTCGCCGGGCTCATCCGTCATGGCATTGTTTGCACGCCTCAAAGGCGATGCACCAAGGTCAACAACGAACAGTCATCTGCCCGGCTACCAGGCCGTCGACATCGATCTTGAAGATGCACATCGTAGCGATCCGTCCCCCGGCGAGACAGTCTTTGACGCTGCAGAAGGACGCGTGAAGATGTCCGATCTCGACGACGATTTCTGGCAAGATTCAGAGGAAGAAAGAGAAGCGGAGACTAGGCACACTTAGGCGCATGGCTTGCGCACGAAAGACGTGTGTTAGCTGTGCTCGCGAAGAGGTCAAAGCAGCGACAAGCTCACGCAAGAGAGTATTCTCACGCTACTTTGCATGACCTCCACGCGCGCCCTACTGTCCATTACTCGCGAGCACGAGGCATTCCCATCGCAAGGCAGTCGACACTACAGACAAGGCCTTACAATCCTTTGCCGGAGAACATTTATCAGAATATGAAGGTCGCCTCGCTCGTCTTTGCTAGCGCATGTGCTATTGTTCTCGCTGCTCCCGCGCCACAGCTTGACGCTTTGACTGGTCTTCTCGGGTCTGCTGGTGCTGCGGGCGGCGCGCTAGACGGAGCACAGGGCATCCTCGGCAGCGTTGGGGGCGGCAATGTAAGCTGGTCAGCTTATCCCTTCCGACGTGTTGCTGATCGATCCTCGACACAGGCTCTCGGTAAAGCGACAGGAGGAAAGGCAGCTGGTGGTGGTGCAGTACCTGCAGCAGGCGGTACAGGTGCAGCCTCCGGCTTCAAGCCCAAGACCGGCAATACGCCCAAGGCTGCAGTGCCCGAATCTACGAAACCAAAGACGAACCAAGTGAGCACAGAGGCTGCAGTGATTGATGCAGATACTTCGGCCTTTGCGACGGTCACGCCCGTACCCGTCAATCAACTCGCTGTTGCTGGCAACGGTGATGCTTCGCTCGGTGGCTCCGGACAGCTGCTGGGTCTCTGATCCTCTGTTGTCTGAGTTCGTCTGAGCAATGCACGTGATGCACCCTTGATCACTTTACGCGATGCAAATGACAGATGACTTGGAATTCCAAAGACGCTGCTGTCACTTCTGACATCATACCATGTCGAGCGGAACCTACAACCCGACGCATGTCCAAGCCGTCGAGTACGGCCCGGGAAGCATCTCCAAATTGTCCGGCCTGGTCAAGCAAGTCTATGCGACAGTCTATCCGGGCTCGAGCGATTCGCCAAAAGTACTCGTCCTGACGGGCAATTCGCTCAAGACCAAAACTCCGGTCATTGGCAAGATCGAAGAGCAACTCAAGCAGGAAGGACTGTATGGAGCGACATTCAGCTCGATCGGACAGCATGCACCTATTGCCGGCATTCGAGAGGCAGTCAAGCTCGTCAAGGACCAAAAGATCAACGTCATCGTCGGTGTCGGTGGCGGCTCGCCCATCGATGCAGGCAAGGCGATCGCCCACTTTAGCGCAGAGGAGCTCGGCGGACCTGTGATGCCGCAAGTTGCGGTGCCGACGACACTGAGCGCGGCTGAGTGCACTCAGTATGTCCATTCGGGCAGATCCTTCGAGTATGAGCTCATCTACCCGAACAGAAATGCAGGCTTCTCGAGCGAAAAGGGTGACAAAACGGGCGTCGCCGGTCCACTCCTCGTACCGCGTGCCTTGATCTACGATGCCGAGCTGACAAAGTACACGCCCGAAAGGCTGTGGCTTTCGACGGGCATTCGCGCGCTCGACCACGCCGTCGAGTGTCAATATAGGCCACAAGCGCAAGTGCCTGTCAAGCAGATCGCTCTCTTTGCGATCAACACTCTGTTCACTCAGCTGCTCGCAAGCAAAGCAGATCCCGACAATCTCGAAGCTCGAACGGCGCTGCAGATTGCTGCATTTCAATCGCTTTGGCCAAACGCGCTCAGAACACCTTTGGGTCCTTCGCATGGACTGGGTCACAAGCTAGGCGCAACCTATAGCATCCCGCATGGTATCTGCTCCTGCCTGACACTCGCTGCTTGCGTCAGAGTACTGGCGCATACGCTCCAGCCGGCCGACAAGGCTTGCCTCGCCAATATAGTCCAATTCCTGCCTGCCGAATTCCAACCCACGCAAAGTGCTTCTTTCTATTCGCCGCTGTCTGGCCGTACATCCAGTGAAGAGCTGACAACGAAGGCGACGCAAGTTGCCGACGCGATCGACTCCTTGCTGGCAAAACTTGGCCTGACGGTGCGCTTGAGCGGGTTCAAGGTGCCGGAGCAAGATCGTGCAAAGATGGCGGAAGCAGTAGGCACAGCTGTCAAGGACTTCGAGGGTATGCCCACGAGTGACCAGTTCACGAGGATGCTGGACACCATTGCATAATTTATCTTATCTCGATCGAATGCTGCGCGCCCGACGATGACGCGCGCTGTCTTGCCTGTCGCTGACCGACCGTGCTGACCTTTGGCGGAATCCGAAGAAACGAGGTGCACGGACGACTGTAGATCGCGATTGGCGCTGCGCAATGGAGCAGTACTCGGCAGAGGACAGCGACGATGAGGTCTGGCACGACACAGCAGACCAAGTCGCAGCCGAGCAAGTCGAGTCGCAGAAGTCCGACTTGCCTGCACCAGACTCTGCTGCAGGCGTGAAACGCTATGCAACAGTGAGCACAGCAGGAGGAACACGAGTAGCGAGGAGGGAAGCGAGCAGGTTCGGCACAGCCTGGGCGGTCTCACCGGGCGGCTCACAGCGGGTCAAGGAGGCAGCGGGCGTTGATCTCACCAAGACTTCCATAGCAAGCGTAGACTCGAGCGCTGATCCAATTTCGTCGTCCGTCAGCTCTTTGCCAGGCTCGGTGGACATGCGACCGACTACATCCTCGCTCGCGCGCCTGCATGGGCTGGGATTGCTGCAGTCCATCGTCCCCCCGCCGCTCTATTCGCCAGATCGCCCAAGGATAGACTATGATGCGCTGTCTCCGATAGGCTCGGCCATGAACGATCATCCGGTACTCGAACAGGCCATCAAGGAGCCGGATGCTCGCGGCCGCTTGGGAGTCGACGGACTTGCAGCTGGCGATAGTCAGCCTCTCAGTACTGCTGCGGACCTTCAGCGGCATACCAGCTCTCCCGCCAGGGTACAGAGCGCACGCTTCATGGGTCACAGACACACCCACAGTGCTGCGCCAAACATGATGCAGGCGCAAATGCACGATGGCGATACAGAGGTTGCGTACAGAGAACGGGTAAGCCCATCCTGTCCGATACGTAGGACCCCCGCTCATACTCTGCGTCAGAGTGTCACGTCGACAGCGACGTCGCAGCGTTCCGATCAAACTCTTATATGGTCACCAAACGTCGTTCGCGCACAGACGACCGGTCACTCACGTAGTCAATCCAACGCTAATGCCTCTCATGCGCTCATGAGCGTCTCTGGCTGGCCCGATGAAGCTGACGACTCGCTTTCTGCTCTCGATCGATCGACTCTGAGGCGACATCAGAGCTTGACGACCGCCAGACCACGCGACCGCCGCTTCGTTGGTCGGACAAGCTCTCCATTGGCATCACCCGCGTTAGAAGGCACCGAACCCGACAGGAGAACGAGACGCCTATCTTTCAATCAAGATGACGATATCTTGGCATCCTTCCGTGGCCAAGCACCTTCCTCCACTCGTCTCAGCCCCAACATCGGCACCAACGGGTTTCATAGTCCCACTATTCGCTCACCTCTCGAGCGTGCCGGCAGCTTCAAAAGTCCATGGTCCCCGACTGCAGAGGAAGCGGTGCGGCTAGGCGCGCAGAGAGCATACGGCACCTCTTCTCCTGGCCACAGCCCGATCAGCAGTCCGGTCGCGCCTGGCACGTGGGACAGTATGCCCCGGGCAGCGCATGTCAGCACAGAGCTCCAGGACGTTCAAGCAAAGATCAGAGATTGGACGCTTGAAGCCGAGTCACCCGCTCAAACGCGTGTCCACCCATCCTCCGGCTTACTGGACGTTCCTGCAATAATCTCTCGCAGTCGACAGCCACCTCGGAGTCCTTTAGCTCAAGCTTCCGTTCAGGACGAGGATGACATACCATCATTGCAGCCGGTGCAGCAGCCAGAGCGCAGATCAACGCCTCTGCTGGCCCCGCTCGACACGACCGCAAGCGTTCTTGGCCAGTCCGAACCTCGCAAGACAGTCGGCCCATACTCTGCCGCTGCATCTGTACCACCAATCGGCCACCGTCAAAGCAGTCTCCAGTCTTCACTGCCAGAGCACACAGAGCCTAGCCAACTCAAACGAGGCGGCTTCACTGCAGCGCCCGGGGTAGGACAGAACGCATGGTTGCGCGAACGACAGCGGGTCGTATCTCGCGACTCAGAGCAAGGATCGCTGTACATGGATGGTAACAACAGCGCCACTCGACGAAACAGCGGATATGCTTCCGGCATGCCTGCAGACTGGCAGCCATCGCATTCACCCTATGAGCAGTGGGCCGAGCAGACTATGCAGCCTCAGCCGCGTCCAATGCTGCCTATGCAGTCCATCAACGGCCATACTCACGAGCGACACCCTTCGAAGAATGACTTTGCCGCCGCGTCTCATCTGGTTCATCCGGGCGAAACACAGCTTTCTGGGGTCAGCTTCGCATCCGAGATTGCTGCGCTCATAGCTAGCAAGAACTACAACCCAATGAGCTTTGACACCAAGCCTCAACGAGTGAGGCCACAATCGTATATTTCCATCGTGCCCATCGTGCTGACAGACGTGTTCGACAGGCTCGCTTCTTCGTGATCAAGTCGTACACCGAGGAAGACGTTTACAAATCACTCAAGCACGAGATATGGTCCTCGACCGAGCTCGGCAATCAGCGGCTCGATCGCGCTTATCGCGAAGCCTGTGCCGACGGGCCTGTCTACCTCTTCTATTCCGTCAACGGCAGTGGCCATTTCTGTGGCGTCGCCGAGATGCTGACACGTGTTGATCCGACGGTTTCTTCGTCTGTTTGGGCACAGGACAAGTGGAAGGGTCTCATGCGCGTGAGATGGATCTATGTGCGCGACATCCCCAATTCGGCGCTCCGGCACATCAAGCTCACTAATACTGCCGAGCAAAAGGCAGTCACATCCTCAAGGGACACACAAGAAGTTCCCTTTGCGCAGGGCCTCGAGATGCTGGACATGTTTGCAACATATCCCAGCCGAACGAGCCTTCTTCAAGACTACAGCTATTACGAAATGCACCAACTGCAGCGAGGTCTCGTCACTTCGGCTCAAACAGCGCCCCGGCGAGCGGTTCCGCAGCAAGCTCAATACTATCCTACACCTCCCCCAGCGCGGTATCAGCCTCCGACGACGGCCTATATCCCGGTGGCATCTCATTACCCACAGCAACACCAGCGACACCCGCAAAATACAGGGTTCGTCGTCCAGCGCAACCGCCCCGTTGCCGCTGGGGGACGCTACCCAGGCGCTTAGATTTACGATGCGTGACGGTAAAAACGATGTACTCTGTATGCAATCTTGCTTGTCATGAAAAAAGTGCGGATCTGTCCGTCGCGTCGTCGTCGACGATGAGAACCTGATCTGCTATGTGCTGTATCTGTAACGATACTGCCTCTAGTGATTGCCCGGCATCAACTACAGACCATTTGCCTTGGGCACTTGTCATGTCGTCTCGTATCCGTCCAAAGACCTCGCGCACTTTGAGCTGCATCTCGCGCTTCTCGTATCGCTCTTGACCGTACCCGCCTCGTTGTTCGGCATGTTCGGGGCTGATATCTAGGAAGAGTACTTGATCAGGAGCGGGCAGCCCAACATCGGGAGCTTTGCACCACTGATAGTCTAAACCCTGCGAATGAGGAGATCTGAGAGAGAGACTTCTTTGGCAGTCAATGGGCGCACCTTGGCCACCGAGAATGCGATACCTGAAAAGGCATAGCGATCGCAGACAATGTCGATAGAGTCGCGTAGCTTCTGTCGTATGCTTGCTCTGTATTCACTTGGGTCAAGATGGCCTTACTGGTGCTAGTGAATATGACGCACGCTTTCTCCCAGCGATTGGCTGAGAAGAGGAGATGGATGGCCTGATCGTTCATGTCTGTCTGACTTGTCAAGTAAGAATCGATCATTTTGCCCATTGGCGTCGTTCGATCTGTCTCTCCAGTGAGACGATACGAATTCTGGCCGAGTAGTGCCCACCAGGAAAGCGCAGAAGTTCAGCTTTTCGGCCTTGACGCTGAAGGTGCTCGACGAGACGCGCGCATTGTGTCGACTTGCCAGATCGATCTAAGCCTGTGCTTTTCCGGAGATGAGCCTAAGATCTAGGGTGTCTTAGAGGTCAGTGGCCACCTTCTAGCACGAAGAAGCGACCGCGCATTGGAGTGGTCAGGCGTCAAAGCGTCCGTTCGTCAGATTGTCCTCTTCCTGTTCTCGTCGTCGCCGTCGACGTTCGCGTCTGCTAAGTGCCCCGATAATATATTTGACGCGCATCTATCTGATCGATTGCGCGATTTTGGAGTTGTCAGCAAACAGGCAGGACAGCTGAGGGCCGTCAAGATGCTGAGTCGCACTGGCCTTGCTCTGGCCAGGAAGACCAATGTCAGTCGAATAGCAAGTCGCAACGTGTCAGCAAGCATCAGTGCTGTTGCCCAAGTGGACCCGCGGCGGAGCTCAGGCACGAATCCTGCACTCTCATTTCCCTGCGTCGACCGCAACGAATCGGTGACAGAGTCTATCAGACGTCAGAGGACGGAACGTGTTACGCCTCTCATAGACAATCCCGAGCCTGCGAGTGCACCGCCGGATGATCAGGGTCCTGAGCCAGCCTATACAAACACAGTCTCTGGCTTCAAGCTCTTCAGATATGAGCATCCCTTCGAATTGGACTACGGTGGCTTGCTGCCCGAATTTGAGATCGCCTATGAGACCTGGGGCAACCTCAACGCGGACAAATCGAACGCTGTTCTCATACATACCGGACTGTCTGCAAGTTCTCATGCACGCTCATCGCCTGATAATCCGGCCACGGGCTGGTGGGAGAAGTTCATCGGACCTGGCCGACCGATAGATACCAATGATCATTTCGTCATCTGTACGAACGTCATCGGTGGATGCTATGGCTCGACGGGACCATCAAGTCTCGATCCATCCGACGGTCACCCCTATGCCACGCGATTTCCAATCCTGTCTATCTTCGATATGGTCAGAGCTCAATTCAAGCTGCTCGACCATCTCGGCATACAGAAGCTCTTTGCGAGTGTAGGCAGTAGCATGGGCGGTATGCAGAGCATCGCCGCCGCACACCTCGAGCCCGAACGAGTCGGCCGCGTTGCCTCGATCAGCGGTACGGCCAGAAGCAGCCCAGCAAGCATTGCCCTGCGGTATGCACAACGATCAGGCATGGCGCAGCCTTGTCAAGACTTTGTGAGACTGATCGATCTGCTTTCGCAGTGCTCATGTCAGATCCTAACTGGAATCGCGGCTTCTACTATGATGGCCTACCACCACATACCGGCATGAAGCTGGCGAGACGTCAGTTCGAATCAGAAGGCTGGATCCCCTTTCCTGATCGTTTGCGCAGAGATTGCGACGATAACCTACCGATCCGGGCCCGAATGGGAGCAACGCTTTGCACGCAGGCGGCGTTTGGTCGGCAACGAGGTCGCAGCTCCTGCACTTTGTCCCGACTTCCTCATAGAGACCTACTTAGATCACCAAGGGGAACAGGTCGGTCTACAGCCTTTCACATGGCCAGAGCTGACCAAGCAATCGACAGTTCCGACAAAAGTATGACGCAAATTCGCTCATCTATATCTCAAAGGCGATGGATCTTTTTGATATGTCGCAGGACTCCCTGGACGAACTCGCCGCAAGTCGGAACAAGCTTGCCGATCTCAGCAAGACGCAGCCTGAAGCTTGCGCGATCGAACAAACGCCTCGGAAGAAACAGAGCGAAAATGTCCACATCTCCTCGCTTCCCTCCTCGCTCAATCCCTACCTTGGCTCACTCACACGAGGATTGAAGAATCTCGCAAACACGCCAACGCTGATTTTGGGTGTTCAGAGCGATGTGCTCTTCCCGATTGAGCAACAGCGTGAGCTCGCCGAGGCATTGCGCATGAATGGCAATCGGCAGGTGACTTACTATGTTCGTCCTCGCTGTTCATATGTCGACTGCAGGCTGATTTGCTGTGTGCACGACAGGAGAGTACAGCACCAACAGGCCATGACACGTTCTTGCTCGACTTGCCATCGGTGGGCGGTGCGATACGTGGCTTCCTCTCGATGTGAGCAGATGCACGTGCAAGTGATGCTACAACATTGTCGTGTCTTGCACTAGTCGCTCTGAAAGCGTCCTGTAATGATCGCGAATCGAATCTCCCTCGACATAGCAGCCCTTCATCCATCGCGCCGCTTCTCCAGCTGGCTCAGACGCCGCATCCCATGAAAAGGCTGTGCGAGCATGAAGAACGCGTCGATTGTCGAAAGCGACGCATTCACCCGGTGCAAGCTGCAGGCTATATTGCAGTTCTGGCGATTCCACCAGACTGGAGAATCGACCTAGCGCGTGATGAAGCCGCCTGAACCTTTCCATAGCTTCCTGCTGCGTAGAGCCGCCTGATGTGAACATCGACCACGGCTGACGACCTTGGAATGGTGGCGAGTAATTGACTGCAGCGATTATAGCTTCCTCGCCGAATTCGGACGGCGGAGCGAGCTCGATAGTCGGCTTATGGCTACTCCGCCAGTGACCGCCGTTCTTGTATTCGAAAGCGACCTGTTCTGTTGCCAACGTGGCAAAAATTTCGGGCTCTGTCTTTCGCAAAACTTCTGCTGCGTAATATGCATCTGCAAAGTACGAAGCCCCTCCCCTGAGAGATTTTGCGGCATGCAGGAAGTGCAACAGCTGATAGCGTGGCGGGTCATCGTAGTGTCTGTTCCTGGCTTGAGCATGACTTGAGTAGGAGCGCGGTCCAGGTGCTCACACTAGATCCATGTGTAGCCCTAGATCAAGGTTGGTGTATGCAATGTTCTTCGAGTTCTCGACACTCTTGACATCCCAGACCTTGTCGCCATACCACGTTCTGCGTATGTTGCCGAGCATGCTCGAAAGTATGGCTAGCTCGCAAAGCTCGTCTGCCTTTTGCCTGTGCGCTTTTCAGCACGAATTGAGACATGATGACATGGCATACTCTACTGGGACATCTGTGAAGAAGACGATGCCATATGTGATGAGCTGTCTGAGAGCAGCAAGCATGATGGGTGGCGACTCCAGGCGCGCGTAGGGTATCCTCAGATTGCGATCAGCTATTGCGCGCATCGCATGAGCACAAACGGTCAGAGGACTGGGCCGGCTCACAGAGAGAAGAGCGCTTCCAGAGTATGGGAGCGAGTTCTTGTAGGCTGTTGCGCGCTGCATAGCCTGCCGGTGTGACATGACTTGCGAGTTCGGCCAGGTCGAACACGCTCCTGTCCGCTTCCACTTGGTCTGGCTGGAGCGCGCAATCCCAGACAATCTCAAGCTTCCAGTGCTCGTCGTCTTGCCGCAAGAGGACAGTGGCAGGCCGGATTGCAGCAGGCACGTCACTCGTTCGAAACACTTTCTGTTGCGTCGAGGGATGGACAGAAGTAGGCGCAGTGCAAGCGTCCCTCAGCCAGGCATAAGGTAGTGCTATGTTCTGCAGTCCATGTTGTCGAGAGGAGATGATGAGGTGATCGTGACGCTCTTTGACTGACGGCGCTAGGCTAGTCGTCGAATGAAGTCCCTCAAGTGTATCAACTGCAGCTGATGTGGGGATTGCGAGACGACTAGCATGTCTACTTGCTTTGTAGCGGACTGCTGGCACAGTCCGGGCCAGTCGTAGCCCGGTGGAAGCAGCCATGTGTTCACTAGACAAGGTCGACTCGCGCGGTCTTTGGCTTTGCGTGGTGTCCAAGGCAAGCAAGGCGAGCAACAAAGGATCGGAGGGATGCCCTTCTTCGTGCCCATGGCGGGCGGAGCACTCATCAGCGGCGCCATCTACTTCAGCATGCATCAGAGGATACTCAACAGGACGCTACTCGTCTCCACTGACCTGCGCACGCTCAGTCAGGATCTGGAGACACTCGCACCGCCTGCTGTACCCGACCATGCCGACTGGACAGCCAGGAGCAACACGAGACCGCCGCTCGGTGATCTTGTCAAGTCACAAGTGAGTCTGCATCGCTTGCCACGCCTGTTGACGTGCCAAAAGAGCCGGCAAACAGTGGAATGACACGCTGATAGGCGCCACTGCTGCCATCTATAGAGCAGACTATGGCCAACTCGCTCGTCAAGCGTATGACACCGCTGCTAGACTCACGCGAAGGATCACTGGCTCTTCGGCAACGGGCCGGATACAAGAAGCGACGCAGGAGGCCTCGCTCAGGTGACCGGCTCTGTACAAATGCATCTACGCCAGCGCAATGCTTGTCATGTCCCCCAAAGCGAGGGTCAGATCCAGCAGTCGTGTCCAACGCCTGCCTTTGTGGCCACGCTCCTGATCAAACTGAGTGTTGGACCGTGTCAGGCCGCTTGCCAAACAAAGGTGGACCTATGTGAGAGACTTACTAGTGTCCCTCGACGGCCTTGCTCTCTCCGCCGATCATGCGTTTGCCGACCGCTGCACTACGAACGCGCATCGTCGTGACAGCGCTGCCGCTCGTGCAGACATCGAGATTGAGGTACGAGCCATCTGGCAAAGTGGCCAAAAGCAGTCGGAAACCCCCCCTCACGGGGGTTACCTTGATTTCGGCGAGTAGCTCTCCATCGACCCACTGAGGTACGGTCACACCCCAGGCGCCCTGAATGGGGTCAGCGAGGTCTGTGACAGGCTAAGAAAAGGCATGACACACCCCGGCCTGCTTGATTGAGATCTCAATCTGTTCGCGCACGCCCCCTGTGCACATGTGACTCGCTCAACAAGGAAGGACAGGCTTGACACGATGGACTGACAGTTGTTCTTGTCCATGGTGATGTAGTAATTAGGTCCCTGAGCTCGTTTGACATGATGGATGTCCTTCGAATGAGCCAGGTTGCCAAACAGAGCCACGAGAGCAAGGCAAGCCAGCGTGAATGTGCCGATATGCTTGAACATGATGCTTGGCCGCAGGCTTCTCTGTTTGCTTCCTGCAGAGTGGGCAGTTTCAAGGGGCCCAGGTGGGACATCAGAGGCTGCGTCGCAGGCTGATGCCGTGACAACCCGGATCGTATACACGAGTCGTTCGGAGCCTTTGCCGAGGAAAGAGGAGAAGATGGTCTCCATGTCGCGATCTGGATATAGACAGCAGGGGAAAGAGTCACATCTGCCCGTCGCTCGGTGACGATCCACAAGTCAACGTCGTTGACGTGACGCGTCTCCTCCTTTATAAATTTCTGTGCGATGACGTCGAAAGGGCCAACGAGCGAGACGACAGCGCTGGCGAAAGCCAAGCAGAACGTCTCCTTCCTCATCAATCCGTCCAACAAGACCGTCGCACCCACCCGATTCCGCACCCGAGCCTTACTTCGGACTGTACGCTACATCGCCGTCTTTCTTTTCTGGCGACTGGTACGCTATGCAAAGTATGCAGCCATAGGTTCAGCCGTCGCTTTTGCAGGATCTGGCGTACTCGGTACTGTCACCGGTGGCGCTGGCTTCCTGCTCGCTCCCCCGGGCATCGTGAGCGGCGCTTTGCTCGGGATCGGATATGGCGCTCTCAAGATCGGCTGGAAAGGGTTCAGGACGGGCATCAAGCGGGCGCACGAGGGAGACGAGGTGGGCAGTGTGAGAGCTGCAGAGCGAGAGGAAGCAAGAGGCGAACGGACAGCTCGACCTAGAGATCCATCGCGTTCAGACCCGTTCATCTGATGACTCCAGAAAAAGATACACACGAGTCGTCAATCGTACGTCTAATGGGTCTCATCAACAAGGGTATGTAGGGCTTCATGTCTCGTGATTCGTTGTTGCTGACAGAGCGTCGACAGTCTCGCTCATTCGGACCGACTGCTGAGCGCCTTTGTCTTACGCTGATAGATCTGGATCTGCTTGCTTGCAAACTCGGCGAGAGCGGCAGCCAGGAACATGCTGCCCGAGAAGACGATCAATGTGCCGAAGCCTGGCACGCCATACGCCCGCCATCGCAGGGCGGGAGAGTCGGTCTTGAGCAAGGCGGCAGAAAGAGGCGCAGTCAGAATGGAGCCCAGCCCGCGTGCTGCTGTGAAGACACCGAAGAGCGTGACGCGAGCGTTGTTCTCGTCAGCGCCTACGCGCGCAAGGCCTGTAAAGAGACTGCTATACCCAGGCGCATTCTGCTTCGCACGTCAATGCACGGTTTATTTTGTGAGGATGAAGAGACCTACGGCGCCGTAGAGGAGCGAGAAGATGAGCAGGGGTGCGAATGACAGTGAGGCGCCCAGAAGCAGAAAGACGAGCGCGGCAGTGAAGATGAGGTTGGTGATGGCAAGCATGTGAGGATCGTGTCGATCGCTCAGAGCGCCCAGACCGAATTGGCTAGGTATGGCAGCAGCATTGAGTGCAGCGAGCGTTGCAGAGCCTGCTCCTGTCGACAGACCGATGGCGTTTGCATAGGTGGGCAGATAGATCATCCAGCAGAAGTAGCCCAGTGCCTGGAAAGCACAGGCAAGGACGGCGAGCCAGACCGACACATCTCGAAGTGGCAAGTTCGACATGAGGCTGCCTTGCGTTGTGGGCACCTTTTGGGACCGTTTGACGAGTGGCAGTCGACCGTGCATGAAGGGCACGATGAGACCCAAGATGGCGAACACGCTGGCCGCAAGAGCGCGGAGAGTCGTGTGGATGCCCAGTTTCTTGATGAGCGCGTTGATGAGGAGCGGAAAGACGAGACCGCCCACGCCCGCGCCCGAGAAGGTGACGCCGTTGGCCATGCCCCTCTTTGCGACATACCACTCGCACAGAAAGGCCTGCTCTGGGTTGTGAGACACAAGCCTGCAACCGAAGCCCGGGTCACGCACAAACATGGAGAAGTAGGCGAGCGATCCACCGATAGCGTAACCCACGCCTTGGCAGAGTATCAACTGCCACGGGGCATTGCAGAATGACGCGGCAAGCAAAGATCCAGAGCAAAGAGCGACGCCCGCCCAGAGATTGAGACGGCGTAGCTTGGGATAGCTGTTGACGTAGACGAGCGCAAAGGGCGAGACGATGTACATGATACCCGTGCTGATCGTGCCGACGAGTGCGAGCAGTGTCTGCGCGTTGGGCCCATCCGCGAGCTCTGTCCTCAGATAAGCGTCGAGGAAGACACCGTAGGAAGCAGGTAGGCCCCACAGGACGGCTTCGAAGACGAAGCTGTACAGCAAGAAGATGTGAGCTTGCGCTCCTCCATCGATGGGCGGGAGGGTGTGATCGGCGACGGCGTGCGTTTGAAGCGCTTCGAACGCGGGCGGCTCTTCCAATTCTGGCGAGGCTCGCGGGGTGGCTTCTTCGAGCGTGTGTACGCTCTCTGCTGCTAGGATGGCCGCAGAAGGCAGCTTGATGAGCTCTATGGGTGCCACTGCGTCCATTCTGCTGATGTCCAGCTGCAGCACCCTGCGCACGATCAGCTGTAGATTCGAGCAGATAGCAGCACATCCTGAAGCTTGACCACGCGACGACTCGAATCGACTCGACCCGCTCGACCGCTCGAGCCCGGGTACTGGCGATGCGCGAAGGCAAGCAGCGAGCATCACCTGCACCAGATCCCGGCGCATCCGGCGTCACAGTGACATGGCGGCACCTCCATAGTTCTCAGACTTTCACCGTCACGTCAGTGCTACACTCGCCCATCGCGCCTACAAAACACGCTGACATTGGGCATGACAGGAACCCGCTCCGCGTCATTGCCCACTGCGACATCGATGCTGCCTATTCACAATTTGAGATTGTCAGACTCGGCTTGGACCCGAGCTTGCCTGTCGCTGTACAGCAATGGCAAGGCCTAGTCAGCATATCGCCGTGCCTTGGTCGGGCTCAAGCTGAGCGAGTCGAGCAGATTGCGATCAACTATCCGGCTCGCAAGTTCGGCATCACGCGGCACGAGACACCCATCGAAGCAAAGAAGAAGTGTCCCCATCTGATTCTCGTGCATGTCGCGACCTACATGGATTCCCAGCCCGTCTCGGGCTACTATGACAATCCTCGGCCGGAGACCCACAAAGTCTCACTCGATCCCTACAGACGCGAATCGCAGAAGATACTCAAGATCTTTGGCGATCTCTGTCCCCTGATCGGTACGCTAGCCCCGCCAGCTCGGGCACACTGCTGATCTGATGGACCGGACAGAAAAAGCCTCGATAGACGAAGCGTTCCTAGACTTTACAGCCCCAGTGCGACAACTCATGCTCGAAAGATATCCCATCCTCGCCCAGCCTCCAGATAACCTCGACGAGCCCTTACCACCACCTCCAACAACGCTGCCTTGGTCTGAGCTCGGCAACCTGATACCGGTCGATCCGGACGCGCCGCCAGAAACTGACGATGAGCCGATCACGTGGCAGGATGTCGCACTTGCGCTCGGTGCAGAGATGATGGAAAAGTGTCGCAAGGAGGTCTACACACAGCTCGGCTACACTTGCTCTGCGGGCATAGCAAAGAACAAGGTAAACTCGATGCTGCCTCGAATGTCTGATCTGCGCTGAAACGACAGACAGATGCTGTCTAAGCTCTGTAGTGCCTGGAAGAAGCCGAATGCGCAGACTGTTCTGCGCGACACTGCCGTGCACAACTTTCTCAAGCCTCTCAAATTTCAGAAGATCCGTTTCCTGGGAGGCAAGCTGGGAGACTCGCTCGCGAACGAGTATGAGAGCTCGACGGTGGGAGATCTATGGTCGGTGTCCTTGCAAGAGCTACAGCGCAAGCTCGGCAACGAGAGCGGCATGTGGTGTTGGGAGATCATCCGCGGCATCGATCTGACGGAAGTGCAACCGAAAGCAGCGACAAAGAGCATGTTGAGCAGCAAGAACTTCAAGCCGGCCATCAACAAATGGGCAGACGGAGCATATTGGCTCCGCGTCTCCGCTACTGAGCTTGCCGCGCGATTGAACGAGCAGCGTGAGAGCGTGCCGGGTATCTGGCCAAAGACGATCACCCTCAACTTTCGCGACATCAACTATGTCTCTCGCTCGAAGCAATGCGCTTTTCCATACAGCAACAACCTGTCTGCAGACTACGTCTTCAAGATCACGGAACGCTTGCTCAAAGAATTCCAGAACGAAGGCAGCAAACCTGATGATGGCTCCATGACGCCAGCGACCAGCTTGGGCCTCGCTTTCAACGGCCTCGAACGTGTCGCCTCAGGTCAGGCCGGTATACAGGATTTCTTCAAATCTGCCGAGTCTGGCAGTGCTTCGCTCAGAGCGCAATCTGTTCCGCGCGATCAGACTTCGCCTCAGCCCATCATCATCGATGTCGATGACGATCAGCAAGAGGAGAAAGCATCGTATACCTGTTCGAGATGTCATCGCATTCTCAAAGCGGCCGTGCCGTCTGTCGAGACCGCAGATGAGCTCACCACGCTCGAACAACGGCGCGCCGCGGTCGAACAGCAACTCGCACGAGAGCACGCCGACTACCACTATGCTCGGTCAGTTCCGACTTCCTCATCGATAGATAGAGGTAGGCTGAATGCATCGCAGAGATTTGGCACGCAAAGAGAACGATGCTAGCCAACGCGCGGCGAAGCGTAAGCGTCAAGATACGCAAAGCAAACCTTTGGCAGAGCAGACCAAGAGCGTCAAGCCGAGGAATGGGGGGCAAGCAAGCCTCGCAACTTACTTTGCTGCGCCACGAGATCGCAAGCGGACCCCGTTGTAGCCCTTTGCAAGCCACGCGTGGACGGCGTGACGTTGACGTTGTGGATCGCCCGGTCGCGTCCCCTTTCTTGCTTGCTATGCCCCCAATCTGAGTCGGCGCTCCTGTCAGCAGTAGATGCGCATACTTTGCCTGCATGGCTATCTGCAGAATGGTGCCATCGTCAGCCGCAAGTGGGGCGCACTCCGTCGGGAGCTTGCTGGCTTTGCAGAGTTAGGTCAGATAGTGCTCCCTATTTGGTTGGGCATCAGCTCAAGCGTCAAGCAGACTTTGTCGATGCTCCTCATATCATCGCCAAGCCAGACAGCAGCACAGACTTGTCGTCCTTTGGCGCAGAAGACGTCGGGAGCTCGGATGATGATCCGTCGAGCGTACCTCGCTCCTGGTGGGACGCTCGCGATGGTCCATCGGGTAGACGAGAGATCCATGGCTACACAGAAAGTCTGGCCTACCTACATCCGATGCTGATCAAGAACAAGTACGATGCCGTCATCGGATTCAGTCAAGGGGCTGCTATGGCCGCTCTGCTCACCGTCTTGCTCCATCGGCCAGAGCTCGAGGTTTCCTTTGCTCAGGGCGAGCGTATACCGCCTTTCAAGGCGTCCATCTTCATCTCCGGATTCAAAGCGGCCTACTACCACCAGGAGCCTTACTGGACCTCTGTCCTAACAGGCGCTCCGACGCTCAACATACTCGGTAAGAACGACTGGATCGTCACGGCAGACCGCAGCCAGCCCCTCATCGATGCGTTCGAGGCATCACGGGTCGAGTACCACGAGGGAAGCCACTTCCTGCCCCTCAAGGCGTCCTGGAAACGGTTCGTCCATCAATGGCTAAAGGCGATACAAGCAGGCGAGCCCTCCGATTCGGTACCCGGCCCATCTGGCTCATCCCAAGCTGCTTCACGAGAGGCATCTGTACCTCTAGAGGGTGGCAAGCTGTAACGCGATAGTCCGACTGTCCATGCATATAGACGTTGTAATGAGGGATTCATAATCGATGCAGCCGAGGACGAGTCACGTGTGCTGCCAGCGCTGGAGCGCTAGCCTCGTGTCGAAATTTCTGACGGCATGAACAGCGGTCCAGAGACGCCCCTGGAGGGCTATCTGGCCGCAGAGAGCAGACAGAGTCTCTTTGATCCACCGACTGCGCTGGTCCACTATCCCGATGCTGGCGCGACGGGCAACACGAGCGCGAGCTATGTCGTGCCTATCCTGCTGGAGGCTTTTGCAGACATCCTCCCGGAGCTCCTCGTGACCGTTGACCCGTCTCGCTGCAGTCATCCTGTCGTACAATTCTCAGACTATGATGTCATTGACTTTGACATGGCTCATACCGGACGAGGGCTCTGCAACGCTTATCCTATTCGCAAGGCGCTCACGCGAAAACATCATCTGCCTTTGACTGTTCAGCATTATGTCGCCAAGCGACCATGCTCAGTGCTCAAGGACGCATTGCCTCTTACGTGGACGTTCGAGCTCAGCCATGCAGACGAATTGGACGAGTTGTGGCTCGATGAGCTATATGATCTCTCAGCTGCTCTGGATGATTCGGCCGACAAGACGTACATCCTGAAGCCAAGTATGGCCGACAAGGGTCAAGGCATTCGATTATTTCGGACAAAAGAAGAGCTCGAGCGGATTCTGGCCTCCTTTGAAGAAGCGCAAGACAGATCTGATGATGACGATGATGATGATCAGTCCACTTCCGTTAGCCTCAGTCGGATGCGATGGTTTGTCGTACAAGAATACATCGAGCCGGTCTTGCTCGACGTTGGATGTTCGCCTTCAGTCTTGACAGGACGCAAATTCCACTTGCGCGTCTACGTGCTCGCTGTCGGAGCGCTTCAGTGCGTTTTCCTTATCATGAGATGCGATGTGGAGACGAACAAAGTGCAGGCTGTACGTCTACGATGAATATCTAGCACTCTTCGCCAGTGAGCCCTATGTGCCCTTTAGCGACAAGACCGACAGCTTAGCAGCCCATCTGACAAATACATGTTTGCAAGATCAACGAGATGCGCAGGAGACGGTGCACGCCTTCTCAAGTCTCATCGATCAGCCGCTTGCCAGCGGTCAGCTGGCAGCCGACAGAGTCGCATCCATAAAGCAAGGCATCAATGCGATCGTTGCCGAGCTGTGGCAGAGCGCGCTCGGTCAGACGGCTCACTTCCAGCTCCTGCCGCATTGCTTCGAGATCTACGGCCTCGACTTTCTCCTCGACGACAAGCTTCAGCCGCGCCTGCTCGAAGTGAACGCTGTAAATTTTCTGCTCGGAGCAAATCGGACTTTGAGCTGACAAGGTGTGACTAGTGTCCCGACTTTGCGCAGTCAGGAGAGCAATTGCAGCCGCTCATTCGAGACTTGCTGAGATCCACGGTCGAGATTGCGATAGCGCCCTCGCCGCTTATCCGCCTTACCGGTGCAACCCAAGACCGACCGGACTCCATGAAGAACGATCGACATGGCCAGTTCATCAAGGTCCTTGAGAATTCGATGTTCTGACCGTCCCGTTGCTTCGCGATCGAGCGAGACTCTGACTAACGAGAAAATGCAATATTCAGCATTTTTAGGCCTGAAGCTTGCGCATGAGACCGTTTTGAGCAGGCGTACACCACAGGGCTGGGATCAGCACGCTAGCAGAACATTACACAAGCGTGGCCTGCATCGATCTCGGATCACAAGCCGCGAAGCTCGAAGCTTGCCCTTAGGCTCGCGTAAGCTCAGCAGCAACCGGAGCGCAAGCTTGCAAGCGCAGCCAAGCCAGCTGAGCACGGACCGTCCTGCTCACAGGCGAGCGTAGGGCGAGATCGCACCGCACGCAGGGCCTCGCATGGGCTCAGTACAAGGCAAAGCTCAGCGCCATCGGTCACATTGCCTGCACATGTATCGCTCTCGCAGGCGCTGCAGAGCGTGACCACCAGCGTCCTCGTTCACGCTTTCCGGCTAGCGGGTCTGTCTGCTGCTCAGATGGCTGCTACGGCATCCTATGGCAGGATGGTCGAGCCTTATCGCTCAGCAAGTCATTCGCCCGGTCAGTCGCCTCGCCAGATGGCATCCCATCAGTCCAGTCCGCGATCGCCGTCTCAGCTCAGGCAGAGCCATAGCCCGTCACCGGAGAGCAGACTCGCCCAGGCGCAAGAGCTGGATGATTCTGCTGGAGTGCATGGTGCGACACAGCAGGATGTCCAGCTTAGCAAACGTTCTTCGAAATCGCTCCCGACCAGACGTCACGCACCCTCGCCAGCCTCTGGTCAGCCCTTGCAACAATCTGCTAGCGCTTCGCAAAGGTCTGCAAGCGCCTCACAGGCAGCAGACTGGCAATCAAGCCTAGCATCCTATAGCATGGCTGCCCCGTCAGCCTACACGCTCAGCCCGATACCTGCTTACGCTGGTCCGCAACGCTCGACGACGGAGCAACAGCCGACAGAGGGTATACGGAACATCGGCAAGAGACGATACACTGTGCTCAAAGAGGTCGGCGACGGCTCCTTTGGTACCGTCTGGCTTGCCGACTGGCACTCGCCGCTTGCGTGCGTTTGCATACTGTCGAGTGTATCTTCAGCTGACGTATCATACAGCCTACCTCCTGGGACGATGCCCCCAGGTCCAAGCTCGAGACCAGAGTACAAGGGCAAGCAGCTCGTTGCGATCAAACGGATGAAAAAGGCATTCAATGGCGGCTGGGATGAATGCATGAATCTGAAAGAGCTCAAGGTGAGCAGCTCCCTTTCGCTAGTGCTTAGACAGCGCTGAGGATCGTGGCAGTCGCTACACACGATCTCGCAGCACGCGAACATCATCCCGCTCTACGATGCGTGGCTGGACCCATCCACTCGAGAGCTTTACTTCGTGTTCGAGTGCATGGAGGGAAATCTCTATCAGCTAACAAAGTCTCGTAAAGGAAGACCTCTTGCTCTCGGTCTCGTCGCTTCGATCTATCATCAGATCCTGTCTGGTCTCAACCACGTGCACACATCAGGCTACTTCCACCGGGACATGAAGCCAGAGAATCTGCTCATCACGACGACCGGCTTGGCGGCGTATCCGTCGTTCGCAAGCTTCTCACGAGCAGGCGCATCGCCAGAGAAGGATGTCACTGTCATTGTCAAAATTGCCGACTTCGGGCTTGCGCGAGAATTGAAGAGTCAGCCGCCTTATACGGAATACGTCTCGACACGATGGTATCGTGCACCGGAAGTCCTACTGCGATCGAGGGTCTACTCTGGACCTGTCGATACCTGGGCTCTCGGTACCATCTTGGCCGAAATCGTCACGCTCAAACCATTATTTCCTGGACAGACAGAGATCGATCAGGTTTTCCGGATATGCGAGATCCTCGGCAACCCTGGGCCAGACTACGGCTTCAATGAAAGTGGTGAGCCCATTGGAGGAGGCGATTGGCCAGATGGCGTACAGTTGGCATCTAAAGTCGGCTTCAATTTTCCCAAGGTAGTCCCTTTTGCTGTATCGGTATTCAGAGCTGACAGGGGCCACAGATGAAGCCAATACCCTTGCCGTCCCTTTTCGACAATGAGAAGGTGCCGCCTCAGCTCATAGACTGCATTGCTGGTCTGCTTCGCTTTGAGCCTACACGACGACGCACGACGCGACAGTGCCTCGAACACGCGTTTTTCCGCGAGGTCGCACCTTTGCTGCTGCCTAAAGCGCTGCCGAGCCGATCGTCTAGCTCTGCGTCGCGATCTGCGGCACAGCTCGAGGGCACCATGCCTGTTCCCGTCATGTCACCTCGAGATCTCCCACCCTCGCATTCACATCCTGCAATGATGAGTGCGCCCGGCATGGTCACTCAGAAGAGTGCGGGCCGGTTGGTCATTCCTGGCGTTATGCGTCCGTCCATCAGAGGTCGCAATGACTCGATCGCTGATTCGACATATTCCTATCCCGATTCGATGTCTTCCTCCAACTCAGGGCCACAGCTGCCAACAGGCTCATCGATACGAGCCTATGCCGAGTCGACTACCTCCTACGATGGTCAATCAGACCTGGAGCGCTCACCGCTACCAAGTATGTCCAGGCTCAATATCGACCCGCATCATCCTTACGACGCGCGAGAAGGTCGTCGCGGGTCTGTCGCGGGCTCGACCTTTTACGATGGATCTGTGTTCGAAGGCGCTGGTGGCAGTATCACTTCCAGCATCTCTCTGCCACTGTATGATGCTGCAAAGACGCAGACTGCTGCATCGAGCTCGCTTGACTCGCTGGCACTCCCTGCACGCGATGGCCGAGCCAGCGCAGAATCCTTCTCACAAGCCAGACCGAAATGGTCTGTCCCATCTGTCTTTGGTGGCGCATCCAGAGCCTCGGCCTCGTCAGATGCGGCTTCGCAGCGGTCACATACCCTCAAACGCTCGCCCTCAGATGCTCAACCATCGTCGTACATGTACACCGACAGCTCAGTTGGCGACAGCAAGAAGGCCAAGAAGGAAGCCGAGAAGCGGGCCAAGGAAGCAGAGAAAGCTCGGCGCGATGCTGCTGCCAAGGCTGCGCGCGACCGTGCACGAGCGGTCGTTCAGAAGAAGCAGCAGCTCGAGCGAACCCAGGACCGCAATTACGATCCCCTGAATTTGCACAAGCTGGATGACACGGCGCCGACAGGTTCTACACATCGTAGCAGCGCTCGCACCGGTCTTCAGCCAATCAACGAGCACAATGCCGCTCTGCCTACGCAGCCGGCATACGACCCTCGGCGGTCTTTCCGCAGACCAGAAGACAGCGATATGCAGTCAGTTTCAAGCGGAGAGACAGGACATTCGGGAGGCGATAACGCGTCTGTCTTCACAATGGAATCCGATCCTGGCCTCAGCCGACATCCGATGCGAAAGATGCCCTCCAGGTCATCTCTGCAGGCGCCAAGCTTCATGTCAGCGCCGAGCTTTGTATCGAACGCGGCGTCAGCAAATTCGCTCGATCCGCAGCTAATGCAAGGCTTCCAAGGTCTCAGCGCCGTCGATCAACCGCAGCAATCAGGCTACCGCTTGCCGCCGATCATGTCCTTCGATCACCCACCTTCGCGCTTTGGTCCTCAAGATGGCTCTCGATTTGGTCCCCATGACAGGCCGACACCGCCCGAAATGCGGCCGCCGCCCTTCGGGTTCAGTAGCACTCCAGCATCTTATTCGTTAGCGTCGATGATACCCAACACCGGCTCGGCACAGCAATTGCATCCACAGCCGCAGTCTGGTCAGCAAACTACCCAACATCATCCTGTGTTGCAGCAGCACCAGCATCGTTGATACCCTCTTTACAGCGCTTGTACGCATGTTGTTGGTATGCATGTACATTCGTCCGGAGCGTCAGGAAGGAGGCTGCCCGTAGTCTAGACGCGAGGAAGTCGTCAACTTGATCCGCTATGTGAAGTCTACGCGAAGTCTAGGGTGCGCATGCAATCAAGCTGCTCAGTACCTATGCCCTGTAGACTGAGTATCAGTGCGAGTGACGATGGCTAGAATGCTGCGCACATTCGGTACTCTCTTCGTTCGCCCTTGCCGCCCCATGTGCCATGCGCTTTGTAGTCGATGACGATGTCTAGGTCTCGAGGGTTTCGCGCGTTGGGCTTGACGTCGATGCTTCCCTTGATCACGTCGTCCTCCTGTTGCAGATGGTAAGCGCGGTCGACATAGGCAGCTATCGACCTACATCAACTGTGACTGCATCGCCAAGGTAGAAGACGGTCTGCTTCCAATCTGCATGAACTAATGAGTACAATTCGACGGTATGGCGCAGAAGACAGCGCACGGGTATATTTGGCATGAGGGCCGGTAGAGAAGCTGATGGGTTTATGAGAGGCCTCAAAGGCTACATCGAACCATGCCAGCAGCGCATGGACGTCTGCACTCCTAGTCAGACCTGAGACGATGGCGTGTGAGGAGCTCACAGTCTCTTCTTGTGCAAGTCAGTTCGAATGGCGCAACGAAAGTGAGCTCTTCTTTGGTGACTTTGAGTAGATCGAAGTCCTGCGGTGATTCTCAGCGAGCGCGGTCAGCCAAGACTGTGCGACATACGCGGACGAGACAAGGTCGCGTCACGACGGCCCGAAGATCCACGGTGTCGACAAGAGGTTCCTTGAGCGCAATCTCCTTGATGCATGAGTAGTCAAAGCCGTAGACGTCGTCCCAGAAGCCAATCTTTTCCTCTTTGTAGTCTGCGTCTTCTATGCCGGCCATGTAGAGCTTTGCGCGGTCGGGGAACAGCATGCCACCAGGTGCCTGCTCGCTCCTCAGTCGGTCGTTCAATGGAAGCTGGGAGCAGACTAACGAGATACTTGTCGCGAGCGAGCAGGACGGTATCGAGCATGCTCTCGTACAGTCTGGCCTGACTTTAGTATGCGTCATGCTCGGGCTGAGTGCGAGACATACAGGAAGTAGCCCATCCATTCGCTGATGATGATATCGACTTGCTTGATCCCCTCTGGCAGCTCGACTTCTTCCATCTTTCCTTTGATAAGCGTGATAACGTCTTCCATCCCGTTTGCCTTGACGATCATCTGCGCTTGATCGATGATGCCAGACATGTCGATACCGATGACTTTGCGTGCGCCTGCCTTGGCTGCAAACAGTGAGAGGATGCCGGTGCCGCAGCCGACATCAAGGACGACTTTGTCTTTGAACAGGTGCTTATTCTGCAATATCGAATTGCGGTAGGTCTCCGTTCGAACAGTGTCCTTGAGCATCTCTTCGTGGATGCCAAAGTGCGCATAAGAATCCGAGTAGTAGTCTTGAGATGTGAGCTCGTTGAAGGACGAGTTCTCTCCTGCTTTGAGCGTCACCGTCACCGGCCCGTCTGCAGATAGTGAGGAGCTCGAAGTCGTCGGAGCAGCACCTGAGCTTGTGCTTGGCACTGCATGGCCATTCGGCAGATCGCTCATTGCCATTTTGACGTCTGTCATGCCTGGCGGTTGCGCTCTCCAAAATTTTGCGTGGCACGCGTGAACATTCGGCTTAGCGGCCCGCAAAATTGTGCGTTTGCCCCCAACCCTATAGAATCTCTCTGGCACAACGTCTTTCGAGGCAAGACTATGCTGCAAGCCGCCGCAAAAAAGGGCGATTCCTACACTGTGGATTGAACACAGGACGTCCGCGATTTTGCATGACGGATACCCTCGCGAGCGAGGATCTTCCAACATAAGCACGGCATCATAACCACTAGATGATGCAGGAACATTGGGACGCCACCGCGTGGTAGAATATATACTCTGCCTTAGTTGTTGGTCATGGGAGGTTACTCTACGCGCTCTGTTTCTGGCAGACTACAAGCTTCGTGTAATGCGATGCATGTCACTGTGCTATGCAGGACAACTCGGCATGCGGTGTGTACTGCTATACTGTGCACGCGACGCGGGAGCAGTCAGAGCTAGCGCTCACAAGCTGGCGAGGCGGTCGGAACCAGGCCTGCGCCGGCTTTGCGACGTATTGTCTGAGGCTGAGATGCGATTGGCTCGTTGTTTGGGGTGTCGACCTACGGCGCACCGTCTAGAGCTTCCTGTAGCTGTTCGACCTTTTCTCGAAAGTTGCGTGTGCGAGGCGCCATACTGAAGCGAATTAGCTTGGTATCTTTGGTACAGAAGCGACTCACACAGTGAGTAGGACTTCGATCTGACTCTTTAGCAGCTTGGTCGCCTTATTGCGATAGTGAGCATCCCGTTTGGCGGCTTCGATGCGGTCTGCAAAGGTCTTGAACAGACGATCGTCACGGCTGAATTGGTAGTACGGCAGAGCCTCGCCTGCTTTGTAGTGATCGAGCACGAGATTCCAAAGGCCCATGATGACAAGGTCTGCAGCAGAATTGCCAAGGTACGCCTCGGCGTCAGATATCATATCGGTCCGGCTGAGACTTCGGAATTCGGCCGTTGCGAAAGCCTGGATCGCCCTGCGAGCCATGGCGACAGGCCTGCCCTGCTTACCCGCCCGTAGTGCCAATGCGACGGCATTGGCTGTATCGCGTAAGAAGTGGTCGCCTTCACTCATGACGATGCATTGCAGATATGACGAGATGAGATCAGTCTGGTTGACCGCCAGCGAGTAGTTGATGGCCAGCTTCAGATTGGCGCGAACGGCTTTGAGCAAGTCGCGGGTCTTCCTGTCGATCGGCCCCTCGTCGAGCTGGTTGATAAAGCGCGAAAGTGCGCCCACAAGCAGTATAGATATGTCTCTGTGTGACTGTCCGATCCGCAGCGAATAGAGCAGGGGCGTATCGCCAGATCGCTGCTTGCCTACGAGCAGCTCAAAGGAAGCATCCCTAGCTTCAAACAGTAATTGGAGATCCTTCTTCTCGATAGCTCGCATAATCTCGTATGGCTGTATGGGTTTACGAGCGGGTTGCGCCTTGCGTAGTTTGGCCGGCGTCTTGCTGCTTACGGACGAGCTTTCGCTATTGGCTCTCGAGCGTTGTCCGTCCTTTGGCGAGGCGACCTCACTGACTGGACTCTGCGGCAAGTCGAGCGAGGTTGCACTGGCTTGGCGTATGAGTTCCCGAGTGTGCGCTTGCTTCGCTTGACGTGCTGCATCCTCGAGCAATCTCGAAAGAGGGGGCAGACCGGAGAGCAGGCAGACAGACGATGGCTGCTTGGTCTGAGCTACCGCCACAAACGCTTCTCCGTCGTCATCGCCGACCAGACTTGTCAGCACGTGCTCGTTGTTCGCGGTCCATGCCATCCCATGCTCCCGTGCCCGCGATGGTGATGACGCTGTCGTAGGCGAACACACGCGCGCGCGCCTCTGCTGTGATACGAGAGCCTGCCCGCACGTCGCCGTGTACAGAGATGAACTCGCTGTACACGCTCGCGACCAGGCAGACGGCCTCTATCTCGTCTGATCTGTCGAGATGGGAAGCAGGCATGCTGAGCGAGGGCGAGCGCAAAGCACTCATTGGTACGCTCGCCCCCAAATGCCAACTCGCCATCGCTGACACGCTCGACAGGACAAGTGACTGCCAGCTTGGCAGGTCTCTCGCGGACGGTCGACGACTACGAGAACATGTCGAGGCGAGAGCTCGTCCAGGAGAAGCAAGACAAAGCTCTGTTGCACGTTTGTTGCTTGCCACGTCGATCAAGTCTGATGGTGATCAACAGGAGGGTGGAGAAGTTCAAGAGCGAGTACGCAGAGCTCAACAAGAAGTTCCAAGACCTCAAAGCTGCGCCCGAATCGAACGCAACGAGCAATGCCTTTTCGTCTGGCGCGGCACATCGCAGATCATCCGTCAGTGGACGCAACGGCGCTTCCTCAGGACTGGCGGAGTCACCTTTTGCTTCATCTGCTTCATCTCGCTACCAGTCAGGAGCGCAATCTCGTCGGGAGGCCCTTCTGGGCCATCAGCCTCAACCGAGCACGCGTAGAATCGGCGCTGCGTTGGACGAGAATAGCTTTTACAACAATGCAGGCAGCGCCCTGGACGACTACATAGCTCAAGGACAGGCCATCCTTGGCAATCTTGGCAACCAGCGCGACATGATGAAAGGTTCGCTTCTCTTGCTCCCTCATCAGCGTCTGCTCACGGCAGATTGGCAGGCACGCAAAGACGATTACTGAGCGCGGCCAACACCCTTGGCCTGTCTCGTTCAACCATCAGTTTCATCGAGCGACGAGGCAAGAGCGACTCCTTCATCCTCGCGATCGGAGCCGTCTTTGTCTTTGTCTCGTTCTACTTCATCCTTCGCTGGTTTGGATGAACCCAAGTGCAAGTGCTACAACGACATATTGCGTAGAGCTACAACAAGAGGAACAGCGAGAAACACAAAAGTATCGTCAATGTCCTTGAATTCCCTATTGACTTGGCGGCATCGCTCTTGCGATCGCTTGAGCCAATGGGCTGAAGTCTTCCGCCCATACCGTTGCTACTGGCCAGCGCGGCAGGCGCCAGCGTCGTCGAATTGGCAGTCCCACTGCCAAAGTTGGCCGTCTCTGTCGGCGTCGAGTCCGCCAAGATGGCATCAGAGAAGAAGCAGACTGCGACGGAAGGAGCAGGCGCGGTGACGGTGCAGATGCCGTTTGTGCAAGGTGCTGTTGTCACGCTTACATTGCCCTGAGCTGTGCCATCGTAGCTGTCGTATGACTGTGAAGCCCAAGTGATGTTTTCGAACGCGGTCGAGGAAGCAGCCGACAGATACTTGACGTTGATCTGATCGCCAACGCCACTGATGGTTAGACTCGCAGTGTAATCGCTCGCCCCGCTGTTATCGGTCACATAGTTGATCAGAACAGCTCGCGCTGGCATGCCGGCCTCGTATATGATGTAAGCCGGCTGGACGTCATCTATGGTAGAGCTGAGATCGAGGACTTGGCTTGCGCTGCTGCTTCCCAAGGCCTCCGTCACTGCCAGACCGGCGTAGTACAACGGCCCAGTCGTCCAGCCGAGATACTGCGCATCGGTAGGTGGCGGTGTGAAGGGGTTATATACGACTGCAGACCCGCCGACATGGAATAAAGCCAGCGTGAAATTGCGCGTGGCCATCTGGAGGGCATAGTCGACCGCCCTGCTTTGTCTCAGCTCGATTTCGTAGAGAGGGGACAAAACCTACCAGAGAGCAGAAGCAAAGGCGTCGCTGATGCCCGGAAAGCCGCCGCAGCTTGCGGTGTTGGTCTCGAGCATATGGAACGGCTTCGACAGAGCTTGCACGACGGGCACGACTGTGTTGTATTGGTCGAGCAGATATGTAGCGCCACTGACGTCGAGGTAGAGGTGAGCGGTAGCTCCAGATGTTCTAGCAAAAGACGCACGTATGGTTGAGGTAGTTCTGCAGTACATTCTGAGGTACCACGGCGGTGCCCTCTGACTTGCCAACAGCGACGCAATTATTGTCAGGATCTGGCTATACTTCAGCTCGCGTCGCGTCAGCGTTATGTGACCGACTCACAATGTTGGACGGAGACAGAGGCCAGGCTGGTGCTATAAGCGGCGAGATAGCCGTTGGCGAGAATGTCCGTCATTGTCCAATCGCAGCAGACGCTAGGACCGGTGAATTTGTTGACTTGGGTTATCGTTGTGGGTGCAGTCGTTCCGTTGAGAAGCTCGATCTCCTCGCCGAAGTCGACGATGTATTCGGGTATAGTGTAATTGACTGGCCGCTTTCCGTTCTGTGAATACAAGTCAGGCTCGTTGCCTACTTGGAATGCGAGCAGGTTGTCGCCCAAGCTGGCCTCGAGCGCAGTCGCAATGATTGTAGGGTTAGTCGTGTTGGCTGGGTCGGCAAAATTGAGTCCGAATATCCATTGTGTTTGTACGAGCTGGGTCATGTTGAGCATGGTATCGAAGAGGGAAGGGCCCATAGTGAGGTAGGGCGTTTGCAGAGAGGAAGAGGACTGTGCTGTGCCATTGGTGATGATTGGGACAGGCTGGGCCGGTCGATATTCTGCTTGGTCTTGCGAGTTGCCTCCGATCCGTATGACTGTCCCCTTGCGTGCTCTAGCTTGATAGTCTGCGCGGCGGTCAGTCGAGCGCTTTACGCGGGCGAGCAGGGACGTACTCGATAAATAATTCAGCAGCGAGTTTTGCAGGGTGCCGGGCGAGTTCCCCACTGTCTATATGTGTCAATGAGCCATCCGTATAGCTTCTGTCTGGACGTACGGATCTGTGAGGCGACACTGAGCTCGATGCTCCATCCCCAGAAATTGCTAGGAACGGTAGTGCTAGCCCCGACAGGCACGCCTTCCCCGAATGAATATGCCACCGTCTTTGGCAGGTCTGGAGGGATAGCGGGCGGTGTGAGCTGGCGAGACGCAGCAGTGGCCGAAGCTGCCGCGGCGCCTGTGAGTGTCGGCGTGGCATAGATCGTCACTTCACTCGTCACGAGTACTGCCGACGCGAGCAGAAGCGCGAGGCACGCCAAGCATCGCTCCGTCATTGCTGTCGGGTCAGCTTGATCATGTTGCCAATCGGAGCTAGCATCTGAGATCGGACGACTCGAGTCTGAGGACCTGCAGGCAGGCAGGCGATTGGCTACTGTTACTTTTGACGAGCTCAACCGAAAAGTTCTGCGCGACTTGCCGGCTTCGAGTCGAAGAAACTCATCGAGTAGACCTCTCTTGTCGTCATGGCAGGCGCAAAGGGACGTGTACTGCTTGCTTACTCTGGTGGACTCGGTCAGCGTGAGCTTTGGGCTGCAGTGACAGGAGCTCATGGCGCGCATCTCAGATACGAGCTGCATTCTGGCATGGCTCATTGAGCAAGGCTACGAAGTCGTTGCCTTCAGTGCGTGCACGAGGGTGTAGACGAAGGAGCGCAAGCTGACTTGCGAATATGCAGTGGCCGACGTCGGCCAAGAGGAAGATTTCGAGGCCGCCCGCGAGAAGGCACTGAAAGTGGGCGCAATCAAGTTCTTCCTCGAAGTGAGTCACGCCGTCTTCACGAGCATGCCCAAGCTGACAGCAAGGTTGGACAGGATCTCAAGAAGGAATTTGTCACCGAGCTCATCTTCCCGGCCGTGCAAGCCAATGCCATCTACGAGGTCAGCATGATCGCAGATGGATGCAGCACTCCTCATGCTCAGACGGAAATGCACGCCGACAGGGAGTCTATCTGCTCGGTACCTCGCTCGCTCGGCCCGTCATCGCGCGCGCCATGATCGACGTTGCCGACCGCGAAGGATGCCAGTGCGTCACCTGACGGTTGCACAGAGCTTGGCACTGACGCGTGCGTGAGCAGATTCGTCTCGCACGGTTGCACAGGCAAAGGCAACGATCAGGTTCGATTCGAGCTTGCCTTCTATGCGCTCAAGCCCGACATCAAAGTCATCGCACCGTGGCGCATGCCAGGCAAGTCTGAAGCCTATCGTGCAGCAATTCTAGCGCTGATCCCCCTGATGGCAGTGTTCTACAACCGCTTTGCAGGTCGCGGTCACTTGCTCCAGTATGCGGCCGAGCAAGGCATCCCCGTCGTGCAGACGGCCAAGAAACCTTGGTCGACAGACGAGAATATGATGCACATCTCCTACGAAGCCGGCATACTCGAAGACCCCGACACGACACCGCCTGCGGATATGTGGAAGCTCACAAAGTCGATCGAAGATGCGCCGTCTGCTCCCGAGCGACTACACATTGTCTTTGAGAAGGGTCTGCCCGTCGAGGTCACCTTGCTCGACCAAGCCAACAAAAAGGTCACTGACCCTGTCGAGCTCTTCCTGACCCTCAACGCAATCGCACGCAAGCACGGTGTCGGCCGCTGCGACATCGTCGAGAACCGGTTCATCGGCGTCAAGTCTCGAGGCTGCTACGAGACACCTGGCGGTACGATCCTGCGCAAGGCACACATGGACCTCGAAGGACTCGTCCTCGATCGCAACGTTCGCGCACTCCGAGACGGCTTCATCACGACCGAGCTCAGCAAGATCTTGTACAACGGTTTCTGGTTCAGCCCTGAACGCGAATTCGTCACTGCTGCTCTGCCGGCCAGTCAGAAGGATGTCAACGGTCTTGTCCGCTTGGCGCTCTTCAAGGGTAATGTGATCATCGAAGGCAGATCATCGCAGACTGCTGCACTCTACGACGCTTCTCAGTCATCCATGGACGAACTCGGTGGATTCTTGCCGGACGATACGACCGGCTTCATCGCTATCGAGAGCATCCGTCTGCGAAAGTACGGCGAGGCACGCATCAAGCGAGGAGGCACTACCGGTCCAGAGATTCACCGCACCATCCTCTAGAGCTTTTCGGAATTAGAAATGTACCCTTTGCCGTTTTGACGTCGCGTCCATGTTGATACGTCGATGATGCTGCGAGCAAGCGCATCGAGTCTGACGAAGCGAGGCATAGCGACGATGGTAAGGCGAGCGACAGCAGAGCAGATAGCCGCAGTCGGTAATTACAGCAGCTGTGAGGTCAGCGGAGCCCTGGGGAGCCGTTAGGGACAGCAGCTGAGACGGATGCAAGCAGATCTCTGATGCGCTCATCAAGCTCAAACATCCCACTGGCGGTCTGCTGCCTGATCTAGACCTCTTCTCGCCTTCCTTGGCCAGCGAAAAGGCAGAGCAGACCCGCATCGTCGGCGAAGCCTTTACTGTCAAAGTCGGTCATTGGCCTTACTGGAATCCAGAGAGAGAGAGAGATGAAGCTCATGCAGCCCCGGGTAGATGATTGATGCTGCCGACAAAGATCAGACAAAGCCTCCGGAGCACTTTGTGAGTCTTCCTACATGACGCGAGTCTCGCCTTGTCTGACAGGACGGTAAGGTGGATGCTGCAGAGCCAGGTAGCATCATGGTCATCTCAGCTCCCGCACGTGCGTTCTCATCGGACCAGCCTACAACTCGGCTGAGCAGAGCAGCACAGATGTCAAATCAGCTGTTTGGGGAGGTCTCATGACCGCACGAGCTCAAGCACGCGGTGTAAAGGGGGTCATCATCGATGGTCGTTGTCGCGATCTGGGCGAGCACCGTCAAGCTAGCATGACGGTCAGTCCGACTTCCAATACGCTCCCCGAGCTTACAGATGTCAGTCATGGTAGGTGTTTGCAAGGGGACATTCCACGCTCGGCCAATCGCCTTTTACGCGCGTCAAGGCCTATCAAGTCCCACTGACGATACAGCCTCACCTACCGGCGCATTGTCTCACAGCGACATACGACCTTCAGAGCACTTTCCAGCCTACTTCCGTCAATCCCCACGATATCGTTGTGGGCGATATAGACGGTGTCGTCGTCGTTTCGCCCGATCGCGTCGATGAAGTTCTCAAGCTCTGCGAGAAGGGCCGAGCAGTAGATGCAAAGTGCATGGAAGATCTTCACAAGGGACGCTCGATCAGAGAAACTTTTGCAGCGCACCGGGGCAAATAGCCCACGCTCGCGGTCCAGGCCGCGAGGCGTTGGCCCCTGCCTCGCCATTGAGCTCCATCTTTGCTTTTCGAGCGTAAAGAGATTGGCGCACAATGTTCTTCTGGACATCCATATGGCTATTCTCGCTCTCAGTTGGCTCGAAGCCAATCAAGCAGCGGTTATCGGCGCCACAGAGTGCGCCAACGATGACGGAGCTTGATCTGCAAAGGCGCATCTTGCCCTTTCAGCGCACTTACACTATCGAGATCAGCTTTTCGGTCAGATCAATCGCTCACAGCCAGGTTCCAGGCTGAGGCATTGCGTTCGGCAGACTAGATGCGAGTTCAGCACCGCGATGCTACCCGGCGTGTTCGAGTCGGCTCCTGTTGTGCGTTTTTGCATCTGTCGGAATGCCAGCACTCAAGCCTGATTGTCCAGCGCGTCTCTTCCACGTGTAGGAAGCCTCTCTATGGCAGCCTGAGCTGCGGCTTTGTCAGTTCATTCCTGAGTGTTGCGGGCTATGCTCATTGCTTGACAGGAGACGAACCCTGAACTGACGGTGGGTCCGACGTCATATTCACAGAAACCGGCTGATGGTTGCAAAGATCTCGTCATCAATCTGGGGCCACTAGCTGCGCAATATGTCGATGTCATCGTGTCCTTCAGCCGGCGTTCACGATCAGAGCCATGGCACTCGTGCTGCAACAGTCGCTTTCGCGCAGAGTACGCGCGCCCCTTGCTGGCTGGAGATGAATCTCAAGGCGTGAGCAGATTTACCGTCAAGCCGTCGGACAGTAACAGTCAGTGATCTGTGTGTCGCTTGCCGATGACAGGCTCATCGACGAGCAGAAATGATCTGGGTACCAAAGTCATTCTTCAAGCTGCATAGTACACCAGCAGGCAGCATCTACTCGCCACCGCCGTCCTTTTGCAATCGCCTCCACACCGCGCCACCGGGTGCGAATCAGGGTCGTATCGATTCTGCAAACGCTGAAAGGCTCAGGCAGACGCGGTGGCAACGTGCGAGCCCGTCCAGGGCAGGATTTTCCTCGTCGACCCAGGGCCTTACACGCATTAAAGTCGGACGGAGAGAATTGCAACATATTCGTCAGCATGAGCTGGTCTGCCCCTGCGCATGCGCGTCGTCATGAGCACGAGCTACCCTCACATGCTACTCTCCTTTGTCGTCTTCACCTCCTATTTTTATTCGGCAACGCTCAAACGAGAGCGCTATTCCACATTCCTGTTCCGCTGCCAAGAGAGCGATGCTAAAGCTGCTGTGTGCAAGCCTGCTCGTGCGCTTTGGCTTGGTCATTTGCGCACCTGCCTCGGATGCACCCTTGGATCTGATCAGCATCAGCCGTTCAGCAGAGGCTACCCCAATCTCGTTCGGTGCCGTTGGACCCATCCGCTACCGGGTCAAGATGCAAGCTCGCGTCAAGACTGGCTGTGGGTCCCACCTGATGTGCGTGCAGGGCATACTCGATCAGTTGCGATCATCCCAGGGCCCAAGAGCCAGCCGAATACGAGTCAGAAGTCCGAGCAATCTGCTGAAGATCGTCTGCTCTGAGCTGAAGCAAAACGCAGCATGTGTTCTATATCTCGTGCACTCGGCCTAGCAAACAGCCCCCGAACTGCGAGATCCTGACCGTCATCGAGGGCGTCTCGGTAGGCTTGCCATTTAAAAGTCTGCATTGAGCGCATCCGACTCACCGAGCGACTGACAGTTCGATCTCGTTCTGAACATCTATGACGAAAAGACGTACTCTGCAAAGGCGCATTGGAGCGTTCGTCATACAGACTCGCCTTTCAAAGAATGCTGTCTCTTCACCTTCTTTGGAACGTAAGCACAGCTCTGTGCGGTATTTCTCGTACTCATCGGACGATCTAGCTTCTACATCAAACCTTTGAGCAAAAAGAGCACGTCTTGACGATAACGTCATCAGACGCCGAACCCGTCGCTGATCTTGGCCGCAGAGGAGCTACTCAGCGTCAAGTCGGAGTACAGATTGGGCTGCACGACGCGCACATCGGAATTCACTCCCTTGCCCACGCTTTGTCTGCCTTTTTTGATACAAGACGCGCAACAGTCGCAATGGACGTGCACACCACTGAAGCCGGTTCAGATCGAGCTTCTGACAGACAGCGCCTCTTCTTAGATGCAGACCTTCCTCCTCAAATCCGAAGCACGAGGCATCTCCCAAATTGGTCACTCTGAGCCAGCCTGCTTGTGTGCACATGTGGACGAGAGTCACGCGGTGACGCGCCGCGTCGCGTCAAATTGCGTGAACGGATGCTAACATTGCGTACGATAGCACTGCTGCTCATAGCTATACTCTATCGAATGATGACGGAGCATGCGAATGAACGTCGCTACGGGTCGACAACTTACCAAAGCTCGCAGTCGCAACGAAACATTGACAAGATCCCCGACTTTTCATTCTGTGGTTATGCGGCGAGCGAACGACCTTTGCCCGATCAGCTGGACGTCGTCACGCTTTTGCAGCCATCAGGCGACTCCCGAGATCGTACGACCGACATTCAGCGGGCTCTAGATGCAGTGCACAACGTACAGCCGAGGACGACGCCAGCAGTTGTCCTGCTACGTCATGGCGAGTACGTCTTGGACAGCTCGGCGAGCATACTCATCCATAGCAACGTCGTCCTTCGCGGAGAGGCTTCATCTACCGGACAGCTCACCAAGATGATCATACGAGGGCCGCCCCGCGAGGTCTTCGTCTTTGGCAGATCAGACATCGGCCGACAGCGCAATCTGGGCAAAGCTCGTATACTGGACAATTACGTACCCGTGGGCTCAAGAATAGTACGTGTGGACGATGTGGCTCCGTTCGCGACAGACGGAGAAGTCGTTGTCGAGCGCAACGTATCGCGAGAATGGATTGCAGCGATGGACATGGACAAGCTCGTGCGTGATGGCAAGCAGCAGACTTGGTTGCAGGAAGGTACAAAGATCTACCATAGACGCAAAGTCAGCAGAGTAGTCTCGAAAGACTCGTCTGGAGGTCTCGTCGAGCTTGACATCCCTCTTGTCGATTCGCTCGATACAGCATACCGCGCTGATGGTCAGCTTATTGCGGTGGTACCACCAGAGCAGACTCAGCAAGCTGGCCTGGAAGGCTTCGCCCTCGTCTTATCACCCTCTTGGGCATCCGTACCACTAGACGGGACGCCTAACTTTCTTGCGGTATCCGTCAAGGCCTACGTGCAAGATATCTGGTTGCGGGATCTGCTCATCATCGGCTTTCGGGATGGGATTGTGCTGGAAAACAACGCACGGCGCATCACACTGCTCCGCTGCAGATTCATCAAAGATGCGCCTTCGAATGCAGCAAGAGGATTGCCATCAGAGATTTCCCTGCGCGCTACACAAGTCCTGATCAAAGATTGTAGCACAGACGCAGTACATCGAAGCGACTCGTACTCTGTAGTCACCCAGGCCAAAGTGACGGGTCCGAATGCAATCCTCAATTGGTCTAGTACGGGACAAGGCAAGCTTATGCTCTCGCCGCATCAGCGATGGGCGACTGGCCTGCTCGTCGACAATTGCCAAGCGACGAAGATCGAGTTTGGCAACAGAGGTATCATGGGCTCCGGACATGGATGGACTTGCGGCGCTTCGGTCGTTTGGAACAGTCGTTCTGATATTCTACAGATCCAGAGACCGCCTCTATCGCAGAACTACGCGATCGGTTGCACTGTTGGCCAGCTGGCAGGAGGCAAAACCAATGACGGTTTGATCGAATCGCTGGGGCATCGCGTGCTGCCTGCCAGTCTGTATACTGCACAGCTAGAAGCCAGGATAGGCGTAGATAGAGCGCATGTTGTACTCAGCCAGTAGAATCAATAGATTTCGATCGAGGGAAAGGCGTGCGTTGTGACGGTGACTGAGCCGCCTGCAGGAATCTTCTCTAGCGTACCGTCGTTGCAGACCAGTCCGTGCTTCTCGCTGGTCTGATCTCGAGGCGTGAATGTGAAAGTGGTGCAGCGGTAGATCTCAACATGAGGCGAATCAATGTGCTTGCCGCCGTTATACATTGCTTCGAATACTTTGCCCATCGTCCCTGCGACCATCTCGCGCGTCGTTTTGCTAGCGTTGCTTATGTCGTGACCTGATTGGCTAGGTCGCATGAGGACCAGATCGATGGTACCTGCCGGAGCATCCCGTCGCAGAGGGTCGACGATAAAGGTCGGCTCGAATCGATCGATGAGGCTCGAGGCGAGGTACAAGAATGGTCCGTCGAGCGTGACGGGTCCATCGCATGACGTGAAGGACTTTGAAGCTGGACTGTACAACTGTATATCTTGGCCTTTGATCTCAAGCGTGCCTGCGTGCCACTCTGTGACGTTTTGCATGGCAGCCAGCTTGAAGCGGTCTATCCCAGGATGCTGTTGACGCATCTTTTCGGCATCGTGTAGGATAGATGCATGCAGCGCGAAAGAGACGACGACATGCGCGTATTGTGTCGAGCCAGAAGGGGAAATGACAGATTTGGCCATTGTCAGAGCGACCGGCTTGTGGCGCAAAGTCACCAGATCAAGCAGACCAGCGAATAGCCTCGGATGATACTTCTGCAGCTGCTCTGGCGGGTGAAGCCAAGCGTCAAATGCGTTTGCCGTGCCCACGGGCAGTGTGGCCAGCTCGAGCGAGACGTTTCTGATCGGCTGAGCGGCAAGGCCGTTGAGAAGCTCTGACATGGTACCATCGCCGCCACAAACGAGTATCTGGGTATGCTCGCCCAATCTCAGAAGAGCCGGGGCTAGCTCGTCCTTGATCTGAGCAGCAGACTGGGTGATATGCACTTGGCTCTGTCGACCGAGCGCTCGCAGGAGAGACACAACAATTCGTTCGGCAATCACTCGCGCTCGGCCCTGAGAAGCAGATGGGTTGACGACGAGGTGGACGGGTGCAGTGGAGCTGCTCAGCTCGTGAATGAGCTCCGAGGGGACGTGCTGCTTCAGGGACGCCCAGCTGGATTGAGCAAGAACAAGGGCTCGTAGCGTGCTGCCGGATGGCTTGCTCGTATCGATGGCAGCACGAGCAGCATCCGCATAGAGCAACAATGCTGTTTCATCGCTGTCGTAGACGACAGCCAAGATATCCTTGACGCCAACGCTGATTTGTGCCGCTGCGTCGACGCAACCCAATTTTGCCCATTCTGGTCTGGTGATCTTGGTCTCGGTCTTGTGAAAGGCGAGCAGCGAGCCCTCGGCCGGCTCACCGCTGACCTCGTACAAGCTCATAAGTCGACGCCTTTGTTGAAGCGTTGGATCGATAGAAGCCCGTCGCGTGACTCGCGAGCCGCCTTTGTCTCTCGTCCTCATGGCTCCTGCGCCTTTGATCGTCCATCGGGCTATATATCTGCAGTCCTGTCTCTTGCTTCTCAGGAACCCTTCGATGCGCATCTTCTCGTTTGTACTCGCTTGCACGGTGCTGGTCACCTCTCTCGCCACCATCAGCGCCGGACGCTCAATACCTCTTCGTCACACTTCTTTCGAACGGCTCGGTGCGTCACACACTTCCACACACACACCCTCGTTTCGACCAAACTTCCGCTGATGAAGCTCAGCAGATGCAACATTGCTCGAACAGCCCCGCGAGATATCGCCACGAGCAGCAGATAGTCTAAAACTCAGGCGGCAAGGCTTCCGTTTGGCTCGTCGTGACTCAGACGTGTCTGTCATTGGATTTGCTGCACGTGTGTTTGCTACACCTGTCAGCGATATCGACGTACTTGGTTTCAGTCTCGTCTCCGTCACGAGCACGGCATCATCATCAGACTCGAGCGCCATCGCTAGCTCAGTTGATCAGACGATCAGCTCGTCAGTGCGGTCGAAAACGCAAAGCTCAACTACACCGCTTGAAAGCGGGATCAACACTTTCACGACCAGCACGAAGAGTGTCTCGTCAGCTTCATTGACGCGACACGGTCGACCAACCGTCACAGCCTGGACGACCGTTACACACACGAGCACTGCTACACCGAGACAGACGAAGAACAGTGCATCCTTCTACACGATCACAGCGACAGCGACGGCCGTCGTTACGCAAGTCATTGCAGCTTGAACCTGCATACGTTGTATCAGCTCCGCCCTGCGATTAATCGGTGATTCCCGCACTATTGCAAAGTAGCACTCGTATGTGTGTGTGTTGGCTCTGTCGGTGCAGCAGGTGGCGGTAGTCGCGTAGTCTTGCTTTGCGCGATGTGAACCTGGTCTGGAAGCTCGGGCGAGGCGAGCAGAGTCTGTGAACTCTTCATTTTGGCACGCTGCAACAGAGAAGCGGCAGGTTGCAAGGCGGCATCGGCGACCCTCCGACGCGTGTATTTCTCGTCCCACTTGCGAAACGCAACTTCGCGAGAAGCAACGAGGTATTCAACGTGAGCCAGAGCCTCGCTCGAGCCTGCCTTGAGCTGCTTTGCAAACGTTTTGGGCTGGTCTTTTGCAAGTCTGTGGGTGAAATAATCGATGGCTGTCCGTCTATCTCCGCCAGAGCCATTGAGTCCAGATAGCATACGCTCCGCAATTCGCAACTGTCGTCCTTCGCGATAGGCGTGTTGACCAGCCGAACGCGTATCTGCGAGACGCACCGCATCCTCGGTCATATGCGTCAGCAGCGCTAGCTCGCGCTTGACGTATGCCATCTCCTCCAAAACACGAGCTTGTTCGTCGGGGGACAGCCGCCTGAGCTCATCCGAGTGAAAAGAGTGCCAGTCAGAGAGTGTCCGGTAGACCCGCATGAGCGGCCTCATAACCCTGTCGATGATCGTATCGGCAAATTGGCGGTCAAAATTCAGACTGAGAGAGTCGTAGAGCATGGCGACATCGCTCGACCGCAATCGTATGGCAACCTCTGGCGTGGGTGCGCCTGATCTGATAGCTTGTAGCCACTCTAGACATTGTCTGCGGGCGCGGTCTGCCCAATCGCTGGCATAGAGCGTCGCTAAACTCAAATGAGGGCGCGAGTCGTTGACGAGGGCGTCGAGGAGATGATACATTGCCTTTGTCGATACGAGCGGATAGCGTAAGCTTCCGGTACGCGGCTGACCTGGCAATGAAGGCTCGTGCATGACCTCGTAGAAAGCGACCAGCTTGGTTACGTCGCCCTCCCGTGCCAGTCGAGCGATGACTGTCGTAAAGACTTCGGCATCAAATCTGCAAGGGTTGTGGACGGCTCGGATGGAATCAGTATGGCCTTCCTGTCGCACCGGCCGGACGAGTGTGTCCGGAAAGTCAACGTCGACATGGAAGAGAGCTTTGACGACGGTCTTGAAGGTAGAGAGGTCACAAGTGTGTGCGACCGCCTGGAGGCCGGCATGCATCGTCTTGATCTCGTGCGAGAGGCCGAGGCTATTGACGCCTTTTGCAGCTTCTGCTCGCCAGGAGATTGCCTCGTCTAGCCATTGCACGGCAAACGAAGCCCACTGCTGTCTGGCAGACTCGACTTGTAATCTGTGAGTCTCGCGTGCGGCTCTGGGAAAAGGCCATTTCGATAGGGATGCCAAGCGTGCAGCGTCGGCTCTGGTCGCTACATGGCGTGCGATAGATTGTAGCGCGAGACGGTACGTCACGTCTTTGGGCACAAACCACCTCATGAGTCTTTCGCAGCCTGCAGGATAGCCAATCTCTGCGTAATAGCGCATGACGAGATGGAAGTCGCCGGTGTTGGTATAGGTTCCTGCCCTACTTTCCGCCGCTACTTTGGCATGATAGCCTGCCATGAGATCGAAAATGAAAGTGAAGCGCTCTTCTGCTTGGGCTGCGAGGGCTTCTTTCGCTTCGTAGTTGTGCGCCTTAACGTCGACGGGTAGCATGGGCGCGACATGCTTAAGCAAGGCTCTGAGCAAGTGTATATCGCTCGCGAGCAAGTGTGACTGTCCTCTCGCTTCCAACGCAAGTAGTACAGCCCAGGTAGCGTCCGGAGGGAGCTGCTGCTGCTTCAGTCTACGAATAATCTGCTCTGTCGATAAAGTCTGGCTCTGCTTAAACGTTCGCATTGCCGTGCGCGGGTCGCTCTCCTCTTCTCGTGCAGAGTCTATGAGGTTCATGCGGGATTGCGCCTCTTGGTCACGCCTCTGAACGAGCGCTTCTCGCTCAGCCGGGCTCGGTTGACGCTGTTTTGCTCGCCGTTTTGCTCGAGCTGTGCGCGGGATGGAGACGGCAGTCGCATAGCCGGCAGTTGCAGTCGACCGCAGACTGGCTGACAGTGCTGCATGTGCATGCTTTGAGCAGCCCACGAGCATGGAGCCTGCTCGACTGAGCCGGGAGTTGCTGATGCGCTGATTGCCTTGAACGTCGAACGCGAAAAAGAACGAGACAGGTCGAGGACGATCTCATGAGGCTGTGGCTGCTCTTCCTCGGCTCGGCGAGCTCACTTGCGGCAGCCGAGTATGTCTTCAGCGACAGCGCAGATTCCGTCGGTGCTCACTCGCAAAGCTATCCCCTGACGACTTGCAATGGTCTCACAATCGGCAGCACAACCTCGAGCATTGAAGTTCCTAGTAGCTTGGTCACAGTGTGCATCTACCGCGCAAGCCTCGATGAGACCGTCCACGACTCACCGCCCAGCATCGTAACTTGGCAGCGCAGTATCAGCCATGGCCTCGATACAGCTTTACGGCAGCAGACGCGCATCGCACAGACCGTGTTCAGCAAAAGACTGCCTCTGGAGACTCAGCTCGAGGTATTGCATCAGGCAGGCGATCGACATACTATCGTACTGAGTCTGCCTAGCTGGCTCCTCCCTCGGATAGATGAGCTCTTGCCATCAGACGCCAAAGTGACGCTCGTATCATCTACGCCCCTCGAGGCAGTGCCCAAGCATGCCATAGAGCGGCTTGAGCAGCTCACTGCATCATTGAGATTCTCGCCCAAGTATGATGCCGCCCTCTCGAGTATGTCAGAAGTCGATATCGCCGCAGATCTCGCCGTCCTGACTGGTCAACGGCCCGACGCGCCGTGGATCACGCGACACTCGTACACGTCTGGCGCGAGGCAGGCTGCGCACTGGCTCAGGAAGCAGATAGAGCAGGATGAGCGTGCCAATTGCACTTTTGAGCATTTCAGAGCCGCCTTCGCGCCCAACGTCATCTGCCGCTTCACGGGACGCAAGTCCGGCAGCAAGGTCGTCATCCTCAGTGCTCATCTCGACTCGCGGGGTACTTTTGGCGAGGTAAGGGCGCCAGGAGCAGACGATGATGGCTCGGGCACCGGGGGCATACTTGCTGTCGCACGGGCAATACGCAACTATGTCGAATCGTTCGAACACGACGTCATGCTCTGTCTCTTCGCCGGCGAAGAACAGGGTCTCGTTGGCTCGCGAGCTTTCGCGCCCCAGGTGAGAGCAGCAGGTCTGGATGTCATCATCATGCTTCAGTCGGATATGATAGCCTACCGAAAGCCAGGCGAGCCACTCCAGCTCGGCTTTCCCGCAGACGGTACGGCTACCGCTGCAGCAACTGACCTCGTCAGCAACATCAGCAGCATGTATGCGCCACAATTACGTGTTGGCCCAACAAGAGCCTGCTGTTCCGACCATCAATCATTCTTCGAGCAAGGCCTAGCGAGCACGCAGCTTTTCGAACGTGCAGGCGATATCGCCTTGCCTGTGTACCACGATTCCCACGATCTCACGACGCAAAAGGGTTACGACTTCTATCAGCTCAAGAGCATTGCCCAAGTCATGGTCAGACAGTCGCTTTTCGCGCTAAAGGGTACTGATATGTTTACATACAGCTTGCGACGGTGCTTGTGACTGGCAATGCTACCATTGTATGATGACACATTAGCTTGCATTCAGTACATGGGTATCTTGGTCTAAGAGTCTTTTGCCAGGATGGCGCGAGCTTTGGCCTCGTAGAGCTCGAAACGCTTCTCAAACGATTCACACACTAGTCTGGCTACGTCCTCTGATCCTGGAACTTTGTCCGCTGCGCAGCTGATCGAGAGCTTGCCAGCGTAAGAAATGATGCCGATGGCGCATGTGCCTTCTTCGCCCTGTGGTGGCAGAGCGCACCATTGGGTGACCTCAATACCGTCGATCGAGACGGGCTTTTGCGAGGGGCCGGGTATGTTGGTGCAGATGACAGAGATGGAGCGCAAGCTCTGTTTGATGCAGGGTATAGCGATGTACTTGCGAACGAGATTGTAAGGATGGTCATAGAGCGAGTATGGGAACGGGAACAGGATGGGTGCATTGCCGAGTGCGTTGATGAGGTAGAAGAACCATGCCGAAAGCGGCGAGGCTTTCATCACGGCCATTTCTGCCTTTGTTGCATGGATGTGCTTGTGTAGCTCGCCAAATGTTGGAGTTGGGCCGGCTTGCTTGCATGGCTTGAGGTACGCAATCGAGGCCGTTGACAGATTGCGCATATCCCATTGGCCTGGCGCTCGCAATGAGATCGGAATGAGGAATGGCACGACGTCCGGTAAGAAGTAGCCAAAGAAGCGTCTCGTTGCGCCACGCCAGCCAGGGTCAGGATCGCGAGAGGCGACGACATCAGAGATGACGTCGGACATGATGGCGCAGATGACGTCGTTCAGAGTGACATGACCATATGCGCGTACGCTCGGTATCTTTTTGCCTCGACGAGGAGCTGGGCCCGAGAAGGCTTTCTGCATCGTCTTGATGATCTGGACATCGAACGATCTGTGACGATTGTCAGCCAATTTGCCTGCACCATGACGACTATGCGCACTTTGAAGAACTGTAGACGCGGCCTTCGACACGAGGACCAGCGTAGGTTGGCGTGACGTATTTGATACGGAACCAGGTTGTGCAGAACATGAATGAGATGTAGAGAGCTTGTGAGATACCGTAGAACACGCCGAGAAAGCTCGTGACGATGTAGCCAGTCCAGAAGAGAGCAGCCATGGCGAGGTGAATGAGAGGAGCAAGGGTATCCTGCTGCTCGTACTTGTCGAGTGGCTTAAGACCCTTGTGGATCTTTGACGGCTTGACCTTGCCCAACTTGGCATCTGCCAGCAAAGCCGCGCCGCCATCCATCTGCTTGATGAGCTCATCGCGATATGATGTAAGGTACAGTTGTGATAGGACGAAGCCTTGACCGTCTGCGAGCGTATGATGGCCCCGAGTGACCATGGCGGATTTCGATCCACGATCATCATGATAGTCTTCGATCAGGATCGTCTCCCATAGCGGTCTCGCACGGTCGTAGTCTTTGCAAATGAAGCTACCCATGTATTCGTCCAGTTCGGCCTTGCCAGATTTGCCAGGCAGCGTGACGGCGTTTACATGATTGGCAATGTCAAAGGAAGGATCAAATTCGAATTGAAGCCCGTGCCACTTGCGACCGTGATCGATGAGACGCTGTCTATATTTTGGGAATCTGTCCAGTTGGATCTTCATCGCCTTTCGGAGCTTGTCGATCGACATGCGCTCTTTGAAAGTGTAGGTGCACGCGCAAGTCGCGTTAAAGGTGGAGACATCTTCGAGCTGCAGCCACATGTGATCAATCCCGCCTTCTACCTTCTTCCTGTTCTCCAATTCATCCTCGACAGCCTCCTGAAAATCTTCAAGCGCCTCTTGCCAGTCACCAAGTGCCAGAATCTTGCGAGACGCCCATCCTCCCAGTCCATTCTGCTTTTCGAGCTGGAGCAGATTGCGCTCGAGCTTCTGCTCTGTCGAAAGAGCTCGCGGTCTCATCGCTGGCGGCTTCGTCGCTGAACCGTCGCCCATGGTGTGTTGACCAAAGAATTTGCGGCGAGCCGGATAGCAACTTCAGCGCGGGGTTGGGGCTACCCGCTACCCGGCCGCCGGACCGACGTCATTTTGGATTGCCGCGCGACTTCGACACGTCTCTGAGGTTAGGCACAAAAAGCTCATCAGCCCTTGTCCACCCTGCCTCTATCTCTCCCTCTCTTGCACCGATATACACACGTAAACAAACACGTATCAAGACACTTTCACAAGCAGTCGAAGCAGGATGTATCGTTATACTCTCATCGCCGCATTCGCGACTCTCGCAGCCATCCAGCCGTCGAGTTCGAGCGATGTCTCGCCTGCTAGTCTCGGCGCGACAAGCAAGCAGCCAGATTTCGGTGTTCTCAATGGCGGAGGTCTCTATAAACGAGAGGACGACAATGTCATCGGCAACACCGGAGATTCCAATGGCGCAGGGAGTGGGTTTGCCATCTTGCGCGCAAACAGGCGCTGATCTTGATTCCGCAGACTCGGCTCAGCAGGGCACCGCCAATGGTGACCACAGTCTCTACGGTGTAGCAAATCTCAATTCGCCCTTGCTTGCATATAAGCAGCCAGGCGCTAAAAGCTCTCATGAGCACAGTCATGCAGAAGGCGCGACCGCCTATAAGTGCAAGGTACGTCCCTCTCCGCAGCAGCAGAGCGAGTCTCACTGGCTCTCAGCGCGGCGGTGATGATGTTTCGTGCAATACCGGCTCGAGCAATGGCGTGGGTAGTGTGTCGGACATGCTGTCCCTTTCGCGCTGTACTAAACTTCGCTCTCTCAGATTCTGCTCAGCAGGGCTTCGCGAACGGTGACAGTAGTCAATATGGCGTCTTGAACGCTAATGCACCCCTGCTCGAGTATGATGCGCCCAAGTCGTCCGTTTTCACCAAATGCAAGGTATGTAAAGTTCGCTGCGCTGGCTAGCATCATCCGTGCTGAGCTTGCCGACAGCGCGGTCAATCGGGTGCCGAATGCCATCACAAACGTCAAATGGACCTATTTACTACCAGCAAGACGCTGCTTCCCGGATCGAAAGCGTCGGACCAGCGAGATTCGAGCAATGCAGTCGGTAGCTCGCATCAACAGGGCACATTCGAAGGCAAAGACTCTGGTGATCCTCTCAGTCTTCTCACGGCTGGAGATGGTAGCGCAAGCACTGCTGACACCAAGAAGAATCACCTGCATCACCGTCGACCGCTCAATTGCAAGCGCGATGGCAATTGCGTAAATGACAACTCAGGCGATAGCACGGGCGTTGGCAATTCGGCCCAGCAAGGCACGTTCACGGGTGACAACTCACCCATCGGTGTCATCAATGCCAAGAAATCCGTCTTGCGCCGTGCAACTGACGTCGAAGCACCCGCCGGTCTCGCGAACAAAGACGATCACGAAGTAAGGTTCTGCCCAGCTGCTATCCTTGCACTGAATACAAGGAAGACAGTACTCAATTCTTCAGCTGTAGCGTTCACGAACATTCTCGATGTATAAGTAGACAGGAATTGCAATGGACAATACGGATCGGATATCCAAGTATACAAGAAACTTCGAAGTGCGTCTCGTGAGTGGTCGTGTCCTTTGCAGATTAGTGATGGGTTTGGTGTTGCTGGGGTTATATCTTGTGGCAGCGTTTGAATTGCACGTATGCTTCTACGAATTGAGTAGGCTGGCCCAACTGGCGTGTGGACCATCGGTGCCGGCAGCAGCAGCGGCCGCGAAGAAAGATGTCGTGCGAGATTTCGAACGCGATCGCGTGCGAGTGCCTCTAGCTCGCTTGGGTATCTGCGACCCATTGGGCATTCCGAGCAATACGCCACCGCCGAGAACGCCGACTTTGCCATTCGAATGTTCGACGACGACGCCAGTATTGGATGATCTGACGGAAGTGCTGGAAGAGTGGTTCGACGAGCTCGAGGCATTCGAAGTCATTGAAGCAGAATGCAAGTGACCTCTCTGACGGCGAGCTTTATTGGGCGAACCAGGCGCAGAACGGACGATATTCATTCGAGGCGCATGCACGGGAATGGCGTACGTCTCACTGTTGTATTGCGAAGCGGGCGCGAGTGGCAAGGCAAATTCGCCGTCGTATTCCGGAGAGCTCTCTTTCCTGGCTATAGGAGGCTGCGACCAGCTCTGCTGGATATCGACACTGCCCGAAGCAGACGAAGTGCGCGACAGAGTCGATGTCCGCGAGCACGGCCTAGCGAACAGATCAAGTGAGGGTGTTGCGAGCATCGAAGAAGTGTCGGACATCAATGATGATGCTTCCGATAGCGGCGAACCGATGTCGAAGCCAAGCAAAGGCGTACTGCCTATAGAATCGGTATCGAGCGAGGAGCGCGGCGAGATCTCGCGTTCCACAAATGCAGGCAGTAGAGTCGTCGTGGATTCAGACGATGTACTGACATCGGAAGAACTAGCAGCTGCGGCAGTGATCGTGATCAAGGAGTCTGTGAGTGGCTTTGGCGATTCCCTTCGTGTTGAAGGGTCTATGATTTGAATCGCTCTACTCTTCTTGCTTGGGCTAGCAACGGCCGAGGCCGTGTCTGTCTTCGTCTCTAGAGCAGCATCGATGTCGCACAGACTGAAAGATCGCACGATGGCATGCAGACTGCGAGCAGAGCTTGAACTTGGCAAGGATGATCTGCCCGGCGCTGGGTATATTTCTCGAAAGGTGTTCGCATTGCTTTCGCCCTGACGGAAGAGGACAACATCTGGATCAACCCAGAGGGTCCATCTCTCGCCAAGCCTCAAGAGCTGATGAGCTACTGTTTCGACAGGAAGCTCGGCAGCTTGTGCTGCCTTGATGAGCTGGGTATCAAAGTGATGTGTATCATGTGTTGGTCCGGATCGAGACAGAGAGCGATATGCCGAGCCTCGCTCGGCGTCATTTAGGTGCCAGTGGTTGACGTATCGCAGCTCGAGACTTGCCCGCAGACTCGAAGCGAATCGCTCTGCTTGCGTTTGTGTGACTGAGCTAGGCGGAGCAGTCAACTGCTCTGTGAGAAAGCCAGCCGCTGCGGCGATCTCCTTCCGCATCGCGAGCTGGTGCTCCAAGTCAGTCCTATATCGCGTACTTGGTAGCGTCAGCTCACCTTGGCTGCGTGCTGTTCTGACTGTCCGGTTTGGATGTGAGTATGCGAAGTTCCGAGATCTCGCGTGAGTAGACGTGATCGAGCGAGCTGCGCCCCTCCAAGAAAATCAATTGACGTGCTGATACGATTGATCAGCGCGAGCTGCCTCGAAGGCCAAAGTATCGATCAGCCTTTGCCAGATCTTTACCATTCGTCTAGGTCCAGGCTCTGGGTACCCAAGATGCTCTTGCGGGGGACTCGAGAGATCTTGCCGGCGAACGCACCTGTGCAGTCATTCTCCGAGCTCGGTATCCGCGATCCAGGCGAGCGACCTGAGAATCAACGCATGCGTCAGCTGGTCCATTCGCCTGATGGATGGGACAAGGCATGGCAGGCAGGCTCCACACCTTGGGACAACAATGACATCCAACCGGGCTTGAGTGAACTTTTGGAGGAGCTGCCGATCGGCAAAACACTGGGTCAGCCCGGCAAGACGGCAATCATACCTGGCTGCGGGCGAGGGTATGACGTGGCCGCGATAGCTGCACGATACGAGATGGACTGCGTCGGTCTTGATATCTCGCCGACCGCTGTCGAAGCTGCAAAGGTCTGGTACGCTGCACAGCCGAATCTTTCGGACCGTGTACGGTTTCAGTGCGGCAACTTCTTCGACTTTGAGGTCCCAGATGACAAATTCGCTCTGGCTTACGAGTATACATTCCTATGTGCTTTGCCGCCCAGCATGCGCAAGGCATGGGGACAACGCTTTTCAGAGATCATGGCGCCCGGCGGTCATCTGATCGCACTCGTGTTTCCCATGGATGGAGATCGCGCAGGCGGGCCACCTTACTCTGTCGATCTGGATCTCTTTGATGAACTCTTGCCCGATTTCGAGAAGATCCACCAGAGCGCGCCCAGTCATCCCGCACCCGGCCGAGAGCGGCGCGAGATGATCACAGGTGCGCTGACCGCCTGGTATGTTTGGTTCTTACTGACAGACGCGTGCAGTCTGGAAGCGCAAGTGAGGACGCAATGTCTGTACATCATATAGTCAAGACTGCATAGAATGGCAGAGTATCTAAGGCGGTGTACGAAGCTCCACGAGGGTGAGGGAATCCTGGCCCCGACTCCTTCGCCAATGGTTGTGTATGTCCAGCATGGTCTGGTCCATGAGAAAGCTGCATGTTACAGATTAGCCCGGAGTTGAAGGCAAGCCAGGGCAAGTTGACTGACGCATATTTGCGCATGAAGCGTTCCGACATTTCCCAGTTATTCGGATCCAGGCAATTCTCTTGATGTATGACGGATTCTTTGACGAGATCGCTTAAAAAGGGATAGAGGTTGATCTCTGCCTTCTTTGTGATCAGGGCATCACGCTGTCTGCTGCATCAGCCCCATCTCCTCCGTGCCATGATTGGTCGCATACTAGATTGGGCCAGAGAAGGCCGTCGATACACTGATCGTGCGAGACAGTACATTGAAGCGAGGTAGGACGTAGCGTGGGTGGCAAGTGATAACTTGGATCCTTCTTGCGGTTCTCAAGATGATAGCAGATGAGCTGGAAGGCTTCGAGCTTTGCATCTCCGGCAGCGAATTGACATATCTTGTCCAAGTCTGTGGAGCCCTCGGGTGATTCTACCGCTGTAGACTGAGAGGCAGTCGAGCTCCAGGTGTTGATGATCGGTGAAGTGCTCTGAAGGCCCGATGAGGATCGAGAGCGAGGGGCACCGAGCTGAGCTAGTGCCTCTGCGCCTTGCAAATCGCGAATATCGGCAGTAGACTGTTGCGTAGGAGGGGCAGGCAGACCAGCAAATGCTGCAGGTTGATAGACGGGCTTGCTAGCATGGATGAGAAAGGGTTCGGCGCCAGGCTGTTCTTGACCGCGTCTCATAGACGGTGAAGATGCTGGTTGATCTGGTCGAGTGAAAGCATTGGCCGGGAGGCCATTGGTCTCAGATGTTGAAGTCGAGGCTCTCGCGTCGGTCGGGTGCGATGTTGGTGCGGTAGGCTTGACATGGCCTAGAGCTTCGTGGACGACGTCTGACTCTGTACGATTGAGCTCCTTGTCGATGAACATACGTTGCTCGGGGGTGACACAGCCGCCGAGGTCGCGACCAAGGAACGCTGTCAAGCTGGCGACCAAGTCTCGTAGCGACTTGTTCTCGTCAGCCAGCGCTCGGCAAGCGGTCCGCAGCATCGTAAGCTGGTCATCTCTCGAGCTCGAAAGGACCGAGATCTGGAGCTCGAGATCTTTGAGATAGGCTGCCTTGCGCTGACGAAACTCTCTCTGGGCTTGTCTGTTCTGGGCCGTCCTGGATTCTTTGCTACCGCTAGCCCCGCCGGCCTTGGCTTTGCCATTGACACGCTTCCTTGTTGATTTTCCGGCATCGCTATCCTCTTCCATGTCAAAGTGACTGCCATCCTCGCTCTATGGCCGGTCCCATCTGAGTCAGCAAGCAATCTTGGCCTCCAGAGAGAAAAGGCGTACAAATTCGGACTGCGCTCTTCGAGGAGCCATTGGAGGGGCGGAGACGACTGCAGACGTCACAGTCAGGGTCTTGTGGTGGTCAGGCGAGGGGAGTGCGCAGACTATCGAGGTAGTTTCGCCTGCTGTTCCTGTATCGTCAGCTTGATGACACATCATTACAAATATTTCGAGTCGCACCTGACGAGCGCAAGCTCACTCACTACGTGGCAGCAGGAGCGATGTCTTCTCTAGCAGACGAGCTACTGGCTGATCTGGATGGCTCGGACGATGACGCACCAGCAGACGACTACGAAGCCTTTGCGACGAACGGACACGTCGCATCGGTCAACGGCAAGGGCAAGGGACGAGCGAGTGAAGATGACGAGGAGATGGACGAGAGGGACGAGCAAGAGATGAAGCAAGAGGATGACTTATTGCCTATACCCGAAGGAGGCATAGCGCCTGCAGAGGAACTGGATGCAGAGGAAGTCGAGAAGATGCAGACGAGTACGATCGATTCCGTCAGGCAGATAGCAAAACTTGTCTCGACTGCCCGCTTCAGGGACACACTGGCTCAAGTGGAGCAATACTCTGCTCAGACACCGGGCGACATGTCATCCTCCGACTCGCCAGAGTATCGGCTCATCGTACAGGCTAACAATCTTGCTGTCGAAATCGACAATGAGATATTGCTGGCTTACAAGGCAAGTGAGGACTCGTGGCGTCTGCATTGCGCTGACACAGCGTCAACCTTCCTTGCAGTTTGCTCGAGATCATTATTCGCCGCGGTTCTCTGAGCTGGAGCAGCTGCTGAGCGACTTTGCACCCACTGATTATTGTCGCGCCGTCCTTGCCATTGGCAATCCAGAGGTCAGCCATCCCTCACTTGGTACGGAATGCAGAACCCTGACGGACAACGAGCAGGACTTGGGGACGCCCGATCTCAAGGGCGTGCTGCCGTCAGCGACAGTCATGGTCGTCACCGTCACTGCAACGACAAATGCCGGCCGACAATTGACGGCCAAAGAATGGCAAGCCGTTCAGGACGCCTGTGCGATGATCGCGCAGCTTGAAGCCGCTCGGCGAACGATTATCGAGCATGTCAAATCGCGCATGAGTCTTCTCGCGCCCAACCTGACAGTTCTGCTCGGCACCGAGACAGCTACAAAACTGCTCGGCGTTGCAGGCGGCGTGACTGCGTTGAGCAAGATGCCAGCTTGCAATATCCATCTTCTCGGCGCTCAGAGAAAGAGCGCTTCCGGTATCGCGACAGGGTCCCATCTCGTACAAAGGCGGCACACTGGCTTCATCTATGCTTCTGACCTCGTCATGAGTCAAGCGGAAGAGTACAGAGTCAAGGCTCAACGCAAGATCGGCGCAAAGGTCGCACTTGCCGCCAGGATCGACGCGCGACGACAGTGCAAAGACGGATCGTTTGGTCTCAAAGTAAGAGAGGATATCGAGACCAAGCTTGACAAGCTCGCCGAACCGCCACCCGCTAAGCTCACAAAAGCGCTGCCCGTGCCTGCAGAGGGAAAGAAGAAACGCAGGGGTGGCAAGAGAGCGCGGAAGGCGAAGGAAGCCTATGCAATGACCGAGCTTCGTAAGCTCCAGAACCGACAGATGTTCGGCGAAGCAGAGGAAGAAGACGGCGCCTTCGACGAAACCAAAGGCCTGGGCATGATCGGCAAAGCGACTGGCTCTATCCGTGCAAATGTAGCCGACACGCGCACGAAAGCCAAGATGTCAAAAGCGAGCAAGAACCGCCTCTCGATGCTTCGAGCGGCTACGTCTGGGTCACAGACCAGCGGCACTGCTTCATCGCTCTCCTTTACGCCCCATCAAGGTCTCGAGATCATCGATCCGACACGGGCGAATCGTGTGGAGGAAGCAAACAAGAAGTGGTTTGCTGCTGGCTCCTTCAGTCATATCCCCAGCAAGGGCTCGCCTGTTGTACCTGGCTCTAGATAGCGCCGCAAGCATGCAGCGTTTGTCTGACATGGCCGTCGCGTCCTCTGCTGGGCGCTGATCTGCTAGCTCTCGCTGAACAGCAAGCGCCCCAGCGTTGCATTGCTGAGATGCAGGCCCATCGGAGGCTGCTGTGGGATCCCTCAGGCCAGTCCGAGCGCTTCGTCGTGGCGAGCAGCAGCGACGTCAAGCTGTACGAGCTCGGGCAAGAGCGCAGGCGTCAAACGGTCAAGACGGTCGCGGCTTACTCTGACTTGGCTGCCGTGAGGAGTTTGGCCTGGTCTTACTCGCATCCCAACCTCATCGCACTCGGCATGCTCTCCGGAAAATGCATACTTCTTCACATGGCCACCAGCCAAAGTGTCGAGCCAAACACTCCTTCGACGCCTGGACAGGTACAATTACAGGCGAGAGCGTCCAGACCGTGCAACAGTGTCGCCTTTTGCCCTTCGGATCCTCACTTACTCGCTACTGGATTGGACAAGTCCAGAGACTATGGTCTGCAAGTATGGGATATAGAGACTGCAGCAGGAGTCCTACAGGCAGACATGGATGCCAAAGCTCAAACGCGGCTTGGCGCGGCATTGTCGGAGCCGAAGCCGCTCATGCAGCATGGTCCTTCAGAAGCTTGCTCCTCCGTCATCTTCCTGGCCGGATCAGGCTCGCCTACCATTGTTGCAGGCATGGGCGCAAAGTCATTGCGATCCTACGACTTGCGCGCTCCTTCGACTCATCAGCAGAGTTTAGTCTGGTCCACCCGATCAGTCAATGGGCTCTGCGCAGACCCATATGACAATCATCGCTTTGCGAGCTATGGTGATGACAATGTAGTCAAAATCTGGGACACGAGGTGGCCAGCAGACTCGATCCTGTCATTTTCAGATGACGACGCGAGCGACAAGCGCAAAGCCAGGGACGTATACCCTGCCAGACGAGCCCTTGAGCCTGTGAAACTGACGGCAATCGCCTTCAATTCGTCGCGACGAGGCTTACTCGCTTCTTCAGAACGTGACGAGCGAGCTTTACGAATCTGGAATGTCATTGACGGTCCTGCCAGCAATGCCCTGGTAGAGCCTCAGCACCGCAAGACAGCTGCGGCAGACTCCGAGGTGCCAGTGCCTCTCAATCGGTCTCGCCACGAAATTCCCGGACTGGCGCGGCCGCTGCTCTTCAGCGAAAGCCTTACGCCTGCTTTCTCTCAGCCAATTGCAGCGTTCGCGTTTGCTGCCCGCACAAAGGGGAAATCGCAAACGGAGCTTGTGTCTGTTTCGCGTGACGGTCAGATTGAGCTCGTTCAGCTCGTGCCACCCATGGAGCTCGCATGGCATGTTTCTGGCGATCTCGTCATCGCACGAGGCTCGCAGGGCAGGCTACTCAATCGCGTTCGCGTGCCTCCAGCAGAGGACGAAGAGCCTCATACGCTCGACCTGGACATCAGCAGCGTCATGCGTCGACGGGCCATCGCAGGCTATGGTGTCACCAATCAGTCGATGGCATCAGACACCGAGCCCGACCTTGCGGACATGTGGTCCTGGCTGAATCATGTCGATCGGCTGGCAACGACCACCACGACACGTGTGCGTAGCATCGAGTTTGACTACCAAGGCATCCTTTCTATCGTCCGGGGTATTGCTCAGGGCGCCCAGATCGCGAGTACGCCAGAGCGCGCGAGTCCGCAAGGCCGCAGGTCAGAGTCTGCCATCTCTGTGCTTGATGATGTCTCGCGATCGCTTCGCAAAGGTGAACAAGCCCGCGCGAAGGATGCCGTGTTTGCAGAAGCTGTCAAAGACTACAACAAGCTGAACAATGTTCCTGCTTTCGCGCCTGCTGCCACGTCCAGACCGGCGCAAAGACGACTCGCTTTGCACATGCTCGGTGCTGACTATGCGCTTGACTCCTTCGAGGATGCAACAAAACGATATGAGAAGGCAGGCCAGCTCGAAAAGGCAGCCGCCTGGACTTTATTCTCGGGCAACACAGAGCAGGCTGTCAAGATCTTGCAGCGCAGCAAGGATCCTCAGATCAAGCTCATTGCGCCTGCGCTCGCTGGCTTCCTCGCACAGAAGGACACACTTTCGTCATCAAAGAATGCGATCTTCCGTGATCTGTGTACTTCCATCTCGGGCGAGCTCGACAATCCATTCTCACGGGCCATGATGGCCTACATTGCCAACGGCGACTGGTCTGACATTCTCGACGAGCAAGGCCTGCCCCTCCGTGATCGCATAGCTGTCGCGCTACGTTTCTTGAGCGACGACGAGCTCGTCAAAATGCTTCAGCATCTGGCCAAGTCAGCTGTACAAAGTGGTGATCTAGAGGGACTCGTCCTGCTCGGTCTGACGCCTTCGGGCTTCGACCTGCTACAAGCCTATATCGATCGAACGGGCGATGTGCAGACTGCGGCCATCGTGGCTTCGTATGCTCCCCATCGATGGCAAAGCACGAGAGCCGAACGATGGATCGGCGCCTACCGTCGGCTGCTCAACAAATGGAAGCTGTACGCTCAGCGTGCTCACTTTGACATTGCACGCGGTGCACGGTCCAGGGCTATCGCCGTTACACGACCTGTCGTTGCTCCTCCGACTGCCACTCGCATGTTCGTTCGCTGCAATTGTGCGTCCTTCGTTCAAAGACAGGTGACAAGACGCTGATGAGCTTCTCAGTCTGCAACGAGGTCGTCTCTGCAGGTTCACAGAGTACGCAGACTCGCGCAAGCGAGACGAAGAGGCCGGCAAATGCGACGGAGCGACGAAAAGTGACGCATTGCCCCAAATGCGGCCAGTCGTTCCCGAAATGCTCAATCTGTCTGCAAGATCTCGCAGTGGCAGACGATTCACAGGCACATGCTACTGGCGATATCAAAGCGATCGCTTCTGCGTGGTGCTACTGTCAGACGTGTCGGCACGGCGGGCATGCGATGCATATCCTCGAGTGGTTCAAACGAGGTCACAAGACGTGTCCAGTTGCAGATTGTGATTGTGCTTGCTCACGCATGCGCTGATATGTATAGATGGGCTCGTGTTGTTGTCATCTCTGTGCACGTACATACAACATTCTTGCTGAGCGAGAGGGATCATGTTTGCCGAGTATTGCGTCCTGTGAGCATGCCAAAGTTGCGCCTGTTGAGCAGCAGACCTTTCATGGCTCTTATCTCGCTCTTGCACTGATTGATCGCTGGACTCTGAGTGACAGCAGTGCCGTGTATGGCTTGGCTGACGTGCTCTCCGCCTGGTCCCATAGAGGCGGCAGAACTGATGTGCTGGTTGGAATAGTAGAAAGACTGTGCAGAGACTTGGGAGGAGAGCGTGTCGAGGGAAGAGAGTAGCCTCGCGCTGCCGGAATCATGTGGCGAGGTCTTTGTGTTGGGCTGCTTGAGTGTCTTCAGTTCGACAGCTAGGACTTTGAGCGAAGCACGCAGATCCCGGGTAAGATCAGGCGCTTCGTAGGTCGTTTCAGCTGTACTGCCCGGTTCAAGAAGAGGTTTGTGCTCTTCTGAAGCTCGTGCAGGCTCGGCAGGTGTCGCGACTTTGGCTGGCTCGGACGGGTTGAGCGTCGCTATAGCGCGAGGATGAAGCTTGGGATGGCGATGAGCGTATGCCTTGAGACCGACGAGCAGCTTGTCATAGATGCCGTTGTTGTGCTGTTGCAGTGATGTCAGTCGAGCCGAGAGGAGCAATAACCTCGGAAACACGACAGACTGTGTCATCGCCCACGATGAGTCACGACTACAGCGGCTGAGCACCTCGGGCACGTACTCGGTAGGTGAAGACAGCGATGCCTGTCAGGCTGCCCGTCCAGAAGATGAGCGTCGCTAGGAAGCGCAAGAAGTTGGGGATCGTCTGATTGGGCGGCAGAGGTGCAGGCGGTAGGGCGTATTGAAGCAAGCTGGCATCCCGCGCATAGTCTCGCGGAGGCGTAGCAGGTGCCTGTCAGGAGATGAGTACATGGATGGGCGCTCGACGAGATGAAGAGGACCGACTGTGCTTGTGGGCGGTGGCGTAGAGGCAGGAGGAGACTGACTCTGAGGAGAGGCCAGGTCGACGCCGCTGCTCGTAGAGACTGACCTGTCTGGCTCTGTCGTGTTGGCGAGTGCCTGCTCGCTCATCATGCCCGGCGCCTTGTCGTCCTTGTCTGCCATGGTGTGCCCTGTTGAGGCGAGCAGAGTCCAAGCTTGCGAGTGCCTTGGCCACCACGCACGCGAGCGCCGACTTAGCGCTCCTTGCCCGTGAGATGATCGATGCAGTGCTCATCTGTGCGCACAGTCTCCTTCAAGCCCATCAGTCAGAGCTGATCCATGAAGGGGCTGGCAGTCAACCAGACAGGCAAGCCCCGGCTGACAAAGTACTACACCCCCGCACCGTCCCATGCCCGCATTGCCGTCGTCAACAGAGTCTACGAGCTCATCACGGCTCGCTCGGAGTCTGCTTGCAACTTCATCGATATACCCGAAGGCCTCGACGGGCTCGGTCTGCGAGGAGGTGACGCTCCACCCGCTGTGAGGCAGGACATCGTCCCTCGAGCCAACAAGGTCATCTTCAGACACTATGCCACGCTCTATTTTGCAGTCCGTCCTCCTCACTGGCCTCCCGAGACCACGTCAGATCTGATGCTGCACACTTGTCCAGGTCGTCGTCGACGAGGCAGAGAGCGAGCTAGGCATACTCGATCTCATCCAAGTCTTCGTCGAGGCCCTCGACAGATGTTTCGAGAACGTCTGCGAGCTCGACCTCATCTTCCACTTTGATGAGGTGCACGCATTGCTAGACTGCATGGTCGTCGGCGGTCTCGTGCTCGACACGTCCATCGACAGCATCTCCACCAATTTCAGGGCGCAGGCCAAAGCTAGAAAGGCAGCTTCCGGCGCGTCTGCCATGTCGGACCTTACCCTGCCTTCGCTCGGCTCATCGCTCACCGGTGGATGGGGCAATCGGTTTGGCCTGGGCGCACTGAGATCCTCAGCGAGATGATCGTCGGAACCCTAGCTCCTCAGTGAAGGAGGCTTCCGACCCGTTTTGCAGGAATGGCGGGCACACAGTGCAATGCTATACAACGCCTCGAGCCAGCCAGCCGGATCTCGAGCTTACACGACTCCCTTCTGACGTGCTGCTGTCTACTTTGTCGAGTTGCTGTTCAGGTACGGCGTAAAGGAGAGCGTGATGGGCACGCCGTAGCCAGGATATCGGGCATGGTACGTCTTGTAGTCGCCTGCAATGATGATTGCATCATCCTTGGGATCGTAAAGAGCTTGTGTCTTCTTGATCTTGCCGCCCGGGTTGGTCCATGAAGCCGCAAGCGTGTGGCCGATCGTGCTGACATTCCAGATCGCGCTTTCTGAGAGTGAAGGAACGGCGTAAGCGTTGCCAGCAGATGACGGTTCACCCGAGCTTGGCGCGACATCGCTCAGGATCGCGTAGCCAAGCTTCTTGGGACCAAATGTCGCGCTATTGCCATGGGGCACAATGCCACCCAGTGCGGGATAGCGGGGATCAACGCCGTTGATGGACATGAGGTTGTAGTAGCTCGAGTTGCCAACCTTGGCAAAGAAGACTTCCAGAGCAGAGTTGCGCTTCGTCGTCGTGCCATAGAAGGGCAATGGTGAGCTAGACTTCTTGCCGTTCATGCGGGTCGAGTAATTCTCAGAGATGTAGCCAAGCTTCTTGCTCGAGGTCCTCAGTTGAACGACACCTGAAGCGGCAGCAGCAATGATCGTTGTGCTCGTCGTGGTATGAGTAGCCTTGGCATAGACAGTCGTCGTCGTGGTGGTAGCGCCTTTCTTGACCGTCTTGAGATGAACATCAGTGACGGTCGGGCCAACGTTGGTGTAGTAATCCTTCGTGACGGTGACGCTCTGGGTCTGCAAGACCGTCGTCGTACCAACAACGGGGATCGTCGTGCTGTGCGGGCTCTTGTGTTCGACCTGTGCAAGTGCCTGGCGGGTAAAGTCCTTGCCGTCGAGACATTTGCACTTGAGCGCATAGTGTCCGTTGGAGCCCTTCTTGCACGTGAGCGTACCCGCGAGGGATCCGTCATATCGGCATTGAGATTTGCAAGTATCCGTGAATGCCAGGCAGAGCGAGTTGTCTGTGTTGGAAGATTTGACGAGTACGGCGGGCGCAACGAGCTTCGAGACCACCGTCGGCAGCGTGATAGCTGTCTTCGTGACCTCTTTGGTGATCGTCGTACCGTCGGTGACGGTTGTGAGCTTGACTACTGTGGTCGTTGGCACCTGCACATGGCGTGAGATTCAAGCCGCGATGGGCGAAGCGGGATGTGCTTACAGTGACGGTCGAGGTTACATCCACAGTGACAGGCTTCGTATTGTTGACGAGAACACCTTCAGTGACGGTGGTCGTGGCGGTAGACGAGACAGTATCGGTCGAGGTTGTCAGGAGGACAGTCTGAGGTGTAAGGTGAGCTTTGCCAATCTTGTTGAGAACGGTGTTCGTCTTGTCCTTGCCATTGCAAGAGCAGCCGAAATCTGCACCGACTCATCAGCGATGCAAAACCAAAGTGCACGGATCGCGCTCACCGTAGCCATTGCCAGCGGCCTGGCATTCAAACACGATAGAGACTTCTTTGCCGTAGTTGCCCGCAAAGCAGGTCTTGTAGCAGGTACCAGTGAAGTCTCGACAGAACTGCTGTGCTGCCTTTTGCTTGCTGGTGAGTTTCTTCGAGGCGACCAGCTTGCTGAACGGTCCCTTGATCGCGCGTCTGTGCAACTCACGCGCTTCGAGACCGCTGGCGTGCGAGCTGCCAGTGTGTGCAAGGGAAGTGCTTGCGAGGCCAGCCAGGGCCAGTGTGACATACTGAAGTGTCGTGAAAGTCATTCTGCGAGTGGACAGAAACTGTTATTGTACGTGTTCTTTGTGCGGAGTTGCGTCGAGTGGTGTAAAGAATGTGTCGAGTCTAGCTCGTTGCTGTCTCTTCAGGCGTCGAGCCTTGCGATGCTGTCAAAGCTGTCGCTACTTTGTCTGTCGAGGTGCAGTGTGCTGAGGAACAGGGTCAGCTCGCAGGTCGTCTTGGACAATAATAAACACGCCAGCCAAGGCGCGTCTGCAACGAAACGCCTTCCTCGTAGCGCGTCGCCACCTTCATTGACGCGCTGGAATGAATCGGCACGAGTTCTGTGATCGTCTTTACGCCATGCATTCAGGTGCGGTCACACTTGGAAAGCGTGGAACGCATACAGACCCGCATCGCGTCCAAGCAGCCCTGCATCGCGCAAGATTGAACTCTTCTGAGCATGCCAACCGATGTCAGCCGAAGCGCTGCCAGGTGAGCTTGACAAAAATCGCAGAGCCCGGGTGACGTCGCTTTCCGAGTCTAGCTTGACGAGACTTCGTCGGCTGGTATCTTCGGCGATATGACTCGGTATCGAAGTCACACTTGTGTCGATGTACCAGCCTACGTGTGATCCTGTAAGCTCATTGAAAATCACAATGCATGCGCGTACCTCGCTTGCCGCGGCCGTTGACCACAGCGAAACCGAAAGCGCCGCCTTGGATGTCTTCAAGCGTAGTGTCATCGAGCTCGACGCAGCGCAGATGTGAGACTCGTCGGACGTAAGTTCGACTGTCGTCTTCCTTCGTGAATGTACCAAGCGTTTGACACAGCGGGAAGATAAGCTTGCTATGCAAAGCCATCACGTCGAGCGATGGTCTCGTTCGAGGAATTCTGCTTGGGCTCTCTGTCCTGCCGAGATTGCTGACAGGCATTGTGCCTGCGCGGGCGCCCAAGAGGTTGACGGGCGCACCCAAGAAGCTGCCGCGAACGTCTAGTATCTCTACATTGCTCGCTTTACCTCTGAGAAAGTCGGTCACGCCGTCCAGAGTGAGCCAGATGCAGTGTGCTAAGCCGAGATCGAGCAGACTCGGCTGATCTGGCATCGACAGGAGCGCAGCATCCGTCACGGCTGTACTGGAAATATCAAAGACCCGCAGACGACCTGAGCGAATACAAGGCGCGAGAGTGAGGATGCGGTGCAGATCGGCGGCCGTCAAGGGACTATGGGTAGATTCGTCGCCATGCAGACTGAGCTCCACAAGCTCCGCCGTGACCACGTCGGGGGTGGGATCTGGGCCTGAGCCCACAAGGAGACGCTCGATCGAATGCGAAGTGAGCCCCTTGCAGCTTGCCAAATTGAGCGACCGCAAGCGCATACCCGGCATTCGACCGAGTGCATCCAGCAAAGATGCTGATGCTCTCGAATGCGAGAGATCGAGATGCGTCAAGTTAGGGAAGGAAACGACAAAAGCTTCCAATAATGCAGGTCGTAAGAGGGTATGACTCATACCGAGTCGCTTGAGATGGGGAAAGCGTGTTCGAAGCAATGTGAAACGCCGAGTCTGCTGATCGCCAGCATGGCCTTGTAAAGTGACTGTATGAGCCGATAAAGAAGCATCGAATGGGCCTTCACCCAGACGATATGTCTCGATGAGTTCCTGTATTGCATCGATCATCCGAGCGCTGACACAGCCACACATATCTAGCGCTTCAAGTGGCGTGGCATGCAGACCGACGTCCGTGCCGACATTGCAGCTTATCGTTGCGCCTTGTAATTCTTCATATTCGGCTTCGATGCCGCCTCGCAGCAGAAGCTCGAGCAGTACTTCCGCCGAGATGGCCGAATCCTGGTATTCGGAGAATCCAACGGCGGTAAGGTGACCGATCGAGTAATCCTCGAAGAGTTCACTTTGCGCTCGGGACCTTGGCTCGAGTAGCTTGGCTAAGATTGCCTCCCTCTCGGTGCGATTGACCAAGAGTGAGCCGAGATCGCGTGTGGACCGAAGGAGATTCAAAAGTCGGGTAGCGGTCACAAAGCGCTGATGCTGGCCCTGGGCACCGGTGCGCGCCATGCCATGGGTCCTGAAGGCAGCAAAGGAGATCATTTGCGTGTGCAGGCCCGGATTGCTCTGGTGGCGTCGCTTCTCCTCCTCGAATGTGATTTGATCATCTTCGAGTGCTACCAAGGGCGGGGTGGGCAGACCTTGCATGACCATCTCTATGGATTGGTTTGGAACCTCGAGAAAGCGAGCAGGCGATGCTTCTCGCGAGGTTGGCGGGGTATATTGCTGTGTATCTTTCTGGTTCAGACGCATTCTGCGAGCATCAAGCGATTCAGAGCGACTGCGTGCTCTGGAGCTTGACCGTTGGCGAACTGGCCAGATGGGCTCGTCTATATCTTTCTTGCGTCGCATGGATGGCGAGCGCCCGCGTGACCTTTCCGGCGAAGCAGTCTGAGACTCTCGCCGAATGCTCGTCGATGCTGTGCCGGGTATCTCTGGCGTCGAGGGTAACGAACGGCCTCGGGGCCCGGGCGAGTCCGCTTCCTCTTCGTCGTCGTCAGAGTCCTCTTGCTGCACGCCAACCGTGGCTACGAGCTTGGCAAACGTCGTGGGAAAGCCAACATGGAGCTCTCGCCACAGATATTTGCGCGCCTCGCCATACCAGGTCCGATTGACCAAGCTAAGACGGGCAAAGATAGCGGGAGAAGAGTCGATAGGCCGAGATAGGAGCGTGACGGGCGCGATGGAGCCTCTCCTGCCTGTCGAGTAGGAAGGCCGGCTGTTGATCGATGGCGTGACATTGCCAGTACTATAGCCCGTGCTTGCGTCCCTGTCTACCGCCAGATAAGGGTCCAAAGACGCTCTCGGCAGGAGACTTTCGAACAATGCTGATAGGATGAGACTGCTGTCCGACATGAGCCAATGCAAACGCAGACGAGGCCAGGGACGTGCTTGATGAGCTCTGGCGGTAGTCTGGGAAGTCTGTTGTCCGTCGCAGAGTCCATCGCTGCCAAACAAGCCGATATCAATGGCCAAGTGATCCAGGCAAAATGTGGAGTTGCGCGCGCGAAGTCAAAAGAATTCTACAGCTGATTGATGGCTTCTTCGATCTTGATGGCAGGCAAGGGCGTCGTACACGAGGCAACTTCCTTCACGGCTGCCCCAATCGCGTGCTCATGAACCTCGACAGACCAACCTGGGCGCAATAGAGTTTGAGCTCTACTGGCAGCATGCTCCCAAGACATGTCAGATCACTCTCGCTGGCCTACAGGACGTCTTTGACCGTCATCGCACAGGCCAGAACTTCTTCGAACTCAGCCGGAAAGGCTACTATAGCGGGACACTCTACCACCGCGTCATAGCCGTACATCTGCATCCTGAGCATATTCCTTCAGACAAGCAGCTGATGCCGTCCTCGCAGGATTTCATGATACAAGGTCGGGACCGAACCTCCCTAGGCCGAACAGCTCTGCTATAGCTTGTCGATCGAGACAGGCGGTGATCCTACTGCGACAGGCAGGGGTGGACAGAGCATATGGGGCAAGCCCTTCGAAGACGAGATCGTGCGGCTGCTCGTTCGTCCATCGTTGGATTTCACTCACGCAACAGGCTGCATCGTCAGACGCCCGACTTGCGGTTTGTGGGCGCAGGCATACTTGCTATGGCCAACTCGGGCCCAAACACAAACGGCAGCCAGTTCTTTATCACCTTGGCGCGTCAGTCGCTTTCCTTGCTTACAGTGCCAAAGTGACTCTTTTGACCCATCACACAGCGACGCCCCACCTAGACAAGAAGCACACAATATTCGGCCGGGTCAAGAGCGGCATGAGGGTCGTAGAGCGCTTGGGAGCACTAGCAGTAGACAGCTCAGACAGGCCCAAGGAGGAGATCAAGATTGTCAAGAGCAGGATAGCGGAAGAGTGAACAAGCATGCATATGGTTATGTTTGCTACAGCGCCAGTCGAGTGCGTCTACAACGAGGATCGGATGATGTGCCGGTGAGAATGATGTGAGTGCAGAGTGACTCATCCAAGTGATCGTCTTTGTCGAGAAGCAGGACCGGCCTGCTTGCTCGCTTCTGAGCAGATCATTGAACGATAGTGACACCGTCGACCACAAGAGGCGCTTCGAGCGTGGCCCGCCCGATTCGATTGCCGCCTTGCAGATAGCCTTTGCCTGCCTCGATAGTACGCGCGAGCAAATTGGATGCAGATTTGCGAGTGCGCAATTGCTGGCTTGCTTGCATGTATCGCACATCGAGATGTTCGACAGAGCGCATCGTATGCAGCTGCTGCTGGGCGCGCTGATGGTGGTGTTGCTGGTGCTCGATCGCCATTGGCTCCTCTTCAGAGGCTGGGCTCGATTCTTGCGAGTCTGACCGGCGTATTTCCGGCGAGACGCGTTGCCTGTGCGCTTGCCTTTGCGCAGTGCGCGTGTAGGGAGACCCAGACTGGGCGGAGGATGTCCTCCGCATGGGGCTGTTGCCCGGTGTCGGCACAGCAGGCTTGCTGTACGCGTGATGCTGGGACACTCTGCGCGGTGTAGGTGGGCAAGCAGAAGAGGCAAAAGTGGAAGTCGAGCCGCATGATTCGAGTGATGGCATCCGTCGGTCAGCAAGGGGCCGACCGCCCAGAGCAGCAGCAGTGACGGGCACGGCTTGGCGCAAGAATGGCCGGAAGTGGACAAGCAGCTCCTCTTCGGACATGCGCAAGTCATAGTCAAGCAATTGCAGCAACTCTGCGCGGCGGAAATGTCAGCATGTGCAAGCCGAGCGAGCATGACGCGCGACTGACGAGATTCCATGAGGTTGGTCTCTGCAAGGGGGAAGATTGCAGCATATTTTGTCCAGTGCATGTTCTTCGGGCTGTTGTCATTGAGATACTTTGCCGCGACGATGAGCGTGGCAAGGAAGACGCGATGACGAGTGCATGGCATGCCTTTGCTGACTTTTGCCAGTCTTCGTTTCAGCCTGTCGAGATAGACGAGCGTGCAGAGCAGCGTAGGCACCTGAACATTCGACTTTTGTACGAGTGTCAGGATGAAGGCTTCTAAGCTCGGCAGCGCTGGATCAGCAGCAAGATCGCCAGCGGCAGCTTGTCCCTCGAAGCCATCCTTGGTGGGCGTTGCGGGTGGTGATGGCAAAGGCGCGGTGGCTGGACCACATTGGATCACGTCGTAGACCTTCTTCGCAAGGTAGGCTGCGCGTCAATGTCAGCTTCCGATCTCAGATGAGGTGAGCAGACACGTACTGATCATGCCTTTGGTGACCCTGCTCCGCACGAGTTCCAGCAGTGCGGGATCGTGCATATACTTGGGCAGCAGTGACGCCGGCAGGCGACGATGGCTCGACGGCAGAACCGAAGGCGAGCTCATCGAAGCGGACGATAGTGACGAAGAGGATGAGGAGGCAGACGCAGATCGCTCCATGTTCATGTTCGATATAAGTTAGCGGGTCGAGGTAATTCGAGATTCTACTTTCTAAAGACTGAGTGATTCGCCCTGCGAAGTCTGGTTCTAGTCTCGTGTGATGATCTAATGAGACTGCCTAGACGATGCCAGATCGACTGTAGAGCGTCAGAGTCTCGCGATTGTGTACGCCTGAGCCGCCTGTGCTCGAGGATGTGGCACGAAGCGAGGGATTGCTGTTGTAGACAACGACCAAGAGTGCCTGCCTCTTGAGGGATCGCGCCTTAGACAGTGGGCTGGCTCGTCAGTCGAGAAGTGACGCTTCCGACACTTGCTAGCAAGCGATTCGCGAGATGAGCGAGCGAGCGGCCGCTTCAAGAGATGGCGAGCGGCGAGGCAAACTGAATTTTGTGTTTTCGCTTTTTGGCTTCCCGTGTCGCGACTCGCGTAAGATTGGCGCGTGCACTCCTAATGCGACCGGGCAGCCGGCCTTGCTGACACTCGCTCGAGAAGAGACGAGCGAACGAGCACAAGGGCGGGCGAGCGAGCGAGCGAGTGTGGGCAGTGCGAGCTCTACCTCGATATCTGCACGATTGCTCCTACAATCTGGGTCGTCCAGAAGATTGGCTTGCGGGTCCAGAGCACGTAGCTAGCCTCTGCTTAAGATAATGATCGGGAATTTGTCGTGTCAATGCAACGCGTGGCGATAGGAGCCAGCGACGGCGGACGTGTAGACTACGCGACAAATGAAAGCGGGGTGCGGCCGGCAATGCGGATCGCCTTCTAGCGCTGGCAGATTTGTCGATGACGGCTCGATGGCTGCGCTTCGTCTAGGGGCCCGCCGGAGATCTCGACCTGGCCTATATGCGACGTGCAAAGCAGGAGTGATGACTCTATGCGACCGTTATGACCCTCGAATATGCTAGCAAGGCCGTTCGGAAGTGCACGCTGCGTCTCTTTCGCAAGGACTGTCCTCAAAATGCAAAGTGAGTTGCTATATGGGCTAGCACAAGTCTGAGCCGAGGCTCGCTGTCCTTGGGGCGGATGAGCCCGCAGCCGTCAGGATATTGCTGTTCATTCGATGCATCGAAAGCTCATGAAGGCCATATGCATCCATGTTCGACGACAAAGGGTCCTTGCGCTTCTACAACTGACTGCCTTGTCCGACGAGCTAGACATACTCAGGCACAGCGGGCGCCATGCGATCGACGCTTTGGGAAGCCGAGGCAGATGGTCTTCCAGGGTAGCTCAAATGCTGTGACATGCTTTGCACATCAGGGCTGTGAGATCACATGCCCATGAGCGGCATGCGCAACCTCGTGCCTACGTCACTGTCGAAGGAGATGGCTGAATAGCCAAAACCGGACACTTGATTGACGCGTCGCGTCGATTAGACTGGCTCCGCAGTAGTGAGGGGAACATAATCGACAGACGTGACTGTCGGCCCGCGAGACATCAAGCGAGCTTTCAGACCTGATAGTGATCGCAGAGCCGAGTGACTGGTTCGGCCCAGAGACGCAAAAAGCGTGGACGCCATGGCGACCTTGCTGTCGCGCGCATTGATTTCGTCTCGATGACACGCAATTCTGGGCCGTCTCCACCAGCGCAGTGTCAACGAAGATCCAACGACAGAAACCGAAGAGAACGCCATCGCCAGACCCGCCAGCATGGGATGCAGATGAATACCCCAGGGGAGCAGAACGCCCATGGCCAGAGGGATACCGACAAGGTTGTAGACAGTCGCCCATCTGCAGCACACGTCAGCCTCGCAAAATCCGGCTACACATGTCACGCACAAGAAGTTGAGCCTGATCTGGTGGAAGATGCGACGCGAGAGATCGAGCGCGGCGACGACGTCAAGAAGGTCGTTTCGCATCAGCACTATATCTGCCGCTTCGACTGCTATGTCTGTGCCAGAGCAAAGTGCAATGCCGACGTCGGCAGAGGCGAGTGCGGGACTATCGTTGATACCATCGCCGACCATAGCGATGTGACGTCTGCCTGCGGTCTCTTTCTTACACTGCTCGACTAGCGCGCGTTTGCCTTGTGGTGATACACCAGCGTGAACGTCCTCTGGAGGAATACCGACCTCTGCAGCGATAGCGAGCGCAGTTGCACGATGGTCTCCCGTTACCATCAGGACGCTAATGCCCATCCACCGCAGCCCTTCGATAGCTTGACGAGCTTCAGGTTTGATCGTATCTGAGAGTGAAACAATGCAGGCTAGCGCGTTATCGATCGCGATGAGAATGACAGTCCTCGCTCGGGCTTCCTGCTCGTCCTTGAAGCCCTCAAGCGAAGCTGGCAAGAGGACATGGCTGTCTCTGGCGAGGAACGCCGCGTTGCCGATTGTAAGAGAATGGCGGGTGGAGCTTGAGCTCAGACTTGCATTGCACTTGACGCCAAGACCGCTGACAGCCTGAAAGTCCGAGACTTCGACTGACGCAATAGCAGCCGAAGCCTCGGCTTCTGACGAGCTCAGAGACGAGTGTCCAAAAGCGCTGATAGCTGTTGCCAGAGGGTGCTCTGATTTGCTCTCTGCCGCGCTAGTCATCAGTAACACCTCACGTTGCCATTGTTGACGAGCGGCCAGGTCTTGTGCATCTACGGCAGAAGTGTCTGTCCAAGCGATCTCTTTGACAGTCAGTTTACCCATTGTGATCGTGCCCGTCTTATCGAGCAAGATGCGATCGACCTTGTGACTCGCCTCGAGAGGTCCAGCGCCCTTGATGAGGATACCATTCTGCGCACCGACGCCAGTGCCGACCATGACTGCCGTTGGCGTGCTGAGACCGAGCGCACAAGGGCAGGCGACCACGATGACGGAGATGCAGAGCTGAAGACAGACCATGAATTTATTCGTTGTGGCGTCTCGAAAGATTGTGGGCAAGGTGGGCAAGACGTGGGTGTGCGAGAGAACCATCCAAGCGACGAAAGTGAGCAGACCGAGACAGAGCACGACAGGGACAAAAACGCCTGCGACCGTATCAGCAAAAGCCTGGATGGGCGCCTTTGAGGTCTGCGCCTCATCGACGAGCTTGACAATTTGTGCGAGTGCCGTGTCTCTGCCAGCTCTCGTCACACGCATGTCGAGCGTACCAAGGCCGTTGACGGTGCCGCCGATGAGCGCATCGCCTAGAGTTTTGGGAACAGGCATGACTTCACCGGTGACCATGCTCTCGTCGACACTCGACTGACCGCGCAGGACATGACCGTCGGCAGGAATCTTGTCGCCTGGCACGAGCTTGACCGTGTCACCGAGCTGCACGAGTTCGGTCGCAATCTTGCGCTCAACCGTACAAGCTTCGTCGGTGTAGATGATAGCAGACGATGGTGTTAGTTGTAGCAGCTTGGACAAGGCAGCTGAGGTCTTGACCTTGGCAAGGTTCTCTACATATCGGCCAAGGGAGATGAAAGTGATGAGCATAGTAGAAGTGTCGAAGAATGTCTTTGGGTGGAAGTCTGGATCGCCGCCGGGCAAGAGCGCGAGGAGCATGGCGAAGACGCTGAAGAAGAAGGCTGCAGAGGTGCCCATTACGACAAGGACGTCCATAGTGGCACTTCCGTGCTGCAAGCTCTTTGCTGCTGACTTGTAGAATCGGGCACCGACGCCAAACTGAACTGGAAGGGTAAGGAGCAGACATAGCAAGTCGCCCAGATAAATGCCCTTGACGAGACGCAGATTGACGAGCGGACCGACGAGGGACAGCATAGGGAAGACCATGCTAAGCAGGAAGACTGGCACAGCAAGCATTGCGCCCCGACGGAATGCATCGCGCCAACTTTGGATTTCCTTGGTACGTGCGAGCGACTTGAGCTGGAGGGTATCTGATTCGTCTTGGAGCACAGCATCAAAGCCGAGATCTTCTATTGTCTCTATGAGTGCGCGAGGGCCAGAGAGGACCGACTTGTCGTAGGTGACCTTGACGCGTTCGGTGACGAGCGAGACGGCTACGCTCTCCACGCCCGCAAGTGCGAGCAGTCCTCTCTCGACAGAGCCAGTACAGCTCGCGCATGTCATACCGTATACTCCCAGCGTGACTGTATCCTCTGATCTATCTGGTAGGGGCGAAGCGTCGAAGCCCATGTCCTGCTGTTTTTGTCAGCGCGATGAGTAATAGCGCAAACGGCAAGCTGACTTCGATTGCCTCGCATAGCTTGGCCACCGTCCATCCGGACGAGTGTTCATATGTGATGGTAGCCTTCTCCGCCAGGAGGGCTACACTGACAGACTTGACGCCGGGCTGAGTCAGGCCGGATTCGATGCTGCTCACACAGGCACCGCATGTCATGCCCTCGACCTGCCCATGTCTGGAGGTCAGGCTCATCCAACTTATGCAAGAGAATGGATCACCTTCAACACTACCGTCGTGCTCGGCTCTGACACTGTCTGTCCAGCTTTCTTGTCCTCCATCTCGTCCCGGGGGTATGATGACTTGGCGTCCATCTTGCAAGGGATGTGTCAGCCGCCACGAGCTATTTGGACCGACGCGCGATGCTGCAGCTCATAGAGATGTCGGCCATGCGGCAATCTGTCCGTGTGAACGACCTCTCATCGCACGGACGTTGTGTATCTCGAGCGTCAGCACTGATCAAAAAGCGAGAGATTGATAAAACCGTGAGAGAAACTCGCGCCTGCCTGCTCGCCAGCGACCGGTGTCATTCGGCAGGACAGGGCCGCTATGGGCTACTACTCACCGCTCTTCACGTTCTACTACGTGGTCTTGCTCGTAGCGATCGTGATAGCGCTCTATTTGCTCTTCACCGGATCAGGCGAGGATTTCAATGTCGGAGCGTTCCTCGAATCGACTTCGCCTCATTCATGGGCTCTTATGGGCGTCGGGCTCAACATCGGCCTATCTGTCATCGGAGCAGGCTGGTCAGCAGCAAGGCTCCTGTCCTCCCGCCGCAAGAGCTTACTGTGGCTCGGGCAGGGGCATCTTCATCACAGGAGCGAGTATACTGGGCGGTGGTGTGAGGACACCGAGGATACGGACGAAGAATCTCATCTCGTCAGTCCCTCTCTACAAACGCTGTGGAGAGCGTCAGGTGCTCATGTGTTCATCCTGCAGCATCATCTTCTGTGAAGTCGTCGGCATTTACGGCGTCATCGGAGGCAAGTCCAACGAATGAGATGGTCCTCTGTCGCTCAAGCGAGGCCTGCAGCGATCGTTTTCAGTGCGAAACTGAACGGCAACGCGCCAAGTCATGCAGAGCTCTACTCTCCCGCGAATTATTACACAGGCAAGCAGACCTTTCGACGATAGCGTACTGCTGAGCTCATTGCTCGTTCCTGCAGGCTTCTCACTCTTCTGGGGTGGACTGACCATGGGCGCATGCAATCTACTGTGCGGTATTGCGGTGGGTATCAGCGGGTCCAATGCAGCGTTGGCAGACGCAGCCGATCCGACGTTGTTCGTCAAAATCCTCGTTGTCGAGGTCTTCAGCAGTATCCTTGGCCTCTTCGGTCTCATTGGTGAGTACTGGCTCTTGTGCGCTTCTGGCAGCAGCTTACATAGAATCGAAAACAGTCGGTCTGCTAGTGGTAAGTCTATGCAGAAGCGACACATCGGAATTGTCTGATCGAGAGTACAGTCGGGCAAGGCGGCGGAATTCAACTAGACGAGCACGACACGAGTCCACTTGTAACCTCATGCAAATCTGTTCTGTCGCGCAAACTGAACAGGCATAATGCATTGCAATAGCTGACACCGCAGCTGGTTTTTGAGATCGTGACACGGTACCCAGATGGCTGATGCTACATTTGATGCAAAGCTAGATCATGCAGAGGAAGCGGCGGCTGCTTTTGCCGCAGCAATCTTGGCGAGGCGAGGATGGACGACCTGCTCCTGTAGAGCCTTGCCAGCGGCGACCTGTCGCGAGCCTTTCAGCTTAGCTGATGAGAATCGCGATTCAGCGTACCATGGGCAAGACGTGTTCGTTCTTGACGACGCGAGCCTCGAACAGAATCGGCTTCGAGTTGTCGTACTCCATGAACTCCTTCATCTTGGCAGGCAGATCCGCGAGACTGTCACACCGGATGGCTTTGACGTTCATAGCCTCTGCGAGCTTGCAGAAATTGGGGTTGGTCATCTCGGTGTGCGAGTACCGCTTCTCGTAGAAGAGGTCTTGCCATTGTAGGACCATTCCCTGGAACTCGTTGTTGAGCACGAGGATCTTGACGCCGATGCTGTATTGTGCAGCTGTCGCGAGCTCCATGGCGGTCATGCTGAAGGATGCATCGCCGTCGATATCGACGACGTATTTCGCCGGTGCAGCGACCTTTGCGCCAATGCAAGAGGGGAGCCCGTACTGTCAAATAAGTCATATCAGCATGCGCTCCAGCGCTCGTAAGAAAAGCATTGACGTACGCCCATAGTACCAAGGCCACCTGAGCTGACCCACGATCGAGGCTGGGTCCATCTGTAATGCTGAGCAGCCCACATCTGATGCTGGCCGACGCCAGTCGTAATAATGACCTGATCTTTCTTGTCTTTCGCCCAATGATCCAACGCCTCGATGACCTCTTGAGGCTTCATCAGCTCGCCAGCTTCGGGCTTTGACGGCTCGAACGTAAAGGGATATTGCTCCTTCCAGCTCGCGATTTTGCTGAACCATTCTGTGCGTGGCAAAGGCGTTTCCGGTAGGAGAGGCAGCATATGACCGAGGTTATGTGCTACGTCGCCCTCGATAGCATAAGTCGCATCGACGACCTTGTTGATGTTCTTTGGCTGGATCTCAAAGTGGATGATACCACCTCGACCTTGCAGAGCGGCAGCGCGAGCATGTGGCGCAAAACCATCGAGTCTGCCCGTTACACGATCGTCAAATCTCGCACCGAGAGCGATAATAACATCGGCGTCTTGCATTGCCAGGTTGGCATATGCAGATCCGTGCATACCGAGCATATGCAATGAGCGCTCGTTGTGCTCATCAAAAGCTCCGAGACCTTGCAACGTGGTCGTGACGGGAATGTTGCCCTTTTCGGAGAGCTCTGCAAGGAACTGAGGTCCTTCTGGTCGAGCGAGAATGCCCTGGCCGGCGTAGATGATCGGTCGCTTCGCCTGGGCGATGAGCGCGGCTGCTTTGCTCAAAAGCTCCATGTCAGGCGCTGGAAAGGCAGGCTGGGTCTGGGCTACTGCGGCTGCAACTGCGGCTTGGGTGAGGGGTTGCACGCTTTGGGGCGCGCTCCGGCTGAGAGGATTGCTCGGCAGGTTTGCTGCCGTCTGGTCCGGCTGGGTATAGCGCAAGGGTATGGACTGTCGAAGAATGCCAGCAGTGACATCCTTTGGCAGGTCGACGAGGACGGGTCCCGGCCGTCCGCTGGTTGCAATTCTGAAAGCCTCATTAATGCGCCTCGGGAGCTCAGTGATATCTTTGACCATTACGTTCCATTTCGTGCATGATCGAGAGATACCGACGATATCTGCTTCTTGGAAAGCATCTGAACCGATGGCAGAAGTGGCTACCTGTCCACAAAAGACGACAAGTGGCGTGCCGTCTGACATTGCATCCTGCATCGGTGTGACGACGTTGGTCGCGCCTGGACCAGATGTGACGAGCACTACGCCAGGCTTGCCTGATACGCGTGCGTAGCCTTCTGCCATGTGACCTGCGCCTTGTTCGTGTCTTGGTAAGACAAAGTCAAAGTGGGGGGAGTTGTAGATGGCGTCAAACACAGGCAAAATGGCACCGCCAGGATAACCAAAGACATGCTTGACATTATGCCGCAGCCTGAGCAGAGTAAGAGTCAATAATTGCAACGCGTATATCGCAAGGCTAGACGAACATCATCTCGTGGAAGATCTGGCCGCCAGACATGCCTACAAAGGTCGAGTCCATCACTTCGATCTTCTTTGTCGGTGCTGCAGGGGCGGGTCGAGCAACGAAAGGCATCATGAGGCGGGCTTTGCTTGCATCTCTGACGTGGCCGCCTGCCGATCGCGAGAGTTCTGGCGGTATGAGACCAGCATGAGATCTGTTAAAAAGATCTTAGCTTCGCCATTCGTTTAAGCAAGATATGACTGACGATGAAATGTGTTCCATTTGAGCAGCCTGCGACGCCTGTGCTGTCGCACGCAGGCCTCTCCTACCGGCCTGCTCACGCTCCCTTTGCAAGACACGCAAGCGGGCCTTGGCGTCTAATGCGCCACTGGTCGTCGTCGCTCGCTGTACTGGCGCAGTGGGCTTGCTAGATCTCGGGCTGGATGTCGAGAAGGCGGCGAGTGCACCCCGATGATGTGGGCTCGAGAGGCTGTTCCTGCATGATGGGCTGGTGGCGCCACTCGAGCTCGTCTGACCGCATTGTGTCTGAGTCGATCGTGCCGATCGGGCGAGCGTGCTTCTGATACTGCAGGACATCACGAGTGAATGTCACGTCGGCTGTAGCCTTTGTCGGTTGTCACCGGCAAAGCTGGCCACACGACCGAGGGGCGTTTGCTCCTTGCAGAGTTCGCTGCGGAGATTGAAGTGATGTTGCGTCGAGACAGAACGTAGCGCTGGCAATCGATGAGGGTCAAGGTCCTGGTCCGTCGCGCTGTATCCAGTTCAGTGCCTTTGCTGAGCCGCCCGCTAGCCCTGATCTTTTGAAAAGAAATGACTCCGCCAAAATCCCTTTTTTTTTTTAAAACGTAAAATCCACAGCCCGCAACACGACGACAACAACAACGATCAGGCGGCTCAAGTTTGACGGGCTCTCGACGGCTCTTTGCACGATCTTCCGCGCAGGATCCGGTCTAGGCGATAGCTTCCGAGTGCACTGTCACTCAGGCATTGGCAAGGCCAGCTGGTTGATCGGCGCTGCTCCCTTGTGACGACTCCCGGCATTGTGTCAGACGATCCCCAGTCTCCGCTCCTGGACTGAGATGGTCACACCGATCAACAGGCTCACATCGACAGGTATGGCAACCAGTGTGCCTGTCGCGAGTACTTCCAAGCCCGAGCCGCGTCGTATACCAAGGGCGAAACCGAATGCGACACTCTGCTACTTCTCCCCTCGACTTGCATTCACCCACTTTCCCCATCCCCCGCCGGACGAAGCTTTCCTCGCCCAACACTATGCTGTCATTTCGAAGCGCGAGCAGAGGCTGTGGGGTCAAGTTGGCTACACGGGAGACGACAGTCAACCTGGCTTGCCATCTTGGGCAATCCAGGACGATCCAGACTTGCTACACGATGGGGGTGATGAAGGAAGCGACGACTACCTGCTCGATGAGGATACCGAGCCAGAGGACGTCATCCCGCCTAGTGCGACTGACGCGACGGTCAACAAGCGAAAGGGCAAAGAGAAGGCCGAAGCCAGGGCTACAGCGACAAAGGCTGCGCCAGGCTCACGCGAACTCGTCTGGTGGACTCTTGATAACGAGCTCATCTATCACTCCTTCTTCCAAGATTTCGGGCCTCTCAACATCGGCTGCCTCTATCGCTTCTGTCTCGCATTACATGCCCTTCTCGAGGCGGCAGAACACAGCCAGAAGACGATTGTCATCTACGCGTCTGATCAGCCTGACAAGAAAGCTAATTCCGCCCTGCTTGTCGCTCTCTATGCGATGATCGTGCTTCACTTGTCGCCAGCCGACGTGCTCTTTCCACTAGCAGGCCTCGAGTTCAGGCCGTACCGCGACGCAGGCTACGCTCGAGCAGACTTCCATCTCTCATTACAGGACGTCATCTTTGGCATGAAAAAGGCGCTTGATCTGCGCTTGCTCAAGCTGGAGGAATTCGACGTCAAGCAGTACGAGGAATTTGAGAAAGTCGAAAATGGCGACTGGAATTTCATCACGCCCCACTTTCTTGCTTTCGCGTCGCCCTTGCAACCTGGTTACAAACCGCCTTCAACGCCGTCATCTGCACCTGCCGCTACGTCTGGACTGTCCACAAGCCGCCTGCCAAAGCCATTCACGAATGTGCTTGATCACTTTCCCAAGCTGAACGTTCAACTCGTTATCAGACTGAACAAGAAGCTCTACAACGAAGGCTACTTTGTGCAGAAGGGCATCAGCCATCTCGAGAGTATGTGTCGTCTGCTAAGGGTTTTCGGCTGCTCATGCGAGTTGATTGCAGTGTACTTTGACGATGGCACAAACCCTACGATGGACATGTGTCGTGAGTTCATTGACATTTCAGAGCGTACGATCAGAGCAGGCGGCGTCGTAGCGGTACACTGCAAGGCAGGATTGGGCAGGACGGGTACACTGATCGGAGCGTACATGATCTGGAAATGGGGCTTCACCGCCAACGAAGCCATCGCGTTTATGCGAATGATGCGCCCCGGCAGCGTCGTAGGGTCAGTCGAGCTCTCACGAAGATCCAGCCGCTTTGGCTGAGCGTCGCGGCTACTCTGTGACAGGCCCCAGCAGCATTATCTCTATCAGAATCAGCTCGTGTGGTCTCAATGGGCAGCTCTAGACAGCTACCGCGCGGCACAAGCTGGCGCGGGAGGCATCACCAAGCCGGCTGACATCGTCCTCGAGACGAATGGCCAGACAACAGCTACCCTTGAGCCAGCTCGACCAATGACACCGCCGCCTGAGCCAGAGGCCGTCACGATACCCAAGACGCCCATCCGCGCTCGTGAAGTGACACCTGTCAATGCCAATCTGACTGTGCCTGGTCAACCACGCAAGACGCCAGGCTCGAAGGGCAAGCATCAGATTGCAGCACCCGAAGCGCTAGATGATTCGATCGATGAGGAGAATATCGAGCCGGAAGCAGATCCGCTGGACGCAAAGTCGAGTCCGCAGATGGTCACCCGCGAACTGCCTCCCAGTCCCGTCAAGGGTATTCCGGTACCGATCACCAGGAACAACCGTGTCGCACGACCGAGACAAAAATCCGTGAGCTCTGCGAGCAGCCGAAATGGCGATCAGCACAGCGACAAGGAAAACAGTAATCAGAGCGCAAGGGCGCGAGTTCCTCGATCGCTCGCCAGCAAAGATCTCGGCCAGCTCGTCGAGACCGCAAAGAGCGTAGCGAGCAAAGGCAGTACTCCCAGCGTGCTCGCTTCGGACGACGACGATTCACATTACAATCTACGAGCATCGCGGTCGAATTCGATCAACAAGATTTCAGATGTCACGCCTATCGTGCCAGTCAAGAACCCATCGCCTAGCAGATTGCCAAAGCGTGTTCAAGTCAAGAGGCGTACGCCGACCACATCTTCCCAGCCGCTCTCGAACCGATCTCGAGAGCCGTCTTTGGGCCTCAGCGAGCGTCGCAAGGTATCTGGAGGAAGTCACGAGGCTGCAGTGAAACCTACGAGAAGCGTTCGAGCAAGGCGCAGTGCTTCGCAGCAAGAATAATTAGTCGGAGTCTTGCTTACAAAACATCATCTTTGATACTTGTTGATTGTAGTAAAGCAACACTTGCAGAGGGTAATACAAGCATTCGAGCACATGAATACAGAATTGGCCTTGAGCTGAGATCGGTTCATAGTACACCGAGCAAATCTTCCATTGCGCAGGTAAACTAAGGCGCCGTGTGAGTTCAGATGGGATGTAGCAGAAGGCGAGCTTACCTTGCCACAAGCGACGGAAGCGCTTAAACTATACTGGCTAATGGCAATCTTTTCGTCGACCATGTGGTCTGCGAAGTTGTCCGGTCCCGATGCCATAGCGCCCACAAAGACGACGACGGAAGCATCCCGAGGTAGCGTTGGCAAGTATTCTGATAATCTGACTGGCTTCGAGTCGAATGAGAGAGCTGCGAGTACATGGTCAAACGACTGCGGGAGTGGAAGGAGTGATGCGACGTACTGATCTTGTACGAATTGCTCGGCAGATGATCGGTGATAGGATTCTGTTTGCACTGTGTCAGCACAGCGACGAGCCGAAAGGTGATGACCGCTCGCCTTGATGACTTTGAGTAGCTTTTCAGAGCCGGTCACGCTACGAATGCTCAGCCGATGCAGCAGTTGCACTGTCGCCCTCGATCAGCTCTTGTTTCGCTCATTCAGGCGTATGAGAGCGCACCCATGAGACCGGAGAAGCGCTTAAAAGTACGGGGTATGCGTACGGTCGGATTGACTTCGATGAGGACGCCTTTGGCCGTGTGAATGTAGACTTGTAGCAGACCTGCCTTGTTGATGGGCGAGTCTAGCAATGTCAACAGACACTTGAAGACAGCAGCTCGTCAGCTCGGATTTCGCTGAGGAGCAGGCAAGGCTTGCCTGATGGGTGATGTCGGGTCTTGCAGAGGCGACCTCTCGGTTCATCTTTGACAGAATCCCTTGATGACTGACCCACGGAAGCTGTCAGATCCGGAGATGCACTTTCTAGCGTCGGGCAACTCACTCGTCGCAATTGAGGAGGGTATAGCGGTCGTCGCTCGACTTGCCGTTGCGATTGGTCGAGCCGGCATAAGTGACTTTGTATGTCTCGAGACAAGCTTGCTCGAGCACGACGATCAACCTCCTCGTCTTCTCTTTCTCTTCAGACGTCTTTGGGATCCTGGGCGCAGATGGCTTGAGCGAGGGAGACGGCGGGGGCCTCTTTCTAGAATTTTGCATGCCGTCGCTCGCCGTTGAAGTCGATGCAGCGGGCTCAAAGGGCGTTGCGCTCGCTGACAGGGGACCGTTACTACCTGTTGCCGGTCTGAGCGAGGCTGACTTGGCCTCTGCTGCCGTTGCCATCTCGTGCGAGCGAGCTCAGTGTGGGCCGTCACTCAATTTCAGCAATCGCGCGCAAAACCGCAAGTCCGACTGAACGGTCATGTTGCGTGACATGTGACATGCGACAATGTAGCGATCTCAGTCGACAACAATGACCCACTCGAGCGCAGTCGCTAGGCGGAGCTGCTCTCCTTCAATCTGCATCCTCTGTCAGCAGTTCCCCTGGTCGCGAGATCGGCAATGCTGCTGACCTTTCGAAGCATGGATTGGCATTCGAACAGCACCGAGCGAGCATTCTTGTCGAGTTCCTTGGCGATGTCAAGGCGCTCTGAAAGCTCGCCGCTCGCACCATCACCCTTGTGAAGAGCACGTCGGTGCTGATCTGACAAGGTCTTGAGCAACGACTCCGTTGCCTCGACGCGCACGATGAGGGCTTCGACGCCCTGCTCGAGTACGAGCTCGCGAGCTTGCTCATACTGTGTCGATGCAGCTTCGAGCGTGCTCAGTGGTACATCATCCAGGTCAGGAGGCAGCTGAACAAGTGAAGTGCAGTATCGCTTCAGGTTGTCCAATCGGACCGTCTCTCCTGATGAGGCGGTGGCAGACTCATACGTGGGTGGAATGCTGTCTTGAGAGCCAACTGGGCTTCTGTGCCTGAAGATCTGCAGGCTTTGAGTGTGCCATATACACACGAAGCACGAGAATGGCAGCCGACCTTTGTGATCCAGGCGTGATGAGCGTGACCGTCTTTGACGTCGGCAGGAACGAGACTTGATCCTCTCCTTCGCAGTGCTTGCATGATCTGCCGAGAGGAGAGAAGGAGGCATGCTTGTCTGCGCTCGACAAGATGAGGTCACGGAGAGACTGAGCCAGTCAGGACGATTGCAATATTGATCGGTCTCGCGCGTGAAGCTGACGCGTTTGCAATTGTGAGAGGGCAGATCCACCCGGCGAACCGTCGCCCGCTCGCTCGTCGCCCATGTTTCTCACCCGGTCAGAGTATGATCGTGGGGTGTCCACCTTCTCTCCAGAGGGGCGTCTCTACCAAGGCGAGCTCCCTTGAGCTGCTGAATCGAGGCCCCACGCTGACGAGGCACACAGTCGAATATGCCATCGAGGCTATCAAGGTCTGCCGACGCCTTGGCATCCCATAGGCCCTGCTGAACTTGGATAACGACCGGTGACAGCTTGGATCGACAACAGTAGGCGTACAAACGGCAGAAGGTGTCGTGCTGGGCGTAGAGAAGCGAGTCCAGTCGTCTCTGCTAGAGAGCTCGAGTATCGAAAAGATCATGGAGATCGACTCTCATCTCGGTTGCGCCATGTCCGGTCTCACTGCAGATGCTCGAACGATGGTCGAACATGCCCGCAATACTTCTCAGGTCAGCCCCCTCACCCTGTCTTGCTCGGCCAGCACTTTTGTTCTGACACAGCGGTCGTCGACAGAATCATGCCTTCACGTTCAACGAGCCTATCAAGGTCGAGTCTGTCACTCAGGCCGTCTGCGATCTCGCGCTACGGTTCGGTGAATCGACTGCTGACGATGAGCCTATGATGGTCAGTCGACTGCCCGCGCGACACGTAAGCGTAATGCTCATGGCGAGCGCAGAGTCGGCCGTTTGGTGTCGCGCTTCTCATCGCAGGGCAAGACGAGCACGGTCCGCAGCTCTACCATGCAGATCCATCCGGCACCTTTATGCGCTACGACGCAAAAGCGATCGGATCGGGCTCAGAGGGCGCCCAAAGTGAGCTACAGGATAGATGGCACAAGGTATGCACCACGCCAGCTTCAACTGTACCAAAAACTGAGCCTCCTACGCCCCTCCGCTTCTAGTCACTGACGCTGGCAGAAGCCCAAGTGCTCGTGCTCAAAGTGCTCAAGCAAGTCATGGAAGAGAAGCTAGACGATTCCAACGTCCAGCTTGCTCAGATCACGCCAAAAGATTCATTCAGGATACTCAAGGACGATGAGCTCAAGGCCATCATTGCCAAGATCGAAGATGCACCTGCAGACCCGAATGATCCTGCAGGGCCGGCACAGCCAGGCTCGGCAGCACCCGCACCTGTAACAGGTTCTGTACAAGGCGCAGCCTGATATTGCATTCTAGCGAACAAAGAGGGTGCATCTTCTTATCAGACAATACGCCAGTATACAGCTGTAGACCCATGACCAGCAACAATGGCCTCTTCGACCATCTTGCGACCCTCCACCTTCGTCGCCGTCGCGAGCTGCAGGCGATGGTGAGCCATAGGACTCGGTGTGCCCGAGCTAAGCGCGCTCTCGGGCGCATTCGAGATCTTGGCCGGGTTGGGGTAGGGTAATGGCGGAAGATGCTGGGGAACAGCGAGATTAGATCGCTTGCCCGTGCCTAGCTGATAGCTTTCGTTGTGACCTGGTCATATTGCTAGTCAGTGGCCGCAGGTCGCTTAGCAGGGCAATAACGGACCCCATACAAAGACATCTCGACCAAATTTGGCATCGTGCTGTACGACTGCGTTGTCGAGCGTGATGGCGCAATGCGTGCTTGAGACAGACAAGTCATGTACGGCGATCGGCGCAATCGATTGGTGATGATCTGACCACTCGAGCAGACCGCTGATCGTCTTCACTTTTGTCGGCGAACCCTGATGGGCCCAAGCCGCATTACCGATCTGACCGAAGCGACCATTACCGCATGCTAGAACCTCTATCGACACATTGCCCGTCCTGATCTCATTTCGCGTCACGACGAGATAGGTCGTATCGCCTCCAGCTGCGACTTTATCGCACTTGACGGCGACAGAAGCAGGGAAGCTCTTCGTCAGCGGAAGCTCTGTCGGCGTCGGGATCGTCGGGAATGCCATCTGTGGGCCGAGACCGAGCTGGCCATAGCTATTTGCGCCCCATGTCAAGATCCTGCCCTCCTTGGTCTTGGCCACACTGTGCCTCGCGCCTGCAACGAGCTGGTCTATCGCCACGCCACGTAGCGATGGCAGCTCATGTAGGACAGTGCAGAAACGTATGTCTGCCTGAGCACTATCGCTCTTGTCGCTCGTCTTGATCGCTTCAGCGTTGTAGTTCGCGAGCTTGCCAATCGAGTCGCCCAGCAGCCTATCGTAAGACTTGTCAAATTCGACATCGAATCCGTCCGGTATCATCTGTATCTGTTGTGGCGGTGGCATATCGCCAGGCTGGTCCGTCTTGCGTGTCGTAGTGAACAACTGTACCGCCCGAACGCCTAGCTGGCCGTTGGAATTACCACGAGAGCTGGCAGGTACAGCAAAAGCACGACCTGCAGTCGTCAAAGCGAGCACATGATCGCTACCTGACGAGACGGTCACAATGTTCTCGCCGGAAGCTAAAGCCACATTGGTGGTCAGCTTCTCGGTGTCAACGCCGGGCGGCCTTGAGCCCCACAGCCAGGCTATGTAGCTCCAGTACGAGTATGATTTGTTCTGTTGGCCCATGGCCTGATGTGCAGCGTTGGCCGCGATCAGCCAGACCTCGCCCTTCTTCGACAAAGCATAGATCTTCTCGCTCGTAGCTGCGACTTGGATGATATTCTTGCCTTGTAGCGTCTTTCTGGGTTTGATGTCGCCTGTCTCCCGCACAGTATTGTCGAAGCCATCGCCCCATTGTAGCAGATCGCCATGCTCGTCGATAGCCACTGCTCTGCTCTTAAGCAGCTATACCGTTGAGTCAAAGCGCAACTTGCCTGCGTATTTCTCGTGCAATACGAGTTCCCTCAACGCGACTCCGTCTAGCAGCACGAAAGGCTTGGGCTGCTTGATGACCTCTACGTCTGGCTGGTGAGGCGCCGTAACGTTATGTCTGCGCGGGTAATGAACGACGCCGGGCAAATGTGCGGCCGAGCCGACTTACTTGTTCGAGCCCCACAAGAACAATCCTCGGGTTCTGTGGCCTTCGTGCAGTTGGTAGTGCTCTATAGCGGACTCGTTGGAGATGTGATCGCCAAAGAGCGTCAATCGGACTGTCTCTTCTACCGCAACCCCAAGTAGTACCAGACCTAGCCGTCCTCGCATCCTGCTGTTCCCTACTGCATCCGCATCAGAGGCTGATGAATGTGTCTGTCTGCTAGCTCCGGCATGTGGAGGGGTCGTACGCAAGGCTGTGGGACGATGAAGCGTCGCTGTCGCAGTGCTCGATCGTCGAGCTGACATGACCACATGCGATGATCGTAAGCCGCTTGACAGCCTGTATATCATGCGAGGGCATGCTCCTGCTACTTGTGAGCTATGCCGCAGCGTCATTGAGCTGGTGTGCGGTGTCGTCGACTGTGCGGACTTGAGCCAGTTTTGCTGATGCTCGAAGTTGACATTCCCCACGCGGGGAAAATCAATCCAATCCTGGACGCGGCGCAGATCTAGCCGCACTGGGCGAGCCGCGGTTTGGTGAGAATCTACGTCTACCGCGAAGAGGGTATAAGACCGGGCGAGACGTCAGTCTGCTCACCTTGGTCTCCTTTGATCAACTTGTCAAGAGGCAGCGCTTCATTGCGTCCTTGTCTCGTACTTGCCAGTTGTCGACTCGCCTCAAGCAGGCCTCGAGAGCAGCGCTTCATTGCGTGTTTGTTCTCGTCGCCGTCACATCAGCCCCAAGCAAGTAGCAAGCAAAGTCAAAGCACACAAGGAGGATCGGCCGTCTGCAAAGATGTCACCGAGCCAACACAATACCAAGACTCGCAGAGCGGCAACATGGCTCGCCTTGAGCGCTGTCGCGGCATCGATGATGAGCGTCTCTGCTGCTCATCTCGACAAGAAGGCACAACACGCTTTCCACCGCCCGAGCGAACATGCCGGTCATGGTGCGGCCGAGTGGGTCAGCTTAGGCTCTGGATTTACCGATATTCCGGCAAAGCCAACCGCTTTTGGCGGAGTCGGCAAGATCGCAGTGTCCGCTCACTCTTTCGTCAACGATACCCCAACGGGTACCTACACGCTCAACCTACGTACCGTTGGTAAGATCGTCAACAATGGCGACGGCAGCGATACTTCGTCTGGCACGTCGTCCGATCAAACCAATAGCACCCTATCGTCTACCACTTCAGTGGGCGCACCCACGACTACTTTTGCCCTTGCCCCAGAGGCAACAGAGCTCGTCAATACCAAGAACCCCAAGGCAGCCCTCGAGGCATCGGAAGAAGCAACTGCAACAACCTCTTCGCGCTCTGCCAGCGCGAGCGCATCTGCGACGACCGTGCCTGCAGGCGAGCCCACCGCAGCACCTGCTCCTTCGTCCTTGGGTGTCAAACTAGTCACATCGTCCGAAGCCAATCTGCCGACGCCTCTCAAAGCTTGGCATGGTCCTGGCTCGATGACTGCAATCTCTGAATGGACGACCGCGTTCAAGTTCAACCACTGGGCGTGGGGCAGCGACAATGTCAAGATTCAGAAGGGCAACCCTCCTGCTAGTCAGTGGTCATCGGCTGGCAAGGCTTCCGATGACTATGTCAACAAGAACAACTCGCTCAAGGCGCTCTATCCCAAGGGCACCTGGTCGCCGGGCAACAAGCCTGTCGGTGGCTTTGGCTTCAACGCAATACCCAGTAAGCTGCCATCTGTGACTGCCTGTATATGAGCTCATGGGCTATCCAGTGCCGATCTCTGGAAGCAACAATGTCTCGCTCGCCTACAGTGTCTTCTTCCCGAAGGACTTTGACTTTGTGCTCGGCGGCAAGCTTCCAGGTCTCTATGGCGGCCATACTGCATGCTCTGGCGGTGTGGCAGCTGAAGACTGCTTCTCAACCCGTTTGATGTTCCGCAAGAACGGCATGGGCGAGCTCTATCTCTATGCTGCCCGAGACAAGCAGGTCGAAGCACTCTGTACCCTCCCTCCGCTCAGTTGGTGCGATGCCGTCTACGGCATGTCAATCGGTCGTGGCAGTTGGACGTTCAAAACGGGCGAATGGACCAACATCCGTCAGGACATCTGGCTCAATACGCCCGGCAAGGCCAATGGAGGCTTCAACATCTGGGTCAATGACGAGCTCAAACTACACTCTGATACCGTCTTCTATCGAGGCGCTCGAGGTGCAAGCAGCGGTACCGTCAAAGTTGGCGGCTACGTCTTGCTGTTTGATTCCAAGGTCAATCCTGGCTTCTCGACCTTCCCTGCACCAGCGGGCGCACCTCAAGTCGCCCCTACGTGTGCACCGACCGCTGTGACCATTCCAGGCGAAACCGGTGAGCTCATTGGCAGTGTCTCCGGTGTCGCTACCGCAACTGCGACATCGTCGCTGTCCGTTGGTCCTATCAAGGCTGGTGTCCGAACAAAGACGCTCACCAAGACCCTCACTCGTCACGTCACGATCACGGACTACAAAACGAAGACGGCCGAGACAAAGCTTGTGACCGAGCATAGCACGACCACTAAGGAAGTGCGCAGATACAAGACAGTCACTGTGACGCCCACTGCTCAAGCTAAGATCATTGCCAATCCGTCTGCGTTCCGCTTCATTTCTGCTACCTCTGCCAAATTCTCTACAACAGAGATGCCCTCGTCTGCGCCAACAGCAGCGCCGACCCTGGTGCTTCAGCAGCGCGCGTTCAAAGTGACGACGAAGACAGTCCACAAGACCGTCTTCAGGACAAAGTATCACACTACGACCAAGACGCGCACCATCCACCCTACAAAGACGATCGAGGCTGTCAGGACGAAGACGACGACGGAGCATCGTACGAAGACGACGACTGTAGGCGTAGCAGCCTCGACGTCGACAGCGATCGCCAAGGGCACTGGCTCGGGTAGCAAAGCTGTCGCCAAGGCATGGAATGCGTCTAACTCCAAGACGGACACGCAAGTGCTCGGCATCATGGTAGGCCGCCTTCTGGACCGCGATGCGCGTTTGCTGATCAGAAACCGGACAGGCGGACACCTTTTTCGGTGGCTCAACGAAGCAATACTCAAGTCCAAGGGATCAGAACAGTTGGTTCCGCGATTTCTCAATATATGTGTGGTCTTGATCTTCACCAACACTCGACAACTTCGACACGACCTTGTTGGCTGCACATGTATTGTCTGTATTGCATTTCTTGCGTTATCCATCTGCTCCTTGCCAGCCTAAGGCGATACAATGCTGATCGGCATCAGATTCCTTGGCTGATGATCTGATAGACTGCAACGAAAGAGGTGATGTAGAGCCCGAAGAGGCCGATATAGTGGAAGCTGCCTCGGAGACGCAACTTAGGATCGCCAGAGAGGTAGCCGAGCGTGTACACGACCCGTCCGGCCAGACTGATCAGGCCAAAGGCGGAAGCAACTCTGGGTGCAGCCAGACCAGCAACAAGGAGAGCATAAGTGAGCATGGGCGCTTGTTCTAGCGTGTTCAGATGTGCACGGTTGGCACAGGCAAATTTGCGCGCTTCGGGGGACGATTGAAGCTGTTCATCAGACACAAAGGTCTGGGGGTATTTGATGCCTGATGCCTTACGCGCTGCACCCACTGTACGCACACCCGATCTCAGAGCTGCTTGCTGCTGCAGGCCCTACTGACCTCGGGTTGTCTGCCAGAAATTGAGCAGGCCGAACGAGAGACCGACACCGAGAACGAAGCCATAGTTGGCAGGGATAGCCTTTGCGATGTATTGATCCATGTTAGTCATGATGAGGCCCATCTTATTGAATACTCTCTGGTCTGTTGCCTGATGCCGAAGAAGCTGTGCCGACCAGGACTGGACGCGCGGTTTGCCGAGCAGCCGGAATGCGAACGTCGATCGTCGATCGTTTCGTCATCTCGACTCGTAAGCAGTAAATGCAGGAATTGCAGCAGGACCACGTCGATGCTAACGCAAAGTAAGATCTCGAGCTTCAATGGTCAAACAGTACCCAGCTCGGGTGCTGAGGGATATCAAGCGGAGAGAAGCCTTTGCCTCCACAGAGCTACTGCGGAAGGCGTACCTCTATGTCGCGCGCAACGAGATGCTGCCGGTCCAAGTAGATTCGAATGTCTGCGATTGCTACGTTCTGCTGATGCTTCGAGCAGATACGGACACAGGCACAGCTCTCACTGCAGTCGCCTGCGATCTTCTCTACGGCAAGCAGACCCTCTGCGCCCAAGAACAGGTGCGTAGAGACCGGACGGGGCAGAGGTGTGCTTGGCAAGATTGGACTTTGCAGGGTGAGGCGCTCGCCGTCAGACGCTTGATGTACCTGATCGAAACTGACTTCACAGCATCAATTTAAGCTCAAGGCTACCCGTGGTGAGCTCAACGGGTGGAGCAAAGCATCTTGGTAGCCTCGTCCTGAATCATCTGTCTTTTGTTGTAAACTCGCGCATCTGCAGCTTTGTCATGGAAGAAAGGCAGTCTGCTGCCACATTCAGCTGGCCTTTGGCAGCTCAGTGAGTCAGGAAGCATGCGCTGCGAGCGCAGCCTGCTGACGCTCGCTTCAGGCTGGCATGCGTCGTTTGGGTGTCGGCCATGTATGCCATTGGCAACCTCGGTCGATACGTTGCGCAAGTCATGACCTCTCAGCAGTGCTTGCCATGGCTCACGCCCGCATGCATCTTGCAGACGCTCACGCTACACAGGCCAATTCGAGCAGCCAAAGCCGACGACAGCTCAGCCTGGCGTCACTATCCTGAGGCCGCTCCGTGGGCTGGACTGCAACCTGTACGACAACCTGGAAGCGTCATTCAGGCAGGATTACGCAGACAAGGAGATTATCTGTTCCGTTGCATCATCGGCAGACCAAGCCATCCCCATCGTGAATGATCTCATCGCCAAATACCCGGCCGTCAAAGCCAAGCTCCTCATTGGTTAGCATAGGCCTTGCTGTATACGTGCAAGGGCTGACTTGAGCTCAGGCGAACAAGACGTAGGGGTCAATCCAAAGATCAACAATCTCGTGCGCTCGTATCACGAGGCAACGCATGATCTGCTCTGGATTCTAGATGCCAATGTTCTAATGGACGTAGGCGCGCTCACGCGAGCTGTTCAAGCCTTGCAAAGCACGTCCGGCTCGCGATCTATCGGACTTGTCCATCATGTCCCTTTCGCACTCATGCCAGATGTATCGCTGGGTGCAAGGATCGAGCAAGTCTTTCTCTGTACGACCCATGCCAAGATGTATCTCGCCATCAATTTCCTTCGAGTCGATTCTTGCGTCATGGGCAAGTCAACGCTCTTCCGGCGATCGGACCTGAACGTAGCTACGACCAAACGAGCAGCACGATCCAAGTCGACGAACGCTGCTACTGGCTTAGAGGCTTTCGGGCGATACTTGGGCGAAGACAATATGATAGGCTCTGCCATCTGGCATGACTTGGGCTACCGACATGCCATGTCAGTGGACGTAGCAGGTAACACCATCGGCTCCATGGCCCTCTCGTCGTACTTCTGGCGACGAGTCAGATGGATCCGTGTACGAAAGTACATGGTCACTGCCTCTACCCTTGTCGAACCTCTGACAGAATCAGTCGTCTGCGGTATCATGATAGCATACGGATTCAATCGCCTGTTACCTATCTGGCTCGTACTGCTGCTCCACTTCGGCTCGTGGTATGCAACCGACGTGGCAGTGTACCACGCGCTACAGCGAGCAGCACCCTACGAAAGCGGTCGAGCAGCTCACGATGGGCCCGGCGTAGCTTTCTTTCGAGCCTGGATCTTGCGAGAGCTTTCCGCCTTGCCCATATGGATCTTTGCCATGGCGGGCGATAGGGTAGGATGGAGAGATGACGGCAAACAGTATCGCGTCAGATCGAATGGCGAGGTGGAAGAGGCTGCAGCTGAGCCGCCGGGACAGCTTCAGAAGGGCTTGCTCTGGCTCTGGAGGAAAGGACCACTACACGGCAGACGGAGCGGCTACAGGGTCTTGCCTGTCGATACACCCACGATCAGATGACAACATGCATGCATCATTCTGTTGTATCCATCGGTGTATGTGCATCATCAACCCGCAGAGATTCCTGAGCGACCGGTGTAGACATCATCTCGGCATCCTCCTGCACAGGCGCGTCCGCTGGCTGCTCTACTTCCGCGGTCACGGCACGCTGCTCAGGCACGGGCACGGGCGCCTGAGTGGCGGTACTGTCGGTGTGCGCTGCTGCTAATTGATCTCGCTTGACGTCGAGCTCAATCATCAGACGCCGCAGGTTATCCTCGAAGCGTTTCTGGGATTCCTATGAGCGGCGGTATAGCAACCGAAAGGTTAGGCATACCTTCAAGATCGGATTGCTAGCACGAGCGATTTCTGCTCGCTTGCGGGCAATAGCTCCCTCGCAATCCTTGATCTCATCTTGCGCAAGTTTGATCCTGTTGCGTAGCGCCTTTGTCTGTTCGTCCACCTCTTCATCTTCATCCTCTTCGTCATCGCTCCCGCTCTCCTCATCTCCAAACAGACCGGCATCCTCATCCTCTTCTTCGTCATCTGCAGCCTTCTTCGCGCGAGCATCATCAGCCGCCGAGCCCATCAGTCCCGCTGCGATTTCCGCCGCAAGTCCGTCATCGTAGGAATTATCGCTGTCGTCTTCCTCGTCGTCGTCGTTGCGAGGTGTGGCTGCAGTGACAGACTCGCCTCGATCTGACATGCCTTCGTAGGCTGGCGTCATGGCTTGCGAGGGTGTCTGTGCCTCAGAGACGCCCTCTTCGTCTTGACTAGAGTCTTCGTCATGTGATAGCATCTCTGCTCGCAGAAATCAGATAAGCATCTCGCATACTTATCGCTTCCGTACGAACCTAGCTGCGTTTCATCTGCGTTTGCATCTGCAGTGAGCAATCGCTCGACGTTGCGCTCGACGGTTTCAATCGTGCGCTTGTTGACGCGATGGCGGAACCGTCTCTTGCGAACATGGTACAGAGGCGGCGTAAGCCCGTGCGGATAGACAAAGTCTTCGATGTTGAAAGGTTGCCCGTCTGTTGCAGCAGATTCGTCGGATATGCGATCTTCGACGAGCAGCATCTGACAGATATCTGCAGACTTGAACAAGTGCTTGTTGTCGAGTGTCTTGTTCGCTTCGATGATACATGGCAAGTCGACGAGCTTGGCCCGATAGAGGTGTTTGCCTATGCCCATCGTTGCCCTCCTCGAGTCCTTGAACTTGAAGTACACGCTCGGGTCAACTTCGCGACGATTGACGAGCTCTCTGAGCTTCTCTGCATCGCTGTTCGCAGGCATTCGCAGTATGAACTGATCCTCGTATGCGATAGGCTCATCTGGATCAGAATCCAGAGAGCCATCGTAGCCCGCCGAGCGATTGAGGTTGGATGTACCGCCTGAATTACCGGCGCCGAGCTTGAGCTTCAACTTGCTAGGCGCAGCCCGACGAGTCGGCTTGATCTTGCGCTGTGGCCGAGGTAGCGCACCGAAGGGCTGACTGGATGGGCCAGCGACTGGCGCTTCCATACTGCGAGAAGCTGTACGGCAGCCGAGCTCGGCACACTGCCAATTGTCGACTTGTCGCGCGCGCTCTCCTTTTGCCAGATAGTGCAAAAGGGCAAGTCCTAGTCGCTCGTCACTCGTTCCTTTGCTTCACAATCCCCTCTTCTACCCACGTAGACGACATCATGCTCTCTCCACAGCTAGCGTCCGCAGCTACACTGTGGGCGCTCGTGCCTCTCCTGATTCTGGCCAGACTCTGCTGCGATCGCGCTACTGATGATGCAATGTATGCGAGACGCCTTCACAGACTCATCAAGCCTCACTGGCACATCATCCATTCACTCGAGCAAAGTGAAATCTTCACCTCGCTCTCCTCATTCCTGCGTCTTCTCTTACCACGCCGAAGTCAGACGGGATGAAGGCACAGTTGGCTGCTGGCGTTGCGCAGATCGTCATCTGCGGCTTCGGCTGCTTCATATCAAGTTGCGTCTGCGGCATCGTCGTCTTCAGACAGCGCTCTCAAGATCTGCTCTACAAAAGTTTGGCCCTGCTTGTCATTGCTTTCTTGCTGCCATGCTGGGTTGGCATCGCCGTGTATGCAACCGGCGTAAGCGGGTATGGTCCACCGGACACGTGGCCAATACTCCTCTGCAAATGGCAAGGCTACTTCGAGAACATGTACGCGCATATCGTTGCAGCTGCATCGTTGCACTACTGTCTCATGTGTCTCGAGCTCATCCTCAAGACCGACGCAACTCTAGCCGAAGTTCGATACAGCGTTCACGTCAGTCCGTCCAATACGATACATCCTGCTTCCGCCGATTCGCGAGGATGGTGGCAAAAGCGCATCGACAAGGTCATCATTGCAGTATGGCTCTGGGCTGCTTCAGTCTCCCTCATCTTCGTCGGTCTCGCTGTGCACTGGGACGCCATCGGCCCTCAATATGTCGAATGCGGCCTCGTCAACCATCTCTGGCTCGGCTTCATCGGCTTGCAGGCCGGCATATTCTCTACGGTCCCCATGGCTTGGATTGTAGGCTTGTGCCTGTATCACATCCGTCGTATCTGGCGACACCAGGCAGCAATGCAAGACTCGCTCCGGCCAACTTCTCAAGACTGTATCGTCACTGTCGAAACCCACCACGAGACGCATCACGACTTTCCATCGTACAGCTATGCGTCGCGCAGATCGCCCGTTCCATCAGATCACAGCTTTCTCGATGAGGGCCTGCAACTTGACACTGTCTCGGAAAAGGACGAGCGCGAAAGCCTGGGCGATACAATCTCGATCAGAGGGCGTTCTTTCATCGACATCGAAGAGCCAAGCGAAAAATCAGAAGTTCATGCCGAACAGACTGCTCCCTTTGGTCAGTTGGTTCAGCTGCCCGACAAGCGCCCAGGCCGCCCATCTCATTTTGCCAATTCACTCGCATGGATCTATTTGCGGCTCGCTCTGCTGGGTCTACTCTATATTGGAGGGCAGATCCTCTGCGCAGCTACTTTGATCCAGTCGCTCATACAGGGCTATCCTCCCCGGACATACTCTGCTGGTGAGCATGGCACCTTCAACGTTGTGCCCTGCTGATGTCTCACGACAGCCGATCTGTCTATCCAGGCAGTCTGCTTTGGACCATTCATGGTGTTCTGCAGCGCACCTGCTTGCGTCGATTTCGCCGTCGATAAATGGCTCGATGTCAAGGACAAACTGTCTAGACGACCTTCGATTGAATAGATTGACAACAAGAGGGATGCGAGTGTAGTATTAACGGGACGATGCCTGGTTGACGAAGCGCAGACGCTCCATGTCGAATGCATCTGCCAGTAGAGAGCCGCGTTTGCCAGGTGGAGAAGCTGGACGAGTGATTTGAATTGCGCCAGGCTGCTGTATTGTGGATGTGCGTTCATTCGTGCTTGTCGCAGCCACGCGCTTGTCTGAAGTGACAGATGACCGCAAAGTCTCTTCTGCTCCTTGATTGATAGACCCAGAACGTAATTTGAACGAACGTAGCGAGCGTGAGTCTTCTTTGCGCTTTGCATCCAGTGCCTCCCTAATCAGCTGACCACGACTTGCCCGCGGTCGTTCGGGTGACGATGGCTGACTATCGCTGCTGAGTACAAGACTGACAGGCCTCTGCATCTTTGCCAAACTTTGACGGTGACGCGACATGAGATCATGCTTCACAGGATCGTCTGCTGTATCAGAGCGTGAATGCTCGAGAAGTTCTTCCAGTGGCCTACCGGTCCAGGGATCCGGCGCCCTTCCTGCAATCTTAGCAGATAGTGGTGCTGACGTAGCTACGAACGAGAGGCGCTGTCTGTGATTCCCTGCAAACGGGTCGCTGGGCGCATCGAACTTGACCAAAGGTGGTGGTGCTCCATCGCTAGAGACGTAAGACATACGCTTGTTTGCAGCCCGCTGACGACGATCTTGCCCAGCAGAGAGCTCGGACAATAGCATCTTCTCCGCGGGCAACGATGCTGAGCCAGCTTTCGGCAGATTGTGTCGAGACGAGGCCACAGACGATGAAGGCGAAGCGGGTCGCGTTGCAATAGACTCTCGTTGGGCCTTGTGCTGAAGACCCGCAGGCGCACGATAGAGGCTCGCGTAGTTCGGATCAATCGCTGGCACGGCCGGAGGCGACCTTTTGCGAGACAGTGACTGCGGCGAGGAGAACGAACGGGGGCGAGCACCTTTTGGCGGGGTAATCGCCTCGCTTAGGTCGTTGATTGATTTGCGCAACAGCTGAATCTCTGCTTTTGTCCTCTCGCGCTCCTCTAGTACGGCACGCTGTCCCTCCGAAATGATCGCTGATGTGCGTGCGGCGGGATCGGTTGAGAAGATGCATGAGCGCCTTCGGTCATCGGGCTCGCTCGTGCTTGGCGGACTACATTCGGGCGCAGGCATGAAGGCTTCCGTCGGTCCAGGTCGATCGCTGACGTATCGAGGCAGTGAGCCTCTTTTCTTCGTAATCCTAGCTACGACAACATCGCGCGGGTCACGGCCACCGTGTGGAAGTAAGGTCGACAGCCAGTTGTAATTGGACATACGCTTTTTCGGCAGCGAGTCGAAGTCTGGCGCCACAATGAGCGCCTTGCGAGCAGGCGGCCTCTTTGCTTCTGCGCAGCCGTCGGTTGACGCAGGTGCGTATTTGCAGGCAAGTGTTGATTGCGTCGAATGCATGCTCGCAGGGTATCGTTTCTCCCATTCCTTGCGATCATATGGCAGCACGCCGGACGGGCGACGAGAAGATCCATCAGAGGCCGACCAGCGCTCGTGATCGGTCTCTCGAGTGAGCTCTTCGCTGATTTCCGCTTCGTGACGAAGCTTCAAGAACGTGGCATAGCGAACCTGTACGACGATACCGACTACAGCCACGAATGGGATTGCCGCTACTTCGATTGCAATGCCGACGACCATGGGGAAGTGCAGAGCAAGGGATGGAAAGATCTTGAAGCCGAGATTCCAGATGAGCATCTCTTTGTAGCCCATACAAGTAACGCAATCCTGCTCATCAATGTCAGCAATGTGAGGGTGTATGGCATGCGAGTCCTCACAATGCCGACGATGAATGCTATTGCGCCAAGCCAGGCAAAAGAGATCGTCTGTACAGCATTCTGAAAGCGTGGTACGCAGCCAAGAGAGAACCAGGTGACGGTGGTGGCGAGCATAAAAACCCACTTTGCGCTGTCATCGCGCAACAGTCCATCTGAGCGGACAGACTGTAGATATAGCGCAAAGAGGAAGCTGGCCAGGGGTGCGACCGTGAACGATTGTGTAGCCTGACGATAGACTGCAGAAATGACAGCTCCTAGCAGTGAGATGCCAGAGCATATAAAGAAGAAGCCGACACGGAGCTGTATTAGCGCGAATGTCAGTGAAGTCAGCAGAAGAGCGGTGAGAGCCTACACCGACGCCCGGCGCAACGACTTGGTTCTGTATGCCGAAGCGGAGTACGCAGACAAGGATAACAAGAGCAACGAGATACCAGCCAGCGACGAAATGACCAATCCTGAGTGTCAAGATCAGCGGTGTTCCTCGACAGGGCGCTGACCTTACCATCTGTGACGAGGCCCGAGCAGCAAGATAGGTAATCCTGTGAGTATGAGCCAAGCTGCCAACAGCGCAAAGGCTGGGTCGATGTGTGTATCCAAATTGAGTATCGGCTTTCCGTTTGTAGCGATCGTGCCAGGAAGCAAGGGCGTGGGCGTAGGATCGGGCACCTGCGTAGAAATTGGTATGCGCTTCGTCACAGTCGCGAAGACGGCCATTGAGGTGGGTACCGCAGTAATGAAAGTTCGGGTCGGACTGTTGCTCACTGGCGAGAGGACAGAAGTGACCGATTGAAACGATACAGTGGTGCCGATCACTGTCGTATAGACGGTGTTCCCATACACGATAATGCCACCCGAAGGCGAAGGCAGAGGGGTGGGCGAGCTAGCGCTCGAAGTCTGAATGGAGACTGCATCGAGCGTGGAATTGGATGTTGCTTGTGCGCGTGCTGTTGCCAGTAGACCAAGCTGACATGCTATTGATATCCAGCTCATCAGGAGCATACCCGCGGATGAGTGATAGCACAAGAAATTTACAGTCTGCTCGAGGGATAGCTCTTGCGTGAAGAGGTCGAGCTGAGAGCAGCAAAAGACCTGAGCACAGACGGCCGTGTCGCGAGGGCGCGTCGGTGACCGCGTGCCTTCGAGCTCCGAGCACTGTGTATGCTAGCGCGAGATCGATGGCTCATCGCATGGGGCGACTCTTCGTGTCTACGCTGAGCAACCCAAAGCGCGGCGTGACTCTCATATTTGCCAAGTTGGTTGGTTGCGGGCGGCCATGTGTAGTAGCGTGCCAATGCATCGATGTAGCGAGAGGTCTATGCATAGGAACTGGCTTCATTGGAGTTGATGCGAGGGCAATGGATTCGGGGGAGGCCGAGCTGACTGCGAGGCCTGGTACAGCCAGCGGCCAACAAGCTTGCAACAAGTCGCGTCGCTGCAGCTGCTGCACTTCAGCCAAGTGACGCCAGCTTTGTCGAAGACCTGGCGCCATGGAGGGCGCCATGGGCAAGTCTATGCCTGCAGACAGGCAGTCTGCTCGGCTCGGCAAGTTCGGTCAGTTACGAAGGACGTCTCGCAGCGGAGCGAGCTGACACGATGACAGGCATCTCGACGGTCATTGGCTCGTCGACGACATCTTTATTGCCGAGCATGCCAACGACTCTGGCGGGTCTACAAACGCTGAATCCGTTGAGATCCGTCGAAGGTCCTCGGACGGCGGCATCTCGCGGCCTACGACAGGCGCCGGATGTCAAGCTGAGCGATATGCCCAAGATTGAGCCGACCCAATTTGCTAGCTATCTGACGGAGATCAAGAGCGAACACGATCGCTACATTGCTACGCTTACTGAGCAGCAAAGAGAGCTCAAGACTGCTCGGCAAGCGAGTACATCTCGCGTGACGTTGGACGACACAAGCTTGGCATCCTCTCCTCGCGCGCCGCTTGCTCAGTCGCTGAAAGGCAAAGAGCGGGAAGAGCTACCACCGCTTTCCTCAGTGCCAACATCCTTCTTTTCGGAAGACTTTGAGCTCAGCAATCCGAACACTTTCGAAATAGTGATGGAAGCCAATCTCGCGACTGCCAAAGATGCCGCTTCGCTTCAGAACAGACTGACAGATTATCTGGACGTGCTCGAAAGTCATATGACCGTCGAGATCTCGGAACGATCAGCCTCCTTTTTCTCAGCACTGTCGAATTTACAATCTTTGGGCTCGCAATCGACAGTTGCCCTCGATCGGATAGCAGCCCTGCAAGAAGAGATGCACCGAATTGACAAAGGAACGGCAGAGCAAGGGCTTGCAATTGTACAGACTCAGATCAACAGACGCAACGCCCAGGATCTTCAGCTAGCAGTAGAGCGTGTCAAAGAGGTCTGGCGGGCGCTAGCAGACGCAACGGAGCTGTTCGATCAAGGCGAATGGGAGGGAGCGCTCTCTATGATTACCGAACTCGAGGATCTATGGCGCACGGACGATTCTCATGATGACTCGCCTGATAACGTCTCGAAGCGCGCTGCGTTAGATGTCATACCCGAGGATGAGATAGAGCCTGTGCAGCCCGCAGCTGCGAGCCGGCCAGCACCCAAGATAGTCTTCGCCAGACTGAAAGCACTTGAGCCTGTGCCCGGTCGGCTGAAAGCCCTGAGATTGTCGATCGCGCAATCTCTGCAAGGCGAGCTCATAGGCAATCTCGTTCACGAGTTCCAACAGCGGCTGAAGGAATACACTGACGTAGATTCCTCAGAGCCATCAGCGAAAAGAACTTGGCTTAGCAATGGCTTTGCCAAGAAAGCTGAGACGTCAATCGCTATGGCTCGCATATATCTCAAGGATGATGCGACCATGGCCACTGCTCGGCAGCAGATTATAGAACGAGCGAAGGACCGTGCTCGGCCGATCGTCAGAGGCCTTCTGCGGTGCGCGCCGGAAGCCTTTGAAGCGGCTCTATCTTCATGGCAAGATGGACTCACGCGAGAAGTTCGGCAACTCGTCCGCAAATACTTGCCGATCTCTCATGAGAACCCCGAAGATGACGAGACTTTCGATACGTCTATGGACAGACGTAACGGCACACAAGATAGAACGGCAGCACTAGCTGTCAAGCTGCGCGAACAATCTCACGCAGACTTCCTGCAAGTCTTACAACGCACCTATCATGCACTATGGACCTGTTTACAGATCATCAGCCTGCACTCGGACGCGCTCATGCAACTTCTGAAGGAAGACACTGCTCAACCGCGCACGAGACCCTCGAGACAGTCTACACAATTCTCGATGGGCGCAAGTTCTTCAGAACGATTCATTGAGCAGACCACAGATAAGCTCGCTGATCTGCTCAGGATCTTGGCCGATCTCAGTCATGTGCGCTTTTCGAAAGTACTCGGCGTCAGAACCGAAAAGCATTCGCATTTGCCGCTAGCAGAGTTTGCACAGGTTCATGAGCTCACCTGGACCTTCATCAATGGCTCCGAGGGTCTCGCTCGGCATATGCTAGCAGGGCTACGGAGTGTCATCGGTACGCAAAGTCGCGCATTTCTGCAGCAATACCACAACACAAGAACGGCTGAATCTGCCAAGGTTGTCGAGAATGAGCAATGGTCTGCGGTCGACGTCAGCGGGGAGGCACAACATCACGTCGACCTTGTTCTGAGCAGCGCGACAGAACAACCGGCCGAGCTCTTGCTTGGATCTGCAAGAGCAGCACGTGATCCGACCCGCAATGCAGCAATCGGACCCGGTGGCAAACAATTGATCATAGAGGGCCGTTCGTTCCACGCCGTCGCGGCATCTCTCAAGTGTCTGGAAGTACTCGTTGATTACCTGCGGATCGTTGTCAACTTATCCCAGCTCACCACGGAGTGCATGAGCCGGATCATCGAATTCCTCAAGGTCAGCCGTCTTCTTAGCTACTCGGTGCGATCCTGACATGCTTATAGCAATTTAACTCGAGGACATGTCAAGTTGTACTTGGTGCGGGCGCTATGCGATCTGCTGGACTCAAGAACATCACAGCCAAGCATCTGGCCCTCGCTTCGCAAGCGTTATCGATCAACATCAGTCTCATCCCCTACGTTCGCGAGAACGTCCGGCGCTATCTTACTCCGAAACAGACTGTCATGTTAGTCGAGTTTGACAAGCTCAAGCGCGACTATCAAGAGCATCAGAGCGAAATCCATCTCAAGCTCGTCGCCATTATGGGTGATCGACTCGCTGTGCACTGCAAGTCACTGATGGTAGGCTTGTGTGCTTCGCTTGCTATACTGTGACTGACAGCTAGCTGCTTATAGGAGGTCGACTGGGAGAAGGAATCCAACTCGCCCAATGCGTACATGGAAAGCCTGATCAAAGAGTCGGCCACGCTGCACAAGGTCCTATCGCGATACCTCGAAAGCACAACGCTTGAAGACATCATGATGCAAGTCTTTTCGGCCATACACAATCGATTGGCAGACGAGTTCGGACGCATTCCGCTCAAGAGTCAGATTGCGAAAGATCGCTTGCTTGCGGATGCGACCTATCTTCGCGTTCGATGGTCAGAGCTCAAGGGATTGCAACGAGCAACTCCCGGGGAGGAGCTTGAGAGGCTAGTCGGATCCAAGCCGATCGTCGTAGATGCACCGCCTGCAGCGCCAACGCCCACACCAGCACCAACACTGGCGCCAACGCCTAGCTTTCCTACTTACCAGCGCAGAGTATCGACGCCAAGGACAGCGACACCAACAAGTGCAAACTTTCGTGGCTCGTCAGAAGCGCAAGTCAAGCCAAGCACAGTACCAGAAGCGAGCACAGCTGCAACAAACACCGAGCCCAAAGAGGCTTCATCGGATAAAGAAGCTGGTGTTGTTCAGGCTCCGGTAAACACGCACCCGGCAACCAGGCCTCCGTCTGGTAGCCTGGTGTCACAGCTCAGCACATCAGCAGCGCCGTCTGCGATCAACGTAAAGAACAGGCTAGCTGGCTTGTTCTCCCGCCCAATGACGCGGTCTTCGTCACGAGAAGGCGACCAGCCTCGCAGATCATCTGAGATGCGCAGGGGCGCTTCATCTCCTCAATCAATAGCAGCCGTGCCGCTCGCACCTACCACTATTGCAGCACCAACCATGTCTGCAAGACCGTCAGTAGATCAGGATAGGATCGACTCACCTCTGCCAGATCTTCCCGCCAGTCCCGTCAAGCCTTCTACGGCTGCCGTCGACATGCATGCCACGGTAGCCATTCTTACAGAGGAGACTGCTGAAGAACGTCCAGCTGCTGCAGCAGATGTTGCGCCGCCCACGGATCAGCATCTCGATGCCGTCACGTCACCCGCTGCACTCCAATCCCTCGAGCAGCCTGAAAGCGAGGCAGGGTCTGCTAGTGCGACAATATCGATCAGCTCAAACGCTATACCGCCTGCAGGCGATGTGCTTCCCGATACCCAGATACAGCCTACCGAAACGGCTGCCGCCTTCGAGGAGACGGTCGAAGCGGTCGGGGAGACTCAAGAGCATTACCTAGACACGTCGACTGATGTGCAGGCCGAAGCAGATGCGCTGCTGGCTGAAAATGCCCGGTCTAGTGCAGAGCCTGTCGAGTATGAACTGCATGATGCATAGGACGACGACGTTGCGCGTGACGCGATTGCATTTGCCCAGACTGGGAGCCGGCAGTCGCTGACCTGAGCGAGAGCGACAGGCCTGCGCACGCTACCATCCGTGCTGTATATATACGTGCGGCGGATTGGTGACACACGACCCACAGTAGACAGGGCCGATAAGCTTGTCATCCATCATATCGCGGCAGTACCGGAATCGTGACTAACTCACACACCACGGCCGCCAGAGAGCGGTGACGAGCCCAAAGGATCAGCCAAAGGCTCTCAATTGATCAGCTGCCTAGCCTGCTAGCTCGGCCGCTTGTGGACCTGGAGAGCACGGGCATCAATCCGGCCGCGGTCAGCTTACCTGCGCCCATTGCAGAGAGCGATACGCTTGCCGGCAACTCGGATACTCCGACCAGGGCTCTCTCGCTCAGTCTTGCCTCTATCGAGAGCGAGCCATCTCTCCGCACGCACAGTCTTAGCCCCGCCCGAGCACAGCTTGGTCGGCAACGGATAGGCGGAGTCAGGACACGCTCAGAGAGCTCGAGCCCTCCGTACCCGGAGTCGCCAAGATCCAGCGGACCTCAACAGAAACGCAGGCGGTTGGTAGTAGCGCACGATATGAGGCCTCCTTCGATGTCATCGACACATTCGGCTGCTAGCGAGGAAGTCCTCCCAGCTGAAGAGCCAGCTACGAATGGCAGTCGTCGACACGAGCCAGCGGCTAATGGCAGCTCGAATGGTGCACGACCAAATGGGATGCCGAGCTTCTCCAACGGTAGCCACAACGGCCATCCTGAGCCAGGCGATATTCTGCCCATCCCGCCATCTGCGCTCACCGCAAGCTCTGACTTTGAGCCGCTCCGGGCAGGCAGCCAGATCGACCGCTCAGAGTATGTGCGCTTGCTGTTACAAGCGCTACAAGATTCTGGGTATACGTACGTCAAACCTCGCGACGAATGATTAGGCCATGCTTACGGTTCACGCGAGGTGCAGGAATGCTGCTCAAGCGCTAGCGGAAGAGTCTGGCTACGATATGGAAAGCCCCACAGTGACGAACTTCCGCGCCGCCGTGCTCTCTGGCTCGTGGGATCAAGTCGAGCGGTCACTAGCGCCGTATCGGAGCGACGACAGTACATCAGCAAAGGTCCGACAGAATGATCTTGCCCAGATATGTGCTTATCACTTTGTCTCGCACAGGCGATACGTTTCATCGTAAGCGAACAGAAGTATCTGGAGATGCTCGAAGCAAGGGAGACCAAGTCAGCTCTGAGCGTGTTGAGAAACGAGCTAGCGCCGCTCAATTATGCCCCTGAGCGCATCCACGTTCTATCGAGTCTGATGATGTGCAGCGATCCGGCGGAGCTTAGGCAGAGAGCATCGTGGGATGGCGCCGCATCTTCATCACGCCGACTCGCTCTGGAAAGACTGCAGGGTATGTATCGATCTGACACACGAAGGAAGATTCGCGTGCTGACGTTTTGCCGTAGCATACATACCACCATCGACGATGCTACCTCAGCGACGGCTAGAACAACTCATTGGGCAAGCTACACAGCATCAGATCGATCATTGCCTCTACCACTGCATCGAAGACAGGCCGTCGCTCTATGCAGATCACCATTGCGATCACTCTGTCTTTCCAGACGTCACCGTACATACACTCTCTGATCATCGCGACGAAGTCTGGTGCTTGTCGTTCAGTCACAATGGCAAGTATCTTGCCACTGGCAGCCTAGACAAGACAGCCATTATATGGTCCATTACAGAGGTACGTACTTCGCGTCGATAACAGCTTTCACAATCGCTCATAGCCACAATGCAGAATTACGAGTTCGTCGTACATAAGATCCTCCCAGACTTCGAAGAAGGCGTTTCGTGTCTGTCATGGAGCCCGGACGACTCCATACTGCTCGCAAGCGCCGAAGAATTCATCTACGTCTGGAATGTCAAAGTCAGTCGCTTCTGTTGCATTCAGACATGCGCTGAACAGGCTGCGCAGCTTGGCGAGCTTATCTCAACCCACAAGACCCACGATCACACCGTCAACGCGATCGAGTGGCTTCCGGATGGCACTGGCTATATCTCCGCAGGCATGGATGCCAAGGTGCTCTTTTGGGTACGCAGGGTGGACTGCTCTGCTCAAATTAGGTCTGACAAGTTTGCTCGAGCAAACAGGATCTCAGCGGTAACCCGTCGCATACTTGGCAGACGGGGCAATCGCGCATCGTCGACGCTGCCATCTCACCAGATGGCAAGCGGCTCGTCTGCATCGGTTCGGCTGATCTGCCACTCACCGAGCCTGCGACGGCATCTGGCAGCACGCCGTCGGCCAGCACTTCCATGCGATCGGAGAGGAGGATACATATCTACAACATCTCGGAGCGACGGCAGGAAAAGTAAGTCGTGGAGATCAGCCGGGGACTTTCTACTGACGGCCATAGCAGAGTACTATCGGTCAACGCTGATCTGACCTGTGTTTCCATCTCTGCCGATTCTCGCTATGCGCTCATCAATCAAGTGCCGAATGTGCGTCTCGGCATGCGAGCATGCCCACTGTCTGACGTACTCACGCAGGAGATTGGTCTATTTGATCTAGAAGAGGCGCGGCTCGTTCAGCGCTATGTCGGTCAACAACAAGGTCGGCACATCATCCGCAGCTGCTTCGGCGGACCGCGCAACAATCTCATCATAAGTGGCAGCGAGAGTAAGCTTTCTTTCCTTTGCTTGTCATCAAACTCATGGGGTTGCAGACGGCAAGATCGTCATCTGGGATCGAAGGACAGCAGCACGTATCGAAGTACTGAGCGGTCACGGGCCGGGCAGCGTCAATGCGGTCGCGTGGCATCCGCTCAACAAGGACATCTTTGCTAGCGTCTCCGACGATGGGACGTGTCGGATCTGGATGTCCCAGATCCAAGCGTCTTCGCTCATCGCGGGAAGCTACGAAGCTGCCCAGCTCAAGTAGCGATATGTCCTTCATACATACACATCCTGTTGTCGTCCCATCAAATCATATCGCCATGCCTGTCTCGTGTCTCGTGTCGCGACGCGCTTATCATGCTGCTTTTGCCTTTCTCTCTTCACGACGTCGATGCCTGCTGAGTCGCGAAGCGTCGAGATACGGGTCTCGAACGGACAAGGTCTGATCTTCGACTTGCAGGGTTGGTCCCTCTGTCTGAATTAGCACGTCTGTACTGATGAGCTAGGCTCACAACAGACTTTCGCTACGTTCGAGATGATTTGCGTATCTGCGGACTTCTGACGGGCACGCTGCCTCAGCTGTCCCAGCAGAATGTCTTTCTGGGTCTACCGGTCCAGCTCATGCCAGAGGAAGTCGTCTGGCTTGTCAGTAACGGTCATGCCGTGCTCATAGACGACCTCAAAGCACATCGCGAGCCGACGACCGGTCAAATCGAGCAGTACCGAGCTGAGCGGATGGCTAGAGCAAAGGCAGAAGCAGAAGAGCATGCGAAGATGGAGCAAGCGAGATCTGCAAAGGCCAGAGAGGTGTTTGCGGACAAGATCGCAGCAAAGCAAGAGCAGAGACTCGCAAAGAAAGCTCTCGCGAAGCCTCTGCTCGACTTTGAAGACGAGCCTGTCGCTGTCAAACCGGTTGAGAGAACTGCCGAGACGCTTGTCATCAAGGAGGATGCCTATGCAATCGTCATCGAGCCTACTTCTCACAACAGACCAGGCTACGACGCGCGCGGTCACACTTACAAGACCATCGAGAGCGCCAAGCAAGCTGGTCTGTGGCACTATCCGAGTAGTGAGATGCAGCGAGCCAGATGCGCCGTCTTTGCCGATCTGCACCAGCAAGGCTACTTCATGGGACCTGCGCCCAAGTTTGGCGCAGATTTCTTAGTCTATCCTGGCGATCCTCTTCGCTTTCATTCTCACTTCAATGCCGTCGTCCTCAGCAGTCCTCAGCATCCTATCCGGCCTCTCGAGCTGGTATCGTGGGGTCGGCTGGCAACAGGCGTCAAGAAGGCCGCGCTCATGTGCACGTACGACCAGACGACAGACAGAGTGTCCTACTTGTCGCTCGAATGGGCAGGCATGGGCTAAGCTTCACGTCGTCGTCAACTGCTTCATCGAGAGTACATCACGCGAGATCATTTACGTCGTCGAGCGGCAGCATAAGCGCCCGTGTCAGCAATATCCACTCTCCCCGCCGTCGAACTCGCAAAACCCTGCGCGAAGGCGTCGCTCGTGCCGTTCTGCATCCTCAACGGCGGAGAGGGGCCCGGAGGCGCAGCGGCATATCTCGGCGCCGCGTTGGATCGCCAGGCAGCTGCCGAATTGGCATAGCTCGCTCCGCCGTTTGACGAGTGAGGTTGCCAGTTCGTCTGGGGAGCAGCAGACTTTTTGTGCGTCGCTGACGAATTGCTGCCAATCTTTCGAGCGATGTGTGGCCATAGGTGTTTTGCTACAAAATCGTGAATGATCACTGCGCCTACGAGCAGAGGTATCCTCTTCGGTACGCTGGAATGGGGTGTAGCATTGGGCGGTAAGTGAGCTGAATTGTCATTGACGGCTGCTGCAACATGATCTTCTGCTCCACGCTGGGGTAGCACCGAGTCTGCTAAAGGCTTCGATGGATCGAGCGGCCTGGGTTCGGCCTGGGTGGCCATGACGAGGAAGAGTGGAAAGGCGATGGCGAAGATGGCCATGTTGACGATCGCATTGCTATGCCAGAATGATATGACCGTAAGCGGTGTACCGAATCCGGCGAAATAGGGCACCCTCTCCTCAAGGCTGGTGATTTCACGAGCTTAGCTCGAATTAGAGGTCAGGGCAAGAGAACTGACTATCTGACTCGCTGGGAGAGCGAGAGTCCCTTTGAGACGAGCTGAAATTCGAAACAGTACCATCCGCCGATGGCTGCCATATAGATGAAGCAGGCTGGCTTGCCTAGTAACGGAACCCGATAGAGGACGAAACAGACGAGCAGGTAGTGCATGATGAGCAAAACGCGATAACTCTGTATAGCGAGGTTTTACGGGTCAGATCAGTTTCTGACGCATCGGAAGTTCGGCGTACTTCTTGCAGTGCTTTTGCGATCAGGCTCTTCGAACCGGACGAGCTGGATTTGCCGAGCGGTAGCGCGACAGGCTCGCCACCTTGGAGGGACTGCGTCGAAGCGAGATTGAGATTGAAGATGCCTTGGAGGAAGAAGGAGAGGCCCAGTAGAGGATACAGGAAGAAGAGCTGTACATAGTCCAGGGCAATGCGTAAGCTTGGCCGGTCATGCAGCCACGTTGGGTGGACGCGCCTCGTAGTAGAGAGAAGTGGTCTGACGGCGACTACGATCACTAGTGGATCCGATACCGTTGAAGGACGTGTATGATGCTTCTGAAAACAGCGTAGGTACGAGAACGCTATCGAAGAGGAGCACGGATCCGAGCACGAGCAGCTGCAACACGGTGCTCTTTATGAGGTTGGACTGAATGACCGGATGGCTTTGGACATTCTTGATCGTCTTGCGGTACTGTGATGCATCCGACAGACCTCTGAGCAAGAGATCATAGTTCAGTCTCGCTGTCTGCCCGAGGCTGAGCTGCTGCATCCCCGGCCGTGCTGGCCAGAGCCGCCAAAGCGAGCGCGTCGTCGTCGCCCTTGCCGGCCTTGCACTCCACAAAGAGGCAGAATGTCATTGGATGCGGCAGCAGCTTCGAGAAAAGAGAAGCTAGCGGCGCTCAAGAAACGCAAAGAGACTCATGACGCAGCACACGAGCACACGAATGGCCAAGCAAGAGCGGAACCTTTCAAATTTCGCAATTATGATCCTGTGACGAGGCAGCCCAAGGGACATGACAGGTCGGCGGAAGAAGAGACCGTCGAGTCACTCATGAGGGGCAAGACGGCAGAGATCATTCGAGAGGACGAAGCGAGGCGGCAGGAGGAACTCGTTCGTCGTGTCTCGCTTCAGACAGTCTGCCCAGCTGACGTCGACTTTGCCGAGCAGGATCTCACAAATTTGCAACCTAAGAAGCCCAATTGGGATCTGAGACGAGACTTGGATCGCAAGCTGGCCAGCCTGGAGCCCAAGACCAACGCTGCCATCGCCCAACTCATCCGTCAGTCGCGTCAAGATGAGGAGCCCCAAAGACTTGGCTGACATGACGGGCTCCACAGGCAACAGGATAGCGGAGAGCAAGTCTCAGCAGGGTGGACAAGATCTGGCGAGTGCGGTGGAGCAACGGACTGAAGAGTCCGATGAAGATGAAGATGTATAAGCTCGCATCATGTTGTGATAGTCCCATTGTAGAGCAATCAACACAGAACAGTTGCATAGCAATACAGATCGACGCTCATGCACCGCCAGCGCCAGCGCCGCCCGCGATGTCTTGAGACTCGCTGATGCCGTTGACCATGGGGTCGTCAGAGACCCGCATCGACGAATGAAACGAATTGCCAAGTGCAATCTCTTTGTTCGCAGTCGACAGCGCAGGGAGCGATTCGTTCGACAGGCCGACTGCATCTGAGCCGTTCATGGGACCGGAGCAACCGAAGCCATTGCTCGCTTGAGCTTGGTTGCCCAGCGTACCGCTCGAGGCAGCTTGACCCGTCTGCCCATTGACGAGATGGCCGCTCTTTGCCTTTGCGTTGTCGTTCCTGATCGATTCTAGACCTCGTAGATAGGACTCATCGACTCCGCCTGTGACATACTGTCCCGTGAAGACCGAGCAGTCAAAGGCTTCGACCGCAGGGTTGAATTGCCGACAAGACTGAACGAGCGCATCCAGCGTTTGAAACACGACGAGATCTGCCCCGATAGCAGTAGCGATCTCGTGCTCCGACCTGCCATGCGCAACAAGCTCCTGGCGTGATGGCATGTCAATACCATACACATTCGGGAATCGAATGGGAGGCGCGCAAGAGGCCATGACGACTTTGCGTGCACCCGCATCGCGCGCCATCTGGATGATCTCCTTCGAGGTCGTCCCTCTCACGATCGAGTCGTCCACAAGCAAGACGTTCTTGTCCTTGAATTCCAGGGCCATTGCGTTGAGCTTACGCCTTACATTCTTGCGTCTGTCGAGTGCTCATCTGTCAGTCTGGCGGGCGGACAAAGTGCAGGCATACTGACCTCATCTGCTGACCGGGCATGATGAAAGTGCGACCGACGTAGCGGTTCTTGACGAAGCCCTCTCGGTAAGGAACGCCGAGACACTGAGCGACTTGAAGAGCTGCAACGCGAGACGTATCCGGCACGGGGATCACGACATCGATCTCTAGATTTGCAGCAGCCAATTGTGATCTTGCTTCGGCTGCCAGCGCATCTCCCATGGCCATACGAGATCGATAGACTGATATACCGTCTAGGACGGAGTCAGGTCGGGCAAAGTAGACGTATTCGAAAATATCTGGCGCGAAGCCTCGGGAGGGAACCACTTGCTTCGTCTTGACGGACGAGCGCGTGATGACGACGACTTCGCCTGACAAACGCCCGCTTCATCAGCAAGATATAGACTGAGTCTGGAGCTACGCACCTGGCTGTACATCGCGCCAGTCCGAGAAGCCGAGTGCATCGCAAACGACGCTCTCGCTCGACATCATCCAGTCCTGACCGCCCTGAGCATTCGCCCGGCGGCCATAGCCACAGGGTCGGATACCATGCGGATCACGAAAGGCGATGATGCCGAAACCGGCGAGCATGGCAACACAAGCAAACGCGCCGTGGCAATGACGCATCATCTCACCCACCGCGCGGAAGATGTCGTCCTCGTCAATGCGAAATTTGCCAGTCCTTTGCAGATTATCGGCGAGATAGTTGAGGAGGAGCTCGGAGTCGCTGTCTGTATTGATGTGCCTGTGGCCGTAGGTGTCGAGGTAAGTTCGCATGTACTCTGTGTTGATCAAATTGCCGTTCTGCATAGGCTTTAGCTTGCATACGTTCGTGCGCGTGAGAGACTCGCATGGGCAAAGACGATGCCGTAGGGCGAATTGACATAGAAAGGCTGTGCCTCGGCATGGGCAGACGAGCCGGCGGTAGGATATCTGACTGCACAGACAAGCGTCTGAGCACTGCGAGAGGCGCAAAAGCCATTGAGAGGACTTGCCATGTCCCACTGCCATGTAGCCGGGCATAGAAGCAATGACGTTGGTGTCGAGGACGTCTCTGACCATGCCATTGGCTTTATTCTGATGGAATCTGCCTCGGTGACAGGACACGACACCGCATGCATCTTGGCCACGGTGCTGTAGTAAGCCCAGACCCTCGGCGCTGTCGAGTCGTCTACAATGAGTTGATGCTTGTCAGCGCGAGTCAGACGACTGACATTTCTACTGCTGCCGGTACTTCTTCCGAGTTGTTCAAGACGGCCAAGATGCCACCTGAGCGCGTTGTCGAACATGTCAGCCTCTGTCCGATCAATCCTTCGAGTGTAGAGGCGCTGCAAGGTCCGAGAGTGAGGTAGCGTGTGGCGGTAGTGACATGTCAAAGAGGCATTCCATCTTCACGACGCGTCGCAAGGGGGTTGTTCTGTCTCGCAGCAGCAGGTAGATGTTGACCTCACTCACACATCCTGTCGTGCTGCTTGCGCTCTCTGTGTGACTACCTGCTGAGCATGCCTTGACGTTGTCGCTGCGTGACACCGGGCCACTTGCTAGCGTCGCGAATTGGTAGGCTGCCAAAAATTTTGTCATCGTGAGAAAAAAATTGGATTCGCGCGCCGGAGCGAGCAAAGGCAGCAGACCGACTCGACCTAATTCGCTATGACTTCACCAGTGCCGGGTCAGTACGCTCAGTCACCGACAGTGCCACCCGGTCCACGACCAAGAGGGAGACCGAAAGGCAGCACGACGAAGAACAAACTGCTGCAGCAGCAATTGCGCGAGCAACAAGCTCTACAGTTCGGCAGTCCGTCTCAAGTGACCGGCAGCCAAGTCCAACGCTATGCCCAGATGGGAGCGCAACTCACTCAGCCTGCCCAACGAGAAGTACGGCGTAGGAGGAACTTGCTAGGTCCAAGCTCGAAGCCGTTACCGCCCTACGCTGGCATATCGTCTCGTCAGGCCAAATTGACAACCTATCCCTCTCGTGTTGCCCTCGGCCTGACTTCTCTCATGCAGCCAATCGGGCCCGAGGGCAAGGCTGCTCCCGCTGCCGAAGTGGTCGTACCGGGCAAACGACAACGTACACGCGTCAATTATGCTGAAGTAGAGGGCCTCGACGAGGATGAGGACGGCGCGTCGACTCATGCAACACCTTCTTGGATGCCGCCGCCTCCGGAGGAAGACACAGAACCGGGATGGGGACCCAAAGCGCATGCACGACATGCGAACTATGCTCGTCGCGCTCCCGGTCAGGGCGTCACTTATACTACCGTCCCTCCGCCGTCTCAGCAGCAGCAGCAGCAGCAGCAGCAGCAGCAACAAAAATCTCAGCCACCGATGGTACAGCTCAAGACCTACCTCGGTCAGATACCCCCGATCAATACTGTCTACTCTCAGACGGCCAGAAAGACGCGCTACCCTCATTTGTCCGTTTGATCGCCTTGCTTAGCCTCCGTGATCTGAAGTAGAGGTCGGATTGGCAGATCTGATGACCTGGTCCGGCGGAAAGCAAACCGAGACTCTCTCTTGCTACCTGTCCGTATCGAACTTGACACAGAGACTCACCGGATACGCGACGTCTTTGTATGGGACGTGCTCGGTTCGTCTGCCTGCCTTTGCTACGACCAAGCTAAGAATTGATTGAGTGACAGATCCATACTTTTCGCCAGAACTATTTGCGAGCCTGTTCTGCGAAGATGTCGGCTTGCCGAGCCATAATGTTGCTCAGATCAGAGAGATGATCGAGGTGCAAACAAGCGAGCAACAAGCTATTGCCGAATTTCAAGTCGCCGACGAGCATGACGATATCGAGACGGAGGATCCTCAGCTATTCGATACTGAGCCTGACTTGCGCGTCATCGTCAACGTGAGACCGTTTAGCTTCGATCCGTGTCAGCAGCTGATCGCAACAATGCGTTCTGCAGATCGATGTGCAGATCCAAACACATCGACTGACAGATCGTTTCGAATGGGATCTTGCTTCGCCGCTCAGTCCAGAGATGTTTGCGATCCAGCTGTGTAGCGACTTGTCGCTCACATCGGAAGCTGCACCCCTCATCGCTCACGCGATCCACGAAGAGCTCCTCCGGCTCAAGAAGGACTGCATAGAGCAAGGCATCATCGGTCGAACGGCTGCAGAGGATGCCTATTCCGCTCTGACAGGCGAAGCGAGGAAAGGGTGTCCGACGCTCGAAGGAATCTGGCGCGATTTCAATGAAGAGGGTGAGTTCGGCCCGCTGATCGACAAACTCTCTTCCGAAGGTATCGCCATCAACGAGCTCGAAAGGGAGCGAATGGCAAAGTCGGTCCTTGTTGCTCACCTTGCGAACGTATCTCATGTTTTGTGTGCAGACGAGCGAGGCAGAACCAGACACAGTTCAAGGAGCGGAGGGCAGGCAGGCTGCCGAGGCGCTAGTCTGCATTGCATCGCCAATTCCCTGTGCGCGGCCGATGCACTGAGGCATGGCATCTCGATATGCGCAGTCGTGCGCGTCCGTTTCTCTGCGAGGGAAAGGTCCTCTTGTCCCGCTTTTCGTGAACATCTAGTCGTAGACTGCATCGCGATGGCTTCAGCGGATCAAGAGGTGCGTTTCGTCGGGCTTACTGTGTACTAAACCATAGAAGACTGTTGATCCTGTCGCGTCAGCGTGATCCCTCTGTGCAGTGAAGCAGCTCACGCGTCCAGACTGCGCAGCACAGTCAGCGCTCGACTATGTCACTATCTGCATGAGACGTACACAAGATGAAGCTGAGCGCATTGTCGAGCAAGCCAGACAGGAGTAGTTCCGGCAAGCCTCCCTTGATATATTTACGCGGTTGTTGCTCTGTAGTGATGAGGTAGACCAATCCCGCTACTGACATCGACGACATGATGTAGAATGCAAAGCCAGATAGGTTGGTCAGACCGAGCAGACCGGCTGTTGCGCCGGAGATGGACGCCATTGCTGTTGCTCAGAAATCAGCTTCAAGGCCTGCGAGCTACGGAGGCATGCGACTTGCTCGACTTGATATAATAGATCGAGCGGGCATTGTACTGCCGGTTCTCTGGACAGAGACTCTGCTCGTAGGGATCAAGCGGTAAGGTCGCCATCTAGCCCGCAGCTTTCGTGTCGAGCGCTCGACCAACGCGACGGGAGCTGCAGCGCCGCGAGCACAGCGATTCTCCGCGAGCATGTCCAAGCCTCATATTGATCATCACTTTGCGCTCCTCATCAGCTTCAAATACTATTATCGAGGTTAGGCCCACAGCGCTCGAGAAACCGATCTGCCCTTTCCCTTGCGCTTCTGCACCTTTGATATCGCGATACGTCCAACAGCGCCGCGAGCTCAGCGCTACTAAGCAAAGCAGCGGACGCATGTCATGCACGGTCTGAGCGAGACGCACGATCACTACGCATGCTATCGCCCATGGGTTGCGCGCAGCGCACGCTAGACCAGCAAATGTCTACGTACATATCGGCGTTGCCCGGCTCCAGCTGCTCTCTGTGATTACAGGCAGACACAGGGCCGCGAGACTGAAAAATGTCCGCTCGCTGTACCGTTGCCTATCGCTCGTCAGCACCATGCCGTCTCGAACGAGCAATCGTGCCGACGTTGAGCGTCCCGAGCTTGATGCGGCCAGTGACCGACCTCGATGCGCATGAATGCACAGCCTAGCGGAAAAGAGACAGTCAAGATCCGGCTCCGATTCGCCTTCGTGAGGTTAGCAACGCATTGCGCAAGCTTCTCATCTTAATCGGTGTGAGGAAGAGGCCGTTATCGCTACGCCTGCAATCGAAGCGCAGGACCGACCAACAGTCCACAGAGTGACCTGGTAGCCAATCGATCCTGAAATGTGATCTGTGGCAGCACGCCAAAATCAGTGCGCCCTTTATGTGCGGTGGCGATAAGCACATTTGTAGTCAGTCTGTCTCCAGAGTTCAGGCACGGCCCAAGACGTCCACGGTGACTGCACACCGTGCAAGTCAAGCGGATCTCTGCGTGCATCGTACCGCTCGCGACGCATGAGCGATTGCGTGCGAAGCGCACGTGCATCAAGCTCCACGCTTAGCGGACTCAGAGACACAGACTGGACACGTCAGGCCAACAGATGCGTACTGCTCCGCGACACCACCTCGGCAGCCACGTCGTTTCGGATTCGCCCGAAGAGGATGTCCTACTGAAGCGCGTAAAGCTTCTGGACTGAGCAATGGGGCTGATCTGGATCATCCGGCGGGATGGGTAGACAAGTGATGCTGTTTGGGGCGAATATTCAGCATGTGTTCGAGTCAGCACGACACGGCTCACTCGATGCCACCGAATGGAATACGGTAACACTCTGGGCCGCTTGCTGTGCAGTGGACCTTGGGATATACTTCAGGCGGATCGAAGCGCTCTGCATCGCCGGTGCGGCCATTAGGATCGCTACCGTGGGACTTATGCACGGCTCACTGTTTCGAATGGGCGTGTAGCCCATGATCGTCTTCACTGCGCAAGATTGAGCGAGTGCCGCCCCACAGTCGCTGCCACGTACTGCAATAATGCTTTTCGCAGCAGGTATCGACAAAGGGAACTGCCGAGAGATCAGCAATGTGCTTTGTAGCTACGAAGTGCATATACTGTGGGTCGGGGTCGTGACGTTCCAGCAGATCTCTACCTCCTTGTCGACAGTGTTTGGGTATGCTGGCGGTGCATCTCTTGCCGAGCAGCTGGGCCGTTGGACTGCAGCCTCGCGATCGCTGCTCCACTACAGCTGCCTATCAGCCTCGAGACATCTCGACCAACAGACATGTCAACCTCGACCATCCCACATCCACTGGTCCAATGTCTGTCATCGATGCGCACATGCGTGAATCCGCCGGGAACGAGGTAGTCAAAGTAGGTATCCGTAAATCTTTCGAGGGGATAGCAATGCAGTGCGCATGGTTCCCAACCTATCCGATATTGTGCCGAGGGCGCTACTGCCACACCCGCGTTCCAGAGAGCAAGACCAAGCAACCCTCCAACGATCCTCATGACAGTTTCTCGATTGGTGAAACGCAATTTGTAGCAGCACGCAACCAGACGGGCATTCTCCACTCGCGGAGGCGACGAGCACGTTGGCAATTCACACCGTCTCCTGAGCGTTACAGTCGAACGCTGGGGCTTAAATGCGACACACCGCCCTCGAAGCAAGTTGAGCGAATCTCAGTGAGCTTTCGGCGGCTTTTTACAATTCAACTTCTCGGCGTAGGATCGGATCTTTTAGCAGCAAGCCGAGGTCTGGTACTCACAGCGACTGATATTCGACCGCGACTGCCAAATTCAGCGCATTCAGAGACCTGCAGTGAACACCTCACGCCGACAGACGCGCACAGCTCTGCGTCTTCATCTCGGCAGCTACGTCATTTCAGACATGTCCGGATGGGCCGTTCTACTGAACTGCAGAGAGGTTCAAGACTGAACAGTGGGGCTGGGTCGGTTCATCTGGCGCGATAGGCAGACAAGTGATGCTGTCGGAGGCGAGAAAGTCAGCAGATGTGCACGCAAGCGTACTGAAGCTCACTCGATACCACCAGGCGGGATGCTGTAACAATCTGGGCTTTTTGCTGTGCAGTGAACCTTGGCATACACTTGGGGCGGATCGAAACGGCCTGCGTCGCCCGCGCGGCCAGTCAGATCGCCACCGTGGAGTTGGGGGCCGGCTCACTGTTTCGAATAGGCGTGTAGCCCATGACGGTTTTCACTGTGCAAGGCTCCAGCAAGTACCGCCATATGGATGAGTCTACGCACTGCAATACTGCTTGTCGCAGCAAGAATCGACGAACGGGACTGCCGAGCCGTCAGCAGTGTATCTTTCAGCCACGAAGCGCAACTACTGTGGCTCGGGGTTGTGATTGTCCAGCAGATCTCCACTTCTTTGTCGACATTGTCTGGACGTTTTGGTGGTGCATACTTTGCCAAGCAGCTTGGCCGTTTGACTACCTCCTTGCGATCGCTGCTCCACTGCAGACGCCTGTCAGCCGCGAATTAAGCTCGGCAAGCAGTCATGTTGACCTGGACGATCCCACAGCCACTAGTCCAATGTCCCTCTTCAATGCGCATGAGAGTGAACCCGCCAGGCGCTATGAAGTCAAAGTAGGTGTCCGTGAATCCTTCACGAGGATAGCAATGCGATGCGCATGGTTCCCAACCTATACGATACTTCGCTGAGGGTGCTACCGCCACACCTGCCTGACAAACAGCAAGAGCAAGAGCGAGCAAAAGTCCAGGGAACGACATGATGGCCACTGAAGAGAAGACAAAGATAGCAAGAAGAGGAGCTGCGCGGTATGGCGTGATGACAAGAAAAATGCAGAGACTCTCCTGACCGTCTCGACAGGCGCGCGCATGTCTCAAGTGCCGAAAGCGCAAAGTGCAGTAGGTCAAACACGGCCAAAATCTCCATGCTGCATGTGAGCCTCTTCAAACACGCATAGGGCCGGCAGATTCCCTAACAGAGCAGTACAGCACGCCTGCCTCGTCGGGCGGGACGAATGCACATGGCACACTAATGGCAATGATCTCAGCGCTGTCGAGCTTGGTCTGAGGGATGCTGGCGTACATGAGGCCCTGTGGAGGCAGGCCTGCACATCTCGGAGGGCCCCGCTTGCAAATGAGGGCCGCCGACGTATTTGGTCTGTCAAAGTGACCTGCGCAAAGCTGAGAGTCTGCGTTATTGCACAAGCCTCGGTGCACGCACGATTGTTCCGTGGAGCAAGGCCGACTTGGGCTCGCACTGCAGCAGGATAAGCGCCGCAGCATGAAACCATTGTATCCCTACTCATGTATCGTTTTTGACAGCAAGATTCGATCCACGTGTCTGAGCACCGAATGAGCGCCTACGATGATAGCGCAGCCTGAACGTACCACTGGTAGGCGTCTTGACCTTCCATGACATGTCCAGATATTTCTCAATGACCGGAGGAGACACGAGGGCATCCGGTGCCGAGCAATCCGGTGCATCCACCGCATACGAGCGTTCGGTCGACCACTGCAAGCTCGTGCGGTCGTCAAGCTCAGTAAGCTTCAGTAGAGATCTTCGAACTTCTACGATACCGCAGCCAGATCTGTAGAGCTGGCGGTCCAGGCGAGAATACGTAAAGCTAGGCGGAAAAATATAGACAACGCCCTCTGAGGTGTGTTGTGGCACAGGCGGACACTGGATCACACAATTATCCCATTCGAGACGGTAGGTTGCTGATGGAGCTATGACTGTTCGGACCAACAAGAGAAGAGAGAGCAGCATCATCAGGGCTGGTTTGGCTGTGCGACCAGCCAACACGCTGGCGCGCTCGCGTCGATCTGTGTGCTGTAAGGTGGAGACATGGAGGGGCCGTCTTCTCACTCCACATCGCGCACGCCAGCACGCAACCGAATTTAGACTTCTCAAAGCTTTAGAGGGTCAATTTCCAGCTCGAGTGTCCGCTCTCCAGCGCCATGCATCGGGCTCGCTGATCGACTGCAGACGTTGCATTCCTCCCAAAGAGTCTGGAGACAGTGAACCGAGCCCTATGACACGTTGCCGATCTCTGCAACTCTGCAGAAAGGCTGATTCGGCTCGTCAGGCTCGACAAAATTGCAAGCAATCCTGTTGGGCTGCAAAATTAGCAGTTGCACCGTCATTGCAGCGAAAATCCGGACTGCATGCCGTCCCTAGCGATGTGCTGACATTGTCTACCTTTCCTGGTGCATGTGACCACAGGTTAGACTCGAGGCGGACCGAAATGACCTGTACGCGAATCATCGTTAGGCAGAGATACCGTTGCACTTTGAAGAGACTGCTTGCGATTGTAAAAAGGCGCCGAGCCTGCATTGGCGATCACTGTTCTGGCTTCAGCAAGGCGACAAGCAAGATGAAGAGTGAGGTACTGCAAACCTTGAGCTTACAGCACTCGTTGACGAATGCAACTGTCATACGCTCAGAATAGCATATGCAGAGGCGCCCCATTTCACGCACTAGGCGTCGAGGCGATGACCTCCCAACATACTTCGACGTCTTTGTCCTCAATCACGGGGTTTTACGATCAGTGTCATGTGCCGAGCAGGTAGGCCTCAAGACGGCGTTTGGGCGCTCGCTACTCCACTACGAGCTTGTCGTAAGTGGTAGATATGCTGAAGAGGGTAGCATAGCAAACATTTATCACGCCGCACCCCCGAGACGCGATAGGCATTGGGATCAATGCGTATTGCAGAAGTTCCGGGTGGCAGGAGGGTAGAAAAAGCTCTCTGTTGTGAGGCCTGCCTTGGCAGGGCAATTTATGGCGCATGGATCCCATGCAAGCCGATACCGCGCAGCAGGGGCGACAACTGTCGCAAATAAAGCTGCTAAGAGAGCGCAAATCCTCAGCATGGAAGCTAGTAGGTGTTTTTGGGGAGCTATGTAGATGGCTGTAAGGGAGTTGAGCAGCGGCTACTGTGGCGTCGCTCAAAGAAAGCAAAGGTGCTTCCCCGCACGCTCCGTCTGTGGCGCGCCCTGTCCTCCAACCTTTGCTTCTGAAATTTGAGACAGCCGCTTGGTGCAGGATGTCGCATGCGCTGTTCGAGACAGCCGCCGGCTATGCGCTGTTCAGTGTCAGTCTACAGGAGGAGATCGGACAGAAGACCAAATCTGTGCAGGTAAGCCTTTTCTTGTTCTTGCGAGCAACGACAAAATTGACGACTCGAGAGGACAGGAGAGCATCTCAGATTATGGCAAGTTCAGCAGGATCGTCAAGCTTGCTAGCTTCTATCCCTTCAAAGACGCCGCCCATGCGCTCGAGAATGCCAACGACATCAGTGAGGGCATCATGAACGAGCACTTACAGTCTATGCTCGACTTGGCTTTCGCCTCCAACAAGAAGTCTGTCGTGCTCAGCGTAGAGGACAGAGCCCTGGCAGGAGCAATCAAATCTGGTGTCGGCATCGAGTGCGATAGTTCAGAGAGAGCGTTGGAAGTCATCAGGGGGATCAGGACGCATATCGAGAAATTGCTGCCTGACTTGCAAGACGGAGATGTGGAGCGAGCTCAGCTCGGTCTCGGTCATGCTTACTCGAGAGCGAAAGTCAAGTTCAACGTCAATCGATCCGATAACATGATCATCCAGGCTATCGCATTGCTGGACCAAATGGACAAGGACGTCAATACATTTGCCATGCGCGTTCGCGAGTGGTACGGCTGGCATTTCCCCGAGCTCTACAGGCTCGTGCCTGACAACAACCAATACGCCAAAGTTGTGCAATTGCTCGGCGACAAGTCGAAGCTCACAGACGACATACTGCCCACTCTCTCCGAGCTATTGGACGACAATGAGATCCTCGCAAAGAACGTCCTCGATGCCTCCAGATCAAGCATGGGGACCGACATCTCGCCTATCGATCTCATCAATATTTCCAACTTTGCATCTCGCGTCATACACCTGTTTGCCTATCGAAAATCGCTCCAAATCTATCTCTCTGAAAAAATGGGTCTCGTTGCGCCGAATCTGGCCAGTCTGATCGGCGACACTGTTGGGGCAAGACTGATATCGCATGCCGGCTCGCTCACCAACTTGAGCAAGTACCCCGCTTCGACCGTGCAGATTTTAGGTGCAGAGAAGGCTCTATTCAGAGCACTCAAGACAAAAGGCAATACACCCAAGTATGGTCTGATCTATCATGTGAGCTCTTCTCATCAACAGTCTGCGAGAGCTTTGCTGATCGACGTCTCCAGAGCACGTTCATCGGCAGAGCAGGGCAGAAGAACAAGGGCCGGATCTCTCGCTTCCTCGCGAACAAGTGCTCAATCGCATCTCGAATCGATTGTTATGCCGACACACCAACGACCAAATTCGGCGAAGCGCTGCGAGGGCAAGTCGAAGAGCGACTCGAATTCTATGAGAAAGGATCCAATCCGAGCAGAAACTCTGCTGTGATGGCCAAGGTCATGGCTGGCCTCGCAGCAGAAGGCGAAGTCATCGGCGTGCAGGACGAGTCTATCGTGCACGGCGGGGAAGTCGAGCTGAGCAAGAAGGACAAGAAGAAGAAGGACAAGAAGCGCAAGTCTGACGTCATGGAGGTCGATCAGAGCATCGTCACAGAGTCTGGCGAGCTAGTGAAGAAGGATAAGAAGAAGAAGCGCAAGAGCGATGCCGTCAGTCACTCCTGTGCTCCAGCCGCGCACCTGATTGACTCATTCTTTTTTTACACAGGACACGACGATGGACATCGACACATCGATCAGCAAGAAGAAGCACAAGAAGTCTAAAGAGGTTGCGGCAGATGCTGCAGCTGCACCTATCATCGGTGATGCGACGCCGGCTACCAGTCCAGTCAAAGAGAAGAAGAGCAAGAAGGACAAGAAAGCCAACGCGTGATCGATCGGCGCATGATGATGTGATCATGATGTACTATCTTTGTATGCATTCGTATATTGCTGCAACGCCGACAGCTCGACAACAGCGCAGTCTAGTCAGACAGTTTCATGGCGCAGATCCCTTGATCAATAACAAATAGCAAAACGCGTCGAATTGACGCGATGTCAACTTGACCTTCTGCGATTCTGCTCTTGTTTTCCGGCTTGGCTGCCATGACGCCACACGATCTCCCTCGCTCTGTCACCGCCTTTGTTGAGCCATCTACGCTCACACTATTTTCGAAGGTCAGGCTAAGCTAAAGAAGGTCTGGCACCGCTCCGGCTTCACGCACTTGAGTACATCGACACACGCCCGCAAGGCACCACTTTGGAGGAACACCTCTGCACAGACCCCAGCATACAGAGTAACACCGACGCATTCTCCTCACGGATTGACACTCGCATACACTGACAATGGCAACTTCACTCACTGCACTTCTCATCGCCCTCGCGGCGACTTCAACCTACGCGGCATCGAGCGTAGACAGCACGCAGGCGCTGGTCGGTCGCTCAACCAGCGCTGTCGCTTCTTACAGTCTACTTGAGCAGCTCTCTGTCAATTATGTCGTCCCGACTGTCTCGAATCGTACACAACCCAAGCACTGGGCGACAAGTATCTTGGAGCCTTATTCTACTGTAAGCCGCTCCCTGCGCGCTCATACCTGATGCTGACCGACACCGGCAGTATCATACCCGATACATTCTGATCGGATGCCCAAAGAAGCATAATACGGCCTTTTACCACACCTGCTGCCACCCTCGGCATGTCAAAGCGGACATTCACAAGTGGCCAAAGAAGTGCATGGCATCATCATACCTGACAAAGCATCACAATGGCACCGTCAGTGGTACTTCAGCCAACACGACCACGATCGCAAAGAACACGACAGTCGCATCGCACACTGCACAAATATCAAGGCAAGATGTGCGCGTGGTCAAGAAGGCAAAGAAGACGGTCAAGACTACAGCTGCGCAGAAGAAGAAGGAGCAAGAGGCATATGCTGCCGCACTTGCTGCTCATCACAAAGCAGTAGCCGCTGCGAAGAAGGCAGCAGACGAGGAGGCAGCCGCAAAGGCAAGCAAGCATAAGAAGACTGCCGCTGCGGCGAAAGCAAAGGCTGCCGCTGAGGCAAAGGCTGCTGCGAAGGCGAAGGCCGCTGAAAAGGCAGCAGCTGGAAAGGCAGCAGCAGCTAAAGCAGCGGCTGAGAAGAGAGCTGCCGCGGAAGCAGCAGCAGCAGCAAAGAAGGCAGCCGCAGCGAAGAAGGCGGCAGCGGCAGCGAAAAAGGCCGCGGCAGCTAAGAAAGCCAAAAAGGTCTCATTCTCGTCGGGCAGCGGCAGCAAAGCAGTATCAACTGCTTCTAGCTCCTCACAATGGTTCTCTGGCGGCGTCGCTACATTCTTCTACCAGAACGTTATCGCCGAAGGCAACGCAGGTGCATGTGGCCATGTCAACTCGGACAGCGCAAAGATTGTCGCGCTACAGACGCAGATGTATGGCAATCTGGGCGCGGTGTCTTCGCATTGCGGCCAGAAAGTCTTGATTACCCGGACTGACACAGGCGCTTCCGTCGTCGCAACTGTTGCTGATGCTTGCCCAACATGCAGCAACCCTCACTCGCTCGACCTGTCAGTCGGCGCCTTTACTGCTATTGCGACAGAAGCAGAAGGTATGGTGCCCATCAAGTGGCAGTTTATGTAAGCGTGCAGCACTTGCGCCGCTGAAGCTATTGGTGACCGGCTCATCTGTTGTGCCTTGTAACACCGTGCTCGATGCACCATTTGCGTTTCGTCAAAGTATTGCGAGCAGATAGTCAGCAGCTAGTCCAAGCCAGACAATTAGGCCAAGATCGCGGTTACTGATGAACCGCTGCCAGCAATTAGCTCGATTCGATGTATCGAGGCCCTTGAGCTGCCAAGCGAGGTGGGCTGCGGCACCTCCGCAGGAGATGGCATAAAAGGTTGCTGTCTGATCGTTCATGTAGCCCGATAAAGCGAGCATAGCTGGCACGACAGTCGCAAAGCAAGCTAGTATCTTTTGGCCATGCTGATCGCCGAAGAGCAGAGCCGTTGATTTGACGCCTGCTTGTACGTCATCGACTTTGTCTTGATGCGCATAAATGGTATCGTAGAAGATCGTCCAGGCAATGCTGCCCACGTATAGAGGCAACGCGACTTGCCATTCACAAAAGCCAAGCATGGCCGAGGAGCCAAGCAGCGCGCCCCAGTTGAATGCCAGCCCTGCAGCGAATCTCAGCCTGTGATATATCATGACGTGCTGATGGCTTGCCTAGTACCGCTTGGGGCCAATAAGTGATGCGCTTCATAAGAGGGTAGATGATAACGATGGCAAGAGAAGAGGCTCCGAGCAGAATGCTGTGCTATGTAATTAATGAGACCTTTCGCTGAATGTGGGCGTCGCGGGCGAACCTATACAAGTTCAGCTGGGTCAATATTGCGAGCCCAACGGATAGCTGTGCGCAAAGAAAGCAGAGGGCCTTGAAAGGCGTTGTGGCGCCGCTCGCGAGCGGTCTTGCCCTTGTTCTGTCTATTTGACAGACACATAATTCAGTTGCGAGGTTCTGATGAATTGTGGCTGGGCGCACCGACGAGACTATCAATGTCTCGATCCCACAAGTCGTTTATAGTGCACCCCGCGCCTCGCATGACGAGAGCGCCTGTGCCGAAGAGTGCAATGTTCCATGCGACGTGACTGAGCGGTAGATGGGCAGAGTAGCCTGCCATGGTGATACTCCATGCGCAGGGCCAGAAAAGGAGCCAAGTGCCGATGGGTTTGTCGAGTCGACTGAGCGCGATGTACGGATGCCATGATTTCGGCAAGCTCGCAAGCGGACCGATGATACTCGAAGGAGGCACAAGGGTGCTTTCGAGTCCTTTTCGGTCTGCGCTTACCGTTTGCGTCTGCTTACAGCGCATCCAAGGAAAGAGCTGATGGCTGCTCGTGCGATGTCGCAATGGATGATTCACTGAGCTGATCGCATGTCTCGCTAGAGGCTGCAGCCGCGAACGTGCAATGGGGCACCTGAGGATAGATGGCCTTGCCGAAACCCTCATTTGAAGCTCGATCGTTGTGCCGAAGCGATAGCAAAGACGCGATGTCGACTGCTGAATAGAATTGACGGTGCTCTGACATGATCATGTCAAGGAGAAACACCGCGAGCTAAGTCGAGATCCTCAATATATTGATGCCGTCGTCTCGGCCACCCATGCGCCCACCCGAGTCACTTCCGCACGAAGACGCCCAGCACGATACCCGCGAGTCGCCCGATCAACAGTGACTCGTGAACATGACAAGAACTGGATATTCGAAAGCTGCGGCAAGATCAGGATCGATCAGGGGCCTTACAACGCCGGGTCCAAGCTGGTCAGAGCAACAGGCGACCAAGGTGTATGATGAGTAAGTGGGAAAGCCAGGGATCTTAGCTGGCCCCCGCTGGCTTCACATGCCAAACGACCAGACGGATCTTCATGAGCTGAAATGAGCATGACGGATCAGCCTTCGAAGCAAGAAGAAGCCAGCCTCAAAAGGCACGAGAGGAGACCGTGTGATCAGCGTGGATGATCGCATCAAAGCCCGATGTACAAGCGAGCGCCCGCTCGATGTCATGTCTATACGACTAAATCTGCCAGTTTAAGGTCCTTCGATTGCTCAAGGTCGTCGGTCAGGGAATCAGCCAGTCGGCCGTGGACCTTCAGACTCTTGAAGCGCCTCGCGTATAAGCAAATCGCGCGAAGGCGCGCTTCTTATTGCTGGAACATGTTCGGGACAAATCGGCTTTCGCTCACCAAACCACCTCGCCTGCTACATACGTTTTGACGTTTGGAGATCAAGAGCTATGCGCCGACGGCACGCTGCAGCAGTATGCCCAGCTCTACCATCATCCCGGGATATGCATACAATATTGCGAGACAATTGCCTTGACCTTGACATCAGCCGTTGCGCGGATGAAGAACACACCTTTGCAGACAATTGTGTCGGTATTTGCCTTGCTCACTCCGTCCACTCTCAATACGTAAAGTCAGACACATGATCTGTCCGACGCTACTGAAGGCGCGCTGCAGAACTCTGCATGCCTTTCTTCGCGATTGATTGATTCACGCCATTCTTGCGCGCTGACTCGGCCTGACTGCTATCGACGCTGCGCTTTTCATTGCTGCACGAGCACAGAATGAAACAAGACCAGCATATGTACGAAAGCAGACCCAAGGCTGACAATAGCCATCGCAGCCCATCTCAGTTCCATCATCACCAGTCTGCTGACTGATCTGCATCGCCGCTGCAGGCAAGGAGCGCAAAGCTGGAGCTAATGGAAGTATCGAGGCCGGTGCTGACGGTAATAGGCGACATAACAGAGGTCAAAGGCAATGCATACCTGCTTAAATGGCACTGTTTGCGCTGATAAACCGAATAGCTGTCGCTTTGACACTGGCCCGAGCGGCGAGTCAATGTTTCCAGTTCTGGACAGAACAAGAAAGCACAAATCATCTCAAGCGGGCTGGTCTCATTGCTAGCGGCGCTCCTTCTCTCAATTGTTCTTGCTCAGCTCCGGCAAAGGCTGCCGCCGCCGCTGTCACTGAAACCGAAGCCAAGTCCGACGCCGCTGCTCAGGCTGCCTAGCGCGTTGAAGCCGAAGAAGCATATGATGAGCTCGATTGAGAAACATGGCCAGTGCTTCTATTGCTTCGTCAAATGCGAGCCTAAATTTGTTCGGCTTAGCTTGCTAGCCATCTCGATCCAGTCTCGCTGGCTGCTTTCTTAGAGGCTTGGTCACTGCGACATTCCTCACTGCACGCGACTGCCAGACATGACGCGATCCGTGGATCTGAGGCTTCGGATGGTGCGTCTACTGATCCGGTAGGCTGAAAGCCAGATCAATGACAATCGAACAAGGCCAAACACTGGCATCTTTGTACCAAGCGGCTGGCGAGCATGCAGACTGTAACACAACAATGAAGCGACCTCGGGGAGTAGTACGTAGCCGTGCCTCGCGACGCGGCGCGTTGCATTCGAATCATGAAATCGTGTTGCCAAAGTAGCAACATTCGCCGTGGCTGATTTGAAGATGGGAGGCTGCGGCTGCGCTTCTACAGACCGATCGTTCATCCCAGGAGCTCACGCGTTGTGTCGCGTCGCTCCTTGTGCGCGCGATGTGCGCTTGACGTGGGCAGGTGTGGATCAGCAATTTGCGCAATCAAAGCGCGTGGCAGCGGCTGAACTGCGTTCACCTTGTGCACATAGCAGTCCTGACCAAGCATGAGCATATTGCATACTTTCCGCATTCGAGCTCACCATGAGCATAGCAGTGCCGGCGCAAGCGAGGAGAACCTCTCCAAATGGGACGCTGGCGGCCAGACCGACGCCAGACAGCGTGAAGAACAGAGACTCTAGCGCTTTAGGCGCACAATAAAGCGCTGCATTCGAATCAGTGACGATCTCCGGGCAGCCTCGAAGAACGCACCAAGCTCGGCTCGTCGATGAGGCTCCTCCCAGAGCAGCGTCGCGGATGTCAAGGCTCCACTGGCGGCGAACCATGGTCCAGCGGAAATCTGACTTCCCGACATGCTTTTTGCTGCATCTAGCCAGCAGACTGCTGACCTTGCCAGACCAACGTAGCTTGCCAGGAACGCGCAGGATCGAGCAATCTTGAGCGAGATTTTCTGACCGGAAACAACGGGTGCTTTGGTGAATTGCTTGCCATGAAAGATGAGCGCCGGCAGGAGATGGACGGGCGCATACATCGGCATAGCGGCAAGGAAAGCGTTGAGGAGGACCCGCGCGTTACTCCTGAGACATGACGGTTCGGCACGATGCGAAAGCCCACATGGAACGCAACAAGAGTGCATGGTAGGCTTCCATCGTGCCCAGGCAGCTACATGCTCCGGATGTCCGTGTTCCATCACTGAGTGCTCTAGCAACTCGACATGTCGTGTCGAAGGCGCGCTGCCGCGTATCCCTGCACGGTATGCTTCCAGAAAACCATGATCGAACTGAGCGGTCTTGTCCATCCATCTTCGGTAGCCTTTTTCGAGCGTGTCAGGATAGACATACATGCCAAGCAGAATCTGCGCATTGACGCAGCCGAATAGCAACATATCCGCATTTGGCACATGGAACAAGGGTCGTGCTTTCAAATGCGAGTAAAGGCCGCGACAGAATATTTGAGGTGCCCAGGCAACTCGTTCAGACCTGGTCTGCACGAGCAAGGCAAGACCGGCGACGAAGCCTGCAGATGCAGCGGCTTGCTGTCCAAGGGAGCGCACAATACGATCTATCAAGCTGTCCGATTCATCGTCTCGCTCAAGTCCAAACTTTTGCAGCGCTGGATATGCAGCGGTCCAGATAAGCGAAAAAAGTGCTAGCGTGCCGGCCAGGCGACGCGTAGCTGCATCTGCGAATGAGGTGCTGACAATCTTGATGAGCGTAGGACGCTTGCTGCGCGATGTCAACGCAATCACCAGAGATAGCAGGCCGCCTGCAAGTTTGATTGCTGACAGGACCAAATGTGCGCCTGCCCCAACCAACAGACCATGCTTTAGACTATGTTCAAGGATGACGAGGTATTTGTCCTTGTAGGTAGCTGTCTTCAGAAAGCTCGAATCGGCTCGCTTATTCTGCGGACGTCGAGGCGGTCGCTTTGCCCGGCCGGACGTGTTGTAGGGACTTGCGATGCCCTCCGGGGCGGCGAGTTCGACGTCTTTCATCTCGTGCGCATCTGCTGCAGTGTTCACCTGCTGTCATATTGATATGCCATTGAGCTGCTGAGAATACTCATCACGGGCAGAGATCATCTGGAGAGGGCCATGGCCGGTAAGGTTTCTACCCGAGGAACAGGCTGGCCTGCGCGTAAGGGCCCGTAAGGCCGCGAGGCCGAAGTCGCGATCTTGATATCGAAAAGTCCCAGCATTGCCGGACACCCGTGTCTTTCACTCTGTGTCCCTTTCTCTTGACTATCTGAACATAACATAATTCTCGATCACAGCGAACCAAGTGCGACCAGGAGAACTTGTCTTAGAATGCCGTTGAACCGCTCGGGGCGATCCCTGGCGCTGGCGCTGACCGTTCGAGCTCTCGATCGTGTCCGCCAGTGCCCGCACTCGTCAAGCTTGCACTTTCTCAGGATCTGAGGTGCAAACCTCCTCCGACCAGCAAGAGGAACGTCTTGCAGCCAGCCAGTATGATCGAACAGATTCCCACGCTTAGCAAGGAGTATGATGTTGAGCTTGCAACACCTGGCTCAGAGAAGGACGCCAAATTCGACACGCTCACGTCAAGCCTAGACCAGGAGAAGCTCAACGCAAAGGTCGACGACTCGCCGAATTTAGTGAGCGCTGCAGACGATGACATCGATCCCGAGACGGGCATCAAACGATACACGGGGCCACGAGTTGCGCCCCGCCATCGGTTCCTTGCGGCTTGGCAGCGTTACTTTGGCTTTGCCTCGACCTATCGCCGCCAATGGCTGTTCTGTGTCGCAACCAATCTCGCGCTACTCTGCGTTGCGGCTACAGAGAAATGGCATTGGGCACACGAGAACAGCCAGATCATCACGCTCATCAACATTGTTATTTGGTAAGTACATTCCCCAGCTTGCAAGCCCGCGCTTATCGCAATCCAGTGTGCTTGGCCGCAACGAGCTGTTCCTGAAGCTCCTGCTCGATTTCTATATGCTCGCATTCGCGCGCTTCCCTTTGTCCTGGCGAGTGTTGCTCTGCAAGCACGTCCAAGGCTTCGGCGGCATCCACAGCGGGACGGCAGTCTCCAGCTTCATGTGGCTCATATTCTTGCTCGTGCACGTCTTCCAGTCGCGGCAATACTTGCCGGCTGTCGTGCTCACGTTTGCTGTTCTTGTTTCTGTCTGCATCGCACTCAGTATGCTTGTCGCCTTGCCGCCTGTGCGCTACTTCTATCACGAGTAAGCAAGGGATGGGGTCTCTGTAGCACAACTAATCTCAGCGCAGCTATTTCGAGGCAGGTCACAGGTTCATTGGATGGACTTCACTCGCTTTCATCTGGGTCCTCTGCATCACGCTATCATTCTGGGACGTGCCAACGCAGTACGTCTCGTGTTTCCAGCCGAGCCGGGATCTGATCAGTGGAGCAGATCATGGATTGCCAAGGCATCGCGCTTGCACAACGCGCTACTCGCATTGACGGTCGTGCTGACTGCGCTCATCGTCGCGCCATGGTTGTCGCTACGCAAGGTCGCAGTCGAAGTCGAGACGCCTTCCGATAAGCTGGCAATCCTCAAGTTCCCAGGCGGACTGGGAGACGGTTTTGCAGGCCGGATCTCGCGTTCACCTCTCATGGAAACGCATGCGTTCGGCATTACGAGCGAAGGGCCCGACGCAGATTGCCATTATATGGGCTGCGGCGTGCAAGGCGACTTTACTAAAGGTCTTGTGAGCAATCCGCCGAAGTATCTATGGACGAGGAAGATCCGATTTGCTGCAGCCAGCTATCCAGCCAGCATGTTCAAGCGCGGCGTCGTCATCGCGACCGGCGCGGGCATCGGTGCCGTCCTCGCGACTGCCTTGCAGAACGAGCGATGGTTCCTGATATGGGTAGCTAGTGATCTCGAAAAGGCGAGTCCCTTCTTTCCCTCGCGCTTGCTGTTGCTGAAGTCTGAGCAGACGTTTGGCACGACATTTCTGGATATGATCGAACGGAAGATCCCCGAAGAACGCAGAATCATCTGGGATACGCGTAAGAAGGAACGTCCGCACACCATGAAGCTATTGGAAGAGGTCGTGGAGATGTGGCAGGCCGAGGTTGTGTTCATCACAAGCAACCCTAAAGGCAACAAGGACATCAAAGAGGGCTGTTACGCTCGAGGCATCTATGCTTTCGGACCCGTCTGGGACTCTTGAGGGCACTGGGGTCGCATGTATACGCAGTCGGGGTTGTGTGGATGCAAGTCGTCGATCAAGGACTGGTCGCTACAGCGAGCTAGTGGTCGGCGCGCGAGCGATCGATCGGTTTTGCGTGCGCGCGAATTGAAAGATTCGGAGAGAGAAGGCGCGTTCGTTGGCGCGATTTCGGAACCACTCTGGCTGGCACAGCCGGTAAGCCAAGTCGAGGCGATGCGCCGTCAGTCTGAACAAGCAAATCCGTAGCGACAGGAGAGAGTCAAGATGCCAGATATGACGCAGGCCGCGCTGAGTCAGCTTCCCACCGCTTTCCTGTCGCCTAGTAGCCGTACACGCTCGTTTGTGGACTCGCAGTCTTCGATCGCCTACGACAAGAGCTCGGCGGACGATGATGCAATCTCAGCAGCCGATTCGCAGACGCACACGCTCGCTACATCGACTATGACGCCCAAATCGGCGCACGGGCTCCCTCAGCAGGCCAAGGTAAGGGCATCAGGCAGTGCAGACCTACCAAACTATCCAGAGATCTACTATCCCGGCCGATCGGATGCCAAAGGAAAGGCCTCCGTCTCCGCTCGGATCTTGGGCGATGGCAATGGCGGTGTCTTGCGGCCCCGTTCGACGGCGGGCTACACTTATACAGAGCAAGGTGTCAATGGCGCCAAGAAGTCACTCAAGAAGCGCAGAAAGGCAAGAGGGGACGTACACCAGACGACCGGCCTCGTTGTCGACGAAGATGGGCATCTGCACGATCCCGAGTGTAAGTCGTGCGCCATCGCGACCGGCTCGCTTGCTGATGCTGTCGAGCAGATGTCCACTTTCGAACGGCAACGCCGGTGCACGTGCAACAGCAACAGCACATGCAGGCCCAGAAGAGACGCGAGAGTCAGTCATCTGTGTCTAGTGAATCGACTACATCCAGTATCGAAGCAACGGGACATTACTCTGGCAAGAATGCGACGGCGCCTCGAGATCCGTTCATGGGCTCGCTCAAGCCATCCTCAAATTACCGGTATGACACCCCTTCGCGCACATCGGTGAACCGTCCATCGGCAGATTCGGCAAGAAATGATGCCCTCCTCTCGCCAACTCACGACACAAGCATGCTACAGCCTAGACGCGTCTCTGCTGATTTTGCTGGCTCAAGCAGCAGAACGCCTATAGTAGGAAGCACGGCCAACGGCACTTCCGTAAGAAACAAGCTTCGTTCTCGCGCTGCGCCCCACCATATCGATACGGAGCGGACGACTCTGGCCAGTCATCGCACCAACGTCACTTCACCGCTTCAGGATGAGCCTGGTTTCGCTCGTGCAGCAGATGAGACCTATAACCCGTACACATTCGTGCCTTCTACCGCGATAGGGCGCAGCAGTCGGTTCAAGGATATGCCGCCGCCACAGCCACGCAAGACTGCCAGGCCAATGTCGCAGGCCGCTTTGCAGATCCCCACACAGGACGACGGGCTGGCAGCCAGTGCAGCGCCGATGGCAAAATCCTACATGGAGGTTCTGCCAGACCCAGCCGCTCCTTTTGCGCCGCCAAAAGTCCCCTTTGCGCAGCCACTAGCCTCACCGATGGCTGATACGGTCTCAGATGCCTCGGGCCGCAAGAAGAGGCGGCGGCCACGCACCGTTGGAGGCGAAAGCGCTATGTCGACCTCGACCGTGCCGGAGGAGCTGCCGCCTCCCAGATTGCAGACAACCTACCTCCCATCAGCCGACAACCCTGAGCGACACCGGGGCGCTAGTCATCTCAAAACAGGCAGAGCTACAACCGATGACGCCATTGGCGCCGGCTGCTACTCTGTCAAACGCGCTTGGCGTGGTTTCATGCTCGACATCAAATTCTCTTGGTTCAGGCAGGTCTCTGTCACGCGAATAATGCTGCTGCTGACCCATTGACATAGGTACTGTCGCGATGTCAAGCGGTCGATGGGCTAGTCCCAACCCAAGATGTCTTGTAATTGAACATGCAAAAGTTGGCACCCTGCTCAGCAGGAAACCACAACACTCTCACTTCAAGCGCGCTCTAGTATAGCATTTTGGTCATGTAAGGGCCATCAAGCGAGTATCCCAAACGGCGATAGTACGAGCGTACGCCGACGCCCGAGATGACTGCCAGCTTGACACTGCCATGCTCTTCTCTTGCTATCCTCTCGGCTTCCTCCATCAGTAATGTACCAAAGCCTTGGTGCTGAAACTTAGTCGGGTCTCTGGAGTGCATGGGCACAGCAGTGCCATAGACATGCAGCTCGCGGATGATGGAGGTTTGTCCGGCCTGTGTCAGCTCCGGCCTGAATGTGCCTTCGCTCGAGCACTTGCGCAGACGAAGCAGCCCAATCAGAATATCCTGCTCGGGATCCTCGTAACTCAGGAAAGTCTCCCATCCACCATTGGCGACATAGTCTCGCCTGATCAGCTCTGCTTGATCCGGCCTGACTTTGGTGTGGATTTCGTGCACGCCGACCTCGCGGAAACGTACATCGCGGCATTCGGCGCCGAAGTCCTTCATCCTTGCCATCGCTAGCTCGCGCAAGTTTCCGTTCTCGACGCCACTAGATACAAGCGGCATCGGGATATCTCTGCCCTACGATCAGCACGGGTAGAGCTACTTGTAAGCAAAATCACCTCTGCACCCGGTATATGCGAGTCCATGGCGGTACGAGAGCGAGTATACGCGCCACGATGTCGACGAGCGCATTGGGCGTATAGTTCTTGTAGCGACCAGTACGCCATAGCTCGTAGAGACCTGTACCCCGAATGACAAGCGTGGGGTAGATTTTGAGGCCGTCGGAGCGAAAGGCTGGATTCTCAAAATACTCCTGCAGAACGCTCAGCCCGAGCCGAAGAGCCGAATGGCTAGACTCGCATGGAACTGCTCAATGTCACGCTCGACACCGACATTCGGCAGATCGGGCATCATATGAGAAACGACCTTGAAGCCGGCATCTTTCGCCAGATGGAAAGACTCGCACGTCGCGTTGACAGTATGACCGCGATTCGTGTCTCTCGCCACGTCTTCGTAGACTGACTGGACGCCAATCTCGAGTCGAGTACAGCCGTAACGTAACATCTGCGAGAGGTGAGGCTTGAGACAATAGTCTGGCCGCGTCTCGATCGTGATGCCGATACACTTTGTCTTTGCTCGCTCTGAAAATCTGACAGCTTCATCGAGATCTGTGCCCGTCCAGCCGCTGAGCGAGTTGTGCAGCTGGGCAATGAAATTCGATCTGTATGCTTCCGGCAAACTCATCATCGTGCCGCCCATGACGATGAATTCGACCTTGTCAACTGAATGACCGAGGCCACGTAGCTGCTCGACACGTCCTTTGCTCTGTTCGTAAGGATCGTAGCGAGCTCGGATGGCTCGCATGCTCGTAGGCTCATAGCCAGTGTACGATTGGGTCGAGTAATCAAAGTCAGAGTCAGGCCCTCCTGGACAGTAGACGCAAACGTTGCCCGTCATGGCGATATGAGGACATCGATGGGGCTTGGACATGACCGCAACGACTGCGATACCGCTCGCTGTTCTGATGGGCTTCGCTTTCAGCTTTGGCAGCAGAGCTTCACGCATATCCTCAGGGACTGCAGCAATGATGTCGACCAAGCGAGGACTGTTGCCTGACTTGTACTTCTTTGCGATCCTCGTCTTCAGCCCGTTGAGTGAGATATCTTTGTTGTGCTGGTGCGCCTGGATGAGTTCGGCGACGATGTCGGAGCACATACGGATGAGCGTCTCTGCTGGACTCGGACCGCCGCCAGGGGGCACTCCATTCGTGTTGACCATGCTGTACGAGGTCGCTCGAGTCAGAGTCGAGTCGAAGATATTTCGAATTTCGCGCGAGGCTCGAGGAATTCTGAGGAAGCTTGCCCTGCCCGAGTTTGCTCAAGCCATCAGGTTTTATTCTCATGGCGCTCCCCAGATCACCGCTGTACCTCGTCACACAGCGAGAAGCTCTTCCTCCGGGCGTCTCACTCGAGCAATGTGTACAAGAAGCTCTGCAAGGCGGCGTCGAGATCGTGCAGCTCAGAGAGAAGCACGCCGATTCTCGAGAATTCCTAGAGATCGCTCGCGGTCTACAGACGATCTGTGATGCTGCAGAGGTGCCTCTCGTCATCAATGATCGAGTGGACATTGCTCTCGCATGCGGTTGCCGCGCTGTGCACCTCGGACAGAGTGATCTCTCCGTCAAGGACGTCTGCGCGCTCATGCCGACAGCAAAGTCGATTGGCGTGTCCGCGCATGATGTATCAGAAGCCACTGTTGCTTGCGCTACCGACGACGTGAGCCTCATAGGCATCGGACCCATCTACGCGACGACATCCAAGAGCGATGCCAAGGAGGCACTCGGACCTCGAAAGCTAGCACGAATCATAGACGCTCTCCGGGCTTACGAGAGGACACTGTCATCAGCGAACGGACGAGTGAGCATCGTTGCCATTGGTGGCATCAATGCTTCCAATGCGGCCAGAGTCTTGCATATGACCTGCAATTTTGACACTGGCGAGACAGAAGCTGGCCTTGCTGTCATTTCTGCCATCGTCTCATCACCGAGACCGCGAGAAGCTGCTCAAAGTCTTTCTGACATTCTGGCGGATTACAGATCTGAGGGTCGCAGTCATAAGCCAAGTCGCGAGGACTTGCTTGCCAATGTCGTCCGATTGCATGATTCTAGCCGCGAGAGTGGCGGCTTGCTGCATCACATCACCAACACGGTCGTACAGAACCAGTGCGCCAACGTTGCGCTCGCCCTACGCGCCAGTCCGATCATGTCCATGTCGCCTGAAGAGGCAGGCGACCTCTCTGCCATACTAGGCTGCCTTGTCATCAACCTCGGCACGCTCACAGATGATAGTCTCCGCGTGATGAAGGAAGCCGGACGACACGCAAACAGCAACAAGAAGCCTATCGTTTTCGATCCAGTCGGTGTCGGCGCCTCGGCATTCAGACAAAGCAAGACGGATCAACTGCTCGATCATGTTCAGATGAGCATCATCAAGGGTAATGCAGGCGAACTGGCGGCACTTTCGGGCGATAAGAGCGTCCGAGCTCGCGGTGTTGACTCTGCTGGAGGGTTTGCAGACCCTGTCAAGGCGGTTCGCGATCTAGCCAGGCAAGAGAGATGCGTCGTCGTACTGACGGGGCAGATCGACTATATCTCGGACGGCATGACAGTGATCAAATTGTCAAATGGTGTGCCTCATTTAGGCAACATCACAGGCTCAGGCTGCGCCACGGGTGAGACCAAGCAAATCGTGTACGCTCGAAGCTTATACAGTTGACAGGCACGTGCATTGCGGCCTATGCATCCGCAGCGCACTCGATGAGTACCACGATGCGAGCTACAGTACCACAAGCGAGCATCTGGGGTGGAGGCGACATGCTCTCTGCAGCAGTAGGCGGGATTCTTGCCATGACGGTCAGTCTCTCCCGCTGTCAAAGGCGCGCCTGCGCTGAATCGGTCGCACAGGTTGCCGCAGAGATTGCCATGGAAAAGCAGCCGGGCGGTCCATCGACTTTCACGGGCCATCTGATCGATGCGCTGTACAACCTCACTGCGCAGAATCTGGTCGAACGGGCACGAGTGGAAGTCGTCTGAGACACGATAGAAGTGTATGTTGTTGGAACAGAGCATCACATTCCCTCGCGAATCCGCTCGGGTTTGCCAGAATCGTTTGAAACGAGATGCTCATTCTGCGCCGGCAGCGCAAGCGAGTTGCCTACTACCTGCTCATTCGCAGATGGAGCGGGGGACGCTTCAAGCTGATCGAAGCCACTGCTACATCGGTCAGCGGTGGCATCGGCAGGATGTAGATATCCCCACCTAAGATCGCCGCAGGCGACAAAAGGCGCAATGAGGTGCGAGCTCGGCGTGCCCGTGCTGATATCGCCGGCGAGCGAGTGCGCAAAGTCGAGGAGCGGTGACGATAGGTCCAGCAACAAACCTGCTGGCGGCCGAAAGTCTTGGCAGACGACGAACGCCTCTGCTTCACTATGAGCGAGTTAGGCCGCGGCCTGTAGATGATCGCGTACCAATTGATGAATCGCGCGAACTTCTTGGCTTAGCGCAATCTACCTTGCCGAACAAGCATTCGAGCTGATCGAATAGCAGAGTAACATCCTTGCCGCGGAAGATCTTTGCGATGAAAGTGCCACGAGGTTCGAGAGTATGCAGAGTGATATTGAGGGCGGCCAGCAACAGTCGCGATTGCATAAATTCGTCTAGATCGTGTAAACCCGTGACTGTGTTGATGATCAGCGTCAAGCAGGACAGGGGAACGACGGCATGCCATCTGGTGCGCCGTCACAAACGACGAGCTGAGCTTTCTCTCCTTTGAAATATTCGATGATGCGTTGTGCCGTTGCGAGCTTTGTGATGTCGCCCACGAGCTGGACCACGCCAGGTAAAGCAGCCTGATTGGCTATGAGGGAAGCGTCCGATCCGAGTGACGGGTGCACTTGCCATTGGCTGCAAATCAACCGCGACAATGACGGCATCTTGCTCTTTGCCGACTCTGCGAGCGATTGAGCTGCGTACCTGAATCTCCGAGCATCCACCGACATCAGAGCATCAGACAGGACTTGTGACCAGCTGCCGGGAGCAGCGCAGAGGTCGATACATCGAGTGACGCCTCGAAAGAGGTCAAATTCCTCATCGAGATGAAGCAACTGTCCTTACTCTTAGCTCGGCCACTGACGCTCCAAAAGACTGCATGCCTTGTACGCCGACCTCGCTCGATAGCCATCTGACTTTGCCAGACGGTAGAAGATATCCCGCTTCTGGGTGCTTCGCCCGCCCATCGTCACCAATGGCGACGCTTTGCCAGGAAGCGCGAGTGTCAGCTGTTTGGGGTCACTCATAACCTTTGTCTCCGGCCGTATAGCCTCCACACTGCATCACCACAGCCACTGTGTCACATCTTGCACAGCTTTGCCATGACATGCCCGCCGCCCACTTTCCAATCGTCCATCGCCATCAAAAGACAAAGATGCGTTCAGTCCTCGCAGCAGCAGCCATCTCCGTGCCCAGCGTTCTCGGACTCGCTTTCGAGCCCGCCCTTCGCTCGCTCGGTCACACGAAGACGGCTGACTTCTTCAAGGCTCACCCTCAATATTTGACCCCACTGCTCGCCAAGCCAAAACCTCTCACCTTTGTGTCCCCGTCTGATGCCGCCTGGGAGAGACTCATGCCTTCGGTCTGGGGAGAGTAGATCCAGCCTGCCACCTCTGGTCAGATGCACAGCTGACATCGGTGACAGCAACGAATTTATCGGGGGAGCTTACCTCGCCTACCACATGATCACGGACAAGATCGATGTTGCCGCCTTGCCAGAAAACGAGCGAGTCACCTACCGTACTGCAGCACAAGCCGTTCCTCGCTTCCCGCTCAACATTGGCAAGGGCGTTCCGGCCGCTGTGTCGTTCGTCAAGTCAGACAATGAGTTCCATGTACTCTACCGCGCTTATGATGGCAACGACACCGTCCGAACAACTCCCGCTCTCGTCTCTGACGAAGGCGTCACCGTATTCTCGGTCGATGTGCGTCTCTTTTTACCGCAATTCTGATCTCTCTCATTCGATTGCGCAGTCATTCTTCGATGTCCCCAACTCTGATGTCTTGTCGGTGACAGAGGGCACGCCCCATGGCGCGGTCGCTTTCGATCTCAACGAGATCCTGCAGTACGCTACTCCCAACGCTGACGCCTTGCGCAACATCAAGAAGCCCGCTGCTGTGACACTCTTCATGCCCAACAACACGGTATTCGGACCCATCCTGAAGAACAAGTCCATCCCCCCTGCTAGCATCGCTGCCGCTTTCCGCAACGCCATGATCAAGGGCGCTGTCCTCCACTCATCGCAGTTCGATAAGAAGATCGTTGCTACCTCCTCGGGCGGTCAAGTCTTGACCATCGAGCCCTCGCCTCACGGCACAATCATCACAAGCGGCAAAGAAACGTGCAAGCTTGTCTACACCGGTATGCTGCTTGCTGGTAGCCCTCTGCTCCTCGCTGACTGCTTTGCAGATATCGAGATGATCAACGGCATCGTGCACATCATCGACTGCCTGTTCTCCAACACTGCTATCGATGAAGCCAAGGCTAAAGCCGAGTCAGTCTGATCGTCATCAGAGTCCTTGCCGTGCTTATGTATGTCTCTACAGCTCTGCCGATTACCTTGCCTTCACCGAGTCGAGCAAGAACCCCAAGACGGGCAAGATTGATGGCACGACGCCCACGCCGTTCGGTGCTGCTCACAAGCGAAGCAACCGCGCCTAATGTTTCATGTAGTCCAACAAATGCAACTCGCGGCTACAGAGCTAAGACGCGGGGCCCGGCTCGCACGATGCCCAAATTGAAGCGACACGAAACAGCGTCACATCAGGCAAAACTTTGGCTTGTCCTGCCGCGACCATCCAGTCGGAGATGCTTCTCAGAATCCTCTTCTTGATCGCAACAGCCTCGTTAGCTCTCAGCGAGCCTATCATCTCGGCTCTCAGGACTGCGGGCTACACGCAGACTGCCGCTTTTCTCGCAGCCCATCCGGCCTATGCCAAAGCGATCTTTGGGGTCCCCGGATACCGAGGCGATGTGACCTTTCTCGCTCCGTCAGATGCAGCTTGGAAGGAGCTTGCGCCATCGCAGAACAATCGCACCTTCCTCGGCGAAGTCTTGCTACCGCTTCATCTGCTTCGAGGTAGGTTCATCTTGTTCCGCCCGCCAAAGCGATGGGTGAACACCATCGTACAGATCAGATCAACCCAAAGACCGTGGCTCATGCGCCAGCTCATACCATCGTGCGCACGGCTTGCTTCACTGGAACCAATCTGGGCAAGCATGCCCCCGCGCCGGCGTTCTTGAGCATTGCAGAGGATGGATCACTGCAGCATTTGTCACGCATGATCAATACCGGCACGACCGTCGACACGAGCAAGAACATCGTTTCGGACGAAGGCGTGATCGTCTATGGCGTCGATGTACGTACGTCGCTTGCGTAGACATGCCGTACTGATCGGTCATCAGGCGTGGAGCGAGGTACCCGCGCCCATGCATACGGCAGTCTCATCGGTGGCCGCACAAGCCAGCGAATACCCCGGCATGCTCAGGCTAGCCGATGCTAATGGCAACCTCGTCTACCAGATCGAGGCCGGGACGGCTGTCACCCTGTTTGTGCCGCTCAACGACATCATCATTCGCGACCTCGCAAAGCTCAAGGCTATGCCTGCCTGGCAACTCGTTGCGCTCTTCAGCAACAATATCATCAAAGGTGCAACGATCTACTCGACACAGATCAACGGCGTTTTGACCGCTTCGAGCGCTGCCGGCACGCCCATCACGATCAAGCGTCCTGCGACCGGAGGCTTCACGGTCACCAACAACGGCCAGACTTTCGAGGTCTATGCGGCCGACATTCCGATGAGCAACGGCGTCGTCCATATCTTACAAGGCTACTTCGACAACACGGAAGCGCACTGGCAGTTTGGCAATGCTGCTATTGCAAAGTATCTCTCCTATACCAATTCGGGCATCGTGCCCTCGTGGGGTGAGATCGATGACATGACGCCCAACACGCTAGGCAGTCGGACGCTTGGAAAGTAGCCCCTCGATGCAAGCCAGGGTTACGTCTCGTTGCTCGTCGCGAAGCACAGCCTCTCTACACCGCATCTCTGTCAGTCAGAAAGCGTAGAGTCGCGCATCCTTGCTCATCCAGAGAAATGGCGTCGATTGGTCTCCTGGTGCTGCTCGCCGGTGCTGCTCATGCTGCAAGTGTCTCCGATATCTTGACCGAGTTAGGCCATACCAAGACGAGCGCCTGGCTGGCCAAGAATGGTCACTATCAAGCCGCCATCTTCAATACCTCGCTCGGGCCAATCAGTTTCTGCTCGCCATCCAACAAGGCATGGGAAGCTCTGATGCCTTCTGCAAACGTAGGCGTTCGATCATCTGATCGCTCCTCGCTGACTGTCCGCGCAGAACGATACATTCATCGGCGAGACTTACATGCCCTTGCATATCGTTCGTACGCGTCTGGATGCCAGCAAGGTAGCCATCGCGCCCGCACGTTCGATCTACCGCTCCGGCCTGCTGCCGCCTGCTACATTTGGACTCAACCTGGGCGCTGGCTTGCCCTCACCGCTTGTCTTCCAAGTCAATAGCTCCGGATCCTTGCTCGCGCTCCAGACTGCCTTTGGTGGCAACATCACGATCACCCCGAGCAACCAGACGTCGGACGACGGCGTGTCCATCTTCAGTGCCGACATGTGGTTCGATGTGCCGGGCGACATCTTGCTCGCAAGTCAGAACGCCAACGGAGCAGACGCGTCCGATTTCGGCTCTGTCTTGCAAGCCGCATCACCTTCTGGTGATCTCCTGGTCGATATACAGTCTTCGAAGGCGCTGACCGTGCTGATGCCAAACAATGACGCACTTGCGCCGACGAAACGCATGCTCGGATCCCAGCCGCCGGCTCTTCTGACCATGCTGATCAAGAACCACATCATCAATGGCACGGCTGTCTATTCGACGCAGATCGAGGACAATCTCGAGGCCGTGACCGCTGCGGGCAGCGCAGTCACTTTTCACAAGGCCGCAAATGGCGATCTGTCTGTTGCTATTGGCACGACTGCTGCCGTCAAGATCGTCAAGTCGGGTATGTACATTGAGCGTGTCATACGTCGACACGGCTGAAGTTCTTCCAGACATCTTGGGCGAGAATCTCGTCGTCCATACGATTGCAGGCGTGCTCAAGTCGACGACGAGCGATGACGGCAAGGCCAAAGATGCCAACAAAGCTTACCTGGACTTTGACGACAGCGGCAAGATCCCCGCTTACGGCGAGATTGACAGCAAGACGCCCATCGCGCTCTCTGTCGCGTCGACCAAGGTCACCGTGATCGCTGCCTCTTCGGCCACGGGCGGCGTGTCCTCCCTATCTGCCTCGATCGCGCTCGTGCTCGTCGCGCTTGCCTGCGCTGTCATGTAGCTTGCCTCTTCATTGCAAGCACTCGCTTTCGCATCATGCTAACTGCGATACATCCCTACATGGCACAACAGCGTGAGTCACCATCATGCCCACTGTGTCTTGCTCGTCAGTAGGAGCGGCGCTGGCCCACCCGGCACTCACATCCTGAGCGGTCAGTTTCGGAGTAGCGTCCTCGGATGCGGGCAGATTCCGCTGAGCTCGCTTCGAGTCCTCCAATTGCTGGCTCAACTTGCCGCCTTTGCCTTGAACACCTCGATTCGCAGATTCTGCCCGCCGTTTGTCTGCTGCTGCCGCCAGAGCTGCTCTGTCTGGCCCTTTGCTCCTGGCAGGGGAGCCTACCGCCGCGGGTCTCGAGGATGATGGTTCATCGTCCAGCCGCTGACCTTTGGAGCTATGCAACAGCGGTTAGCTAGTATCAGACAACACTGAGCTGGACGGACTCGTCTGAGAAGCCAGACTTTGACAGGCAGCCTCCCATCTCGAAGCGATGATAGCCTTGAACGGACAAGTCGCGCTCCTATCGATCCTATCGATCGCTTCCTGGTCCTATCGCACAGCGAGATCTGGTCAGATTGACAATGGCAGCGCCTGCTCAGACCGGCATCGAGTGTGCAGACTGCGATCCTGCTGCAGTACCAGGTGCTGCGTCATCACCAGCAGCAGACACAACGTCCGCGCCGACGCCTTCATCGGGAACCACGACAGTCGATGCTCAGCCGCCGACTTTTGATGACGGACCCCGGATAGTCATCGAGTATTGTGACAGATGCAAGTCGTAGCTGTCTGAAGCCCTGAGCACTGACTGATGGCGAGCAGGCCGATGGTATGCATTCCGTACGACCCTATTCACCCCGCTCAGTGTGATGACAGGCAACACCGGGCTACGTGGACCCAGACAGAGCTGCTGTCCACCTTTTCGTCGAGCAGTACGACGGGGACGCTAGCAGCAGTGACCATCATTCCACGGTCTGCGAGCGACACGGCAGGGCGGTGGCGCGTCTGGCTTTATACGCAGAACGGACAGCGCGAGGAGGACGTCAAGCTCGTCTGGGACAGAAAGACCGAGGCAAGTTGATGTTAGACTCGATGGTGAGCGAGTCGAGCTCACAGAACGGCAGGGCGGCTTCGGAGAAATGAAGGAGCTCAAGCAGCGAGTACGCGATCTCATTGCGCCCGGCAAGAGTCTCGGCCACAGCGACAAACCAGCAAAGAGCTCCTAGCTGGCATGACGATCGGTACGCGAGTGCGCGTGCAATTAGTGATGGCGATGTCGGGAGTACATGAGAGCCACAAGGGCTACAAGGATCAGCTGATCCAGGTCGCCTCGTTGAACAGTACGCCGTCAACGGTGAGCTCCCTTGTCGAGCCCGTCTCGGTCGTGCTGGGGATCGTAATCTTTGCTGTGACGGGATTGAGCCACTGCACGATGTTCAGTATGGATCACTGATCACATTACGAGACTGACTTGATAGATATAAGGCTTAGTACCTGCCACGACATTGATGACCTTTTTGACGAGATACGGGATCTCTGCAAGCACGTCGACCTTCTCGATCAAACCCTTGCCTTCGTACTTGCCCTTGGACTGAGCGAGTGGGTCTAGTTCCAGCAGGATCTCTGCCTGCGCAACCGAGCTTGGCGAGTCGATCAGAGGGCCTGCCCAATCGAATCTGATGGATTGCGGGACCGAGTAGGATGTCTCCTGATCGACGACGGCTTCCAAGTGAGTCGCACTCGAGCCTGCTTTGCCGTCGCGTGAACCGGCAGTGACGGCGATCAGCTTGTCGCCGACGACGACAGAACCAATATTGACTTTTTGAGTGCCATAATAAGACGTGGTGGTGAACTCCATCATGGTCAGAGAGACAGATTGATCGGGATCGCTCGAAGCTGGTGACTGAAAGTTGGCAAAGTTCCATCGCGCGGCGACGAGGTTAGGGCGCATGCCCTGGATGGCATGCACAAACATGCCCGTGCTGCCTGACAGATCTGCGATCTCCTTGCCTGTTCTGACGATGCCCTTGACGTGACAACGCGGCCAGAAGCGATGCACGGCAAAGCCATCCGTGCCGCTCGTCGTGTCTGGCAGCTTGCTGCCCGTTGGTTTTGCAGACTTGAGCGCGCCAAAGTAAGTCATGCCGCCCTGAGGTCCGGCGCCGAGCTTCCAGCCGGGCACGCCGGCTGCGCGCGTGTACTCAAGAGAGACTTGGACATCCTTGTCGTAGGTTCCTTCGATCTTGTATGTGTTGGGTTGGTCCGGATCCACGGTGATGCTGAATTGATCGGATTTGCAGCTCCTTCTGTCAGGCTTGATGACCTTGTTCGTGCCTGCCGGAGCGGGCACGACAAAGTTGGTGACGTTGACAGACTTCCAGATCTTGATGGGCGGGTTAGCAGAAGGATCGAAATATCTGAAGGTGAACTGGATTTGGGGGTACCACATGCTGACGAGCCATGAATGCGTCAGCATGATGTTCGCCCGTGCTGAGCTCACATCTCACCCTACACCGGAGTGGATGATCTGGATCATGACCAGTCCACCGGATGGTGTTGTTCCGTACCAGATCTGAGTCTCTGTGATGAAGCCGCCTCCTTGTAGCCATTCTGTGTCCTCTGGCACGAGTGGACCGAACAGCTCGGCCGCCGGTGCCCTCTCTGCCGGTACATGGAGCAGATCACTTGCTGACGAGCCAGTCGTTGTCGCTGCTGAGCCTTCCGCAGGCGCAGTCGATGAGAATAGCCATGACATCGTTCGGCAGCCTAACTGCGCCGGCCGCGCGTGTCGTCGTCGTGTTTTTCCGCTTTCCTGTGGACCGCTGTAGACTAACCTTACGCCCTCGTAGCTGCGGGTCCAGCGATACTTCATTGCTCAGGCCGAGATAGCTCGATCTGCATCTCAGGACATCTCGCGATTCCTTCGACAACCTCTCCTAGCGAGCAAGGCCGCGCTTTACCCTCCGCTCATTCAAGGTACAGCGGCCCCTCTCAGCTAGGCGTAGTCCAGCTTCCCTGTCATGTCGACATGCATCGTCATTTCGGCTTGCATTGGATCATCGCATGGGATGCCGCGCTGAGCGTCATTTATTTGGCACCGCTCGCGTCCGTCTGTGAAATGGCCACAGCATCGTCATCGTTCGAATCGAATCACTCAGGCATACTTAGCGCATATTGATCGGAACATCCAGCGGCGATGATCCATGTTTGACAGCATAGCTGCATCACGATCCTCGTGATCTTTCGAGGGGCGCTCTTTGCGCATGCCACTGGATGTGACAAGCCTCCAACGTGATGATGCGAATCATTGCAATGCATGCATCTAAATCGGCTACTGTGCTGAGGAGCGATATGTCCGCCAGGATGCGGACGTTGACAAATTGCATGCGCCGAAAATCAGTTCTGACCCACAACCTGAAGGCATGACGGACCGACAGCTTGCCAGAGACCAGACGTGATCTGCAGACAAGGTCGGACGTGCGCGGAGAAGCAACGTGGGCAGCGGCAGGTGCAAATACCGCTGTCATGCAGCCTTTGCGGGTTCTCTTGGAGATCTTCATCGCACTCGATATAGATCGCTTCAGTCTCTCAAGAAATCTGCAGAGTCTGCGTCAATGCTCCGTTCGCACATGGCGCTGCCGAGCCTGCTACTCTGCGCGCGCGCCAGACAGTGTCTGCAATGCACGTCTAGCATCGAGTAGCATCGAGTGATAAGCGATTGTCTGACAATATTTGACGCGAGTTTCTCACGATTTACAGTTCCTGCGTCGGCGTATGCGTGCGTACAGATCGATCATCTCGACACAGTCTTTGAGAGCTCCAGTGCCCGGCAAAGCAGAAGCTGTGTTGCAATACGCTTGCGACAGTCTTCCGCTGCAACATGGTAGCAATGCGAGCCATCTCAGCCTGCCTTTCCTGTACTGAGTCTTTACACGCATACAAATATTGTGAGATTCGGCGCCAGATCTGCTTGGGCATTGCATGCGATGACGACCAGCATGAGGTCGAAAGGAGATGATAGTATGACGATGATAAGTTCAGCCCAAGAAGTTTGACACGTGTCACCGCACTTGAGAATGGACATTTTGAATGGCACGCGTCGCCGCTCCGCCACGCAGACCCTCCCACATCATCAATCTGTCGAGATGGCATCGGAGCAGACCTACATTATGATCAAGTCAGTCCAGAAGACGCTCTGTGTGTCAGTACTGACATGACATATGCAGGCCTGACGGCGTCCAGCGAGGTGCGCACAAATTTGCAAATCTGCAGCGAAGCTCAAACGTTGCGCAGGACTCGTGGGCGAGATCATCAGCAGGCGAGCGGAATGTATAGCTGGCCTTGATGGCGCTCATCTTTTGAGTTGCCAGATTCGAGAAGCGAGGCTTCAAGCTCGTTGCATTGAAGCTCGTGCAAGCCACCAAGGAACACCTCGAGAAGCACTACGAGGATCTCAAGGAGAAGAAGTTCTTCCCTGGCTTGGTCAACTACATGGCAAGCGGCCCTGTCATTTGCATGGTATGGGAAGGCAAAGACGTCGTCAAGACCGGCCGTGTCATGCTCGGCGCGACGAACCCGCTCGCTTCCAACCCAGGCACAATCCGAGGCGACTACGCCATCGATGTCGGCCGCAACGTCTGTACGTCTTGCTGGACCTCACAAAGTGCTCAACTGATCAGTATCCGCAGGCCACGGAAGCGATGCCGTTGAATCGTATGCTACGCCTTGTGCGATCTCTCGCCCACTCCTCGTGCTGATCTACTCCTTGCAGTGCCAAGCACGAGATTGGACTGTGGTTCCCAGAGGTGTGTGCTTAAAGCGTATCTCCATGACTGTCGCTCAGGGCAAGGCGACACACAGGGTCTTTCGCAATACACTCGCGCAGACGCAACGTGGGTATACGAGTAAAGCGATGTACGATCATTGCAGATCGCGCCCTGCGCCTGATGATGCAGCATCAATATCGCATACGTATGACCGCGCGTGGCTTTGCTAATCTGACAGCAGAAGGAGGTTTGTGCGGGATGAGGCCTGAGCGGTACGCAGGGAGACCCTGCTATCTTCGCATTTCTCAGCAGTGTTTGCAATGGCCCAACGCAGACCAACAACAGTAGATGCCATTGCAGCTCGGCGGGCCAAAGTAATCTCATCGGCATCCTCGATCCTTTCAAGTCATCTCGAGAGTTCTTCGGACGAAAGCTACACTTCCTTTGACGATTTTAGCGCGGGATCGCAAGTGTTCAGCACAAGCGATGCCGAGCCAGACGAAGATGAAGACACGCTCAAGGCACAAGCAAAGAGGGCAGCTGAGCTCGAAGCGCAAGCACAGCCCAGCAGATTGTCGACACTCTTTTCGAGCTGGACGAGAGCTGCCCCAAGCCATGTCCCAACGAATACCGCCAACAGCATGGGGTCAGTCGAGCAGGAGTTCGAGCGATTGGTCGATCAGCTGGCGCCGTCTCAGACAGCCAGGGCTTCAATGCTCGCGCTGCCGGCGCATCGAAAGTCGATGTTATTGCAACCTGGCAGCAACAGCAGCGCAGCTGAAGTGGACAGACGTGTATCCCAAGCTGGGCTGAAGTCTTCATGCGCTGGTGAGAGCAAAACGCCGGCTTCTTCTTGGACAGATTGGCTCGTTGCATCCTTCAATTCCCCTTCGTCGGACACAGGGTTCCGGTCTGCTTGCGACTTGCTCGAGGCTGTTAGCAAAGCTCGCGGGACACCCAAGCTGCTTCATGCCATCACTGAGCTTCGCGTCAGTCTGTCGTCAGCTAGCCCGTCTTGGCTTCTCGGCTTCTTCAGCGCCAACGGCACAGAGATGGTCAAGCAGACACTAGTCGATGCTTTGCCGAGACACGATCGGCGTGATGCAGCAAATCGTGGGGAGGATACAGCCGTCCAGGGCCAGACATTGCGCGCTGTACGCGCACTTCTGAATGCCGATGCCGCGAAGGCTCTCGCAGACTGTCCTGACTTCATCTTCACCCTCGTTCGCTGCACCGCCAGCGGGTCCTACAAGGTCCGACGACAGGCCCTCGAATCACTCGCTACGCTTGCTGCGCTCACAGACGTCTCGAGCATCATGGATGCGTTTGCAGACTTTCGTTATGCTCATGAGACCTATCGTTTTCAGCATTTCGTCGAGAGCATGATGCCCAACGAGCTAGACAACGCAGAAGATGCTCATCTCTGGCAGTTCAGGGAGGCTGCAATGCTACTCATTCTCACATTGAGCATGGCACATGACGATCTGGAACAGCAGACGCAACTACACGAGGAATGGGCGAGACGGGGGTTGAGCGAAGTGATGCTTGCACTGCGATATGCAAGCCCGCACGATGAGCTCCTTAGCCATCTGGACAAGTATGACGGATTGCTCGGCGAGCTGGCATACCATGCAGCAGACGATCAATTCCTCCGGCAAGATGCGGCGCCTTTTAAGAAGCGACAAGCTCCTGAGCTTGATTCAGAGCTATCCTCACACGACATGCCGGAGGTGTCAGATTCGAAGTCTGCGATAGACGTATTGCCAGTCTTCAATCGCTTAAAGGCAGACGCCGACAGCCCTCAAGCGCTACCTTGCGAAGCTGTTCCTTTGTCCCCTCCACCACCACCACCACCTCCTCCACCGCCTGCATCGCCGCTTCTTGCGACTACGTACGAGTCTGCTTGCATCAGTCACTCTGCTGCTGCACCACCACCGCCGCCGCCGCCTCCGCCCCCGCCATCACTAGCATTGCCAGCGCCACTTCCCCTCACGACCACTGATGAGCGTATGATTTCAACTCCTCCGCCTCCACCTCCTCCGCCTCCGCCCCATTTGATCAGCGCCTTTGCACCTGACGCTCCGGATGCCCCAGTGAAGTCCAGCAAGTTACTACCGTTGCCTGAAATACGTACTCCACAAGCGCCCCGAGAAGAATATGTGACGATTAAGCTTCACTGGCAGAAGCTCAACGTGCCTTCAGCCAAATCAGTATGGACAAGCCAATCTGACTCAAGCGCACCTTTGCCCGCAGTAGAGGAAATTCGGCGTCTATGCGCGCAAAGCGCACCCTCGACACCTGCGGCGGCCACTAAGCCTAAAGGCCCTATCAGCTTGCTTAACCTCACACGCGCGAACAACATCTCCATTGGCCTCAAGCGATTCGGCATGCCGGCAGAGCGAGTGTCCCAAGCGATCAGGGAAGGTGACGCATCCGCGTTCACGACTGACCAGCTCACAGGGCTCGCCCGACTGTTGCCGACCGACGAAGAAGCGAGAGCATTGCAGGCCTGTAGAACGCCCACGAGCGAGCTGGCCGAGCCAGATCGATTCCAGAAGCTCATGATGAGCGTACCGAGACATCGTATCGCGTCGCTGATCTATCAGAAAGATTGCGAATCGAATCTGCAGGATCTAAGGAGCGATCTTCGCTTGGTGCATCGAGCGGTTTCGGAAGTATGCACTTCGCATTGGCTTCCTCGCGCGCTGCAGCTCGTCCTCGCGATCGGAAATGCGCTCAATCGGGACACTTTCAGAGCCAATGCCACTGCATTCAAGCTAGAGATCCTCTGCACGCTCGGCAATGTCAAGATGCAATCCCAAGAATCGCCTAGCTTGCTGCACTTTGTCGCACGTCGTATCGGATCTGGCATCGTCTTGGACGGATCTTCGCTCAAGGCATTGGCGGATGTGACGATCGCCGGTCTTCGGCAAGATGCCCAGAAGCTCGTGCAAGGTCTGAAGACAGTAGAGCTTGATCTGGCAACCCGCGAAGCTGAGCCGGACCCCGATGCAGCCGCGATCGACAGTCTTGAGGTAAGGCTGACTCTTGGCGTTTTGGTGCTGTGCTAAGAAGCGAACAGGCTTTTCTACAGAGCACAAGGGCTGGTGTCAAGGGAGTACAAGAGCTACTCGTTCTCGTTGACAGTGCGGCGAAGGAGATGCTCTCGTACTGCTGCGCTGATGCTATGACGCCCGACGAGCTGCTCAAGACTGTTCTCGGATTTGGCCGCGCCCTCGAAGTGCGCAGATCATACACAGCGGGCAGCGATTCAGCTGACAGAGTCTGCAGCTGGCTTCGTCAGAGAATGCCGAGGCGGATCAACGCGCTGAGCGAAGGGCTTCGCGAAACACCTCTCTCAAATCAGTCGAACCGTCTATGGAAGAACTGCTCCGACAGTCGCGCGGTCCAGCGGAGATCAAAACGTCTGTGCAAACACGACGAGGCGACGATGCTCTGCGCGATCTGCGCGCAGGCTCGTTTGTCTTTCAGCGCACGCGACAAGAGCAGAGTGTGCGCTCCAACAGAGGCAGCGCAACGCTGTCACGCATGTTCCTCGATGGCCGGCGATAGCTCAAGCGCCTTTGATCGCGTCATCCGTTCCGAGAGGCTTGATTGCATGCTTTCGACCTCGGTACAGCAGCTCGCCATTGCCGTGCTCGTCGTAAGTGAGGCTATCGGCCAGCTTGTTGAGTACGAGAGAGCTCCGCAAGAGGCAGTATGCCCCGTAAGCTTTGACATTGTCGGGCGGAGAGGGGTGGAAGAGGTAGCCCGAGCGCGGATCGACGCGTAGCTTGTCGGCTTCAAACGAGGTCTCGAATGAGCCAGCCCAGCTCAATGCAGATGTGCTGGTATCCAGGTCTTGGTAGACAACGGGCGTGCAGAGAGGGTCGACTTTGATCCAATTGAGCTCTTTGCCACAAGGCGAGACGAAGCGATAACCCTCTCTCTTGCGTCTTTCGATCTCGCTCGTGTCATATGTCCCGAGGGTGCTCGAGATGCGAGCGGGATTGCCAATCAGAGGTCTCAGTCGGCGGAAGAAGAAGTCTAGAAAGTCTGCTGACTTGAGCTTGGAAGTGAAGTGCTTGATCTTTGTCGCAGAGAGAAAGAGCTCGCCGTGGTGGTTGATGTCGTAGAAGTACTCTCTCGTGCCGTCAGGGCGCAGTCCAGGATCGAGGGAGCCCGTCGTGGCCAGTCTGCGGCCGGCCTGTCCGGGCAGTGGCCTCAACATCGCTGCCCAAAGGCTCAGACTGAGTGACCGACCGGCGGCTTTCTTTAGAAAAATCCGCGACGGCGTGAAGCGCAAGAGGCGAGCAAGCTAGCAAGGGAGGCAAGCTCAAGGAGGGGGACGAGGTCACATCAGAGGAACAGGCAGGATGTCAGACGACTTCTATGTGCGGTACTACACCGGGCACACTGGCATGCACGGCCACGAGTTCCTCGAATTCGAGTTCTCCAAAGGTCTCTTACGCTACGGCAACAACTCCAAGCAAGTCAGCCTGTCCAGAGGGCGGCACACTGCTGATCCTTGCAGCCACACAGCTACCGATCCGATTCGCTCATCAGGAAAGAAGGCGAGCTACTCAGGTCGTACGCAGGACAGCGCCTGACACGGCGTGTGCAGTCTGGCTGAGTCCACTAGCGATACAAGAGCTGCGCAGGATCGTCGAATCATCCGAGATCGTCAAGTGAGCTGCTCGTCGTAGTCCCGGTACACAGTCTCACGCATCGGCGGCGGGCAGGGAGGATGACGCGCAATGGCCAAAGAAGAACGTCGTCGGCAGACAGGAGCTTGAAGTCAAGCTGGGGAACGACCACATCTCTTTCGAGGTGCGTCATGCTTCACCGTTGAATCTCCAGCCGGTTTGACGGCAGACCGATTGGCTTGTAGACGGCCAAGATTGGCTCGCTCGTGGACGTACAGGCGTCAGACGATCCAGAGGGGCTCCGCGTGTTCTACTACCTCATACAAGACTTACGGGTACATACTCACTCGGAGATGGATGATGCTCTCAGCTCATGTGTCACGCAGATCTTCGTCTTTTCGCTCATCTCGCTGCACTACAAGATCAAGCCGACACAATGACTTTGTACGGGATGCATGGTGATTTTGACAACAACAGCGGAACAGGGGGAATGCTCTGACACTGGACCAACCTCACACGCGATCTTCTGACTTCCAAGGTCGGGTATAGAGTCCGGTCTGGTCTCGCTGCTTGACGAGCACGTATCGCTCGAGCTCATACTCTTCATACATGTCCTGCGGAAGCATCAGCAGTTGCACTCTCTGCAAGCACCCTCGAGACATACTCTGGCAGCTCGCATCGCTTCTGCGTGCTTCGGACCACGATTGGCGACCAATGCGTGAGCGCGCGATTGCCAAATGCATGTCGCAAGATTGGATCCGCCGCCCGGCAAACCGCGCGCAACAGGCGAGCCGTACCTGATCAATGGATCAGTGCTGCTCTCCACTACTAAAACCTGATCATTCACCAGTAGCAGATCAAGCCACCATTCTGGACAGCCTCCTCATGTGCCGCTCTATCGAGCTCGTACAATGATCTGGCACGACATTAGCACGGCGTCTCTACGACCACTGAGCGGACGCACTGCGAATCTGCCTCCAGCTTGCGCCGGCTACGAAAAGCGACGATGTACCACTCGTGCTCGAGCTCGGCATCCAGCACCAGCTCTGACCAGTTGAATGCCTTGTCATACGGCATCCTCGCATAATGGGGCGACAGCGGTTTCAATTGTCGCAAAGCGTGATGGAGCGCAATCGATGCTTCATCGATACTGGGCAGCGTCGAGTCGGTATACGCCCACGAGCGAGCTTGTGATTGGTCGTGCTGTTGCATTGGTAAGCGTGAGAGCAGCGGGCGCAAGAATGCCTTGGGCTTTACTGCCATCGTCTCGCGAACTGGGCGGACTGGGACGTCCGCTTGCGCAGTCGTGGCGACGCTCATGTTGTCGTGTACCCGGACTGAGGATCTCGAGCATCTTGTGACAACTTTATAGTGGCGACGTCGCGAATGTCGCAATTCAGCAATTCGTCAGCATGCTCCGTCAGCACGTCAGCACACATTTTTTTTTATTGTCGGTTTGTCACGCTTCGATAACATTTGACAGGAAAGCTCAGTTTGGCAGGCACGCTCGCCCAGTCAGCCTAGAGACATGCTAATAAATCTCATGCATCAGCCACCATACGAAGCTTTGGGCACCAGCCGAGCGGCATGTCTCATCAATGCACAAACGCACGAATGGCTTTCAGGCCCAGTATAGCCCAGCGTTCGCGTCTGATCGGCCTGGACGCATGGCTTACAATGAACCAAGCCTGGCCTGCAAGCCTTGCTCGCTACGTCTTGTTGCGAGCTCTTTCTCGATAGCATCAGTGTACGACTAACCAAGTACACGCTAGTCATGTCGACTAGCATGAGTCAGAACAGCTCATGTTCTCTAACGGCATGGCTACAGGATGTTTCGAGCACGATGACGGAGAAGCCAGCTGTCGAGAGCGCAGGTCTATCTGCCTCTGAACTACTTGTCAAGCGACACAGAGGCTCACTGTCTCTTGGTGCGCTGCCCAAGCTTCAGTTCGGCAAATGGTCTGGCTCAGAAGTCTCCATGACCTCGATCTTTCCGGAGCCGCCCAGCTACACACCCTCGGACGGTCACACTGCTGAAGATCGCCCTGCGGCTCCTATGACCAGAGCACTTTCTCATGGATCGTCGGATCAACAAGCGGCGCGCCTCTCACGATGGTCGTTCACAACTGGCGAAAGCTCATCGGCCTCTCTAGATGCTGAGCGACCAGAATCATGCTACGAGCCGACCTTTGGTCTCGTAGTCGGAAGGGGAATGGCCGGCTTGGCTGCGTACAGTACGCCGCCGTGTATCAAAGTGACAGGTGCCTGACACCCGAGAGCAGGATTGGATGGGTTCAGAGTACAAGCGCGCGCGGAAAGCCATGGACCCTTGTCGCCGAGGAGCGGTAATGAATCGATGTCAGCTCACCACGCAGAGCTCCTCTCTGCTCTTCAGACAATCAGCTCGGCGCCTGTTTGTCTGGCAAGATCGAGCTCTTGGTCTATCACTTCTGATAAATTCGTAGACGCATTGGAGCATGCGGACGACGTGCCCGGTATGCTGCCTATAAGATGCAGTACGTGTTCTAATCTTACTACGATCACAGGCACTGGCAAGGCTGTCCCTGTACGCCTGCCAAAGGTCAGGCGAAAATCGTCAAGCGCCATTGCCCCCTCCCAGCGCGCATTGGTCGATTCACAGACCGTATCTACGACCACGACGCCATCGCTTCAGCCAGAGAGTGTCTTTGATCGTATAGCGTCGCTACATGACCGTCAGAGCGATCGGACCAGCCTCAGCACAACCAGTAGTGCTGACTTTGCACTACAGGTGGCAACCGAAGAACCCGGTGAAGAGATTACAGTCTCAACGATGCCGATCGGCTCGAGCAGGCTTCCTCGGCAAAGACTCTCTATCAAGACGAGCCATGACTTTGCTCACATAAACAGCCCGACCAAAATCGAAAGTGGCTGGTCAACCTCGATTGACGATTCAATCACACGTAGTCGACTGGCAGAAGCGGCACTGACGCGCGGACTTTCGATCTCACCCGAACCCTTTGGCTGGCAGCCCAGATCGTTCGAGCTCAGCCCGACACGCGCTGTCGAGTCCATGCCCAGCCCTGGACGGGTGCCTACGATCCCGGACAGACAACCCTCCTTGAGCTGCTTCGTGGAACACTTGGAAGATGTCGCTCCGCGAGAAAGCCAATGCACTACCACAGCAAGTACGGAAGCGCTCTCCCAAGACCTCGCGCTGCGTCGCTCGTTGTCAAAACCGGGCTTGTTCGCGGCTCGCAAGCCACCGCCCAGCATTGATGTTCTTCTTGCATCCTCGCTGTATCCTAGTACACAGCAGGCTCGATCTCCGAGCCCCGAAAGACGGAGTAGCTGGGAGAGCGAGCTGATTCGTACGTTCGAAGAGAGGATATCGTTCATTGATGGAGCAGAAGGATTCAATCTATCGCCTACCTCGTTCGTCAGCGCTCGCTCGGATTTCTGGCCAGCAGACACTAGCAAGCCTCTTCCAGAGCTACCCCGTGATGACGACTCTGCACGCAGATCGTTGTCGCCCCGCAAGGTCTCATTTGCTGTCCCAATGAGCAAACGAGGCAGTCAAAGCTGCGCCACGTCGGTAAGCTGTGAGGATGGCCCGACGGCAGTGCTGGCGCATCTTTCACACGACTCGCCGTCATCGTCGCCGACAGAGCAAAGCCACCTGAAGCGCGCGACTAGCCTCAATCGCATCAAGACGACCTGGCTGTTCAAGCGCAAGTCTGCCATTGGCGTCATCTCATCTTTGTCTGACTCGAGCAGCGCAAGCCGTCGTACACCCTCACTGATCATCTGAGCAATCTGCTTGTATCTTGATTGCACCTAATTGCCGCTTACCTGCGCATTACTGCTGCAGCCGGAATCGTCGCGTCCCCCTCTGAGAAATTTTCTCCCTTAAGGCGTCGTCTATGGACGGGCAACAGTCGAACAGCAAACGCAAGAGATCAGGCTATCGTGGCAAGAATCCGCGAGGGGGAAAGCAACCTTCTCTGGCCTCTCGTCTGTCTGACCCTCGTCCGGACATCGACGAGTCACCAGACTCGTCATATCCTGCCTCTGTCGCTGGCGACACGAACGACGGTGCACACGGCAGCTCGAGACAGACTGTCAAGAAGGAAGACACGCTCGCTCATCTGACCGATATGCGCTTCAGTGCTTTCGCAAACCTGCTCACGCCAAGTCTTTTCAAAGCAATTCCTCATGAATTCTGTACAGAGGTACAGGCTCAGACGCTGCCTGTCGCCCTCAAGGGCAAGGATATCCTTGCGAGAGCCCTGACTGGCACAGGCAAGACGCTTGGCTTTCTGATACCCTCGCTTGATCGTCTCCTGCGCAATCCGACTCGACCTGGCCAGGTCGGTATACTAGTCATGTCGCCGACGCGAGAGCTGGCCACGCAGACTGCAGACGCGGCTAAGCAACTCCTCAGCTCCTCTCCTTCGCTTGGCGTTCAGCTCGCACTAGGCGGCGGCAACGTCAATGCGGAACTGAAGAGGCTGACTAGTCAACGCGTTGACGTTCTCGTCGCCACACCTGGGCGCTTGATCGATCATCTCGCGAACAACGGACTCGCACCTCGGCTGAACGAACTGCAGACTTTCGTCCTGGATGAGGCCGACCAGCTCTTGCAGCAGGGCTTCAAGCAAGACATTGACCGCATCGTCAGCTTTCTGCCAGACCGACGCACAGTGCCGCGGCAGACGCTTCTTTTCTCGGCTACAGTGTCGCCGCAGATTCAACAGGTCGCCAAGTTGACGCTACTGCCTGATCACGATTTCATCTCGACCATCAAAGAGAGCGACCTCAATACGCACGAGCGGGTCAAGCAGACCATCATCGAAGTACCTTTCGAGCGCATTTTCGCGGCCACACTTGCAGTCATTCTGCGCGAGATACAGCAGTCATCCGATGACTGCAAGCTTTTGCTCTTCTTCCCTACAGCTCGTGCTACCGGTGTAGCCAAAGAGCTGTTTGATCAGATCGAGCTACCCCTGCCGCGGTGGGAGGTCCACAGTCGCAAGAGTCAATCAGCCCGCGAAAAAGCGACAGAAGCTTTCAAAGCGGCTCGCAAGGGCATATTGTTCAGCTCAGACGTGTCTGCGCGCGGCATGGTGAGCCATAAGCTGACGGCACAATCTGAGCTGAATTGCCATGCAGGACTTCCCCGATGTGACTGCAGTCATCCAGGTTGGCTTGCCAGCATCTACAGAGCAATACATCCATCGCCTTGGCCGAACAGCTCGCGCCGGCAAGGAAGGCCGAGGCATCCTCATTCTTGCGCCTTACGAGCGACCTTTCCTATCGCTATCTGGCATCAAACAATTACCCATCAAGCCAGATCCCACCTTCACGACAGCCTTGTATGAGCCTTATCAGCCTACCATCGAGCAGGCGCTGTCTCGGGTAAGCAACGAGAGCAAAGGTCAGGCATATTCCGCCTATCTTGGCTTTACCAAAGGTTTCGTCAAGCTGCTTCAAACCTCAGCCAAAGGCGTCGTCGATCTCGCAGAGCAATACGCCGTCAACGTGCTCCTCTATGTACCGGAACCCGGCCAGCCTCGTACGCCGCCCCTGATGGCGTCTACGATTGGCAAGATGGGCCTGCGCGAACTGCGCCCGTATCTCAACGTAGTCAAAGAATTACCACCGAAGCAGGGCGCAAATGGCCAGGCTGTTCAGGCACGAGGACACCCATCGCCGGGGCGAGGCGGACGCGGTGGCAGTCGGGGAGGCCACAGAAGAGCGTGATCATATAGATTGTCTTTCGAGTCCGAGGCCCCATAGACCTGTACTGTAAGTCAAGCCCAAAAGATAGACTGTAACCGCAATACAACAATGTCTAATGCCGGGAGAGGCCGGGCACACTTCGCTCCTGCATAGTGACTGAAGTATGTGGCAATGGCGGCTTGGCTTTGCCTAGACTGCCGCTGCGTTTGCGATTGCCTGTCAGAGTTTGGCGCTCGAGATGATGCTGACCGGTTGCATGTGGGTCGTGTTGAGTTTTAACATTGAAATGTGAGTGGAGGGAGGCTTGCGCAAAGGCCGAATGATCAGAGAAGGACTGGTCCCTGAAGACCGATGCTGGATCCTCCTCGAGGCTGACTAGCTGGTAGTTCAGTCTCGATAGCTTAGCGTTGAGCTCGGGCAAGATGTCCCGTTCGCATCTCTGCTTCTCGGAACGCAGGCCCTCCTCGCGTGCAGTGAGATCGTACAGCCGTTCTCTCATACTGGTCATCGTGCTCTCGTGTTCGCTCTGTTCGGCCCTGGCCAATCTGTCCAGTTCGTCGAGCTCCATTTTTGCCTTTGCCACATCTGCTTCCGCTTTCGCGCGTTTCTCCTCTACCTCGTGCTGATCAGCCTGTATTGCCTCTGCTTGCAAGGTCTCGTCTTCCCCGAGATGCTTGAGTCTTATGGCTTCGCTCTCAAGGGTAGCAATCCGCGAGCGCGCTCTCGTATCGTCTCTGTTTGCCTTTTCGAGAGTGCGTTTGAGACTCGCGATGGATGCCTGCAGCTGATGCTCAGCCTGACGAGCAGCTAGGCGCTCCTTCTTCAGCAGAGCTCTCAGATCGTCTTCGCTTGCACTTTCACCCCCTCGACTGATGGGATCGTGTGAAGAGTACGGCGGTGGGGCGTCTTCCTCGTGCTCGTGTGAGCCCGACTCGTCTGTCCTTGGCGATTCCGTTGCTGCTTCTGCAGATGATGTCGCTTTCATGGATGTCAGCGATAGGAGCTCCGAAAGTTGCTCAGACTTACTCGAGACAAGTGAGTCGCGCGACGCCTGAGCGATATCTTCTTCGACGGCATCATCCGATGCTTCCAGCTCATCTGTGCTTCTATCGCCGGAAGCGGTCTGACTGGGCTCAAAGATGGTGACATCGATGTCGTAGGTCTTGCCAGGCGACAGACCAAAGATGACGATGACGCTTTGCTGGGCAGAGCCGTCGGTCGTGCCCGAGTAGAACACGTGAGGCCAGTGCACGCCGTCTAGCTTGATCGACATGGTAGGCATATCATCAAGCTCGACTGTGGCTGAATCTTCCGTACCAGTAGTGTTGGGCGAGAGTGCGACGGTGACTGCAGTTGAGGTGACATCGATGACTTGCAGCAAGAACCGAGCGGATTGTGGAGTGCTGGGCAAAGCACAGTCCGGCGCAAAGGACGTCGCACTTTCGCCTTCCTCTGACGTGGCGCCCTCAACTGGCGGCTTCCACGGTCTCACAGCCTGCCATTTCGTCTTCCGGGCCTGGCTCTGGGTGTCGTTGTGCGCTGGCTCAGAAGTCGATGAGCTCGCTGTTGGTCTTTCGAGGCTCTGAGCATGGGGAGGAGTGCTGGGCGAATCTATTGGCGCTGCCACTTCCTGTGCTCGGGCTGGCTTGTGACTATGGTGCTTGTGTCTTGTCATTTGCCCAGATGCGAGGAGCTAGCAGCGGCGGCAGCAGCATCAGCAGCATCATTACACGTCACCTTTGAGAGCGTGAGAGATTTATGGCATCGCCTACTCCGCAGTCGCCTAGCTGAATGCAGCAGTAGCATCTCATGCGCAGCTTCATCCTCGAGCGCAGCAAGTGAGCTCCCTCCGCCGCCATAGTACGTCCCGTCGACATTCGGAGCACTCGGTAGCTAGGCCACCACTGTCCGTGCACGATAGCACCGCAACGAGATCACGCTCACGACGTGTGGCAACGCTGTCAACCTGACCAGCGAGCTACGACCAGAATACGACATAGCCCAGCATGAGAGCTTGGACATGGACAGCTTGCCTCGTAGCAGCATCAGCACTGCTCGTACGCGCAGAGCCTGTCCCAGAAGCCTACCGCGATCTCGCCAAGACGACGATAGAACTTGATGCAGCGGCCGCCCAACTGTGAGCCTGCCGTAGCAACAGCTTGCATCCAGCGCTGACTCTCGAGTGATTGGCAGTGATCAGGGCAAGTTCATGATCCACATCAGCCGTGTGGATGATCTGCTCGACGATGACGAAGCCAAGACTGTTCTACTCGAGCGGATCTCACACATCGTCGTCAAGCTCCAGCTGGATGGCGACCACCTTGTCGTCAATGATGCCCCTCTCTCCATGGACCTTGCTCAGCCTACTGCTGACAATCAGCTCAAGGCCAGCATCGTCAGAGCGACCGCGCTCCGATTGCCTGCCAAATTGGATCATTCCGGCTACGGCGCACAAGAACTCGAACACCTTACCCAAGCCCTCTCTGTTGGTCTCGTCGGTCTGCAGGTCAGACTCCATGTCGAGAAGATGCCTGCACGTATCCGCGCCGTCACACTCGGTGGTGGTCAGGCACCGCAGGAGATCGAGGGCGCTTCACTCAGAAGAGTCTCTCTCTTCATCACCCTCGTCGAGGTCGAGGGTCAGGCGCTCAAGCATAGTACGACTGCACGTATTCCCGTCGTCCAGATGCTCTTTGCGAAGCATGACGAGTCCGGCAAGTACGAACTCAGGACAGTCACCGCGGGCAACGGTGCGCCCATCCAATACGTCGACCATGCGACGCCTGCGACCAATACCGCCCTTGCAAACATGACTAGCTCGACCGCTGGCTTCTTTAAGGACGCCATGACGGCATCTACGTCTAGATTTGATGAGATGCTTGATTCCGTCAAGAGCCGCATCAGCTCGATGCGCAAGACAATTTGCGCAACCATGTCGCGTCTCGGTCTGGCTTCGAAGCATCCGCAGGAGCTTACATCTACCGATCATCCCGCTTTCGAGCCGCCTCGTATGGCAGGCGGCTACCGGCTACCTCTTGCCGGCAGTGCCGCTCGTCCTCATCATCCGTCTCACCATCACGGCCGTCCTTGCGCCGGCCGTGGACATCATCGTCACGGTCACGGTCATCACAACGGTACGCTGCATTGGTACCTCGTACCCGTCTACGGGATGCGCATCGTCTTCAGTAACATCCACGAGGCCGCAGCAAATGCCGGCGCCTACGTCATTGATCGACCTCTCCTCGCAATGATCCTAGCTGTCATCTTAGGCTGCACTTTGGGTACAGTCCTCGCCGCTCTCCAGGCCCGCGCTCGTCGACAGGCTCTCGAGCTCGACGCGTTGCCCGAATACGAGACGCTAGACAATAAGGATCTCGACCTTGATGAGAAGGATGAGGTCCTCTTCGATGTCACCGTCGAGTCCGTTCCCCGTTACAGCGGAGAGCATAGCAAAGCCTAGGCCGCTAGCGGTTTCCTCAGCCTGACGATCATGATGACAGTGCATTGTTGTTCCTACCTAGCATGCAGAACTCTCTCTCCATACGTACGCCAGCGCTGGTCCTAGCCAGCATGGCACTGCTACTCAGCCTCGTGACTGCCTGCCATCTACCGCAGTCCAATTTTTACCGCTTTGCTGGAGCGCTCACTGATCATTTGACTACCAAAACGGCGCGCTCGTGACTCTTGTTCACGCGCCTTGATGTGCTTGTGAAGTGCTTCGAATGCAATATGAAGGGATGCTACGATATCCTCTGCTGTATACAGACAGACGACTATGCTTATGCGGATCGCGCTACTGCTCGCTCTAGGCACGCAAAGCGCCCGTCTGGCGCCTTTGTCTGACGATAGCTTGCAGGATCAGCATGTACAGTCATAGCAGCACCCCTTGCGGGCGAGCAGGCGGTCTTCAGGGCGCATCGCTTCAAGTCACTCGATGGATACTTTCCCACACGTGGCGACGATAGCGAGACGACGGCTTGGCATCTGGCGGCATCGATCAGTCGAGCTTATCGCAACATGCTGAAAGAGGCTGCTGCGGAAGCCGAAGCTATTCCTCTTGCCAATCTCGAGCAACGCACGACGCAGCGGACATCTTTGCGTATCGAGGGTCGGACGTTGCCAAAGTCGGTAGATGGCGACAGAGTGCAAGCAAACGAGGCCAAAATGGGATGGATGAGCTCATCCTGCGTAGACAGCACGAATCTTGCGCGTCGCTCCCCTTGTAGCGACGACGACCAATGCAGCGGCCTCGAGCCGCCGTTGGCCGCCATGAATGGCTGGCTGGGCGTGTTTCTCGCCCGCGCTTTGCTGCATGCGATAGCCATCTTCTCGTTTTTCACAGCTCTCGGTGTTGCTCACACATGGCTGTGGTCGCATCTGCACTCACTCGACGAGAATATCGATACGTCTTGCAAGGGGGAGAAGCATATAGTCGAAGCAAAGAGCGATGACACTCCCCCAGTCTGGCTCTTGACGTTGCCGTAATAGGACGGATGTTACGTTGTCCAATGTACAATGAAGGCTGCTTTGCGATAAGCTGGCGACGATGTGCTGCCTAATATGAGAACACGAGAAACGCGGTCGTCATTGAACGGATCGCGAATGTGCACCACTGTCAATGCAGGGACGGAACTTGGCCATGTTCAGCGGGCTGCCTGCTGACCCTGTCGTTTCTTTCAGATGGACGAGCAATCACGAGCCAACTAGGGGGGCTGTTCTCAGAGAACAGAAGCCTATGACGTCGTATGCCTTACGAGGAAGGTTCTTTCCAGGGTCGACAGAAGACTTTCTGCACTCGCAGGCGCACAACGCCTGCAAGGAACAGCGGGCTTTTCGACAAAGCTGGCCGAGTTTAGCAGCGTTGGGGCGCCCGAACTTGAGATCGACCTGCCCGATGATCGTGCATGACAAACTTTAAAACGACCCAGTGTCGATCGCTGCAAAGAAGCGGCGTCGCGCTTGCTCTTGCAAATGCTTGCTAGCGTCTTAGCCAACAAGTAGTGTGCCGGCATTCTGCAGCGTCGAGAGTTCTTTATATCGGCGGCACGGTATCGGCATATCGACTATCGTACGAGCACCGGAGTATAAAGACCGCACGGCCCTCAAAACTTGACAGACGCCCCAGTCGGTCTTCGAGCTGGCAATGGTCAGAAGTAGATGCATATGCGCATGCTTAGGTATGCCTCCCAACGCAGATATGGTTTGATGCGCTAATGTTCAACGCAGTGCTAGCGTTGGCATGCAGCGGTCTGGCAAAACCCGTCAAGAAAGTAGTCATAGAGCCTGAACTGCCGCCTGATATTGTTATCGCCAAGCGAGCGTCTTCTGCCGCAGATAGAGCGAGGGAATGGCAGAAGCAACTCCGGCTGGCGCAAGAGCAGTACAAGCCAGCGCCGGAAGATCTGCAATTGCATAACCCAGGCAAGGCAATCGAGGAGAAAGCATCACCGACATCGACCTCATCGAGTACACAAGCGCACCCGGCGGAGCAAAGCGACAGCAGTCAATTGCCTGGCCAGAGCAAGCAATTCGAAGCACTCGTCGACCCGACCGAACTCGACAGGCACGAGACTGCTCCGAGGCCAGCGCAGTCTCCTGTCGTCAAAGCTGCCGGGCCGCTGTGTCATGCGCTCGTGAACATCCTCATCTCGATGATCGTGTTCTGCATGGCTAGCGCGAGCTTGCATCTCGTCAACAGCATGCGCAAAAAGGGCATTTCGTTGACCGACGAACAAGATCCCGCTTTGGACGAAAAGCCTCGTGGTCATTCTGACTCGGTCTCGTCTTTCAAGGATCCCAGAGGTCGAGAAGCGTTCTATGCGGACGACGAGTTGGCGTGAGATTACGTGTATCGGTACTTGTTGTGCAATTGTCATAGTCGTCATCATATCCTCAGGGTTGACATCGAGATCTCTGTCACGCTGACCGTCGCAGAAACAGACGTTGCTGCAGGGACCTCGCAGGGAGGAGCGACGTCTGATGGCCCCGGATCGAGCGGTGCTGTCGGTGTAGCGCGCGTTGCCTTGATGAGTAGCGGGATCATCGCGCCCGGGGCCATCGGGAAAGGACGATGCTTGACGACCTTGAGCAGAGCAGTGATGACACCTGAGTGACAGGTGATGGAGACGACAGGGCTGGACTCGGTGGCGAAGAGAGCGTCGAGGGCGGCCTTGATTCTGATCTGCTGCTGTCTGCTGGTCTCTTGCTCGAAGCGTGTCCAGAGCTCGTCCTTTTCTTTGAAACCCTCTTCAAAGTCAAAGTCATATCGTTCTTCAATCCACCGTTTGGTGTTTCGACGATCGCAAGTGTGCAAACCAATGGTCTCTCGCCATTGCTCTTTGAAGATGGGCGTCTGCTCTGTCGGAGCTTTCGGGCCGATGACGATGTCGGTCCAAGTGATCTTGAGCGTCGACGCCGCTCTGGAGAGAGGGGACGAGTAGAAGAGTTGGGGCAAGGGGGCGCCCGCTTTGAGTTCCCTCTGCCAGGCGCGATGTGCCTCGGCTGCCTGCTGGAGGCCGCGAGGTGTGAGGAGGGCGTCTGGTCCCCAGGTCATGGACTGGTTGCCGTTCTCCATTGACCAATAGCAGTCCCATGCGTTCTTGCCCACATGCATCTCTGCGACGTTGTGATAGCCCTCGCCGTGCCGGGCGGCAAAGATGAGCTTGTACGACTCATCCGGTGAAGCGGCTGCGTTGAGCTCGGTGACCCTGGCGTGCAGCGCCGCCCAGCTGTCGAGCTTGAGTCCGAAACGAGTGCCGTTGTGATACTGAACGTGTGCCTCGGTCAGCTAGCTCAGGCTGATGACACCTCCGGAGGAGACTCACCACTCGGAACGATCTATCATCCGTCGTCTTCTCCGACTGGGCAAAGTAGCCTGTCAGAGCTTCGTACTCTGTAGGCTGTAGCAGCTTCCCCGGGGGTATGCGTGCGCTAGAAGGCATGATGAACCACCAGAAAAGCCAGGTGATGAACAAGGTGGCAGCAGTCAAGGGCATCAACAAGGTGGGACAGCGGCGGCGACGGAGTGTCTGACTGCTGTCTGTTTGCAGAGCCTGGTAGGCATGCATGGCCTCATCCTCTTCTCGTGCACTGCCCTCGCTCGGCTACCGGCCTGCGCTCGGACTGTCAAAGCTGCGCCGCCGTGTGCGCGCACCGTGCACCGACCCTCCTCTCTCGTCTCGACGGCCGGCAAGCGTACACCCCTCAGCAGCCGGCATGGCGGCTCAAGGCAGCTCTTCCTCTGCGCTGCTCACCATCGAACCCGCATGCAGGAGCAGGACGCTCCTCTTCCTGTCCTACAGAGACTCGTCCTCTCGACCCCGACGGCGACTAAAGCCTTACTACGACGATGATGACGGCTCGAGCTACCCTCCTGCACGCTATGATAGGAAGGGCAAGCAACGTGCCAGGGCAGGGGCGGGCGACGAGGACCGTACAGGTCTCCTCGCGCATGCTAATGGCTCGAATGGGTACCACGAGACAATCGACATGGATGACACGCTACCGCCCAAATGGTCAGCCTCGGCCGCTCTACAGTGCCACGGTACTCATCTAAGACATGTCAGGATGGATCACGTAGACAGGGTGGAGGAGTTCCTCGAGCGCGCAAAGCCAAAGATGGCACAACTCGACAAGCTACACGCTCGTCACCTGCTGCCCAGCTTCGTGGATCGCTCTCCCGAGGAACGAGAGATCGAAGTCCTCACAAGCGATATCACTAATGACTTCCGGCAAGCTCACGCGGCTATACAACGCGTCACTCTGCTTGCAAAGAGCATGGCAGCCGACTCCTCTTCATCGACCGATATTGTCGTAATACAAAATGTCAGAACTGCGCTCGCTTCGAAGCTCCAAGACGTCTCGAGTGTCTTTCGAAAGAGGCAGAGCAACTATCTCAAGCGTTCGTCACCCCAAAGCTCTTTTCCGTGACTTCACTGATAAGGGATGTGCAGAGCTAAAAGGCTACGAATTGCGCAACCAGGATCTGTATGCTGCCACGGGTCAGAACGAGAGTGCGAGCACGCAAGCGGCAGTGGATGATGACGTCAAGCTGGTCAGACTGCTCGTCGTCTCCTGATCACCCGCGCTGAACCTCGAGCAGTCTCAAAACGAATTGCAATCGCAGTCGCTTTTTATGCGCGAGGAAGAACAGACGGCCGCTATTCAGCAACGCGATCAAGAGATTGCCAATATAGCCCGATCTATCACGGATCTGGCAGACCTGTTCAAGGATCTGTCGAGTATAGTCATCGATCAAGGGACGATGCTCGATCGGATCGACTATAACGTCGAGCAAATGGCTGTCGACGTCAAGGCTTCAGTAGAGGAGCTACAGACTGCCATGTCGTGCGCCTTGTTCTGCTGCTCTCCTACTGAAAGCTAAGAGCTCCTGAACAGCTACCAGCGACGCTCAGGGAAATGCCGCATCATCTTTCTGCTCGTGCTGCTCATCGTTGGCGCGGTCATTGTACTTATCTACAAGCCACGACGTAGAGGCCCGCCGGCAGCGCCGCCGTGACACATGCGTCATCGTCAAGCAATGCATTAGAGCTTGCTGTCCTGCTTTTTCGACTGTCTCACAGTGACCTGCCTCTGCTGTTAGCAAGGGGTAGAGATTGCGAGGGGAAACACGAACGACAGCCTTGCCCCAGGTCTCTCGATTGGTGAGCGCTTTGAGGCCGGCTGTGACAGACTCGAGACCGACGAATTGCTTGTCATAGACTGCCGGCCGCAGCTTGCCTTGCCTGATCAATTCGAGCAGGGCCGACCAGACCTCCGGAATCTTCCCTTGTTCGTTCTTGGAGTAGGCTCCCCAATGCACGCCCACGAGACTGATGTTCTTGAGCAAGACCAGGTTCATCGGTATCTTCTCGATATTGCCTGCCGCAAAGCCGACGACGATAGCCCGTCCATTCCACGCGATGCATTTGAGCGACGGTCTGCTCTTCACCATCAGCGCGCTCCACAGCTGCGAAAACACGGAGCTGACAAGATCATGCCAACGGGATCATAGACAATGTCGACCCCTTTGCCCTTTGTAAGCTTCAAGACTTCCTTTTGCCAGCCCTCCTTGGTGTAGTCCAGTGCGTGGTCTGCGCCACCCTGCTTCTTTGCTACTTCCAGCTTAGCCGCGCTGCCTGCAGTAGCTATGACCTTGGCGCCCAGCGCTTTGGCGATCTGGACCGCTGCCAGTCCTACGCCGCCTGCCGCCGCATGGACTAGTACCCAGTCGTCGCGTTTCAGACTGCAGGACAATCATTCAGCCTTTGCGTCCGTCTTGTGTGAGCGACCGACTTGGCACGAGTGATGAGACCGGCGTAGGATGTTCTGCAGCATGTGTGAGCTCCGGCCGGAAGTGAGTCATGAGGACGGGTGCGACGTACGGGTACGTGATGAACAAGCCAGATGCCTGCTCGAAAGACAGACCGTCTGGTATCTCGATCAGCTGCCGGAAATCGGCCGACACCTTCTCGGCAAAGCTGCCTTGGGATGCGCCAAAGACTCTCGTCTGGCCTGCCTTGAAGGGGCACCCTTGCGGAATCGGCGAAGTGGCAGATATAACGCCCGAGAATTCGACGCCTGGCGAGTATGGAAACGGTGGCTGGTTCTGGTATTTGCCCTGGATAACGAGGCATCAGAGTGGCGATGGAGGGAGATGCAAACAGAGATCTGCCTGGACTTGGAGAGCGTCGAAGAAGTTGAGAGCGGCCGAGTGTACATCGATCAAGACTTCGTTGGCTTTGGGTACAGGATCTGGCGCATCAGTGACGAGATGCTTGGGCAGCTCCTCGACGCTCTTGAGATGCTCATTGAGGACGTAAGCTCGCATGTCGTCTGACCGGCTACTCCGTCACGCTGACGCGACCGGCAGCAGTTCTAGCAGCTGGCCCGGCACGATGACGACGATGGAGCGTGCACTCAATCGACTGTATGAGCAAGTCAGGGGTCAACACGGCACCCAAGGCCTCTTCATGGCCACGCATGCCTTGCTCTGCTCCATCGGAGTCACTTCGCCTGCCGCGCTTCTCCTCAACATCAACGCTCCCTTTGGCAAATTTGCCATGGACCGAAGCTATCTCAACCTCAACGGTAATACAGCCTGGCTTGTCATGGAGTTTGTGTCACCATTGACCTTTGTGCTATCTGTTTGTGGCCCGCCACTGTCGGGTCGGCCATTCACATGGCAGTTTGAGGCGCAAAAGTCGATCTTTGGCGCATCATTCTCAGACACCCTGGCAGAGTTGACCCCCACGCTGCCGACATTGGATCTGCTGAATGCCCTCACACTACCGAGCAAGGTGCTCGCAATTCTGTTCATCGTTCACTATGCCAATCGATCTGTCATCTCCACTTTACGTCAGCCTACCGCACGCGCACCCATCCACTTCTTGCCCTTCATCATGGCATGCTTCTTCAATCTCGCCAATGGCTTCCTCATGGGTAGCTGGGTCGGAGGCAGAACACGCACTACGACGAGTATGTTTCTCACCGGCGGTCAGCGCGGCGGTTTACCGGGTGATGCTGCTGCATCTCCACTCTTCTGGCTCGGCATCTCGCTTTGGCTCTTTGGCTTTGTCGGCAATTTGGTACACGATGAGATCCTCTACAATCTTCGCAGAGCCAAACAGGGCGAGACCAGACCGCGGTATTCAATCCCGCGCGGACTCATGTACGATGCGCCGTTCGGTGGCATCTCGCATCCTGCTTATCTCTGCGAATGGATAGAATGGACGGGCTATGCCCTAGCAGCATCGTCCGTCATCGGCGTCGCGCCACCTTTGCCGATTGCGACAGGCGCACAGCCTTCGACTCTGTTCGATCTATCGAGATGGCTGCCTAAGCCACTCAGGCGCTCGATCGTGCCCCGCCATCCCATGCGGTCGCCTTTGACCTATCTCGGCCCGCCATGGGTCTTTGTCGCGCTCGAAGTATCGGCTATGCTGCCGCGTGCGATCAGTGGGCACAAGTGGTACAAAGCTCAATTCGGCAACGAGCTGCCCAAGTCACGCAAAGCAATCTTCCCCGGCATTCTCTAGTTCGCATACGGTAATAGTGTCAAACAACAGCTCTGCTCCAACGGATGTCTACTGAATCGAGTATACCAACGCGAGAGGATCAGTCCGGATACGCCAGCATGCGATTCAGCTCGTCAACGCACGAGATCGTCTTGCCAAGCCCTCCTTGGATGCATCTCGTCGCGTTCGCCAGACGCTTTCCCGGGCGAGAGCCCCAGGTATTCCGCCGTAGCCAGTCGTACGATGAGTGCCCACGCATGGATCGTCGGCAAGTCGAGCCCCGATGCATCGTCCTGCTCTAGCCTGTCAGTCGATGCAGGGGCAAGGTGCAAGATGCTTACGCGTAGTGTGTGCCACACTGCGGGAAAGGGTGCCGGGATGAGATGCACAATGGGCACGCCTCGATGCAAGAACGGAATGTGATCGTCTGTATACTTTTCTGAGCTTCGGGCGGGACTGAATGGGAGGGGAGTGCACCTTCTATGCCATATACCGGCCGGTCGTGCCCTGGCAAAGGGAAAAAGCTCCGTCCCTTCTCGTCATCATGATCAGAGCGCCAGTTGTCGCCCTCTCGATCGGACCAGAGATGTCCGTTGCGACCCAAGCGATCTTCAGCGTTTCTGATTACATTGTAATACCATTTTGTCTGTCCATAGAAGTTGGGCACATTGGGCGAAGGTGTGCCGAGCAAGTCCAGCAGAACCAAGACATCTATTGCGCCTAGCTCATTGGCGGACCGTGCGGTAACCGCAGTAGGCGAATTGGATGGCTTGGACCACATCTCAGCCAGTGCACGGGCTCCGTAGATCGAATCTGTGTCTGTCCATCGCTCAAAGGCCTCCTCGCCGTCAAAGATGACGATCTGCAGCGTCGTCCTCGGGCCACGCTCCTCTGACTCTTCCCAGGCACGCCGTTTCTCGTCCAACCAGGGTGTCAGGGCTTCTGCGACGTCCATGATGACTGCAGTAGGCACCGCGCTATCCGTCGCGCCGACGAACGTATTCATTGGCGAGCGCGGAAAGTATTTGGAGTCGATGTGTGCAGACAGGATGAGCTTGAGCTCCGCCTCTGGATCGTGTGTGAAGACGAGGTTGGTCATCTTGATGCTGCCGATGGGCGTAGAAGCTTCAAATTCATGTTCGTCAAGCTGCCAAGTCGGTTTGCCGGATGCTTTGGTCGAGGATTTGCTCAGATCTGCAAAGGCTTGCTTGATCTGCTTCTGGATCGCTATGAGGGCATCTGAGCCCGCAACACGAGGCACGAGGAAGCTCGCTAGCCTCGAACTAGGATCGTCATAGTCGAGTGAGCTCAAGTCGGACAGCGCCAACAGCGGCTCGAGGTGATCGTCTGCGAGTGCCTGGTACGATCTCGCTCGTAGTTCTGCTTCTGCAAAGACGAGTCGACATGCCAGCAAGACGAGGGGGAGGCCCTTCCGCAAGATCATGGACACCAAAAGCCCCCTGCCCGCCTTGCTGAGCCGGCGCAATTCTTGTCGATCGCCTTCGCGTCAGCTCGTCGAACCGACGTGACCGCGTTCCGGCCCTGACTCATCCTCTGCAGCTCTCATCTTTGCGGAGACGCTCTTGTTTGGCACGCCGAGCGGAAGACTTGGAGTAGGTACTCATGATCAGAGCTGCCTGAGACTGTGCTTACGACTACCGCCGCGCGACAGGCAGCGCTCCAGGTTGAGGCGTGACCGGGCAAGGAGCTCGAGCCGGACACACGTCCGCGCCTACACGATGACAGACCAGCTGGATCACGATGAGCACCACATCGAGCCGAGCTTGACGACCTCGCGCTATTCGCGTCTGACCCTTGCGCCTGCAACTCGTCGGACGACCGTGACGACGACGACGACGACGACAGTCCATTTTGAGCCCATCATCTTGCCCAGTCCTGCTCTGCCCAGGATCAGCTATTCTGGCAATCCTCACGCGAGTGGATCCGCATGGACGGAAGAGACGCACGCAGACGAGGATAGCATGGCTTTGGATGAGAATACGGATAGGTTCGTATGGCCCTCACAGAGCACACTAGACGGCAAGAGATACCCACTCGCGGCGCAACCTGTACCTGCCTCTCTCCGACAATTTCAGCTCAAGCTCGGCGCGCTCACCGGCGTTCTAGAGCGCGATGTCATCACAGCCATGCCGAATGACTCCCATCTGCCGTCAGGCCAAACGACCTTGGCAACCTCTCAGCCACACGCAGAATCGCGATCATCAGGACCGCCACGCAAGCGTATGCGCGGATCATATACCCCCACGCGAGACGAGGCCAATGAGGCCTTGAGAAGTAGTCTTTATGACAGCCTGCCATCGCCACTCATCTCGCCCAAGACCGAGGATCAACAGCCCGAACTTACCTCGGCCCCTGCACATGCTCAGCGCAAGCTCGTCTCACCATCGGGAGCCGCTCCGCCCGGAGAGACCACCATACAGAGACAGATCGTCGGCGATCCCCTCGACCTGGGAGATGGTCGCGAGCTTGCTGCCTTGCTATCCCTGCCACAGCTCGTCGAGCGATTCGCCAGCTACCCCTCAAGTCTACAGTCTCACATCCTTTATTCGTTGCTGCAACGCTCTCCCATCCCCGTCATCCAGAGCATGCACGCCATCACGTCTTTCGCCCTCAAGCGCGACTTTCTCACCGATCTGCCACCAGAGCTTGCAGTCTTGATTCTCTGTCATCTCGACATCAAGTCATTGAGCAAGGCAAGTCGAGTATCTCACAGATGGCGACAACTCATCAATGGCGAAGGCAAGATCTGGCAACGTCGGTTACAAGATGATGATCTCTGGGTAGGCGGGGACAGCGAAGCGAATGAAGCCAAGTCGCTAGAACTCGGCGAGCGATTGAGCGATCAAGAAAAATTCTATCAGCTCTGGATCAATGGCGAATGGGACGAGCACTATGATCGAGAAGCTGCAGCGATACCTACCGCAGGAAAGATCGAGGCTGTCCGCCGCCCTGTCCGGGCACGCTCAGCAGATCGCGAAGATGCGCGTGAAGACCGAGCGACAGCGCAAGAGGAGTTGCGGAAAGACCTGCTGATCAGCAAACACGGTCATCCTTTCAAGCTTGTCTATCAAGAGCGAGTGTTGCGTAAGCGGCGGTGGGCGAGCGTGCAGCCCCATCGCGTCGTCTTTCCTGGCGAATCCAATGCAGTCGTCACCTGTCTGCAATTCGACTCGGACAAGATCGTGTCCGCCTCGGATGAGCATGCCATCAATATTTTTCACACCAAGACAGGTGCGCTCATCAAGAAGCTCGAAGGTCACGGAGGCGGAGTATGGGCGCTTGAATATGTTGGCAATGTGCTCGTGTCAGGCTCAACGGACCGTACCGTTCGTGTCTGGAATCTGGCTACAGGCGCATGTACGCACGTCTTTCATGGTCACACGAGCACAGTACGGTGTCTTCAGATCGTCCGACCGCAAAACGTCAACCCGGATCCGCAAGGCGAACCCGTATGGGAGCCGCCGTATCCTCTCATCGTGACCGGGTCGCGTGATTCGTATCTGCGGGTCTGGAAGCTGCCTCCCATGGATCGGCACAAAGCGTCTGATCCTTATGTGCCGATGTCACCCTCTGATCCCGATGTCACCCAAGATGTGACGACCAATGTACACCACCTTTACTTGCTCGCTGGCCATCGCAATCCCGTCAGGGCGCTGGCAGCGCATGGTCGCACACTTATTTCTGGCTCGTACGACACGACTGTGCGCGTCTGGGATCTCTTGACGGGATCCTGTCTCTTCACATTCGAAGGGCATCAGTCAAAGGTCTATAGCGTCGTGTACGATCATGCGCGACAGCAGTGTGCATCTGGCTCTATGGATGGCACGGTCCGTTTATGGTCGACTGCAACGGGCGAATGCGTGCGGGTACTGGAGGGTCACGAATCGCTCGTCGGCTTGCTAGGCCTCAGCTGCAATTTCCTCGTAAGCGCAGCCGCTGACGCTACGTTGCGTGTGTGGGATCCCATCAGCGGCGAGTGCAAGAAGGTACTCACAGCCCACCAAGGCGCGATCACATGCTTCCAACACGACGATTTCAAAGTCGTCTCTGGCAGCGATGGCTCGCTCAAGCTCTGGGATATCCGAGACGGTACATTCACGCGCGATCTTATCACCAACCTCACCGGTGTCTGGCAAGTCGGCTTTTTCAAGCAGCTCTGCGTCATCGTCGTCCAACGCGAGGGTCAGAGCGAGTATAATGGTTCGTCGCGTCTTCAACAGTCAGATACAGGCTAATGGTTGCGACAGTACTTGACTTTGGAGACGTCAGCTCCAAACATCTCCTGCAGCTACAACGAGATTCGCTCGCCTTGCGAGGCAGCACATCATCAGACTGTAGCTAATCAGCCGGCGCGTTTTTGTACTGCATGCTTGCTCGCGAAACATGTGCAGGCCACAGCCGTCTCAGCATCCTGTGTGAGCGATAACATGCGCCAATTCATCCGGTGGTTTTGACCTTGCTAGACCGCGGTGTAGGACCTATCTTCTCACTCTTGATGTGCTGCAAGTCGTCTCGACGCGCGCCGATTTTATTCTGTGTCCGAAATAGACCTGAAGTAGCGTTGGGCAAAAAAAGCGTATGCACACCTAATTGCATTCGCTCTGTCCGACTTTCTCGTGAGCTGCCTGCGACCAGCGCTGGGCGCCGCGACAAAAAGTGACGAATATGCGGCTTGAACGCATGACCCTCAGATTAATCCAACAGGTATTAGACTGAAGCTCTAACCAACTGAGCTAATCCGCCTATGCAGATCTGTGACATTTAGTCTAATATATAGTTATCATTGCACTAGACAACGTTCACCAGGCTGCAACTCTGCGACGACTGGCAGTCAAAGATGACCGGCTCACATGCAGTGCCCGTCTAAATGCGACAGAATTAGTCGTCCGTGCTTGCAATCGACGCATTGCCTGCCACTGTACCATCTGGCGGATTCCTGAGACCGCTACAGCACCGAAAAGCCAAGCTTTGCAAAACAGAGACCCATTTGTATCGGCAGCTGACATGACCAGCATCTCAGATCAGCATTGTCAAAATGTTAATACTTGACTGGCCCCCTTTCATCAGCAGCAAGGCTGGCTGCACCGTGATAGACTTCGTGACATCAGATCAAACAGCTTGACGGGCAGGCGCAGCTGTCGGCGTGGCTATATTTCAGACGTTTGGCAGCGCCTTCACACGCCAACGATCGGGCGTAGCGCTTGCGCGACTTGTGCACTTCAGAGAACAGCGAGACCAGCGCGAGTCGCTCTTGCTCTTACGACACGCTGAGCAAACTGCACGTCTTCGTCATATACGAGCTTGACGTGACTAGGCCACGCAGTGACCGCTCGGAGAGATCTGCATATGTGAGTATTCCAATCGTAGCTGGAAGATCTAAGCGCCAGACGCCGGGCCTGTTCCGTGGCAGGAGGGCACACGCGTTCTTTGAGGGCGCTGAATTAGGCATTACGAATACGAATTTCCCTGACGTGTAGTGCAACGACATCTGCTTTCGGTATTATAAGGTTCGGCATGAGGACTATGCTCACGAGGGTCAATGGACGAAATGTCGTTCTTATGTATGCAATCAGGTTTACAGTGTATAACAAATGGATCGTCTATGCGAAGCGGTGCATGTTTGTCAAGCGCCTGGTTCATGCAACCTTTTGCTTCTTGACGCGCTTGGGGCCAATGATTGCGTACTCTTCGGTATCCTCTCGTTCGGCGCATGTGCCGAATATCGAGTCCCAGACGCGAGTCTGCTTTCCATATCTGTGAAATTGAAGTCAGCGATGGTCCCGATGATGATCTGGAGTGCGTACGACTGTCCACTACGTCCGTATCGATGATGCAGATCGTGGTCTTCCACGCACAATTCGCCACCCCACCACCACAAAAAGCTGCTGGCGAGTGTTGGGAAGTATACGCGGACTCCAGAGTGACCGTAGATCTCGGTAAAGATGAGGACGCATGAGATCGGCCAAAGATCGAAGAAATCGAAGCCGGTAGATAGATACGCAATCGTGGGCACGATGAAGAGCTCGATGACCTCCTGGAAGCTATCTGCTTGGATGGCTTGCACGGGCGTAGGATGCTTCGCGGCGTGATGGCCAGAATGGATGTTCCAGAGCCACTTGACTTGATGGCAAGAACGATGATAGCAGTCTGAAAGCTTTCGGTCAGCATCATTGCGGCAGCTGATAGATGCGGGCGCACAGAAGGCATAGTCAAGAATGACTTCGAATGCGAAAATCTTGAGTGGTAGCCACACCGACAACGTGGGCGCGACAGTGCGATCGTAGCTGTATGCGAACAGGCCGACGACACGGAAGATCAAGAAGATGACTGCGCCTGTAGCTAGTCGCATCTATGAAGAGGGTCAGGACTGCTAGAAGACAATGGTAGGATGGGCGTACATGGCGCTTGTCTGAAATATGGTCGCGACCTCTGTTTTCTTGATCGAATGTGCCATACTCGAGCATGTAGTTGTGGAACCGCTTGATCGTCAAGGCTGCGAGCAGGATGAAGAAAAACGCATATGGTACGAAAGCTGCGACGGGGTGCCAGTGCAGGTCGGGAAAGACTTTGTAGCTGATCCATTGCATCAACATTGGTGGTATGATGAACTTCCACACAAAGATGTGCTCGCTGATGTTGTTGACGACAGGCACTGGCTGATCCGCCCACTTTGTCGACTTTGCGTACATCTCTGGCGGTCCTAGACCAACACGTAGGACGAGTCCTGCGATAGTGTCAGCATATTGGTGCTGTCATACGATCGTCGAGGCGTACCTCGGAGACCGCCGATCTCGTTGACTCGCTGTTCCCAGGTATGTGGTGCACGGCGTTCGACGGCATTACGCTTAGCTGCATCTTCGGCAGAGAAGTGTGTCGACACCGTCTCTGGCACTACTTCGCTTGCAGTCTGCTTTGCGTGTGCGGTAGAATTCATCTTTGCTCGTCTCTCGCAGCAAGATGCAATTGTGGCAATCGTGAGGCAGATGACCGCCTCTTATACAATGTCACGATGGACGTGCAGGGCAATCTTGGCTCCAGCTTCGCCGCGGCTGATTGCGTCTCAAAATGGCAATCGCCGCCACCGGATATGATGAAACTATTGACGTGTTGGAGAGCTAGCAGCTTCCACGCCCATTGAGATCAACAGGGGCTGCAGGGCTGTGATCAGCCGCCTTCGCATGGGCGGGGCAGCATATTGGCCGGCTGTGTATGTACCTTTGCCACGTACTGACCCTGATCAGCGCTCGGGCCTCTTTGTCTGACATCGCTGGCGCGTCCCCTGCAGCTCATCGACAGTACTGCCGGCCATCAGACCGTGATGCAGGATGATCTTTCGATGTCAAGGCAAGCATGCCAGCTACAGTTTCCATTGCTCTATAGCGAAATCCAGCTCGCGCGTGAACATTTCGCGCGTGAGCCCATCACGGATGCTGCAGTACAAGCGAGCTATGCAGCCATCAGCGGCGGGAAGGCACGCGTTCATGTTCAGGGCCATTCGTTCGCCATCAGCGGTTTCCATGCAGGTTGGCGTCAGCGCATGTACTCTTTGCTGGCAAGTCTGCACGAGGCAGTCAGCAATGCCCCTGACGACGAGCCCCTACCTGCCATTGCAATGACGCTGCATGCAAATGACAATGGCGCGGCAGGCGTGGCATGGCCCGTAGTGCTCCCAGTGCAAGACAGAGGGAAGGCATTTTTGGCCCCTGACTTTGGCTTCCACAGCTGGCACGGCGACGTCGATCATGGACTGTGGACGTCGTTCAGAAGCTCAGCAAAACAAATCGACGATGGGCTGACGTGGCGCGCGAAGATCCCAAAGCTCTTCTGGCGAGGCGATGACTTCACACCGGCTCGCAAGCAGCTTGTAGAGCAAGCGCGCGGTCGCGAGTGGAGTGATGTTGAATCCTTACTGTGGGCCGAGCCGTCGCGCAACAAAGCCATCAGTATGCCAGATCACTGCAGATATGCTTTTCTCGCGCAGACCGAAGGCGCAAGCTATTCTGGCCGACTTAAATACATCCTGAATTGCCGCAGCGTTGTCATCTCGCATCCTCTGCATTACCAGCAACACTTTCATTCTTTACTCAATGCAACACAAGGTCCTGAGCAGAACATCGTCATCTTGCCCCACTCGTTCGACGACCTCAGCGTGACAATGCAGACCTTGCTCGCTGATAGCAGTCGCGCCGAAGCGATCGCGAATCAATCTGCCCTCGTCTTTCGAGATCAATACTTGACACCAGCCGCGACGGCGTGCTATTGGCGCGAGGCACTGCGAGTGTACGCGACTGTGCAAGCTGCGACCCCTCGGCGATCTTGGCTCAGTGTTGACTATGCTACATTTGTGCGCATCACGTCGTACTGGCATTTGGGGCTTGTCTGCATTGCTCTACTGTTGCTTTCGGCTATCCTTCTTGCTTACAAATATCGCCTCGAGCTCTTACCACGCATGCGTTTCAGCAATCGCAAGCGAGCGTACGACGCAGTCAAGACAACGGCTGATTAGCCTTTCGTCGGCAGCAACTGATCGAGCCTCGCTCGACGCGTCTCGTCAAGCTTCACGGCTCTCTGCCAGGTCGCAACGTCGAGTTCGCCCTTGCCCAGACTGAGCGACAGCAATCTGCCGTCGGAAGTGAGCAAAGTCAGACATCCGGCGAAAACAGGCAGCCTACCTTGCCAGCGTCAGTCGCAATTGCAAGTCTTCCTGGGTGATCACGCCAGAGGGCGCTGACCGTCTTTGCTCTACAAACTCGTCTTGGATGTGCTAGCAACCTGTTGAGCTTCTGATGACTCGCTAATGCACATGCGCACCTTGGAAACCGCATCGGGTATAGTGAAGCTTTGGGCACGCGCTTCGGCGATGATAGCACGAAAGGCAGCAAGATCGGGGCTTGTCGGATTGCTTGCACCCGACGAGCCGCCCTGTGGCTGTACTGGCACATTGCAGCTGATCTGTAAGAACGACTTGCCGATCGAGAGCACTAGGAAGTTGAGGTCGATATCGAGATCGAAAGACGAGAATGGGAAGATGTACGATAGCTTCTGGTCGGATATGGCCCTCGTCACAGCCTGTACGTTCTTCAGGCCGGCTTCGTTCAGCTTGCCTTCGTGCAGAGCGCGTTCATCAATAAGGACTTGTGTGCCGGGCGCGAGCTGCAACCGGCCAGCCTGCAAATTCTCGTCTTTCGACACGGGCGAATATGGCGTAGTCGCATTGAGTGCATCTATGGTCATTGGAAGCTCGACAAAGGTCGGCAGCAGGTATGCTAAGGTCTCGTGCAAGAGTTTCTCGCTTTCTCCCAGCTTGGATGACGGCAACGTCAGATTGAGTGGCAGGCTGCCTAGTGCAAGTGCGCCTCGTCGTGTATGTCTGTCTGTTCGGATGAGCACGTCAGCTACAGCGCTTGGGGTCTCACGAACGTCTTTGAGATGAGATGCAGCAGAGTCCATTCGGCCGCGATGAGATCGCCATCAAGCGCTTTGGCAATGTACGCTACCAGTGCGTCTCGGACAGCACTGCGTTGCGAAAGGCTAGGTAACGCATTTCGGATGCTTGTACGATCTACAGCTTGGTAGGCGACAATATGTAAACTCGGTATCGTAGGACCCGTCGCAGTCTCGTCTAGCGGCGCCCCAGGATCATCCAATGAACCGGGTGAAAAGCTGTTGCCCAGTAAGCCGAGCATAATCAACAGTGTAGACACTCACGATGTTCGATCGAGTATGCCAATCACCTCGACAGTGTCAGCCGCTTTGAGGCTATCGTCTGGGACGTATAACTTCAAGAGCGCAGCTTTGTGGGATGTGCCGGGTAGCGGGAATTTGCCTGACAGCAAATCTCTGCTCTTTGAGTCATCTGGGGTCAGGTTTGCTGCATTGCTGAGCACATCTTGAGCAGGTCTTAGCCAAGCCGCTTCTCCTGGTATTTCGACCGCGTAGATGAGTTGCCGTTCCCGCAGCGCGCTCGCATCGTCTTGTGGCCGCAGGTCCGTCGAGCTGTCTGAAGGCGCTTCGTCACACCACAGTCGATAATGCTCATTGCCAGCATTGTCTCGCGTCGTGGCCGCGTAGACTTCGCTGCCCAGGCCGGTGTCCTGAAGCATGCATCTGAATCTGACGAGTGAATGCTGTTCGAGCGCGTCTGTCTGATCGAGCGAAGGAATCTACATGCTACGCTATCAGGCATGTCTCAATCTAGACGATACCAGACGACTGACTTGATCGAATTTGTCTGCGAGGAGCTCTTTGAAGCGGTTCGTGACGCGCAGCTCAAATGCGTCCGTACTAGTGTCGCTATATAGGTGCTGCTTCGCCAATGCTTGGATAACATCGAGCGGTCTCGCCTGAGCATCCGCAAAGCTGGCCTCGACCATTTCGTGCTTGGCAAGGTCTCGCCGAGCGCGTCTCTCACTCGATCAAATCGATCAAAGCTTCAAAGTCTCGCCAGCCTCGTGCGAGTGCCCCATGGGCCTAGCGCTCACCATCTGGCTCAGTATCATCACCTTCTGGCTCGGCAATCAGCTCGCCAGACGGCCGCTCTCCCTTGCGGATCTGCAGGCTATCGTCAGCTACCGAGATATCGCAAGTCGCTCGCGGTCTTCATGGGCAAGGAACACGCACTGATAGCGTCTGTAGACTCGGCCGGTATTTACGTTGACCTGCATATCCATCGGATTTACGGCTCTGCTGTATGGCCTTGATTTCGTTGCCCGCGAACAAACAGAAAGAGTAAGGTTTCTTGACACACGAGTGCACCTGTCTAAGTGACTTTCCAGCCCACCGCATCTCTGAGCTCTTACCCACTCACAGCTCAAGACCACCTGCGACGGCGTGGCAGCTTTTGATGCCTTCCACTCATCGCGTCGTCTTTTGGCCAGACGACATCACGCTCGCAGGCACGCTCTTTGGGTGGCAGACCGAGCGGTGCATCGTCGTTGCTGGCGTCTCGCCAAATTCTGCAAATCTCATCATCGATGGTACAGACAACAAGAGCCAGCTGTGCGTTCTGGGTAGCGCGCACGATCAGTCTTGCGGGCCAACCGCCTCGACAAGTCGGCTCGACACGATTACCGCCGTCGTGTCTCGTACAAGCTCACCAGAGATCATGGTAGAAGGCATGAGCATCAGCCCAGTGCTCTACAAAGTCCCCAATATCCGCAAACATAGGTTTTTGTCCATGACGGCCATCAGCCTCAAGGTGACCACAGAGATGCACACGCCACAATCCGGCGAGCAGAGCAGGATGTCAGCCCGCGTCGAGAGACTGCTCAAGACAGATTTCACTGCATCTGCTCAACCAGTAGGCTGTCTCGAAGAAGCCTTGGAGCTGGTAAGCCTCGCAGCGCGCTATCAGAGAACGCGCTCACTCAACTAGGTCAATCGTGTATCTGAGATACGGAGAGATCTTGTCAGGCAGCTAGATTCCGCCGACAGGTCGAATGCGATGCCGCGTATATCTCAGCTGGGCAGATGGAGTGGCTTTCTCTCGCCGTTCGCTGCTCTCTCAGCGATCGTAAAGCAGCTTGCGACGACGCCCCTGCCAGGAACAAGCCATGCTATGTCGGATCTGTCGGCTGTTGTTCAGCAGCTCGATACACGCTTGGACCAGACATCATCATGGCTGACCGAATACCGGATCATGAGTCGACTCGAACGCGCTCACATGCGAGAAGCTCGAGCGCGGTACATCAAGTAAGCTTTCGGATCCCTACACTGCTACCTGCTAACGATCACAGTCTTTACAACATGATCTGGCTGGTCACAAACGATGTCATCATAGGGCTTGCAGCTGGTTCGTATCTTTGTGAGAATGCGGACCCGCTGGCATGCAGCCTCAGCGCACTGTTGCAGGCACGTCTCACTCTCTTCCGAGATGCGGCGCTGATACCCCGCATAGCGCTGGGCGTTCACGAGCGTCAAGGCGATCTTGCTTTGGCTCACCGACTGGCCAGCTGGACTCAAACTCAACAAGGAAATGGGCCAATTCTTCTGCGAAGCATTTCTCTACTTTACGGCCGCGTGGGAGACAAGTAAGTTGCCCCTTGCTGAGCTAGCCATCTTCTGACGATGACTAGCGGCACTGCGCTTCATCGAGTACATACTGCCATCGGTCATCTTTCTGACCGGGATGGGTGGTTTCCTGGGCGCTACCACGATTTTGTCTGCATTCATAGACATTATAGCAGTCGGTACTGTGCATCTATATCTGTTCTACCTCATGGCGGCGAACATATATCGATGGCATTTGCACATCATTTTCTCGCTCTTCAACATCTTCAGGGGCAAAAAGCTCAATGTGCTCAGAAATCGGATTGAGCCTGCGGAGTACGATCTCGATCAGCTTCTGCTCGGCACGATCCTGTTCACGCTGGCCGCCTTCCTCTTCCCCACCGTACTCGCGTTCTATCTCGTCTTTGCAAGCGTAAATATCTCGCTGGCATCTGATCAAAGAGGGCTGATGTAGATAACAGTGTCGATTAGCGGTCATCGTGTGCTATGCCGTGCTTGAGACCTCCATCGTCTTCCTCAACCACTTTCCACTCTTTGCGATCATTCTACGACTCAAAGATCCAGCCAGATTGCCAGGTGGGTTTCGTCCGTCGCTGTCATAGTGCGTGCTCATGCACCGCGCAGGCGGAGTACAATTCGAACTGTTACGGAGAGGCACATTGCGGATCAAAGTGAGTTGAGCATTCGGTCACTCGATAATGCTGACAGGCGGAAAGAACAAGCCAGTGTCGTATGCCGACGTCTTCGGCCAATACGTGACGCTCTGGATGGGATTGTTCGACCACTACTCGCCTCTGCCTCGTAAGCTGCTGTCGGGAGACATGATCAAGCCGATCGCTCGACCTCGTCTGCGCCATGCTCGTCCACGTGAGAACCAAAATAGTAAACGTTGATTGCATCATTGTGCAGGACCTCGTCTCGCCGAGGTGGCTGTGAGCCCTCCGTCAAGCTTCCAATTTGCTCGTGCGTGAGCGCATTGCAGAGCTTGTTCCCTTTGGCATCCTCCCATACGAGACTCTCGTACGTAGCCAGCTGGTATCGACCCATCGCTAGGTTGCGACGATCTGCACCCCAAGCTTGACCGGTGACATAGATAGCGAGGGAGTCCATTTCGATTCGCTCGACTAAGACTTCGGATCGCCTAGTGACGTCGTGGTCAACGAGCTGTAGATGCGGAGGCCATGCTGACACGCGGGTATCGATGAGCCAGAGGCTGCTCGACGTATCTGCGCCCAAAGTGCAAATGATGAATGCGATTCGCCCGTTCTCAACGGCGACATCGGTGAAGCGAGCCTCAAATCCAGCAACAAGTACGAAGACGTCGTCTTCGCGGTCTTCGTGAATGGCCGCGCTATAGGCTTTCGTCCAGAGCATGAGCTTTGCCGTGTGCGGCGAATGCAGACCAATGGCGGCCATCACGCCTTGCGGATTTAGATCATGATGAATGCCCATCCAGTATTGTTCGAGCATCGGCGAGGGTGGTAGCCATGAAATCTTGCGAACCAGATCGCCCGAGTGCGAGTAGATATCGAGACTAGTCCGTGCTACGAAGATGTGATTCTCATCGAGCTCGACATAGCCGAGCCATTGTCGCAGGACTCGCGGTCCTGGCTCGGTCTGCTGCAGTGCATATGTTTGCAATGTTCCGCGAGACAGGTCGACAAGCTGAAAAGCTGTACCGGTGGCAGCCACGACTTTCGGGTAGCGCGCCTTGAATGCATGCACGCCAGCGGGTAAGTCGAGGCTAGCATGTGCTTGCCATTCCGGACGACGGGACGGATAGATGGACGGTTTCGGTGGGAAGTGTAGATTGGCTGCACTCTTCGAGTAAACATGCATTGCCTAGTCAAGTAGCGCATCAGCTGTCACAGACGTTTCTAGACAGACAAGCATACATTTCGCCCAGCAGCGAGGAACAAATGGCCTTCCGAGTACTCTACATGGTGAGCTTGTCTACGACCTTCGATAGAAGGCGCAATGATGATGTTGTCTGCTACGTCGCCATTGGGTCGGACTCTGACAGCGTAGGGATCTGAGTAGACGGCAGTCGCGTCTTCGGCAGCCAAACTGTCCATCTTGAACCTGGAGACATTGGCTGGGACTGGAAGGCTTAAGCGTGTATGACGCCCAATCATCCAGTTGCGGTCTGTCCGCCGCCGAATGTGAGCGAAAGTTCGCCAAGGCATCTGTGCACGCTCGCAGCCTTTGTAGGCTTTATTACGCATGGATGTGCGCTGAAGTCTGCAAGCCTCTTCGATGGACATACGATCTTGCGAGACCAATGGTAGCAAACCAGAGTCTCCGGCTGAGCATGGCGCGAGGTAGCCTAGGTTGCTGGCCAGGCCGCGATAGATAGCGTCATGCTGGTCTATGATCTCGGCGAATAGGCGACAAACCAGCGCTAGTCGGCTCAGTGTATGCAAGGAGTCGACTGCTGCAAAGACATGTAACAGAATCTCCGGCGGTAGCTGATCCATAGTCTCTCAAGTTCACTCGACGCAGAGAGAGCGAGGGAGACCGTGCTCGACAGTCCTGTGGCCAGTGATGTACGCGATAGTGCAGAGTGTGACATCACACCCACCGACAAGTTTGTCGATATCAGCGCCTGGATGTACGCAGCGCGAGCGATGAGGCCTTTGCCCAGAGTTGGCACTGCGTCTGTGCGATCTTTCCATCACAGTCCTGTGGCTCGCAGCACTGCCGGCGCAGAGAAGACTGGCCGCGGACTCGGCGCAGCTCGCAAGCGGATCCCGCCCGAGCTCTTGCCGTGAGGAGCTCGCATGCGATGGAGCCCGTGGCTGATCAGACGGTCCGCTATTGGACAGGATGGGCGCCGCTGTTGGGCTCGCACTCATCGGAGCAACCTTCGCCCTAGGCCACCACATGATGAAGGACGATCTCAGGCACTTGCCCGGTATGCGAGCATGTATCGATCAGGTGACGCTTAATTGACAAGCTCTGCGCTATAGAACATGAGCAGCGCAAGATCAAGAAGCAGCGTGAACAAGACGGCTAGGCACAACAACACGAATCTCATGTACAGATCACCAGAATGCTAGTATGCCCACTGTCCTCCGCAGTAGAGACACCATCGCGAGGCCGCCAGCAGGACGTTGGCGATCGTCGTATCGGTTGCGTGGGGTGTGAGGGACTTGACGCCGCATGAGCAACAGGTCCGCGCCGGCTCGAAGCCGATCGCGCTGAACGTGACTGAGCAACGATCTGGTGCGCACAAATAAGTCTTCCGGCCCATGCCGAGAGTCGAGGCACTCACCCCATAGATGTCCGTTTGCGCACTGTAGAACCCATCTGCCTTCCGCTCTGAGAGGTTGCGAACACGCAAGACATGAGAGGCCTTCGTCACGTTCTGTAGAAGCATCCGAAGCGTGCGCACTCCTTTGAATCCGTCGCAGCATCGCGCGACTCTCGTCATCTTGAGCATCGTAGTGTTGCAAAAGGTGAGAAAGCACGGCGATGATAGACCTGTATGAGACAGTCCGGGCAGTGTTGAGGAAGTCTGCAACTCGCTCAAAGTAGATGGCGGTACCGCCCACCTAGGGCAGCATACCATCAGCACTCACCTGTTTGAGACAAGCCAGCGCGTACTTGAAGACAGGTGAAAAGGAGTAGAGTGCAGCGAATGCGTTGTAGCTCAAGCGACGTCCACAGAGCCTCGCGTATGCCATGTGCAGGCGTCTCCGGCAACTTGCGATCGTCGAGAGGCGGGTCTACGATCTGCGCGGCCACAGTGTCCAGTGACTTCATGATATGATCGTCCAGGACATGCAACTTGAGAAAGGCGAGCAACGGACTCGCAATCGCGCTCGAGCTTGCTCCGGTCAGCGCTGCACGCCTTCGTTATCAGCGCATTCCAAGTGTGGCCAGAGAGACGCACGAGATGTAGCACATGACGCCTCCAGAAAGTGCGCAACTAGCGTATGGAAGGATTGTGTCGCTTGGGGCAGGACAACGAGCGTTGCAACCGGATTCGCACGCGTCTTATTGATCATCTTTGCGATCGACTCATTCTTGTACGCCCACGCCTCGAGGCTACCGCCGCTGCACACGTCATAGCCGATCGTACGAGCGCGCATCCGAGGTAAAGTGTTGTCGAAGATGCTCAATCCAGCGAAGAAATGGCGGTGGGTTCGGGTCACCGTGGCACTTTCGTGTACATTGACAGTCGGACCGTTATGAATGACGTCTCCGCTTGCGCTCCTTAGATCAACCTGCTGAAACCCCGAGTCTACAGCGACGATCAGGAGCTTTTCTTGCGAAGGGACGGCAGCGCAGCAGGGCGAAAACGCCGAATGGATCCGTCCCTCTGTATTTCGAAGCAGAGGGACTTGCCTGGTCGTAGCGCCAGCTGTCTTGCCATTGGCGATGGCAATGAGCTCCGCCACACTGCACATAGTGACAGCGAGCTGGTCGTGGCACCAACGAAGCGATGTCGGTACCTCAGTCAAAGTGACTAGCATGACGATCTCGACGATGTGTTTCGGTGTCGAGGATACCTGTTGCTCGCTGGTGACCGTGAGCAAGCCGACCTCGTCATCGGAGGAAATCCACGCCAGCTTGATGTTGCTCTGCTCTAGATCTACCGAGGCAGGTGATCAGCTCTGCTTGAATGATGTATTGCCGTGCGTACCTGCATCTACTCGCCATGCTTGCCAACTGAGAAATGTTATCCAAGCGCTGTCGCGAATGTGCACGCGCTGCTCAAGACACGGCCTTGCATCCTCGCCAAGCCTATACTTGTATGTCAACATGAGATCAGGCATCACCAGGCTAAACATCCGACGAACCTCCAGAGCGTAAGCTGGCCTGCCCGGTGGCCTAGCGCGAGGAGCGAGTAAGTTTCGAGCGTTGCAGGATTGTGCGTGTTTTCAGACCAAGCAAGACCTGCAAGCGAGCCGTCGGTAACACACGCGCCGGAGACGCTGTAGCTTACTTTGTGTCGAGTTGCTCTGCGCGGCTGCATCTGCAGGACTCGTTGTGATATGTTCACCAAGCAATATGTCCGTGAGATCGCATGTCTGGTATCTTCATTCAGTTACATGGCCACGGTAGGGTGACAAGTATCTCACATCGGTCCATTGAGCATTGTGAGATCGTGATAGCGGCTGGTAAATGCATACTTCACCATTATTGGAAAGCAGCGCGACGGCATTGCTGCGGAAGCATATCAGCGAATGGTGCAATACTCGAGCTCATCTCACCTAGCGAGCTGTCCGATACCACTAGGGCTCCAGGCGAAATCCACCCAGAGGTGACCGAGCGTTCCTGGACAGCCTAGCGGGGGAGCATCCACCGAGCTGGCCGGCCACTCGCGAGGAGGATCAGGCATGGGTAGAATCACGTGGAAGTGGTGATCCGCATCGAGTGAGACCTGTATTGAGTCTGATGCCAAGGTCCGTTGTCGCTTGGTCCCTTTATGGAGCATCGTTTCGGATGCTTTGCGGGCGCGTAATGCTATAACACCCGGCGGTGCTCTGGCACGCACCGGCTGTGCATGCCGACGCTGAGCGGAGGAGAAAGTCCAAGAGGGTGTCAAGATGTGCAAATTGGCGTGATCCAAGAAGCCGAGCTGAAGGCCATCTGAGCTCCACTTGAGCTTATTGCAAGAATTGAAGTTCAGGTCCAGTGACAGTGGCAGCTCGAGGCTGAGCAAGGGCTCGACGGTGAGCGTATGATCGTCAGCAGAGGCACGGATGCTCTCTGCCCATAGCTGTTCGTCCGTCTTTGAGCCAAAGATCATCTCTTGTACGATCGCGCCCTTGGCTCGAGCTTGCGGTCTCGGTTGAGGACGATTGGGCAAGCGTATGCCCGGCTTGCGCTGCGTCGTATCGCGCGCAATGCTCTGAGCATCTCGAGCTGCATCTGAGGGGCTAGCGTCCGCAGGTGGCTGCACGGAAGGCTGAGCGCTCTCTGCTTTGGCGACTCTCTTTCTGATCGACTTTGCTGCGGGTGCAGGCTCAGGTGAGGGGCTCAAGAGAGCATTGATAGCTCTGTCTATGTCATCCCATTCGCTGGAGGGCTTGATCGTTGCCTGCAGCGTCGACATGGCTCGCTGATCATGATGACATCGTCGGGCGTGCTGCTCATGGCGTGCATTCGCGACTCGTCACGCACCGCAAAGGCGTTCACTCGTCATCGGTTCGACGATCATGCGAGCCTCAACGACCTGCATGGTCAGCATCAGTGATCGATCAAGCGAGTGGCCATACTCATGACGACAGGCTTTTGACAGAGAGCGATCTCCGTGACGGCCCGGCATGCTCGAGCCAATCAGACATGGAGTAAAACCGGCCTACTGAGTCTCTCTGCCCAGCCAGTGAGCAGGCAGTCGATGCTTCAGATCCAGAGGCGGCAACTGAGCGATGATTCTCGCAAGAAGATCGAACAGGCAAGCCAGCTCGCCTTTGCAGCCAAAAGTCACGTCAAGCTGACTGATGCGATTGGGCCGTGCAGGCCGTGGCGGAGAAGCCGCTCGTCGTCTTCATGAAAGGCACGCCAGACTTCCCACAGTGTGGCTTCAGTAGGGCGGTGGTACAGATACTAGAGGTCCAGGGTGTGAGCCCGGACTCGATGAAGACGTACAACTGTCTCGAGGATCAGGAACTGAGGGAGGGCATCAAGGAGTTCAGCAGCTGGCCCACGATCCCACAGGTCTACATCAAAGGAGAGTTTGTGGGCGGCTGTGATATCATGCTGGGCATGCACCAGTCTGGCGAACTCGAAAAGGTACGCTCGCTCGCTGCGACACGACGCTTTTTTGATTACCATCAACTTACACGAACGACAGATGCTACAGGAGCAAGGCGTCGTCAGCAAATCGAGCTCAAGCTCAAGCTCGAGCGAGACTGCGTCTGCATAGCCTATGCTTATTGTACCGAAAGTGCATACGAGTCTTTCTCGTCTTGTCCGTCGTGAACCCGAACATCGTCATTAGCATTGATAGTATAGAACCTCGGACCAGCCTAGCCACTGCTCAGAACGGTTTCGATGAGGTCGACGTCGAGCCAGCTACCCGTCTTCGGATAGGCTCGCCCTCCCTCATGGAAATGTCGCCGCTCACATGGTCATGGTGGCGATGGGGCTGAATGGCCCTTGCGCCTGACCGATCGGAGAGTCATCTCTTCCTCACCATCAAGGCGCTACTGTGCTTCTTCGACAGTGCTGCCTGGAAGGATCTCGATATCGCCAGCTTCGGGGACGGAGCCTCGCGTGACGGTCTGACCCTTTGCCTTTAGTATTTCCTCTATCGTCCTCGTCTGACCATTGTTGGTGAGATCCTCCGAGGAGAACCAGCCTAGATGATCAGCAATGAGATGACTGTGATGACAAGCAATCAGCCTGGCCCGAAATCTCGGCTCAAGGCAGAACTTGCCGCGTATGACACTCGGGACATTCGATGAGGACGATGCCGGTCTCGTAGCTCCTCTTGCTGAACTGATGCGTCGAGCGATGACGGGTCGTACAGGCGGGAGCGGTGCATGTAAAGGTGATCTGCAGCTTCGGCTCGACTTTGCCCAGCGTTTGGCCCTTGGGACCTGATTCGTCACTCTGACGCGGGCTCGATGACTGCCGGCAGGTGCAAGCACTCGCAAACTGTCTTCTTCTGTCCGTCGGCTGCCCTTTGATGATGGGCAATGACTCGCGAGGTGAAGTCAGGTTGTACAAGCTCGTCGAATTGGACAGCCTCGATGAATCCCCATAAGCCGTCTGTCTGCCGAGCGGTGCAACTGAAGGAGTCGAGCAGAAGCGGGTCCAGAGAGTCTTGCCGAGGCCAAGCTGCCATCTGCGTGTCGCCATTGACTGACTGCTGATCGACAATGCCGGCACTGCCGTCGACGACAAGACGAGTCGCGCCTGCCTGCCAGCACGGTGCAAGAGAGGAGCAGGAGGAGGAGGCAGGATGTCAGTGAGAGGCAAGGAGGATCTCTACCTGATCCTCGACATCTCGCCCTCCCACATCAGCGCCGGCCTCGGTCTGGGCGATGTCCTGCAGCGGCCACGTCATGTCAGTCTCGAGCTTGACCTTGCGCTCTGTTTTGTCGAGCGACTGCTGAGTGCTGCTGGGGTGCTTGACAGACGATCAAGCTGCTCGCTGGCTTACCAACAGATCTGCCGAGTTGGACATGGCAGGATCTACTGGTGGGACAAGCGTTGGACGACGCCATGTCGTCTGACAGCACGCTCACCCTCATCCGTCCATTCGAGCACATCCTCGAGCCAGACTCTGCGCCCAGGCAGACAGCCGGCATGACGGCAGAGCAAGCCAGCCTGACTGCACTCGAAGCCATACTCCAACACCTCATGTTCGGTCTGCTCTCCATGCCTGCGCGTCCTCTGGGCTATCACCTCATCGTCCTCCCTCCGGCCGGTCTGCCGTACTCCTACTCCGAAGGCATCACCCGACTCGTCTTTGAACGACTCTATCTACCCGCCTTGGCTATCTACGAACGCCCTCTCGCCCAGCTCTACGCCCTTGGATACACGAGCGGCTTGGCCGTCGATATCGACGCGACGGGGACAGAGATCAACGTCGTTTTGGACAATCAGGTCCAGCCACAAGCAAGGGTACGGTGTCCGATAGGTTCAGATGACTGCGATCGCTATCTCGCAGATCTCTTGCTCCGAGCAGATCCACAGCTACCTGCCTTGCTCGCCCCAGACGGCGAAGTGAGCCCAGGAGGGATACAAGCAGCCCTCCTCGCCATCGTCAGCTCACTCAAAGACCAAGACGCCATCAAATTCGCATCGGAGCTACTGGATCTCAATCACGTTGCACCTGGCATGTCAGAGGCAGTTCAATCCGCAGCCGTCACAGAGGGGACAGAGGAAGGCGAATTCGATATCGCTCGTCTTGTCGCGCAAGGCAAAGTAGACGCACTCGTACGAGGAAAGACATCTGGCGAAGCAACACCATCCACAGAAGACGTCGTATCTGTACCTCATCCTCTCCGGCCAGATGGCCCCGAGATCAGCATTGGACCCATCCGACATCGATATGCTGAGCCTCTCTTCGATCCTTCTCTGATCATCAACGATGGTCCATCGGCGAGCACAGGTCAGAGCTTGTCGCTACAAGAAGCTGCCGCACTCTCTGTCAGCTCACTCGAGGCACCCATGAGGCCTTCTGCCTGGGATATCGTCTGTGTCACGGGGCCACCGAGTCGCATACCAGGTCTGTCCGTGGATCAGCGCATGTCTTCCTTGCTTACAGCTTCGGCAGGCGTCGCAAGTGCTGTCATCAAGGCAGCCAGCCAGTATTTGATCGATCCAGAGTCCGGCTCAGACACGCAAGCTCGCGTTGCGCGTCTGGGCAAGATCCCAGACTATTTCTCAGAAATGAAGGACCACCCAGATCTGGCAGCCTACCTCGGCGGTGCAATCCTTGCAAAGGTAGGATCCCTGGCGGCGCACTGATCGCTGAGCTGACCTTCACTACAGATTACCTTCTCGGCCAATGTCGGCGCGTATCTGAGCAAGCAAGACTACAATCTGAAAGGGCCGGCGATTGTCAAGCTGCTCGATCCGGTCAATTGATAGTAGACAATGCGTGCATGTAGAGAGAAACAACGACAATGTCTGTACATCGATTGCTCGCAAGCGCCTCATTTACTCTGCCGTGCCCGCTGCCTGCGATTCGAGGGCGTCTGGACCACACCCACGCTACCTCCTTGTAGTTCGTCCAGCGCTCCTCCACCGGCATCAATCTTATCACGGGCAGTGAGTGCGAACATCAGGTCGCGAAGCTGCTCTTGCAGATCGGTCACCTGGGCTTGCAGCTCCTGGGTCTTGTTCGCCTGCACTTGCTCGCGTTGCTGTGCGCCAGTGAGGTTGGCGAGCAAGCCTTTGTTCTGCTCTCGCTCACTTGCTAGATCCTTGGCCATCGAGCGCGAAAGATCAAGCGCCTTGTTCGTCCTGAGCTCGAGCCTTTGCATGTCTCGTGCGTGGTCGGCTTCGAGCTGTTTCAAGCGCGCACCGAGCTCCGTCTGCTGCTGCACAGCGCTCTTGTGAGCTGCCTGAGCGGACTCGATCCGTTTGAGCAGCTCTCTGCGCTCAGATTCCCACTGCTCTGCACGGTGCCTGAGTTGCTCGTTGGCAGACTCGCGACGGCCCAGCCGCTCTCGGTAGTCGTTGAGGCGGTCCTCAAAGTACAGTCGCTGAGAGTCGAGCTGTGAGCTCAGAAGATGGGAGTACTCTACACCCATGGCCTCCATCTTTTCCTGGTTGAAATGGGCGGTGTCTGTCGGTCCTCGGCCAGTCGGTTCGTTGTGTATGGGCCCTGCGATGGACGGCAACTCGACTAGCTTGCCGTCCGTCTTATCCTGGATTAAGCGGTGTACGTAGGAGTCGCCGGCATAGTCCCAGACTCTTTGCGTCTCGAGTTCCATTGCGTACAGATGACCCGTCTCTTCAAAGTGCCTGTAGGCGTGCTTGCCTTGATAGCGGCCGCAGCCAGCATGACCGCAGATCAAGCACATCCAGAGCGATGACCCGTCACCACAATCGTCGCAGCTTGTCTTTACCGGCTGTTCTCGATCTAGCGGCTTCGTACGAGTCTGCGAGTATCGACAGACCGGACATCTAGCCTATAGTCTGAGCGCGAGTATCATTGAGAAGGCGGATTCATACCTGCTGTTCTCCCACTTGCTCAGACAATGACAATGAAACGTATGTGCGCAAAGATTGGTGATCAGCCCAGTGACGGATACATCAAGTCGTTCCAAACACAAGGGGCATGTTGGCAGCTCGTGTGTGCCTGCGACCGCAGACGGTGTCGTGATCTCACTTTCGTGATCTTTGGACATTGGGAAAGTGAACGGCGGGCTGGTCGTAGCATAGATGTCGATCGAGCGCAGGCGAACTACATGACAGACTTCGTCGTCCATCATAGCCCAATAGGGCCGGCCATTGTTATTGACGACGAATTTATCGGCCGAAGCACGATCTCTGAAGCGCAGTAATGCCATGCATCGATTCGGCATCGCGTCCCTGAGTAGCCTGATCTGACTGATCGAGTCTGCATCGCTTTCGGTGAAACGCAGAAAGTCGGCCACACTCATGACTGAGGGTATGGCCAGTACGGCCAGTGTCAGGCCGTCGCCTTGCTCTTCTTGTCCTCTTTGAAGCTTGGAAGACGCATACGCATTGCGTTCTCGCCGATAATGAGGTGCAGGACCTTCAAGGTCGAGTTGCTCGTCCTCGCGCATCAGATGGATGATGCCAAAGCCAAGATCGACCGACTGCAGGTCTTGCCGAGTAGACGCAGTATGATGCGATGAAGATGATGCAGCATAACGAACGGGCAGACCGGCACCCATGCTAGAGGCAGACGGTGACAGTGCGAGCGAGCCCTGGCCGACTGTTGAGGCGAGCGTCTCGGCTTCTGAGGCTTGGCTGATAGGCGAAAGTGGCCGGGTGCTTGTGCTAGCACTCGCCCACGAGTGCCCGCGTAGAGGCACAGGACGCGTGACGCTCGGACTCATGCTGTCGCTTTCGACGGGGCCGAGAGTTGATTCTTGCAACGCACGCTCGAGGTCTCCAATCGGTTTCGGTGAGCCCCACTCGAGCGAGATAGGACCGAATCGATAATCTAGCGTACGTAGGGGAGTGAAGACGGGCACGATCGATTCGATGGTGACCCTGCCGCCACCAGCAGGCTTGCCAAAGTTTGATCCAGATAGTGCTGCAGGCGAGAATGGCAGCGCGCTTGGGTTCAAGGGACGCGTGTTTGCGGTGCCAGAGGATGCGTACTCGGCAAAAGGCACAAGCTCGAAGGGATCCCTGGATGTGAAGGCGGCGGGCACGCTCGAGCTCTGTCTCACCTCAGCGTCGACTTCAGGAGGCAGACCCGTAGGCGTGTCGAGCGAGAGCAGGGCAGGATCTTCGGAGATGTGGCGCCCACTATCTCGTCTCTGTCTCTGAGCTAGGTGATGGTCGAACAGCTCTATACGCAGACGATATTGAGGCTCGTTTGCACCGTCGTTGCTCTTTGTCCTTTCAACGGTCTGCGGAGCGGGTCGAGCTGCTAGGCGTGATCCAGGAGCTTGTCTGCTGCTCGTACTGCCTTGTTGGTTGCTGAGCAGGGTCACTAGCGAGCCTACAGGAGGCATCAGCCTTGACGCATGCGTTGGCCGTTCACTGCCTGCGCGGACAACGACGTCAGAGTTAAAGTTCACCCAACGTTTGACGCGTTTTGCAGTTTTGCAGCAGCGCCAAGCCTTGGGATCAGGCAGCGCAGCACCAGCGCATCAACATCGTCGCAGCAGGCTCGCTTTGTGCGTCCATAGATCGTCGTTCCTGTGCCGACAGGGGCTTGCCTCACTCAGATTATAGGCTAAGCATAGACACTTCCCGGACAGCAAAAACAAAGGCCTTGCACCGCGCAGGACGGGCACGATGTCACTTCCATCGGCCAACGATGTAGCTGAAGAGCCTGCAGTCGACTCTTCGGCGCAAAAGTCGACCCGCTTCGATGGCCAGAGTGACGCGGCCGCCGTGCCCACTTCAAACACTGCCATTGATCGCACCGATTCGACTCTGAGTGACCCTCGAGGCACGGAGGGCGGCCTACGGAGACGACCCACTCGGCAAGCAAGCGCAGGAACGAGCTCGATCCCGCCACTCAAGAGGATACTGACTGAGATGGCGACACCCGAGAGGCCCATCGGACCAGAGCCGACCTACCGCGCCTCCATGATCGCCCTCGTTAAGGCATCCTGGCTCAATCTCTTCCTCGTCTTCGTACCCGTCAGCTGGGCCTTGCATTTTGCGGGCATCAGCCCGACCATCACGTTTGTCATGTCACTCTTGGCCATCATGCCGTTGGCAAAACTGCTCGGCTTTGCCACTGAAGAGATGGGCTTGCGACTCGGTCAGACCCTCGCAGGCTTGCTTAACGCCACGCTCGGCAATCTCGTCGAATTACTCATTGCCATTCTTGCGCTCATCAAGTGCGAGCTCAGACTCGTGCAAGCATCACTCATTGGCAGCATCATCTCGAACTTGCTCCTCGTGTTGGGCTGTTGCTTCTTCGCCGGCGGACTCAAGTATTCCGAGCAGGGCTTCACGCCCGGTGGCGCTCAGATCAGCACGAGTCTGCTCCTCATCTCCGTCTCTGCCTTCCTGATTCCAGTCGCATTCAATTCGACCTTCTCTGACCAGCTTGCGGATCCTCTGCAACGTTCCGACATCCTCAGCATGTCGCGTGGCCTAGCTGTCATCTTGCTCGTATGCTATCTTGCCTATCTCGTCTTCCAGATCTACTCCCACGCTCATTTATTCGATGAGACCGGCGCCAAGGTCTCACAAGGCAAGTCGACGTATGGCGATCATAAGCTATGGCGCCAGGCACCTTCTGCCAACCGCGGCTCACAGCGACTGTCGACCGATGCGTCAGTTCTCGCCGAGGACAAGACGATATCTTCAGGCGACGCCGATTCTGAGGAAGAGGGCGAGCAGATTTCTATGAACCTCGTGTCCACCATCATCGTCTTGCTCGTTGTCGCTGGTGTCACAGGCTACACCGCCGAAGTCCTCGTAGACTCTATCCAAGGTCTCACCGACGCACATCCCTCCATCTCCCAAGAATGGGTCGGCTTGATCCTTCTACCCGTCGCGGGCAACGCTGCCGAGCACGTCACCGCCGTCACTGTCAGTGTCAAAGACAAGCTGGACCTGTCCATCGGTGTTGCCATCGGCTCATCTATCCAGATCGCTCTCTTTGTGCGTGTTCTCTGTACTCATGAGCCTACAGCTCATGTGCTGTGTTTGCAGGTCATTCCGCTCCTGGTCATCATCGCCTGGGGCCTTGATAAGCCCCTGAGCTTACTCTTCAGCGAATTCGAAAGCGTGGTCGTTTTCCTAGCAGTTCTCATGGTCAACAGTACGATAGCAGACAGCAAGGCAAATTGGCTGGAGGGCTTCCTCTTGATCGCTTTCTACATCGGCATCGCCGTCGTGTTCTGGTACTATCCAACCGGCACGACACCTCAGGATGTTCTGCTGGCGTGCACCTAAAAGCCGTTCGTGCGAGCAGTATATAGTCGTTGCAAGCGTTGTATGGATGTACAGTGTGTATAAATAACAGAGGCTTAGCTAGCCTATATGAATAGCAGAGGTTTAGCTGGCTTGCCACGCCTCGTCGAAGCCTAGGCCGCTGCGGTCCCAGTCGGCAGGCTCCTCGTCGTTCAGGCACCATCCGATCGCATTGAGATGTAGTCCGGCCGCCTGTCACGCGTTCAGCTCCGATAAGTCTGTAATTAGCGCGCATGCTCACTCGAACGAAGCACGAGCCATCAAGGATGTCGCTTCCAGGTAGCGAGCACTTGTAGATTCCAGGCGGACTGTGCCCAAAGAGCGAAGCAGCGAATGCAAGAGATCGGATCGCTTTCGAGAGGTGCTCATCAGGATGGGTCGCAGCCGCAGCGATCAGAGAAGGCCACACTGTGCCCGCTGATTGGTCAGCGATGGCCTCCGATGGTGGCTTTGGAGTATTGCTGGCCCGCATCAACACATCCACGATATGAAGCTGCGGTCGACCTCGAGCGACCCAATATGCAACAAGCATCCTGAATGAACACTCGAGGACGGTTATGCGTGAACTCGGGGAAAGCACTTCGAGCATGCTTGGTAAAAAGAGCATAGAGTTGAGTCCGTGCATCAAGAAGAAATCGCATCTTGTTGGCTGGCCAGGTCGCGAGACAGCACTCTCGAGCAGTGTGGCTATCCAGATGAGCTCTTCAGCTCGCATGACGATCTCTTCCCATCCTCCATCCGAGTCAATGATCCATTCGGCGCACCAGGCGTTCAAGGCTTTTGCCCGGTTATGAAGGCAATCGTCGAATTTGTTCTTGCTCTCGTAGCTATTCGCTTGGCCAGCTCGTAGCCTTGGATCTTCTGACATGTGGTCGATGATAGTCAGGCCACTGAGACCCTCCTTCGGGACTCTGTGGATTCGCGGCAGACGTTGCGCAGTAGCTACGAAGGAGACCACTGATGGCGATGCTCGCGCTGCCAATGGTCTCAAACCGGTGGCGAACGAAGAGGCAAACGTCAAGAATGGCGATTTCGATGCTCGCGTCGACATTGCCTTCAATAAGGGGGCAGCCTGAGGTGAATGCACACAGCAAGCCGCGAGACCTTCCGCAGTCACTGCATCCAGAGCGAATTCGATGCCAAAGCCGGTCAAGATGAAAGGATGCCAGGCGCCCGAGAACCAACGGATGAGCATCTGGCCCTGATCGTCTTCGAGTACGTATCGCTCTATGCAGGCGGGACCGCCTAGCTCTCGGCACTGCGTTATAAAGAATTGCAGGTAGCGACTGTAATACGCCTCTCTGCCGAGAAAGTCTCTCCAGTTCTCTTCGGTGATAACGACGTCTTTCAGAGGAAGCATAGGACGCTGTACCGCCTTGCAGCGCTCATAAGTCGCCTTGATCTGCTCGGAAGTCGCGCCGAGGGAGTAGACTGTCAGGATGGCGTGCGCAAGATGATTGTGGAAGCCTTTGTCGTTGAAGAAGCAGTGAAACTCGGCGTGGTTGGTGGTGAGCAGACCCGCTGATAGTGCAGCCGTTTCGTGCGTCACGCCGGGCACGCCCAAAATGCCAGCACGCGGAAGGCTGACCTCGCCGTAAAGCGAGATTGGATCTCTGGCCATGAATAGATCGATGCTTGCACTGTCCTGATCTCCCGCATCATCATTGTCGTGTGCATCTGTGGCATCGTCTGCAACTCCCATTGACTTTGCAGCCACGCTCGTCGTTTCTAGTGATGCACGCGGAGTCGTCTCTGCCTCGTCGACAATGCTTTCGCCCGGTATCTGCTCAGCCGCAGTCGAACCTTGAGCAGCATTTGCAGGCTCTCCTGGCTCGCTCTCCTGTGTCTCCATTGGTTCGCGACCAGGGAGCCAGGCGTCAGGCTTGCTTCGGAATTTGGCTCAAGCACGTCAGGTGACTAGATCACTCCGTTCATCAATCAGATCTTATCGAGAATATCAATCTCTATCGATCTATCGCGGCGAGGTTCGACACTCCGCAGATCGCAGACGCTTGCGCGGTTTCAGCGGCCAGCCTTCGACGCGAGCTCGATCAGGGCGACGGTCATAGCACATATGGCGCTACCATATATTCAAGGTCAGCTGTCGGCAGTCCGTAGTACAGTCGACGGCATCTTTGCCAACCTCTATCCTAAGCTCTCAGCTCCACACATCGATCTACACGGGAAAAATGTCGTCATCACAGGCAAGCGATCTGTCTAGCACATCACGTAGAGCCTTAGAGACACTGACACTGTCATCAGGTGGTAACAGTGGTATCGGACTCGAGACGGCTGTGGCACTGGCTTCCATGGGCGCCAATGTCATCATCGCCTGTCGCAACCCGGAACGTGCGATGGCTGCCGTCAAGGACATTCAGAGGCGCACAGGCTCTAGTTGCGTCGATTGGATGCAGCTGGATTGCTCCTCCCTCACGAGCACAGAAGACTTCTGCAAAGCGTGGAAGACTCGCAAAGACTCTCGGATTCATTATCTCATCTTGAACGCTGGCTTGCTCAACAAGACCAAAGTCCTCACCGGAGACGGCCTTGAGTCGACTTACCAGGTCAACTTTCTGAGCGGCTTCTTGACCGCTCTCCGATTGCTGCCTTGTCTGGCAAAAGACGCGCGTATCGTGTCCACCGCGAGCATGGGCTGCACGTTGTCCGATGTCCTCAAAGCTGACAACGGCAGCTCAAGTGATTGGCTGGACAAATTTGACGCCGGACAGCCCTTCTCGGCTTTCACGGGCTTTGCATTGTATGCACGCTCCAAAGCCGCGCAAGTCGTCTTCACGCAAGAACTCCAGAAGAAGCTCGATCGTCATCCTGACACGCGAAACATCACCGCACACTGCTGTCATCCAGGCAAGTCCGGATGCATCCTCCTGCATTCTGACGCATAACAGCCAGACAGGTACTGTCAAGTCTGAGATCTGGACGCAGGAGACGACAGTTTCGGCGGCCGGTGTCATCAGTGCTGTCAACGTCATTGGCATTACCGCCGAGCAAGGTGCCGTCACGAATGTGTTTCTGTGCACGTCGGACAAGCCCTTGCAGCCAGGCAGCAGAGGTCGGTTCTGGGACCAGACAGCATTGCGCTGGTCGCCCGGCTGGATTGTCAGCAGAGACCACACTGCCCTCTGGCAAAGCTGGCTGAGGGATGCCAGGATTGACAAAGATCCTCTGACTTAGCGTTTGTGCTTTATAGACGTAGAATCAGCCCGATTGTTCCTAAGCAATGCATCAGCTTAGCAACCGCCGGACTTGCTTGCCTTCGATGCCAAGGCTCGCCACGGCGACGGTACAGCAGATGACGCCTAGAAAGATGAGAGCCTGTCTCATATTGTTGGGCGGGGTGTCGTCAGGCGATGCACGCATAGCATTCATGATCAGTATGAAGACCACAGAAAGGCCTCAAAACAGGCTGCGTCAGCGCATGAGGCAGAGCTCTATGACGAGCGTACCATTGGCACCCAGATAGAGAAACGAAGACCCCGTCTCTGGCCGCATAGCCGCAGAGGTGACCTCTGCAGAGAGCTCAAGCGCAGTAGGCAGCAAGACAAAGGCAGCTACTCCGACCACAACGCTGACGAAGTAGATGCCAGCTTGGTTGTCTCGTTTGACGACAAAGATGAAGGATAGGAAGCCGACTCCGAGGATGGGTGTCAGAACGCGAGCGGCCAGGCCAAGATGAAGCTGAAAAACTCGGTCGAGCAGCGGCGCAGAGACAAAGGCAGCTGCGAGGCCTGCCAGAATCATGGCAGCGCCAAAGAAGCCACTTGTATCTGGGGTGTAACCAAAGGGCTCATAGATCTGGTTGATCAGAGTCGAATAGGCATCGAAAGCCGCGACGAGCACGGAGAAGACGGCAAGAATGATGTAGAAGTCTATTCGTTGTCGTTTCGTCATTTTGACCGGTGGCGCATACGATTGCTGTACGGGCATAACGATGCCGTCGGCTTGCTCTTCCACGTCTTCACTCGAACCGGACGTAATCTTGACCAGTGCATGCTGAAGAGGCGAATCTTCTTGAGGAGGTCTGTTGTACTGCTCTCGCTCGTCACGAGAGAGTCCGAGCAAGATTTTGACCGAGGGAATGAAGCTATCCCTGGCTGGAGTCAGCCCAGCCGCCAAAGTCGGCGCAGTCGGCGGCTGAGATCTTATGACTGCCGCAGACAGGGCACTGATGTTCGTGATGAGAGCGGTGACGAGCAAGAGCTTAGACAGATCTCCTGGGCGCGTAACCAACGCAGGTGCGAGAAATTGACCTATGGCTGCGCCCAGCGGATTGGCGACTGCGATTAACATGGTGGAGGTCGTACGAGATTCGGCAGACATCCATGCTTCGCTGAAGGTAGGCGCAACGATTTGTAGGATCGGTTGAGCAACACCGACGCAGCATTGACTGAGGAAAAGCATAGCATACTGTGCTCCGGAGGCAGAGGCTCCGATGGATGAGTAGCGCAGCCAGCCGCCGAGGACAAGGACCGAAGCAGCAAACCAGCACGTCCGCGATAGGCCAAATCGCTCCAGTGCTAAAGGGACGGCAGGCGATACGAGCAGGTACAGCGCACACACCACATTGCCGAGCCAATTGACTTGATCGAGTGTAATGCCGAACCGAGCAGCACTGTCGAGAGCGATAGGCGCAAAAAGAAGCCAATTGAGCGCAGACACGGCGTTGAGGACGACGAGAGCCGCCAAGCCGGCGTAGCGTCGTTTATATAGCCTCGGTCTGTCTTTTGGCCGGGCCTGCATGATACAGAGAGGCTGGCTGGCTGGCTGGCTGGCTGTGAGAGCGGAACCTGGCTAGCGCATGACCCTAAAGCATCAGCAACAACGAGCTTGGATGTTTGCAACGTCGCGACGCGCCGAACGGCCAAAAGCCGGAAAGCCTGTGCTAGAGAAGCCGAAGCACACGAGCCCCGCGAGGGTATGCGTTTCTTGTAGTACAAGCAATTGTCTATGCATCGGCATACACAAGACGTCCTTTACGGTCCACAGATAGTCGCGCAATCGGATCAGTGGCTCCAGAGGCTTCCAGCTTCTCTAGCAAACCCTTGAGCGAGGTTGGACCCTCTTTCAAGACTGTGGCCAGCCCGTTAGCCTTTGCTGCCTTCTGCTTCTTGTGCTGCTTGTGTGATGCAGCCTCTGGCACGACATCGACGCGCATGGCAGGCAGTGTGGGCGATGCATCTGCGTTCTTTGTGATTGCGGCTTGCTCGCGTTCGACGAAGAAGCCAAGTGGTGTGGCGTCAGAGGCAGCTTCGGCGAGTGCGGGAGCAGCGGCGACGAGCGAGCCAAGTGGAGCAGTAGCAGATTCGACTACGCTTGCCGCAGCCTCGGGGAAATCTGCTGCCAGGCTGCGCTGAGGCTGCTCTTCGACCGGCTCTGTACTGGGCTCAACGGAGTCTGTCGCTGCCTGGGACGCCTTTTGCTTCTTCTGCTTCTTCACTTTCTTCACGGCGAGCGCTTCAAGCTCTGGCAAAGTCTTTTCCTCTGCAATTGCGGCCGCTGTGCTAGCGGCTGTGTCGGCTAGGGGCGCAGACTCTCTTTTGCGTTTCCTTTTTTCCTTCCGTGCTGATTGATCTTGACCGTCTATCTCTGTCGTCGAGGAAGCCCGCTCAGCGGTCGCAGATGCCTTCTTGACGTCCTTTGCGTCGGCCGTGGACTTTTTAGGCCCTTTGTAGACTCTGCGTGTCCTCTATGAGCGCGCGATAGCGCTTCAACAAGGGCAGCCCTCACGATTTTTCGTACTTCTCTGCCTCGCTGCAGAGGACGATGTGTCAGCCAACAGTCACTGGGGAGCGCTCTGAACAGACGAGATACAGCTGGTATGCGGACTAAATTGTGCAGGAGAATCGAAAGTCTTATTGCAGTCGATGCAAGTGACAGGCGCTTTGCAACGGGGAAAGTGCGTCTTGAGCTTGGGTTTGGTGATGACATCGCCGCAGCCTTCGCAGGAGAATGACACCATCTTGCCAGACAGAAAATGTCACGAGCGTGACGAAGAGGGAGCGCGCCCGATGACAATATTGGACTGGTGATGGGTTGATATCTCTGAAAAGCCCAGCTTCGAGCTCTGAGGCGTCCGAGGAGCCTACGGCAGACGCCTGTAGATACCGATTGTGATCATGCACACCCATACACAGCATTGCACACGTCACAGCCTTCCCTGCTATAACACGCTTGCTACAGTCGACACCAGTATTGCCGGCCAGCATGCATTCGTCTTATAAGCAACCTGTCGCATCATTGGCTCACAACATCTCCCTTGTGTGGCCTTGGTCTCAACGCTGACATGCTGCTCAGAGGTCGTCGATGCTCAACCGCGAACAGTTTTACTGCAAAGGCGAGCAGGCGGAAAATTAGCTGACCCAGAGAAACAAAGACTGCAGCAGGCGCTTGCTGACTTCGCACCAAAGCATTGGGTGCCCAAAGGTCGTTGCCGCCAGCCTGGGGACAACGCGCCGCTGGTTGGCTTCACCATTTCTCCTGTTATGCCGGTGGTGACACGTGAATATAGCTCCCTCCGCGAGGAAGCGAGTCGCAACGGATCAGTGCGAGCGTACAGATGGTCTAGGTGCGCATGCTGTGTCCGGAGGCCGCACTCAAGTATAAAAGACGCGGTCTTGACAAGCGAGCCCGAAAAGTCTCACTGCCTCGAGGGTTATTGCTCTTACAGACTGCGGCCGAAGTATGATCGCACTTGTACAGATGTATGCATTCCGGCGATTGCTTGTACGACTCGACAGGGGTGTCGATCTTGAAGCCTCTACCGCTCCATGAAGCCCTTTTCACCCGTTTCGGCCTAGCTAACACCGGAAGGGGCCGGTGGGGTCATTCAAGGATGACTGTGCCTGTTCCTGGATGCCTGGTGACAGCAAAACCCGCAAGCGTGCAGTTTCTGTTTTGCCGCTTAGCAATCGCAAGATCACGCGTGGGTTCAGAGCATCGTCCGGCAGTGCTATTGCTAGCTTGATGTGCCCGAGGCCACGTCAGGATAGGCATCGAAGCGTCGCTGAGCGGTAATGGGCACGCCTTGACGAGTCTTGTTGATCGTCTCGACATCAATGCAAGCATAGACGGTCTCGGGCGCCTCTTTCGCCCCCGCAATGACTTTGCCCCTGCAGCAATGCTATTAGCGAAGCCCGAAATCCAGACTATCGACCACGAACGTAGGATCAGTGACCATCGAGAATCCATAGGCGGGATAGCCAGACTCTGGTCGAGCAGGGCTGCAGGCGGCGACAAAGATCTGATTGTCGACCGCTCTGCAAGTCGCAGGTGAGGTAAGCGGATGCCCCTCTCTGAGCGCAGCCTCCGCACCTAGCTCGTTGCAAGATCTCCCAATAGGGTGGTCCTGTCGTCGTGTTGAAGGCGCCGGGGTAGATCATAGCCATTGCACCTGCTGGCATCCATGAGCACGCATTCGGTGGTTCATCCCAGAGCCACTGACCCTTTCGAGCGGCTATCATGGCCATCTCTGGGAATCGCAGATCATAGCAGATGCCAAGACCTGCCGGGAAGTGAGCTCCAAGCGAGACTACAGCACGCTGTGCTGACCCAGTCTGCCCATGTCGGTGTCGACCAGCGTCACGCGATCGCCGCCAGTGAGCGTTTGCGACTCTTTGAAGGTGATGCCGCCCGGGATGTCAATGTCGAACAAGTGGAGCTTCCTGTGGACGGCGATCAAGTCGCCAGCCGTGTTGTACACCGTAGCAGTGTTGTAGAGCTTGCCGGTCGACGCGTCCCGCTCAGGTATGGATCCGCCGATGAGCCAGATCTTGTGGTCCCGTGCGGTCCGGCTGAGCATGTCGACAGACGGGCTGCCCGCGGATACGGCTTTCTCATGCAGCGTCGGCTGTGTCTGGCCAGGTCTGAAGGGTATCGTCTCTGCGTACTCGGGGAAGAAGTCGACGCCGTAGGGCGAATTGAAGCATTCCTGGATGCGCAACACTGAGCCAAACGACGCAGCAGCTGAGGAGTGTACACACCGGCAGGACTAGCAAGTGCGGTGGCTGCTTTACTTGCATGGCCTCGTCCATCTTGCGGCGAGCATTGTCGATGTTCTTAGCCTTGTCCGTTCCGATGTCGCCGAGCTGGATGAGCGCTATGTCGAAGCTGCTGCCCTGGACTCGTTGCACGGTATGAAGAGCACGCTGCTGGGATGGAGAGGCCATGCTGCTCCGAGCCGAGTGCCGGTAGCCGGAGAGAGCCGGTCGGGCGAGTGACAACATCGCGAGCTCGCCCAGCGCCTGACTGCTCGACGTCGGCCGCGAGCTCGACAGCGATGTCCCGAGAATCCCCTACGCTCAGCACAGACGGCGATGTCTCTGCACGCTTGGCCAGCCCGAGCGAGACACAAGTGATCAGCGACTACATCGAACGAGCCCAGAGAAAGTCAGATGCCCAGCAACAGAGCCGGCTTGGATCCCTTCGATCTCGCCTCGTTGCAGACGACGAGGCCCTGCAGAGACAGATCGCTGCTCTCAAGATCGACATGTACTGCCATGACACCCCCACGCTGAACGAAGGCTGACATGCACACCCGAGTGCGGCCGTCATCAGACTTCATCCAGATGAAACGCTGCCTGATCAGTCAGATGGAACGCTCCAACGTGCCAGATCGACAGTTGTGAGAGACCCCGCTGCGATCGTCATGGTCTGCTCACGGAGCACAGACGATGATCGATGGCGTACTCGAGATGCTCGAGGCTTCCCTCGTTGCCATCGATGATCCGCCCTTCAAGCGTGTCTACACCAGCGCTCTCGCCAACAGTATGATCCAGGACTCGCAGCTGGCGCGTGCTGAGCCATCGCAGTTCGAGAAACTGACAGAGAGCGCCATAAAGCCCACAAGAAGCTCACACGCGCGCTCGATGGTCTCACACAGGACCATGCAGCAGATCACCATGTGCGTCTCTGCTAGACCGGTCGGGCAGAGTACGCTCATAGCCTGCAGACCACCATCGACGCTCGACCACTTCAGAAGAAGCTCAAGTCATTCATCAAGAACATCTAATGGCAAGTAATGCATTCATCCGTTCGTCCGTCTACACCTTCTGCTATTCATGAGCCCGCACGCAAGAGACAGCCTTCCTTGCAGGGAGGGGCTCTCGTGTCGCGAATGAGCGTGCTCGAGACTCGATCTCTGTCTGCAAAGTCTTGTGTGAGAGGACTTGCTGTCTTTGAACGAGTTGGATGAGATCGGCGCGTTGCTGCGTACCATCATACCACGGCGGGCTAACAGCACCGCCCAACAGGTTCCTCCAGCGTAGCGTATATGAACAAGCAGGCGAGCAAGCCACCCACCTTTGCTAACGTGTACTGGCGGCGCGAGGTCGGCACGGCGAGACCATGCTTCATCTGCAATCGCGAGACGACCATCTGCTTGGGTAGCTCCCCGAGCTCGCTCCATCGCATCTCGAGCTGACAGCCAGCATGCAGCGACGAGTGACCTAGCAGACTTTGTATACACATGCCAGTCACATCTGTCGGATCGCAACTTTGCTTCGGCTGTTGCTCCTGTCACACCACCCGCCTCGCCTGCAATACCGAGTCCAACGCCGCCAAGCAAGCCCACCGAGGCAGACATTGCCAAAGCGACGGCAGACTACCTCGCAAAGCACCCGGAAGCGGCCAAAGACGCCAAAAAGTCTGTGCCCCCTGTCAAACCTATCGCTCTGCCGGCCACGGTCACCGAGCCAGCAGCACCGCCGGCCGAGCCGCCGAGGAAATTCACTCTCAATCGACACTACTATCAGATCAGACTCGACCATCACAAGCGGATATGGCAGACCAAGCAAGCCAGGGAGATGGCAAAGACGCTGCCCTCTGCGCCGAGTAGTCGGCCAGGCGCGTCCACACTCGGCTGAACACGACATACAGGACTGCGAATGCATTGTTACGACAATTTGTTGTTGATTATACAAAAATGCTTGTTCGTCTCGCTCAGGTCGCGAGACGTTCGAAGAGGGGCGTATTGATATGCCTAATCACGGGTCTCTTCGAAACGACAGAAGGCAGTGATGTACCGCAATTGTTGGCGGGCAAGCCCATGATGATGGACTCTGAGATGCCGTCGATATCATCCTGTCGGCTGTAGACTGCAGCGTCGAAGAGATGGTCTGTCGTCTTCTCGAACGACGCCAACATGAGTGTCGAGTCTTTGAGCTTTGCAACACCGAAACGAGTGATACCGAGTACTTCGCCCTTACACGTCATCACGTCCCCGAGCAGGCCGAGATGACGAGGATCCACGCTGAGACCATGAGCGCCCATCGTGCCGCCGATCTCGTTGATGATGGTCTGTCGGGCTGCTTCGATGCCCAAGACCTTGACGACCTCCATGATGTGGTTGGAAGTAACTCGCCGGCCGTCCACGCCGTCGGTGGTCATGACTTCGCGAAGACCGTTGCCCTCGACGAGCAGATGCTTCTCCTTTGAGCTACCTTGCTTGACCTGGATGACCGCACGAGAGCATGCTCCGACACCCTTTACCACTACATTGGGTAGCAGCCGACAGAGCGTGTTCAGCCGATCGAGTTTATGAGGGGCAGAGCTCGTAGATTCGCTGCCGTCATCGTCTGGAAGATAGATCCGAATGCGACCCGAATGGCTGGCGGACACGTTGCCTTTACCCAGCTTCAGCTTTGCAGCCAAAATTGAGGCAGCAATCGAGTGGGGCGTCACTTCGAGTTGAAGACGCGAGACGGTATCCATGTCGATCTGGATGTTCACATAGGCTTGCGTGGCTGTGACGGTGGGCGCCATTTGCGATGCAATCTGCACGTCATTCAGCTCCATGTCTGACTTCCCGGTACACAGCACTGACCTCGCCGAGGTAGGTCTTCTCGATTCGGGCCTTGATGACTCTAGCGGAGGCTTCAGATTGCGCGAGGTCGGACAAAAGCTCGGCTGTGATGATGGGCGTTGAGATGACCTTGCTGGCGTTGATGATCTCTTTGATACGAGGCACACCGAGCGTGACGTTCATAGAAGCGACACCGGCGAAATGGAACGTCTTGAGCGTCATCTGTGTGCCAGGTTCGCCGATCGATTGAGCGCCTATTGCACCTACTGCTGTCCCAGGCTCCACCATCGACCGAGCGTATTTTTCCCAGCAGAGCAGCAGGAAGCGCGCAATCTGATCTTCTGTCGTCTTTGTCTTTTGATCTACGACGTGCACTGCTTTCGGACCTGCCAAGCCAGTGAGATCCGTCTCGTCGTCCCATTCTTCGTGCTTCTCGAGCGCTTCAATCATGCCGTATGCTCGCCGGAAGCGCGCGGCTGGCGCTACAATGTGCTTGACGACGAAAGCTTTTATCTGAGCAGGGAAATCCGAATGTCGGGTCATGTCGAAGCGATCGGTGGCGAGAAGGCGATCAGTCAGTTCGAGTATCGCGTATGGCATGAGAGGTTTGCTCGTCTTGGTATGTGGCACGGTGGCCCGAATATGCTGCCAAGTTCTGACAAATTCGACAGGCGAGCCGTCGCCCTCCATGTATGCAGGATCAAGGCCATCATTGCCATACATAAATTGTACGATTGAGCCTGTCGAACTGCGGACTGAGAGATCGTAGCGCGTGGAAAGATCCTCGAGCGCTTTCATGAGTCGACGCTGCATATAGCCAGTCTCTGCAGTCTTGACCGCAGTATCAACAAGGCCTTCACGCCCAGAGATGGCATGGAAGAAAAACTCGGTTGCCGTGAGACCGCTGTAGAACGAGTTACGGACGAATCCTTTTGAGGGCGGGTTCTTTGACTTCTTGAGATAGTGAGGAAGCGAGCGATTGATGAAGCCATCAGCAACACGCTTGCCGTTCGTGATCTGCTGGCCGACACAGGCGACCATTTGACAAACGTTGATCTTCGAACCTGCATCCAGACGTCAGTTGCGATCAGCGGCTGGAACAAACAGGCACACCCTTCGAGCCACATATAGCCATGATAAGAGGAGCATTGTTGCGGGAAAGCTCAGTCATACAGATCTCGCCGACCTTGTCTCTGACGCGCGAGAGGACACCTGAGATAGATGCCTCGAGCGTCTGATCCTGATCACACCCTGCCGCGTTCTCGAGCTTTCCGTGAGCGGCTTGTGTGATGAGCAAGTTTGACTCTTCGTACGCTTTGCGGATGCGGTCGTCTTTCTCGTCGCGTAGCTTATCGCCTGGTGTCACGTCGCTGATACCGATCGAGAAGCCTTGATTGGTAAGCCATCTGGCACAAAGCTTTGAAAGGCGATTCATCGCTTGCGCAGCTGCATCTGCGCCGTAGTCGCGCAGCAAGACCCCGAAGACCGAGTTCTTCTTGCCATCACCGACTGTGGCCTTGTCAAGAGCACCGCACATGATGACGCTGTTCTCGATGACCAAGTAGCCGTCGTTGGGCGACATATCCGGCGCATAGCCGGCCGGAGGAGCTTCGAATGTCCTGCACTTTGCTTCGAGATTGACACAGATTGAACTGCGTGAGCTAGGTCGCATCAGAACGCTAAAGACTTGTTTGCCCGTCCAGAGTTGCTTCGGTCGGAGAATCGTTGGCGGAGGGAGCTCGAGATCGCCTTCGGCATCTGTCAGGTAGCACAGTATCTGACCAATCTCTGCTCGGTTTAGAAACTTGTCACGCCGCGAGAGTAAGAATGCGCCAGTGATAAAGTCCTGAGTAGCAGCGATGATCGGTTCGCCGTTGCGGGGTGTGACAAGATTTTGCTTGATGCTCATGAGATGAGCGGCCTCTGTTCGAGCTTCTTCGGTTTGTGGTACGTGAAGGTTCATCTCATCGCCGTCAAAATCAGCATTGTAGGGCGTGCAGACGCATTCGTTGAGTCTGAAGGTGCGCCAAGGTCTGACCTTGACACGATGAGACATGATAGAGAGCTTGTGTAGACTCGGCTGACGGTTGAAGAGGACAATGTCGTCATCGCGAAGGTGTCTCTCGACAACGTCACCTATCCTGAGTTGCTTGGCGAGCTCGATGGGATTGCCATACTTGAGATCCTTCTTGATGCCTGTAGCAGCAGATATGACATAGCAAGCACCCGGATGGACTTCTTTGCCATTGCGAACTGCCTTTCTCAACTGCTCGAGATTGTGCGATGTCACTCTCTCGGGGTAAGTTAGAATCTTTGCGACCTTTTCCGGTACCGCGACCTCATCGATACGCAGATTCGGATCGGGCGAGATGACAGTTCGGGCCGAGAAGTCGACACGCTTGCCGGAAAGGTTTCCTCGAAATCTGCCTTGCTTGCCTTTGAGACGCTGGCAAAGACCTCTCATGGGTTTCTGACCCGAGATGGTATTGTTATTCACGTCCGAATTGATATAAGTCGCAACTGCATGCTGCAGAAAGTCCCATTGTTCCATGAAGACGTTTGTCTGGATACCCTTTGCGAGGCCTGACTTGATGAGTTGGTTCGTAAAGACGATCTCAGCAAGCTTGACGGTCAGGTCATCCTCGTTCGTCGCATCGTCTTGCTGTACCGACGGACGGATGGTCACAGGAGGCACGAGGAGATACTGCCAAATAAAGGTCTCTGGCCGGGAGATGGTAGCATCTAGGCCGAGCAATTCGCAGTCTGGATTGGTGATACATTCGAACAGCTTGAGCGCACGAAGCGGATTGAGGTCGTCTTGTGCACGGCTGATCGAGCCCTTGAGCTCCTTCGTGTCTTGGAGAGCATGATCGAAGGACTGCTCGAAGGCCTCTCTGGCGGGTTTCATCTTGCGTGCGCGGTACTTCTCGTGGATTATCTTGAGACTTCCCGCTTTTTTGACCGTGCCGTTGATTGATCCGCAGTGAGGACAATTGAGTGCCTTTTTGGCTGTCGCGACGACTTCTTTGAGGAATCTGTCTCGCTGGGTGTTGTCGAGATTGGGTCGTCTTAACTTCCTGAGCGCTGCGCGTTGCTGGTCATCGTCGAGCAGCGTTCGCGAGCAGACCTGCACGCGTCACTCGGCGAGCAAATGAGAATCAAAGGGGATGCACTCACTTTGCAGATGACTTGCAAGATCTCGATCGTCTTTCTGAAGTAGCCCGTGTGGAAGAGGGGCACGGTCAATTTGATGTAGCCGTAATGCCCGACGCATTCCTTCGCACGCTCGCCACAGGTTTCGCAGTTGGATTTCTTGTCTGCTATGCCCTGCAAGATTGGCGTGCCATGGGCCTCAGGGATGACAAGGGAGGCCAAGGTCGTGCTTACGAGTCGTCTGTCGAGCACGCCGCCCGGCTTGGGTTCACGCTCGGTGGCAGCGGATGTAGAAGCAGCAGGCGGCTTCACGGCCGAGCCATTCACGGCCTTCTTGCTCGTCACTTGTCCAGCATTGCCCGTGATTGGCGTGAAGTGATAAAAGTCTCTCTGTGTGCACTCGACCTCTGAAAGTGCGACGATCTGGTCTGACGATAGCACGCCAAACAGAACGTGTTGCAGACGCTTCGGCGCCGTCTCGCGGACGGTGTGCCGATCAGCCATGGCTGAGAAGAGCCGCGAAACGAGTCAAGCGAGCTTATATTCGAGCGACGAGGCGACCAAGTCGATCTTGATTTGTAATATATATTGCCTCTGCCAAAATTCGATTGATGATGACACAGTGCGCCCTCACTTGATCGAACAGCACGAGCTCGACATCCTTTGATGCTAGGATGAGCTCTCATCCTTACACGTGCATATCGTGCTCGCTCGCATTTGCCGATCCGGGCGTACAGAGGCAGCACTACTCTACCGATCTGCACAGGTACAACGCAAAACGAAAAGTCGCTGGCCTGCCGCCCGTCACAGCACACGTCTTCAACGAGAAGATCCTCGCGCGTCGACCTGCGGAGGCTGTGCAGAGTCTACCAGAGGAGGATACGACCGGCAAGCTAAGTTGTCAGGCCTGCAGAAAGAATTTTGCTTCGCCCAACGCTTATAGGGACCATCTCAAGTCGAAGAAGCATAAAGAGGCGGTCTTCAAGAACGTCTCCGACCTCAAAATTGGCCAGAATGATAGCGCGACAGACGTGCAGGATAAGATCAAGCCAGAGAGAATTGACCCCTCGCTCGAGTTCCCAGATCTTGACAAAGTCCTTGACGATGTCGAACCTGTCGCTTCATCGTCCCAGCAGGCAGCAGAAGCGAACGATCCTACTGAACGTGCCATCGATGCAATGATCGCCAGGAGACTCGCTTGTGCTCCTCGCATCAAGCCTTTGGGCTGCTTGTTCTGTCCTACCCAGCACAGATCCCTCCAGGCCAAGCTCGACCACATGCTCGCAGATCACGGCTTCTTTGTGCCCGATGCAGAGTATCTCGCCGACCAGGAGGGACTCGTTGCCTATCTGGGCGAGCAGATCGCCGGCTGGAATGTCTGCCTCTACTGTACTGCTACCTTCAGCCCCTCCGCGCCACCAACGTCCGCCACGACGACCGAGGACGAGCGCAGGGCGGCAAAAAAAGGCCTCGAAGCAGTCAGACGTCACATGATCGACAAGCAGCACTGCAAAGTCGCTTGGGATACCGAGAGCGAAAGACTCTTGCTGTCTGACTATTACGACTATCGGCCGTCCTATCCCGATCACGAGGGCTGGGAGGACGTTGATGAGGATGAGGAGCTCGGTTCGGATGTCGAGATGGTCACAGAAGCGCAGGACGATGAGCTTGAGATCGGAGATGAGCCCCGTTCCCGCCTCGGTACAGGATCAGTCTCGTTGGGCGATTCGCCATACGAGCTCGTCCTGCCGTCTGGCCGCCGTATTGGTCATCGCGATCTGCGCTTCATCTACAAGCAAAATTTGCTTCGTAAGTCTTCTATCATCTGGTCAGTATTCCGCGGCTCATTGTACTTCTTTGACTCTACCAGCTTATCTGAACGATACCAGCAATAGACGAACCAAGCTCATCGGCCAATTAGCTTCTGCGGACCATCAACGCAAGTCCAATTCAAGCGCTCTCATTCCATCTAAGGGTGGCTTCGGCCAATACGGCGGAGGTGGTCAACTCATGAAGGCACCTAATGCAGGCGAAGCTCGTCGGGCCAACCGGTCCACTCGACTTCACCTTGACCAGCGCAAGCGAGCAGACCATTACACCCGCGTTGCCATCAAGGTCCATAACAGTCAGAAGCATTATCGCGATCCGCTCTTACAGTAACGACGCGATGGGTCTGTGCGTTCCGACGATTGCATCATTTGACAACCAATGGCTCGCAACCGATACTGAAAAGATTGTTTGGATCTCGTCAACCAGTGCTGCTGTTCTGTGCGATGATGATGCTGTCCTGGCTGGTGTCCTTACTGATCGCGTCTGTCGTGGCATTGCGCGGCAATTCACTGACTTCGCGCTCTCTCGATAAGCAAGTCTCTCCCGTTGGTATGGAAACTCGAGCTCATTTGCGCAGGCGATCCAATGCGGCTCCAATCTTGCCGTCGTACCTGTTCAGACAGAAGGTCAACCATTTTCCAGATGAAGAGGCGCGATATGGGCCCAAAGAGCTGTCAAAAGGCTATTTTGATCAGGTATGCTGCCTGGTCCCTCTTGACACTTTGGCTCAACAATCATGCAAGGTCTACACGGTCAACACGACCGCCTACAAACGGGGCGGTCCCGTCTTTCTGCACATCTCTGGCGAAACATCTGCGCAATCGCGATGGCGCTACGCAACCACGGGCTACCTGGCAAAGCTTGCCCAAGCTACCGGGGGCATCGTCATCATACACGAGTGCCGCTACTATGGCACGAGTTGGCCGTTCGAGTCACTCACGACCGACAATATGCGCTTCTTGACGACGGAGCAGATGATCGCCGATGTTGCCTACTTTGCTCAAACCGTTCGGATCCCCGGACTGGAACACCTAGATCTAACTGCACCCAAGACACCTTGGATTCTCAGTCAGACTCTCATGACTCTGCAATGCGCTTGTGCTGAAGCGTAGATGCAGCCGGCGGAAGTCTGGCCGGGGCTCTGACTGCCTTTGCCAAAGTGCAATACCCCGACATTTTCTTCGGTGCCATTGCCTCCTCGGCCACTGTACAGTCCTTCTTCGGCTTTCCCCAATGGTACTACGCACCTCGCGAGCATGCGCCGAGAGAATGCATGGCTATCGTCGAAAAGACTGTCGAGAGGTACGCTGCCCGAAGAGTTCAAGACTCAATTGACTGGTTCTACAGAATGGACAAACTCTTCGCTACTGGCAACAAAAACCGCATTCGCGAGTTCAAGAAGCTCTTTGGACTCGCGAGCGTACTGGACAACCGCGATTTTGCCATGGCTGTTGCTGTTAGAGTCTCACCACCTTCTCTGTGAGGCGCTGACGCGCTGTACAGTCGCCCATTGGCGCAACATGGAATTATCCCACGAACGGCTGGCAAGAGCTGCAATGGGGACCCTACGGTTCAAATGACTTTCATGCTTTCTGCGCGAACTTGACATCGCCATCGATTGATAAGGAGCTTGACAAGCAGCACGGCGTTCACCATCTAACGAATTACGCAAAATACGTGAGAGAGCAAGTCGTTACGACTTGCCCGCAAGGCAAGGAGCTCAACAGCAACGACTGCTTCGGCACTCAAGACGCAGCTGCTTGGGCGAGCACAGCTCTGTCCGAGTCACGAAGCTACGCATGGGGTGGCTGTACAGAAGCCGGCTTTTATAACCAAGCAGCGACCGACGGTGGACCTTCACTGATTTCTCAGAGCGTTCAGCCTTCCTATACAGAAGAATGGTGCAAGAAAGCATTTCCACCTGGACGTTACGCACATCTGCCATCGCAGCCTGACCTGACAAAGGAATCGAGATTCGGCGGAGCTCTCATGAGCGAAGACCGCTTGGCATTCATTGACGGGTCCAACGATCCGTGGCGCTACGCGACGCCCAACTCTCCTGATTTGCCTCCTCGACCTGATTCCCTCTTGCGTCCAGCGCACATCATCCCGGTATGTCATCCAGAGCGAGCAAGTCACCGGTTCTGACTGGTCCGAAGGGTGGTTCGCATCATTCGGACTGCTATGGCCTGACAGACCCGGAACTCGAGCCACCGCCGATCCGTGCCGTCCACGCTTATCAAGAGAGTAAGGCTCCATGTCTGATACATCTGGCTAGGCTCACTGATGCATGCAGAGTTTGTCAAATCTTGGTTGGAAACAGATTTTCCGGCCTGGCAAAGGAAGTTCTCAGATTGAGATCGTGCGCTATTTTACAATGCAAATGCTGTAGCTTGTACAATATTGCTACCGCTCCGCATGTCCAGACGGGCTGGTTGTACTGAAATCAACATGGACATAGGCGCGCTCTACGTCTTCTAGACTCTCGATAGCATACTGGGCTGCCTCTGCTACGTCGTGCGAGAGTGGCAGAGGAGTGTCAGGCGGCACAACGACATCGGTCTCGACGACGAGTCTATCGCCTTGGTAGAAGACTGAGCTGTACTGCACGCCCTTAATGAGGGGTGAAAATCGGGTGGCGAGATAGATCATGCGCTGATGTTGCGCAGGACCGGCGCGCCTGCCTGTAAGCTTGAAGAGATTGCTGAACAGCGTTTCCGACCATTCGAGGATGATGTAGACAGACAGTAGGAGACCACCTGCCGCATCAAGCCATGGAAGCCCTAAGAGCTGGCCGATGTACGGAAAGGCGATTGAGAAAAAGTTGAAGACCATGTCGTTCTCGGCGTCTGCACATGCATGAGTGCAGGTCCTTGATGGTGATGCAGGTCACACCTTGAGCGAGAGCCTTGACGCTCGTGTTATTCACGCGATGGTAGTACAGCCACACACCCCCTTTGACGACGATTGTTCCGACCATGACACAGATGCCCGGGAAGGGGATATTAACGGCCAGCTCGCCAGGGTTGGCAAGTCTTTGAAGTGACTCAATGAAGACTTGTGCAAAGCTGGCAATCATGAAGACAGAGAAGACCACGACGCCGAGTGGCTCCATGCGACGCTTGCCAACTGGCCACTGCAGGCTAGTGTCAGTACAAGGGCGCTACTGTGCCGTCAACTTGCCTGGTATTGTGACTTCCAATCCTTCTGAGACATGGCTCGGGAGGCGACCCAGATGATGACGGTGGAGAGCAGGTCCATGGCAGAATCAACGAGAGATGCGACGAGCGAGATTGAATTCGAGAGGAGTGCCACGACGATTTTGCCTAGCAGTAAGATGACATTGATAATGAGATTGACGGCGATGGCCCATTTGACGTCTTCCTGTAGTTTATCGCCCTCTCTCGCGCGAGATGAGCGGTAGTCCTCGCGTGCGACTGGTAAGAGCGGCGAGGATTCCGAGAAGGGCGAGCCAGCAGCTTGCGGTTCTTGGGGGGCAAGGGCGGAGGCGTGAGTCGCGTCGAGGACCTCGTCTACCTCTGCAAAGTAGTCGAGGATCTCGTTCTGCTTTTCGTAGAACTCTCTAATCTGGGTCAGCCGTAGACGTGTGAGCCCTGCTCAGTCCAGTCTGAAGTGTTCGGCGCTTGCCTTTTTCTTCTTGATCGTCTTGAGCTCATCGTCTGACATTCGATATCTTTCGAATCTGCCGCCCGAGTTGTCGACGAGTCCGGCGATATGGAAGAGTGATTGACTCTGTTTGATAGGCCGCCGTTGATGCTGTCGCTCGAGTGACTCATCCCGCGTGCGCTGAGATGCGCCGTCCTCAATGTCATTGGTATCGTCGACATTGTCGCCAAGCTGGAGCATGCTCGCCAAGTTCTGGAAACTCTGGGGAACCTTGTGGAGGCCATACTGAAGCGTAGACTGCCTTCGTTTCGAGGCCATTGAAGCCGAGCCTGACCTGCTGCTGTGCAGGCTGCCAAGCGCAAGCTCTACCGAGCACTGATGAGTCGCGTCGAAGGAGTCAAGTGCCTGTCGCCTGTCGAAGAGATGGACGATAGCTGGGCCAATGACGGCTGCCAAGCCTTGCAACTCCGTCTGGGTGAGCATGCGACGCTCACATCTCGGCCCGGCCTGGGGTTTTGACACGAGGAACGCAGTGAGATCGGATGAGGAGCTCCAATCACTCGACCCATCCGAAAAGGCTCTCGTCTCTGATTTCGCACCCGATCTCGTGCATCAGATCTACGGAGACGAGCAGATCATCTATGGCTACAAGAATCTCAACATCGAAGTGCATCGCCTGTCTGATTTTGCTCGCAAGTTGGCTAAGCAACGTGAACTATGACAGCTTCAATTCGCATCAGGCAGCCTGCGACAGTACTTGGGTATCTCCCATACCGACGTCATGCCTTCGACATCTACGGTCAAACCAGATCCGATAGAGCCGCCTCTCTACGACTGGCTACCTGCTGGCACGTCGCTTCTCACTCTGCGCGCATGACGCGTCGGGCTGAAGCAGGACAGGCTGACTTGCAGACTACATGAAGGACCCGGACGGCTTCCTCAAGCAAGTCAAAGTAGATTCAGAGACTTTCAAGCCAGTAGGCACTAGAATTGGCAGTTATGCCCGTCGCCTCGTCAAGAACACCTCCAAAGGCAAGGAAAAAGCCAAAACCAATGGCGCGACGAGAAAACTGTATGAAGTCTGCGAGGAATCTGACGAAGATGCGATCGTCTACGAAGCTTACAGCGTACGTTGCGTTGGTATTCCTCCTGCTGCTCCGGCTGATCCTCGGGGCGAAAGACGCAAATGGCGACCCCAGGCTGGAAAGAGTACCTGCGACGTATGCAGATCTTCACCGTGCTCTTCATCGATGCTGCTTCCTACTGCGAGGAGGACGATACTCACTGGGAGTTCGTTACTTTATACGAAAAGCGAGCGGTCAAACGGAAGGAGCAAAGCGAGCCACAACACAGCTTTCATTTTGTCGGCTACACTTCGCTATACAACTGGTTTTGCTACCCTGACAAAACGCGGCTGCGCCTCTCGTACGCTCCTGACCGGGATTTTCAAGGTCCTGCTGATACACGCATACAGGCAATTCGTCATCTTGCCCCCTTATCAGCATGCAGGACATGGCTGTGAGCTGCCTGCTGTGATCTTGATCCTCATACTGAGACGGACAGCAGCTGCACTGTACTCGATGGTCTACTTCTGGATGCGAGGGAGAAAAGATGCAGCAGAAATGGTCGTCGAAGACCCGTGCGAGTCTTTCCAGACTCTGCGAGACAAAGCAGACCTGCACGCGCTCTTGTCCCAGCAGCTCTTTAATGATATCAACGCTCCTGTCGACCGGCATTGGATCGAAGAGAAGAGAAAGGACTGCAAGCTCGGCGACAGGCAATTTGCAAGACTGGTCGAGATGGGTCTCTATCTCAAGCTCGGCAAGAAAGACCCCAAGAAGCTCAAAGACTACCGCCTCTTCGTCAAGGAGCGTCTCTACCGCTTCAATTACGTCAGTCTGGCTCAAGCTCACCTCGCGTGAACTGACACGCCACACAGGAACTGCTGTCATCGCTGTCCGTCGACGAGCGAAGGGCAACGCTTCAGCAGACGTACGAGGGCGTACTGGAAGAGTACGAAGAGACGCTTGCGCCGTTCCTGGTCTAGCCTGCGAGAATGGCCACGTCCTCTATTCTAGTCAATCGGACAACAAGATCTACAGGATGCACGCATGCGTTACAATTCCGTTTTGTCGTGCACTTTGCCCAGTGCAGCTTCTAGTTCTGCGCAGCAAATTTCAGCACAGAGGGAGACTAGACGAGCTGATGACGCACTTGTGCGCACGCTGGGCGATATTGTCGCAGGCAGTACGACGTTGTATTGTACGAACAGATCGCCGTGGCCGCCTGACTGGAAATGAGGCAAGCCTTCGCCCTTGATGACCTGAACGTAACCTGGCTGTGTGACCTCGTTGCGCGACAGCGGCAGTGTATGTCCGTCGAGATGCATGAGCTTGTGTCTGAAGCCAAGCAGAGCCTGTCAAGGAATCAGACTGATTCTGCGATGGAGCACAAGCGCAAGCGCAAGCCTACCTCTTGCACGCTGATTGTCTCCATCCAATACAGGTTAGCTTCCTTGCGCGTGAAGCCACCCCGTGTGCGCTTCGACTTGAGCTTAATGATGACATCGCCAGCGATATGATCAGGCGATTCGTCCGCTTCGTTCTCAAATACGAGCTCGTGATTCTCTGGCGCGCCGCGATCGACTTCGAGCGACAAGCGAGAGATCTGCTCGACGACCTTGTGCCCGTGACAGACGGGACATTTCTTTGCTACCGTCTTGCCCTTACCTGCGCACTGGTCACATCTGTTGTAGAAGTGTGAGCCAGAATTGGCGGACATGTGATGGAGCAACATACTGCATCTGCATCTGCTGAACCATGCCTGGTGCTATCTGGTGACGAACGATACGCACGCCACGGCCAGAGCAAGCGTTACACGTCTTGACGTCTGACGCTGACTTGGCTCCGGAGCCATCGCAGGCTTCGCAGATACCTTTCCGCTTGATCTCAATCTGCGCAACATGTCAACAAGAAGCCTGAGCAGGCGCATTTTCTGCTTCCTACATCGAACGTTTTGCCGACGTAGATGTCCTTGAGGTCGATTTCTGCCTCTGAGACCATGTTGGGCCCTTTGCGCTGGCCTTGCTGCTGCTGACCGCCACCAAAGAAATTGCGAAAGACGTCAAAGGGATCGTGGAAGCCACCGCCCCCTTGTTGCTGTCTCTTGAGGCCTTCTTCGCCATGGACATCATAGATCTTGCGTTGTTCCTCGTCGCTCAGAACCTCGTACGCCTGCGAGACCTGCACGAATTTGTTTGCAGCTTCCTCGTTACCTGGGTTTTTGTCGGGATGCAGCTTGCGCGAGAGTTGCTGCATGGTCAGGCAGCATTAGCCTCAACGCCGACAGACAGCGTCATGTTCTCACTCTGTAGGCCTTTTTGATCTCCTGGTTCGATGCATTCCGCTTGACGCCGAGCACTGTCTTTCTCGCTGAGCGCGCTGAGGCCGACCTTCAGCATTCTGACGGACCCTTGTAGTAGTCTGCACCGGCGAGTACGCAAGGCAAGAGGATGAACAAGAGAAAGAAGGCGATCGCAGACTGAGCCAAGCGAGAGAATGGCCGATGTGAACGCCTCTTGCCTCTTGACGACGTGGCGGTTTGCGAGAGCCTCGCTGCTCCGCCGGTGCAGCTACATGCCACGCTGCCAGTCGGAGTAGACCCAGCGAGCATTGCTCCAGCTGATGAGCGAGAGACTGCGGCTTGAATCGCACGCGGACGGTCGGGCAATCGAGTAGGCAAGCTGCTCCTGCTGAGCAACTGTCGACGTGACGCGCGCGCTCACAACGTCCAAGAAGGGACGAGCGCGAGTCGATAGTCGATCGGTAGCGAGCCAGCTGACATGCAGATCACCGTTCTCGGACTCGAGCTGCGGCTCGATGTCACGCCCAAGCAGCTCACAGAGATCCTGGCCTGGTCGGTCGTGACGAGCTGCGTAGCACTCGGCGTTCAGAGTACGGGCAAGGCGCTCAAGGCCGGCAAGGAGCGCGGCGGCACGTACAAATCTACGAGCCTTGTCACGGGCTGGAAAGCCTATCTCACGCCTGCGCATGCCATGCTTGGTGCCATCACCGTACTCGCGCCCGTCATCCTTGCGCCCTGGCGAGGATTCCATACGCCGATCTTGCCCAATCGCTTTGCGCTCCCTCTGCCGTATGGCGGCGATGTCCATCCTCACACCTGGGTGGAAGCCCGGCTCATCAGCGGGACCATCCTCTGTGGATTGGCGACATACCTCACCCGCACTGCCATGTCGACCCTCGGCGCTGCCTTTGACACGATTCATGTCCGACAGAACACCAAATCTGTCATCGAGACCGGCCCCTTTGCGCACATCAGGCATCCGGTCTACGCGAGTATCTTGCTCAAGCCCATCGGTCTCGCTGCCCTCTACTGGAACGCCCTGCCCGCGTATGCGGCAATCCTGATCGGCTGCATACTTGCCGTCAAGATCGACATCGAGGAGCAGATCTTGCTCGATGATCCTGATCTTGGAGAGCAGTACAGAGTAAGTGCGGCTGCATCTCGAGCGTCATGAAGATTCTCATTGCGTCGCGCTTGCAGTACTACCAGAAGCGTGTGCCGTACAAGCTCATTCCTTACATCTACTAATCTGCTATCATCATCACAACACTGTACGATTGCAATTCTTGCTTCATGCGTAGTATGACGAGCCGATCAGGAGGTCGTTGAGGTCGTTCAGCTGGTCTTCCGTGAACTTCTTCTGATCTTCTTGCCAGCTATCTTGATGCGTCTTCTTGAAATCTGCGAGACACTTCTTCACAGTCGTACTGACGGGCACAGGTGAGGCATTGTGCTTCGACATGACACCGACGAGCAGATCCGGCAGCCATTTGGGTATATCTGCGGCTCCAGCCCTCAGCAAACGAGTGGCCCAGAAGAAGCAGATTACCCACCATAAGGCCAAGCAGCGATGAGAGATGCAGCACCAAGCACGCCAGCATGCGCGGTGATCAAACGTTGCGCATACACAGTATGCTCTTTGCCCTCGCTATTGCGACGACGAGGAATCTTTGTCTCCATCGCCATCCGCGTGAAGCGTTCCTGTATGCCGCGTCAGTCTCTTACTCGTCGACAAGCTTGAGCCCGCACCTTTAGCCTGAGCAGGGCAGATCTTTGCGAACAGCGCACGACGCCTGATAATGTGACCGCTGCAGCCTCACGGACCTCAATCTGTGCACGCTCGTCAGCTGGACGTCAAGAGCCCGTGATCCGAACGCACATGGGCATCCTGCAAGAGGTCGCACAGATAATCGAGCAGCTCGTTGATCTGATCATCGCCGAGCAAGAAAATGTTATGAAAGTAGAACACTGCAGTGCATGTCAGCGCCATCGTCGACCAGGTGATCGTATTGACATGCCTTGCATAACCGATAGGATGTTCAAGCGAACGCGCCAGCTGCTCGTGATTCTCATGAGTGACAAGAGGTCTGTCATGAGCTGATAGACAAGGTGAGAAGGAAACGGCAGTGCTGCCAATGTTGCTAGCACGTTCTTCGCTAGATCTTGCAAAGTCGCATTGTCGAGGATCTCCTCCATCCTGAAGATCTCCGGCAGCAGTGTCAAAAAAGGATACATCATCGTCACACGGTAGCCATTCGCGCCCGTATAGATCCAGTTGAGTATTGTTGAGGAGGCACGGTCGTATATCTGCGATCCGCTAACCGAGGGCTGACGGATAGCATGGTAAGACGCAAGCTGGCGCTTGACGGTTTCGATTCGAGCAGAATAGTCTTCGTCGACGTCGAGCAACAACCTGGCACTCGATGTTGTCTCCTCGCAGGCATCTAGCAGTCCCTTGATGGTCAAAAACGACGGGTGTAGCCGCAGCTCGCTGAGTTCCATCAGGTTCTCTGCGACAGCCATTCGCAGCTCGTTGAAATCTGAGTCGATGCTGTCCCAATATTGGTCCAAATATTTGGCCGACCAGGGTGTGAAGTGCCAAGAGAGTGTAGACATTGTCGAGCCGACAAGAAATTGTGCTTTGGCTTGATCAAAGGCTTGATACGATTCCTTGTCAATGTCTAAACTCGTGATATAGCTCACAAGTGGCAAATTGCGGCGTGGATCTCGACCATCGAGGATGTATTCGACGAACATCTCCCACATAGTCTGCGTGTCGGGCGCGATACGAGCGAAGATGATTGGTAGCAAAGGCGTCACCCAGGACCACAGTGCATCTTGCAGCGTCATCGGCCAGTGTTTGCTGCCTCGAATGATGCCAGACAGGAGCTCTGCTGCTGCTCGCTGCTGATGGCGATCGCTCGTAGACAGATAGCTGAGTATCTTGGGCTTGATGAGCGGCACGAAGTCATCCAAGTAGACTTGAAAGATCGACTTGATGCAGTCTACTGTGTCTGCAGCAATGTAGTCGCGAGAGAGTTCCTGCGCTAACTGACTCGCGAATCTGTCCCACCAGGCCTGTTGCGACATTGCACTTCTAATGGCGTCAAGACAAGGTGCAGACGCGGACTCGTATCTGAAGGTAGGTTCTGTCTCGTGAGGCACGGCGTAGAATGTTGTCTCGCTGCCCCAGACCAGCCAGCCTGTGGACCGTTTATCAAGTAACAGAGAGCTCGACTTGGCCGATCGATCGAGTGGCTTTGTCAAGTCGTCTACGAAGTTGGCTGTGAAGCCGACGTCCTTTTGTTGGTCAAGATGCACTACACGCTTCAGTGGGTTGCTTGACTCCCATAGTAGCAGTCTGCGATCGGAGCCGCCTGTCAATGAACGTAACTTGACAAAGTATAGCATTTTAGTGATCGCTGTGAGAGCATGGGCGCGCATCTTCGGCAATTCAGAGACGAGCTGTTGTGCAAAAAAGGTCGCAATGTCCGGATTGATCGGCAGATCGCGTCGGATGAAAGCTTTGATCATGCGTGTTGCGAACAGTGAGTAGCGCCAATGTGATTTTTCGGACTGTGCTATGTGAAGTAATTGCGGCAGGAGCTCAGAGTACTCGCGGTCTTTGTGCGTCGTGCGCTGCAAGCTGTTTTGCCGCACCGCTTCGACAAGACCACTAGGAGGGAGCTGCAAGGCCGCAGCAAGCTGTCTAGCCTTGCCTTCAGTTCCGTTCTGGTCCAGAGATTGGGCCAGAGTTGAGGGCACATTGAGCCGCGTCACAAAATCGGCCAACACCATTGAGACCACTTGCTGGATCGAAGGCTTCTCTTGATGTGAGCACTGCAGAAGTCGAAGCACGTATGTAGGCAAGTATCGCCAGTCTTGCAGACCCATAGCTGAGAAGTTCTTGCTACCAAGTATGTACAGTGCACCTTTCATCTGGTCAACGTCTCCACCAGGCAAAAGCATGTCTAGAACACGGGGTATCAGCAAGCTGCGGGAACCTTCGTAATAGAGGCTGATATTGTCCAGCACGCGTTGCGCCGACTTGCGGACAGTTGTGTACTTGCTAGTTGCAAGATCGCAAAGATCGTTGATCAGCGTATCGTCCAGCGAAGAGCGAATGCGGCAGAAGGAACTGATACGTAACCGAGAAATGCGATACAATGCGGCGCGTCGAACCCATGCCAGCCGTGAAAAGTGCCGCTGACCCCGCACGACACGCGATAGTCCTCTGATATACTCGTAGTAGCCTTTCGAAGGCTCGTAGCTTGACTTGTCAAACGGATGACTGCAAGCAGCGGTCAGCTTTGTTTGCGAACAGCGTCGATTGACTTACTCGAGCATAAGTACTCGCGTCGTAGAAATGATCATCTTGACGCTATCGATCGCATCTTCCGCACCGTTGTCGCGCAAATGGCGTGCTGCTTCGTGCAGCATCCGACCGGTGCGCTCGCGTAGAGCCATGACATGCTGCAGGCGCACATCCGTGGGATCGGTTAAACACAGGCCGACTTCAATATCAGGCGAGCGCTGCACGAAGTCTGGCACGGATAGGCCGAGAAATGTAGTCCCTTGCGGCACTGGTACTTGTGCTAGGTTCGCAATGCCCAGTAGGCCCTGCTTGATGATGCTGCACGCTCGACAGAAGTCGTTGGACCAGACGGGGCTGATTGTCGATTGATCACGAAGTGTAGTCAAAGCTTCGAGGCGTTGCAAGGCGGGCTCGTAGACAGCACTCAGTACGCGCATGCACATATCGATCTCCGCTTGACTTGCTACGTGCCACTCTACACTGACTTCTTCTACTTTGTAGAGCTTGCCCCAGTGTAGATGCGAGTGAGCAACGAATTCTGCTGAGCGCCATTCGTCACTGTTGACCATGCGTGCGTCCCGCGCATACCCTGCGCACAGCGTAGCTAGCATACCGCTGAGCAGCCGACTTGCGAGGTGATAGCCACGTTCAGTGAAGCACGATGTTGCCATGTGCTGTACAATCGCGACTAGGTCTTGCTCATATGCGAGCAGCGCGGATCCGGCCATATGCATCGCAGCGGCAAGCAAGCTTGCATACCAGTTGAAGGCGACGTCAGTGTCTATGATGCTCGAGCTCGAGGTGCTTCGGGTTGACGACGCGCCATACTCTATCTCAAGACGGATCTGACGGACGCAATGAGGGACGATGACGGCTAGCACTTTTTCTGGGTTCGCTCGAGTGAAGGACTGCGTGATTGCGACTATCGAACGCAGGGAATTGGCTCGTGGCGAGTTTGCAACATGTCGCCAGAAGAGGTCAAAGGCGATATCAAACATTGGATCCGAGAGATTAGAGCAGAACGGGTCAAAGAGCATGGCTATGCCCATGATCATGTTCTCCTCGATCTTGCCGCCCGTCTTGCCGGATTTGCCTCCCGGTTCGGGCAGTCCATCAATGAGGCCAAGCGCCGCTTTCATGAATTTAGTGATCCAATCAGGAAAGGCTGCGGTCGATTCGACTATGGCTCGGTTCAGTTCAGCAGTTGTCAATTGACGTCGATCCGCAGGGTCGTGGCCGACCAGCAGCGTCAAAGGGTCAAAGGCTGGCAAAGGCTCCGCTATGCCCTTGTCAGTGTATCGGGTGAGATCATCGATGACAATGTTCGAGAAGACATTGTGCAGGAACTGGCAGGTCGTGAATGTCTTGCTGGGATCGTTGACGTCCAGGCCGGGTATACACAGATCGAGCAGCGGCATGACATGTAGCGCACCGGAAGGATACTTCGTGCGATTCATCAGAGGGCCGGCGATACAAGTGAGCGAGACCAGCATGGCCGTCGTGCGATGCGATTCCAGCAGAAGTTCGAGAGCAGGGTATGCACGCTCGAGAATGGAGGGAATGATCAAATCAGGCTGCAAGTAGGCGAGCAGCTTGACAGCATTCTGAGCGCTAACGAAAGCGAACATATCGCGGGTGAAGATGATGAGCAAGGTGACTGTGCGTAAGATGTTAACGAATTCGTCTCTTATTGCTTCCGTCAATCGCCAGGCTACCGGGGTCTTGCAGTCAGCCTTGTTCTCTTGGCTCCATCTCTTTATAAACGCGGCACAAAGCTGATCGAGGAAACTCGCAAGAGAGGCCGTCCAAGTGCCCTGGTTGCTTGGGTGGAAGTAAGTCTCTAGCGCCTCAATGAGCTTCTGCAGTGCGCCCAGAGCATAGCTGCCCGCTTTGAGTGGGCGCTTGATGTAGCTAGCTTCTCCATCGAGTGCAACCTGATCGCTTGAAGTAGCACGGGAGGACAAGGGTGAGCTTGCGATAGAGTCAGGAGGCACGTCGACAGCGATGCTGTAGACGACGATGGATGCGAGTGATTGCAGATGATTGGTCGGCTTTTTCATCGATAGCATAGTTGACGAAACTGCTTTGTCGGCGACAGAAGAGCCAGCAGCGCCTAGGCTGAGGACTTGTCCGGCTCTGCTGACGCCAACGGGAACGTTCATAGCACGTAAGCATCTGCTCATGAGATCGTCGAACTGGGCGAAGCTGAAGATGCCGACGTCTCGTCGGATGCCTTGCCATTCGCCTATACCCTTTGGTCGGGGCGATGATGGCGTGACGGGAATCTCTGGCACATTCCCGGCCGCAGACGCGGCGCCTATCGAGATGGCTTTCTCGCGCAGTTCATCAATGCGCGCAGGGTTGCTAAGGCGAGGATCGAGATGTTTTTCGCCGAGACGGGCGACGAGATCAAGATATTGATCTTCGTAGATGTTGCTCTGGAACCCCTCCCATAGCTTGAAGATCATTGGAAGCCAATACGGATGGGAGAGGGGCAAAAAGTGGACAAGGAAGGCTTGAGTGGAAAGCACGGTCTCAAGACGATCGCCGTTGAGTCGTGGGAGGAAAGTCTCGAGCATCGCAGGGCCTTCGTGAGGCGGGAAGAAGCGTTGACAATGCTCTGCCAGGGTCAAGAGATTGCTTGAGACGGTTCTGCGTTGGACGCGTCAGCTCGGAATTGAGCTCAGCAGACTTTGGCCTACGTGAGTCCTGTTCTTCGCTTTTTGGGGTAGAGCTCGCGCAGGAGAATGTCATACAATGGACGCCATGGTAATTGAATATCGTCGATGTCTATGGTCGTCTGTCAGTATCAGACGCTAGCAGCAAGCGATGAGGCCGCACCAAGTCGCTTCTTGTTTTCGATGAGTGTTGAGCACTGGTTCGCGGCGAGAGCTATCAAGCGAGGATCTAAGCCCGGCAAGACTGTATGGCACAGCTTCAGACAAGGCACCAGCCTTGACGGGCGCAGAGCTTACCTGCAAGTTCGTAGTACAAAGCAGCGAGTTTGGCGCGGATGGAGCGCTTCATTGGGTACTTGAGGCCGATCCAGCTAGCAATCTGCGGCATAAGCATCATCATGTCATCTGTGAGCCAGAGCTGACCATTCGAGACGATGGTTCCAGACGACAAGGCCCTCGTCGAGATCTCTAGCCTGGACAGATTCGATGATCCGCATACAAATCTCTTCGAGACGTCTGTCCATCTCATCCATCGTTTCGGCAGAGTACGGTAACGAGTCAGGATAGTCCATGTACTGTGTGCGATCATCTTGCTCATCTTGCGATGGCTTGACAGGCATAGGAGTCGTCGAGCGAGCTCTATGGTCTAAGCCCGCCATCACCTCGCTATCGATCTCGTCGTCGATCTCGTCGGCGACCTCTTGGACGGGCGAATCCAACTCTACGACTGATGACTCGGCAATCTCGTCGTCGTACTCGTCCATCTGGAATTTCGCTGACGAGTGCGCGCCAGCAAGTGTGAGACGTCGTCGATCAAATCGATTGAAGACGCGTCACCGCCATGATCGCATGATCACCCGCTTCTTCCGCGCTCATGATCATAACCAAGACTCTGAGTCTGCGCCCACTCGATCGCTCAAGCAGAGAATGCATGTCTGACGGTTCAATGCAGTCATATCGAGAGCAGTGCGGAAGTCTGCCAGCGCGTACAATAAATTTCAGAGCTTCGGTAGGCTGAGAAAAGACTTATCAAAGACCTTTGTGTAGCGCCTGCTATCGCACGCTCTATCCTCGAGACTTCCTTGCCCTTCTTATCGTCGGTTTTCTGAGGCTGCAAATGACAATCGTCAGGATTGCCCTCGATCGCCATCAAGTCTGAACCGCAATGATCTCCGACGAGCAAGTGGGCCTCCGAGTGACGTGCAAAGAGCAGGCCTTTTGTCGCCGGCTGTCACCCGCTCGCTGCAGCGAACCGATCCAAAGGTCCTTGCGCGGCAGTCTGCAAGTCCTGCCTCTGGTGCTTCTGCCGAGAGCTGCAAGAGTTGAAAGTGGCTGCTGTCTTCTCGTCGACCGCGGTCTCATTCCGACAAGCCCATGTGCCTCTCCAATGATTGCATATTTGCAATAGGGCAGACCATATGGCACTGGCTAACAAGAGGCTCGCCGTAACGCTTCACATGGGAGTTCTCCCTCTTCCGAAATCAGCCAGGCTAACTCAGGGGCCATGACCAGGAGCGTCTTGCAAAGATTCGACCGCAGTTGTCGTCTTCTTCTCGAGCCAGACCTTTCCTCTCTACGAGCGAGTGCACCTCCGACTGATAGCAGCAAGCTGCTTCAGGCGCTCCGTTCTGTCACTGGCTACACTCTTCGTTCGCTGCATCCCTTCGGAGTGGAGTTGTCCCCTTCGTCGATCGGCCTCGGGGACTGACCTGCAGGCTCCGTCCTCAGATCCTGGCACGAGTATCAAGACGTCTATATTGGCAGGCTCATCAGTAGACAGAGTCGATCGTCGCCAAATTCAAGCTGAAGGGTGGTGAAGCGGAGCAAACAGACGACGCGCCCCAATTTATGCGCGTTCGACTGCAACTTTTCCCGTTGCCCCGTCAAAAGAATCGCCGAGATGGCAGGAGGCTCATGATGCGAAATGCGTGGACAGACACGTCACATGATGGATGGTTTACAACACGCACCGCGCCTGCTCGATGGCAGGTCGACCGAGGCAGGACTAGTAGATATAGGGGATCATGCGGTAAGGCACCTTGGATTGGTAGAGACGATACTTGGGTCCAATCAATTTGTCCTCGAGTATGTACTTTTCCTCGACGGGAATCTTGATCGCAAAGACGGTCGCCAGAGCCGCGCTGAGCATCAGAGGGATGTAGTTCCTGTTGAAGAGCTTCTGAGTGAGCGATCCACATGTGAAAGCACTGCTGGCGTACCAGTACAGCAACGAGCTCGAGGCTGTCCAGAGCAGCGCGGTAGCGTAGAGAGGGTGTCGAATGATGCTATACATGCCCGTATCGACGATGGTGGATGTGCGTTCGCGGACCAGAATGCCGTGGAGGTGGTAGCCAAGCTCGCGAAAGGTGCTCTGAGTGAGGACGCGGGCGATCAGCATGCCGGCCAGACCACCGCCAAGCCTGACGAGCAGCTGAACATGTGGATCGACCTTTTCTGGCAGATTGGGGAGTCTGTAGGCCTCTGCAAAGATTGGTCCTCGGAATCTCTTGACTGTCGTTCGGGTGTATCAAGACAATTCTGCTCGGGACAGGCGCGCGGACTCACCCAGGGGTGCGATGACGGGATACAAGACGGTGGGGAAGACGACAAGCATCTGAAGTGGCATGATGAGGGGCTCGAGCCCAGTGGAGGTGTCTTTAGGTGGTCCATTGACTTCCGTGCTCGCCTAATGTAAAACCAGTCAGTGCTGTGCGCGAGTAGGTTGGGCCTGGCTAAAGACCTTGAGTGATGAAGGCAAACTCGAAAAGTTGGCAATGGCCATAGTCGTGCTGATCGACCATGCAATGAATTCGACTTGCTGACCGGGCGTCACATGTATGCCAAGGATCTGCATCTTGTCTGTCCGGGGCTGGACCGGCTGGCTGACGAGCGGCTGCGGCTGCGGCTTCGTCGACGGTCGACTCCTGTCACGGAGTCGCGCGTCATTCTGCATCACCAACTGCAAGCTGCAAGGCCCCGACTGACTGCTGCCGCGGGTCGACGATGGAAGCAACGAGCCCCGCTACCAGCACGGATCAAGCGCCTGACGCTGGGCTAGCATCAGCAGACCATGATACCCCCGAGCTTGCGGCTGGTGGCCAGTCAGAGCTACCAGATCAGGCGACATCTCAGACGGCACAGAGCGAATCAGAGAGCGACGAGGAGGAGACCAGCGATGATGAGCCGGTACCGGCTGCTGTGCTCCAGCGAGAGAAGCGCTCTGGAGCAGGTGCAAAGTAAGCCTGCCTGTCCTAGCAGCGACACGAGGCCTACTCATCTTTCCCCCTTAGGATGCGAGAGATGCTACATCAGGAGCTCGAAGAGGAGGAAGTCTTTGCGGAAGAAGAGAACGATCAAGAGTTTGCTGCCAAAGGTGTGCCGCCCGTGTGTACCCTCAAGGGTCGATCGGCTCATCCGAGGATGCAGATGAGGAGGACATGTTCGATTCAGACTTTGGGTCCACTGGCTCGGAAGCCTCGGAAACAGACGATGGCGCTCCCGCAGTTCGGCACAGGCCACACGCTAGCACGAGCAAGCTATCCAAGGGCAAGGCAAGCTCTGCTCCTCGACTTGACTCGCAATCGAGCTGACCAGCGCTGTAGCGACGCGACGAGGGCTTATACGCCAACATGCCAGCAATTGCTCGGGCTGCCAAGGCGGCTGCCCGAGCAGAACAAGCGAAACTCGACGGCCCACAACCTATCAAGCGGAGAGCGCAGCAGCTGCAGACTAGCTTGTCGAGTGAAGCACGTCGAACGAGCTCGCGCAGATCTGCCGTCGAGTTGCGCGAGGCCATAGACACCCGCCTGCAGGATAGGGAAGCACGTACTGCGCAGATCGTCAATAGACCGAAAGTAAAGCGGCGGCGTAGCCTCAATCAAGCCGATCTCATCGATATGGCGCTTCAACAGGAAGAGATATCCCGCACATTCCTCAGAGAGCTGTCAAGGCTCGAGGAAGAGTACCGCGTGGCCCAGCGAACACATCAAATCAGAACAGCCATGCAAGGTCCCGTTCTGCGTTTCGTCAGCCGCATCGAAGACCACACTCGCGCGCTCGTCGAGGAAGTCTCTGTCGCTCCTGTCGATGCAGAACCACCCTTGCAGCCGCCGAACGACAACGCATCCACGTTGCCCGCGAATGAGCCCACAGTGGCAGGCAGCCGGACCGACACGCCACTGACAGCGTATTCGAGTGACTTAGCACCTGCATCGTCACCCCGACTGGTTGCCCTCGCGTCGACTCCTGCCTCTGACAAGACAAGTGCCTTGGAAACCGAGCCTCGCCCGAGTATTCCTTGCACCGCTGTCAAGAACGAGACAGAGTCCACAGAAATGCAGAGATCGCTGCCGGAACCACGTCCAGCTGGTTCGCTCACCACCGAGCGAGCCATACCCATCGTTCTGGGCAGACACGCCTTGAACATCGAGCCGTCCAACCAGCCTGCCTTAAAACGCGTCAAGTCAGATGCACCCGAGCCGCAGGGACCTCACTCCCGCAACTACCTAATCTTGGACGATTGGTCGGGTAGCAAACACGATATGATGACAGCAATCTTCGGAGAGCATGCAGACTGGAAGAACCTGCGTGTGGTCTCTATCAAGAACCGTGCGACGAGTGAGCTTCTCGTGTGTGCACCATTCAGAGTGCTGACAGTGCCTGCTTGTCAGATCGCAGAGTGCCCCTATGCGCGATCACAGGCTTGCCATCGAATTACAAAGACCCTAAGTCAGGCGTGCCCTACGCCGTTCCATCTGCCTATCCGGTCATACGAGATACACTCAATCACAAGTATGTCTGGAGCCCCGTGCTAGATTGCTATGTCAGCAGGGAGGACTCTCTGTAATCATTTGAGGATCTTGCAGTCCAATGCATACTCGCCGTAGCCGAGTGCAATCATCATATCGATCATGTCGTGGGACATAAATGCCTGAAGGTCGACGATTGAACGTCGACGAACGCCAACGCGCTTGTTATTAATTGTTGGCTATCTCGACCTTGAGCTCGAGCTCGAGCGTCATGGACGATACAATGACAGATGGCAGCAATGAAGGCAAGAGATCCTTGATAAGCTCTACCATCGAGAGCGGCTTGACGATCAGTGTGTCCGTACCCGGCCTGCCATTGGGATTTGCCGTGACGAGCTCATGCCGAGAGTTGTCGTCCTTCACAGCCATCCACTGCCGATCCTCAACATCTCTGAACATCTCACTCGTACTCAGTGCCAGACAGGTCAACGCGATGTGCGGGGTATGTCTTTGGCATTCAGACTCTTGTGACTGCCCGATCCAGAGCTTCACAGTCGCCGGAGCGCTCATCGGCACTCAATCTGGCCGAGAGATCAAGGTCAATAACACCTTTGAGATCCAAGTGGAAGGCACAAAGATTGAGCATGGGCTCCTCGTCTTTAGGAGGGACCAATGTGCGCATCAGATCCACTGACCTGTCGAGGCTCACTCACGAGCAATGCTGCCATCAGTCAAGCAGGTCTTTCCAGTCTACGACATCCTGGGATGGTACACCGTCGGCAGTCAACCGACAGAGATCGAACTCGCTATCCACGAAGAGCTGCTTGCCTACAATGAGTCGCCCATCTTGCTCCAGCTCATGCCAGATCAAATTGGGTCCAGCAAGGACTTGCCCATCGCCTGCTTCGAACGACACATGGAAATCATCGACAACCAACCCCAAACGCAATTCATCCGCGCAGCTCACCGCGTAGAAACTGGCGAAGCTGAACGTATCGCCGTCGATCATGTATCCAAGCCGTCCAGCTCGGGTCGAGGCGGCGGCGACTCCACAGGTCTGTGCATGCCTTCGCCAGATCTGTGGTACTGACCAGAGTCCACACAGCCGTCTCCAACATGGTCACGCAACGCAATGCGATCAGAATGCTCCACGAAAGAGTGGTACTCATCTCGCGCTATCTCGACGCAGTGGCGACAGGTGCGATCGCACGCGACGACGTGCTCCTTCGTCAGATCTCTGCTCTGGTCAAAAGTGTGCCTGCGAGTGATCCTCACGAGCTCGGCGCGGAGTATCATGTGGTCAGCATTCTGCAGACGATCTTCTTGTCCGCGCTCACGGGACAGCAGGAGAGCAACAATGTGGCGCTCACAAACCTACTCGCTAAGATGACAGAAGGACTCCAGACGACAAATCAGGTGCGAGGATCCTGCGAGCAGCGATCACAAATGCTGACTTTGTCACAGTACATCGATCGGTTCAGTCTTACCCGGACACAAGCGAACGGTCAGACAGGATCTGGCCGAGACGCTGGAACCCGTCAACGGAGAGGACGTGGCTGATCAGTATCGCCTGCCGCTCGAAATCAAGGGCTCCTCCAAGAATGCAATGAGTGATGTTGTTGACATGCAAAGTGTTGCTATTGCTGTATTGTCGCACCTGCGCTGCCCAGCGTACCCGCGTAGAGCAGCAATCGACCCCAATTTTGAACGACTACACGAAGATTGCCGTCGTTCTTGCGCAGAGTCGTTAAGCCGCTTGCGAGGAAGACGAGGATCGCGAAATCTGTCATGAATCTGCGGGACAGCTGTAGCAGTGACGAAAAGAGAGCGACTGCAAGAGCCCGCAAGTTGATTCTACTGAACGACGGGACTGATGCAGCGTCACGCAACCGCAGTTGAACCAGCAGTCGAGCCAGTATGCCACGCAAGAATACGACGAGCGGCGAGGAATTCGCTCGCGGCGATGCAGCTGGTCGCGAGCTTTCTAGCGCCTGCAAACGCTCATGCAGGGCAGCAAGCGAGACCTGTATGTTGTCCAGAGCCCTGTCGAGTGCAGGTCTAGATGATCCGGCTTGCGCCCTGGCAGTTAGAGCAGCTTGTGGCGAGACAGGTCTCGCGCCGCCAATGTAAGAGCCTGGCGCGAGCGAGTGCGGCCTCGAGGGCGGTCTCTGTACATAGTGAGACTGTCCGGCTAAGTAGTTGGGGCTCATCATCGGTCGATGAGGGTATCCTGGGTGCGCTTGCGTTGCATATACTGAACCTGGTCTCCCTTGCTGAGCGTAGTACTGACCGGGAGTCGGCGGCTGCGATCTGACGGGACCTGCGACAGCTGAGCTATATACACTGTTTGTGCGCGGAGGAGCTGGAGGATGCATGAGTGTCTGGGACGCTGCTAAGGGTCTCGGTTGTCGATGATGAGATTGACTTGCAGCAGCTGAGCCATCAAAGCCGGCCGCACCCCCTTGCTGATCGTGTGCTTCATCGGTGAAGCTCCCATCGTCTGTAGACGCATCGTCTGTCGAGTCCTGCGAGTTCTGTCTAGCTTGCGGACGTCGCTGCCCGACCGCACGCTGCTGCTGATCGACTGCGCGCAGGCTGCTTGCTGTCAGGGGCGTGCCGCCTGGGAGAGCATGAGCTCTCCGGGACGTCGATTCTCGCGTAGCTCGCGGGAGACGCTCCTCCTCTGTAGATGACGACGTCGACATGGCCGACTGTGACGTTAAACCTACAAAGGCTTCAGTTTGAGCAAGCGCGCACGTACGAGACACCTACTATCAGGCGCGGCAGCGGGATTGCGAGTCTCGCGAGGACCGTGACTATCCAAGTCCTTGATGAGTGTAAGGGCCGTCGGCCTGTCTGAGAAGGTTCTAAGGATCTGTACGCCATAGAATCGCGTCAGTCGAGGTAGTTCGTGGTGGATCATCGTGACCCACGCTTCGCAGTGCATCGATATAGGCTGCCTTTGCTTGTACTGGCGTCAGGTGAGCTCTACGCTTCCATGCGTCCCACTTTGCTCGTCCCAGCATGTCCAACATGCCCGGTCGCGCTGTGCTGGGTGGTCCCTCCGTGGCTAGCTTGCGGCGTCAGATGACCGGCACGATCAAATCAAAAGCTTCTGACCTTGCTTGTACAGACTGGATGCGGACCGTCAGCAACACTTCAGAGGCACTTGAAAGAGGCTGACCTATACAAGAGCAACTTGTCCTCGTAACTTGTCTGTTTTGCGCAATCTCATGAGCTGCCGCTTGTTGAGATGATCAGCGCACACACCTGGATCGGCCCGCTCTTGGGCAGACTGGATGAGCCATAGGTCAGCCATGTCTGCGAAAGGGCGTCCATCAGAAGCACCTCTGTATCATATCGACTGCGCGCTCGAATTGCCTGTGCTCGAGCGGTCAGACATGGTTGCTTGCATGCTTCCATCGAACGTACGCATCGATTGCTCGCTCCATGCCGTGCGATGGCGTCACGAAGGGTCAGCCGGACAGCCAAGTCTGACGGGCGACCGGCAACGACGTGTTCAGTCGGTACAGAACGCGTCTCGCGTCTAGCCTAAGCAGTCTCGCGGGGTCTCGGGCCTCAGGCTCTGCCCGACTTGATGCATCGATCAGGCAAGCTAAGCGCGGGACTTACGGCGCTTGGCACACAGAGATAGCATCCTGCTCAAGATGACGACCTATCCGTAAGTATTCTGGATCTTGTGCTTGATGCTTCCGGCAGGTACTGGGGCCAACGGTGAGCAAGTGTCTGACCGTAATGCAACGTCTCAACGCACCATCGGTTTCGATCGCAGGCTCGCATGCAGGATCGCCATATGTCAAAGCATAGATCGGTCCGCAGAGAAGTTTCAGCTTGCTTGTGGTGCGAGCCGAATTAATTTTGACTGCTATCCAGGGTCAGCCTCGCGCTTTGCTTGGCGTCGCGACGAGCTTGCCTTTCGTTGTACCTACCGAAAAGGTGATATCAATGTCCGCGAGGCAGCATCGACGAGGCCATCCTTCGACTTGTTTGCTCACTGCCTGTGGGCGCTCCGACCAACCGACAGTGACCCATATCTCGTTGGCTCCTGCAGGGTTCTCATTTGATGAGTCTGTGCTGCCCGACGTAATCTCCTGGGCGTTTAGATCGCCATCAGGATTTGCTCGCGCTCTCGTGAAAAGTCTTACGAAGCTGACGTGTGCAGGCCGATGTTCGTCCGTCGCTTCAAGGGCGGTAAAGACGAATCTATGCTGTATCGGCGAGCTGAGCCACGATCGACTATGTCATTGAGAGTTGCATACACTATCGGACTTCAAGACGACGGCATGTCCCCTGATAGTTTGCTGGGCCTGTATTGATGTGACCGATACCCTGAGACTGGCGCAAACAAAGATCGGAACGTAAGGCGCACTTTAAAGGAAGCAACGATGGAGTAGTCGATTGAGCGCTTGGAGAAGGCTCGCGATTCGGGAGTGGGACGAGCTCGGCGTATGTTGAAGTTTTCCTTGCGGACACTGAGCTTGGACGTGTTTTCCCCTATGGCGCTGGCGAAGCGGCACAATATGATGAGCGTTGCCAATATGATTGTATACATAGTCGTCGGTCGTGGGAGGACGGGCGGTGCTCCTTGGCCGGGACAAGTTGCTCAGATAGTACACAACTAAGGTGTTGTCAAGGAGCGCTTCACCGCTGCATGCTGACTGGATGTCAAGGCGACGCCTACTCAGGGGGAGCCGCGGAAGTCCGTATTGTAGCGGTTGCAGGCGTCTGTATGCGGCCTCGGGAGCACTGTGCTCGTAGTCGATTGATCAATCAGGGAAATGCACGTCTTTACCGCTTATGGAGAGTGTTGCTATTGTAATGCCGCGCAGGTGCTCATCCTGACTTTCACCCAAACCGACTCCAGAGCCTCGGCAGCAACGGGCGACCGGACCCGCAAAACGCGCTCGATCGCTGCATTGCTACTGCGCCGCCACATGTCGAATGGATAATAGCTCGTTTTTGTCTCAATCGTGGCTGATGCAGTCGGTCGCAGCGGGAGAGGAAGTCGACTCCCTCGAATCGCAATGTAAGAGTTTGAATTAGAGTCTCGAGCTAGCCAGAACTGTTCTCTATACCAGCATCGATCGAGCCAGAACGCACTGATGGCGACGCGATGATGAGCGAGATTCCGAAGTCGTGATGTTCCGAGGCGCACCTTTCTTGCCGAGCGGAGGATTGCATGCAGCGTCACCGTATGTCAAGGCGTAAATCGGTCCGCATTTGAGCTCAAGGATCTTTCGAAGGCTCATCCTGTTGATCTTGACTGCTCGCTCATGTGAGCGTGCAGCTACGCTTTCTCCATGCATGTGACTTACCCGTATAGAGGCCGACCGAAAACGTCAGATCAAAATCGGCCAGACAGCACTGGCGAGGCCATCCTATAACCTCTTTGCTTTCCTGCTCCGGCCGTTCCGACCAGCCGACGGTCACCCAGATCTCGTCCGTTTGGGCGGGATCGTCAGCAGAGCTACTGACACTGCCTGATGTGATCATCTATGTGAAGACAAACGTCACGAGCACGACTCGTGGAAGTTTTGTATGACGCCTTACAAAGTCGACGTGAGCAGGTCTGTGCCGGCCGTATCCGGGTACCGCTGTGAAAACAAAACGGCGCTGGAAGCAGGACGCTCAGCTGCACATCTGTAGGTCCGTGACAGTTTACAGTCTCAGATTTAAGGACAACGTTAAATCCTTTGACGGTAGTTTGTGCCTGCATGCCAGGGATCGGGTGAGGATGGTCCAGATTGAATCGGACTCGTCGCTCGTACACTGAAGGAGACGCCAACAGAGTAATCTAAGGAGCGTTTGGTGAGGTTTTGCCCGTCAAGAAGTGAAGAGGCGCTGTCCTCGAACTGCAAGCGCCTGATGCTCATCGCATAAGGCAGCGAGGCGCTCGCTGTCCTGAACGACCATGCTACGAGCGCGAAGGCGGCGACATGTTTGGCTGTATACATCACGAGCGAGCGATCGCTAACTGTTTGTCCTCTATGCAAAGTCATAACAGGAGGCGGGGGATGGTTGTCGAGGTTCCAGAAGGCTAACAACTGTTGCCGAGGAGACAGGAAAGATGACGTGGGTTCCTCACAGTCACGGAAGGCGGCCGCGAGATGAGGCGCCTGAACGGCCAGGTCTACGTACACGTCTAGGCGTCTGATCGGCAAGAAGTTGCGCGTTAATCGTTGCCCGCGCGAACTCGGCGACTCGTCGGCTGCCGTGTCAGCGGCCAGGGACGGCTCGACGTTCAGCACTGCTCGACGTTATCATGATATGGTGACAGGGAGTTACTTACCTGTACCGAACGGCAAGGCGAGCCATGACCGTCTCACTCGCTCCAGAGGCCTGCTCCTCGAGTTCCGACGACGACACTATATTCTTGCGCTCTTTGCGCTCCTCACGCTGTTCGTCCTCGTACGACAGCCTCATGTGACCCAAGCAGAGCCAAATCATACCCGCTACGAAGTGCCGCACCCTATAGCCGACTCTCTGCTCGACGCAGGCGACGGAAAGGCAGCATCAGCCGAATTGCTTGCAGCCGCGCAAGACGATGACGCACCTGACGACTCTGACGGCGTGTCTGGCGAGCTTGGCTTCGATGCAGATCAGCTCTTGCCAAGCTGGGGTAGCCCGGTACCCTTAGCGCTCGAGGCTATCAAGGAGCTCGTCGGCATCCGCCCACAGTTCATCGTGCTCGACTATCCGAGTCCATCAAGCTGGCCCCAGCAGAGGCGTTTGATTGAGTCCTGCCTCGAGTTCGGTCGTCTCTTCGAGCGGATACCAATCATTCCAGACTCGATCTGGACTCATAGATGCGTCGAGGGTAACGACTGCAGTCGACATGCCATCAAGACGCAAGTCATCGACGGCCAGCAATACTTTCAGCTCGATATTGCTCATTTTGTGGACATGAGCCATCTGCGATCGACCTACGGACCTGTCATAACTCTGTACGAATACTGTCTCCACTTTGGGCTGAGCCCAAAGCGGATCAGGATCGACGGTCTATGGGACCACAAACTCTACCACCTAGCGCCGGGCGCAGAGCCGGTTGAGTCAATTCTGACAGAATCAAATGGAGCCTCTCTCTTCACGTTGCCGGAGGGACAATATGAGCACACGGACACTTTGCGCGTAGACACGCGCGCAGGCCAAGACGACGCCCCATGGGACAACAAGACAACGACGCTTGGCCTAACGCACGAAGCCGTACTCGAACGCATGTCTAACAGCAGGGTCCTATCGATCGATGCCTTACGCGAAGCTCTACAGCGCGATGGCGAGTTCGATTTGCCAGACGAAGACAGCCTCTTGATCGAAGATTTGAAGCGAGTCGGCTTCGTGGCTTTGTACACATACTCGAGTGTCTGGCAGGCATCTGGGGCGCTCGTCGCCCCAGATACTCAGATCGCTCCGGCTGCAATGGTGCACGGCCTGGCGCAGAATTTCGTCGTGCCAGACGATGTCTTTCTCTTGCAGGGCTCTTTGCCCGTCTGCCTGGGTGGCATGCGCTACAGCACAAGCGACGCACGCGACAGACACACCGCCATGATGCTCGAGAGCCTAGTGCCACCCCAGCACATTCAGAGCGTCGCGGCCTCAATGGCGCTCGCCTTCTCGACTGCAGCAGATGGACGCGCCTGGACGGGCATCGATCTCTCGCCATCCGGTGCCTATCCCTTGTCTTTTCGCCAACTTGGCTGATGCTTCGTGGCACAGAGGGGTCTCGTCAAGACAGTCTGGCAGCACAGACCCTTGACAAGCTGCATGCCGCTCGCATCGCGCTTCGCTCGCACATTGGTCCCAACCGTGCACCAGAAGAGGACGATGCGTACGTGTCTTGCACGGCATGAGCGCAGTTCCTGATGAAGTCGTGCAGCTTCTACTTCTACACCAATCAGCCGGAATCCTCGGCCGAGGTCGTGCAGCTGCGTGAGAATCGCGGGATCGTTTTACAAAATATGCTCGCGCCCGCCGATCGACGAGAGCTCGGATACGCTGCAGACTTCCCTGATCTCCTGGACATACTCTATGAGCAGCTACTCGCGAGATCCGATTACTTCATTGGCAGTCTCAATAGCACTCTGTCGGGCGGTGTACTCAATTCCCGGCAAGCTCGCGGTGGCGAGTCCTGGTCCTATACCACGATGTAACACATTTCCTATCTGTAAGCTCTGTTGTCAGTCACCGCGTGTAGAGCCAGAGGTTGCACGACTGCTTGCTCTCCGTGGACGCAATGAAACAAACGCTGTGATGCATCTACGCAGGAATTTCACTAGTTTAAACAACACCGGCACCTCTAGCGAGCGATGCAAAAATACTGAAACTCACATCAGCTCCGTACGAAGCTATAGATTGGCGTGAACATACCTGTCCGCTTTGGCGAGCAGGTTGCTAGGCGAATCGAACTCGGCGACCCGCTGCGAGACTAGTCAGTACAAAACGTCGGCCGACGTACGCGAAACATACGCCTTTGTCCATAACGATTATGCGGTCCGAGTCCATGATGGTGTTGAGCCGGTGCGCAATCGTGAGCACAGTGACACCCTTGAATTCTTGCTTCAAGATATCTTGAACTTCTGAATCGGTCTGGATGTCTAGATTCGCTGTCGCTTCGTCCATGACGAGAATCTGAGTGCTCCGGAGCAGTGCTCGACAGAGACACATAAGCTGTCGCTGTCCAGACGAGAGATTTGACCCTGCGCACACCTTCAGCCATTCGTCAGCAAGTCAAGCCGGACACTTGCCGCCCTCGTCTACGTGAGCATCGAGCCCGCCCTCCTGGAGGTACATTAGCTTTGCGTTTGGAGGTATTGACAGCGACAAACCATGGTCTGGACGTGCGTTTTCAGTCGCGTGTTCTCAAGGGCTCGCCAGAGTTGCGTGTCTGTGGCTTCTCGGGTTGGATCGAGGTTATCTCGCATGGTACCTGCTCGTGCATGAGCGCCATTTTCGCGGCCAAAAACAGCAGCGCACCCTCGAAACATTGCGAGTCCTGCGGAATAATACTGAGTCGCGATCTGAGGTCGTGTAAACCTATTTGAGAGATGTCGACATCATCGATGAGTATCTTGCCCGCAGCTGGTTCTATAATGCGGAAAAGACAGTTGAGTAGTGACGACTTGCCAGCACCGGTACGCCCGCAGACGCCGACTCGCTCTCCAGGCTTGATCTTGAAATTGATGTCCTTCAGGATCAGGTCAAACCCTGCTCGATAGCGCGTAGCGTAATCGACGAATTCGATTGCGCCCTTGCTGGGCCAATCAGCCGGTGGCCTGTTGTCAGATATGACTTCTGGTGCTTCAGGCGGTAAGCTGATATATTCTTGCATACGCTCGATCGAGACAATGTTCGTCTCGACTTCTGTAGCTGAACGAACGATCCAATTGAGCGCCTGGGTCGTGGACAGAGCGTAGGTCATCATAAGGCCAACCAAGCCTGCGTCCAGAGTCTTAGATCGCACGAGACCAAAGACTGACAGCAGAGCAGCAGCAAAAATGATGATGCTGCCGATGAACTCGAGCCTGACCGCTAGCCAACGATTGCAAGACACTGATGGGAAATACGCCCGTTGGTTACGATCGACTTTGCCCTCATTTTCTGCTGAGAAACGCTTCTGCTGACGATACGCCCGGATCGTAGTCAGGCCAGTGAGCGTCTCTGAGAAGGAAGCAAAGATGGGGGATTTGCTTGTTGCATCGAGTCGCTTGAGTGCACGGGAGGTCGCCAAGTAGTACGACTGAATACGCTTATAAGCGAATAAGAGCGGGATGACGACGACGAGAAATAGAGGCGCCGATGTCGATATGACCACTATGACACCAATGACTGAAGCGAGAGTCCTGAAAAAGCCGCCAAACACGCGCGCGAGGATCTCATCGCATACTGCAACGTCCCGACTGAACCGATCTGTCGAAAGCATCAGTAACACGTCAATACTGAGTATTGCACGGGCAACACGTACTGAGCACAGTGCCAATAGGCGTCGTCTCGAAGAACAGCATGGGCGATCGAATGACGGCTTCGTACATGGAGTCGTGCATCTTTCGTGCGCTCCTGACCACGCAAAGGGCGTAAAGCAAGACGCCATTGATCGTGTAGGTCAGCGTCGTAAGCAGGCCGAGAGCATAGTATACGCCCAGCCAATACGATAGATTGCCATTTGTACCTGTCTCGTTATTATGCTGGCTCCAATCCTTGAGCCAATAATTCGTTACGATTGCTAGGAGTTGTTGCAAGACAATCGTAGATAGATAGCAAAAGACGCCAAAGGCCCCATTTGCCTTTATATATTCTTTGTAGACGTCAATCTTGACGGATCCTTGTTCGACAGTCTCTTTGATCTTGGCGGACCGTTTGCTCATATTGACCGATTCTTTCTTCGACTCTCGAAGCGAGACCTTTTCTAATGTCAGCCACGTGGATCTATATAAAGTCGCTAGGCGTACCATTGACGATTTGCGGACGATGGCCGAGCTGACGCGGCGATGATGGCCATTAGGCATCCCGTTCGGTTTTTCGAGATCTTCTTCAGCGGAAATCGCTTCTTCTTCGAATGCCGGAGTAGTCTCGGCTTCGTCCGTGTCGTCGGTAGATTTGTGCTTGCCATGATCTTGTATTAGGGTGTAAATCTCCCCCTTGGCCTTTTGAACGTCGCCATAAGAGCCTCGTTCGACGACAATGCCGCCGCGGAGCATGATGATCTCGTCAGCTTTGTCAAGCACAAAGATAGCATTGGTCGCAAGTAGGCGGGCTTTGGAAGCGAGCAGGCCGCTTGGGCCCAGCACACGCTCGAACAGATGTGCTGCAACGTGCGCGTCAACCGCTGACAGCGGATCGTCAAGCAGAATTATGTCCGGCCTCGAATACACTGCACGCGCGAGGGCAAGGCGCGCTTTCTGTCCGCCCGACAGAGAGATCCCCTTCTCACCGACTTCGGTCTCATCACCGTCCGGCAGAATGGCAAGATCCTCGCGTAGCGCACATGCGTCCAGCACCTGATCGTAAAAGTCCTGCTCAAAACGATGACCAAACGTGATGTTGGTCTTAACGGTGCCGCCCATGATCCACGGTTGCTGGGCCGCATAGGCAACTTTCCCTCTTACCTTGACCTTGCCGTCCAAACGAGTCATTTCTCCTAATATTGCAGACAGCAGCGAAGACTTGCCGCTGCCAACGCGTCCGACGATCGTGATGAGCTCGCCTTTCTTGAGTGATAAGTTGATGTCGTGTAGGGTAGAGCTGTTTTGCGCAGATGCAGACCAGGAGAATTCACCTTGCCTGATCGATACGAGCTCATCGCCAGCTCTCAGTTTGCCTCGCACTTCCTCGATCTCGGTCGCATCTTTCTGAAGTTCCTTACTCGACAGAAAGGTAGTCAGACGCCCAACTGCGACATATGCTTCCACCCAGGATGTGAAGACGACGGGCAATGACGAGAGAGGAAACGAGATGAGCTGAAAGAGTGATATCGCTGGGAAGATGATATCGCTTGTTAGGGGCTTGCCAGTAGTCGTCGCGTACAATGTGAATGTCAAGGCTGAGACGAGAAAGGGAGTCAGATTCCACAACCCAGTGCTGCACGCGCTGAGATATCCCATCTTGCGCAAGAGGGCAAGCTCCTTGTCATTGCGGATAGCGAAGAGGCGCTGCGCGAATGCGCCTTCCCACGAGTACAACTTGATCGAACGGATATTGTTGAGAATCTCGTTCATCATGCGCGTTCGCTGATCCTTGTTCTTCATCTGTCGACGCTGCATTCTAGTCATGTAGCGAGCCACGATGGCGTTGGCAGGCATCGACAGGATCATCACGCCTACGCCGACCAAGCCATAGTAGCCCAGTAGGTTGTAAAGTGAAACAAAGGCAAGACAGATTTGGAAGATACCAGACCAAGCAATCTGACCATACGTCATTACGTCTTGCAGTCTGCTGGCATCGACTGACATGCGGTTCACAATGTCGCCCGTCGTGGTGTCGGTTTTGGCTTCATTCGAAAGGACGAGGGACTTGTCATAAATAAAGGTGATCAGGCCGGTCCTGACGCGCATTCCTGTCTCGAAGCAGTTCTGGAAGTACTGATGCAGGAAAGCCGTCTGCACCACGGCACAGACGAAGAAGCCAATCGCGATGACGTAGCCTTTATATTCTGGCTCTGGATGATCGCTTCGGTATGTCTCGACGAATGAGAGTAGCCGTCTGAGTAATTGAGGTTGAACAAAGGCCAGCATGTCCTGGAAGGCCTTGAAAATTGCGGCATAGAAGAAGGGCGCCCCGTAGGCTTTGGCGAGCGCGATGACCAGAGAGGGCTTCTCTCGGTACGCCAGCTGCTCATCCCAGAATTTCCGTAGACGAGCGCCGAGAGCATCTGCCTGATCCGCCCTCGGTAGATTCCAAAGGTCCTCCTCAGCGAGGTTTTTCTGGACGCCCAGTCGCATGAGTGGAGTCATCCAGGAGAAGGTGAGCCGAGCGAAGATGTTGGAGGTGACAACGGGCGCCTCATACTGCTCCTCGCCATCCTCTGCGAGCTTGATATAGCCACCCTTGCGATTGCTCTCCGGTCCAAAGCACTCCATCACGAAGAGAGCAGTCTCGAGGCCGAAGAGGATGCAGAACAAGATGAACGAGCCGAGGTGGTGGCGGTAGGAGAGGGTGGTGATGGTAGTACGAAGCTTGATGAGGTTGACGACCAGCTGCAGGAGCAGGAAGAAGAGGATGGCAGTGCTCGATCGACGCTGAGTCATGTGGTTGCGAAACGATAACGGCATCGACATCGCAAAGCCTGCTAGCGTCAGCAGGGACACGATGAACTTGATCCATCTGTCGCCCGATGACTCTGTGGCTACCACGACGGTGTACGCCAGCTGGCCGACGCAGATAATGATATAGGCAGCCTGTGAGCATCCGATCAGCTTCATGGCCTTCGACGGGTCAGCAACAGCTGAGACTTGCCAGCTTGAGGAACGGCAGCCCGCTGGCCCGGAAACCTGCCGTCTGGCTTTGACGAGTGGCATTCCTCAGCTTGTAGAGCTCTATACCGCCGAAGAAGTAGATGACGATCAGTGGTACGAGGGATACCACTCCATCCTCGAAACACAGACTGAACCTGAAGTCGGCCGGCGAGGCGGGGCCCCAGCCATCTGCGCTACGGCACAGATAGTCCTGAAAGACGACATTGGCCGATGCCATCCTCGGAACACAGTGAGCGCGATAGTCCTGGAGCCTGGAGTTTGGTCTCAATTTCAATTCGCGACGAAGATCCTCGCGATCTGGGAGGGCGGCAACACACAGATCATGCGAGGTCGGATGAGAGGAGCATGCATCTCAGTACTGCCACTTGAGCGTGCCATCTTGGGACACAGTCGCACGGCGAATGAGGGTCTCCTCGATCTTGTGCCGCAGACCGGGTTTGGCCGTCCAATCCTTCTCAAGGACGCGCACCACTTGCGCTGGCTTGAGCGCAAAGCTGCCAACGCTTGGCCAATTTCCTTTGACGACGCTGCCAATGACTTCCTCCGATGGCAGGGCGTTTCTCTCGTGAGGATATTCAGTATAGGCCGGCAGCGACGAATCGATGTCGAGCTCCGGAATGGGTACGCTCGTCTTGGACTCGTTGGCAAAGAAGTCGGCGGTAATCTGTTCGCTCGAGACTTCGGCGATCTCGCTCGGATACCATTGAGGTCGCTGCTTTCGTAGCTCCTTGTCCTTCTGGATCAGCTGGTTATGCACCCCGGTGAAAAAGTCTGGCGCGATGTCGGGATCCTGTGGGTTCTGTCAGGGCTGACAGGCTTCCTGAGACAAAGCAGACTGACGCAGAAAGTCCCTGCTAAGCGCATATCCATCCTGAATGTCTGGTCGATGTCCAGCTTTGCAGCATTGCGGATCGCTTGCAAAGTGACTTTGAGACTCGTCGGACTGCGCATTTTGAGCGTCGTCAGAGTCCTGCTTGCCCACTCGGCGACATCAGAATCCTCGCCTGATACCGTACGCTCCAGCTCTGCCTGGATCTCCTCGATGCTATCATGCGCAAAGGCGCGATCGATGGCTTTGCGCTGCGCAGACGTGATCGTCTCGGCAGCGCTCGGCGTGGGATCCTTCTCGCCTACTGTCGCGTCGGCGGTGTACTCGTTCAGCGTATCATTGACGAGTGCGTTGACGTCGGTCGCAGGATCTGTGATGTCTAGTTCTGCTAGTCGCTGCTCGAGCGCAGGCAGACGATCGGAGTGGATGTAGTGGGTCGCGATTCGGGCTTGGCTACGCTGTTGGTGAGCGCTGTCATCGTGCATGGCAAGAAACACGTACTAGGCTGCCCATCCATTGAGTCCCTGACTGGTCAGGCCGAGGTAGGTTCCTAGTTCGCCGTCCATGCGGGCAAGAAAGAAAGTAACGCCAACATCTGGATAAAGTCCGATTGTCGTTTCGGGCATTTTGAACAGCGTATTCTCTGTCGCCACCCGGAAGTGGCCATGCACGGATATGCCTACACCGCCTCCCACTGAGCTGACAATCAGCACCAGGACATCAAGGCTAGCCGGTAGAAAGACGCACTCGTGAAGCCATCGAGCAAAGAGATGACCGTCTTGGGATACTTCGCGACGAGATTGTCGATCTCGTACTCAGACCGAAAGAAGGACATAGCTTGTGCACGGCCGGCTGGCTCTTTGGCACCCTGTACGATGGCTGCGCGACTGTCTCAGCAGGCGCGTGGAGGCGCGGAACCGGTCGGCTTGCCTACGACGTCTCCACCTGCACAAAAGGCTCTGCCTGCACCTTTGATGAGCACAAGTTTGCATTCTTGCTTGTCCTTCCATCGCTGCTGGCGTGGCTTAGCTCAAACTGCGCCTCCGTGCAGGAACAGGAGCCAAGGCGCACTCTTAAGGCAGGCTTGATGATGTTCATCATGTCGAGATTGAGCGAATTGAGCGCTTTGGGCCTGTTGAGCGTGATTGTGTACAGATTCGACTCGTGCGACAGCTGCACGGCCTGCTGCATGGCACCAAGCTCAGGGAGGGTCTTTGACACGGATGATTGACGACTCGCTTGTTCGCTTGTACTCGAGCTTGGGCTCGCAGCTGACGAGAGATGCTTCGAGACCATGGTCGCTCGTCTTGTGCTTGACATGACAGCTCGTCTGGGTCGGTGCTGAGCCCGTGTGGAAGAGGCAGAGGCCGAGATGCAAGAGCAGACAAGTCTTTTGCTGCCCAAATGCTCGCCAACGATCGGGTTGTTCGAGATGGCTGTGCTTGCTGTCCTGCTCGGCGCTAGCAAGGCTCGAGCCAGCGCTCTCTGCATCAGCAAGAGCTCTCGAGCAGCGCAAGCGTGGCGGCGACGGTTCGTCGGCAGTTCACGCAAGCACTCTCAACCGTCTCGTGTCAGTCCAGTTCGACGTGCGGTCAGGGCGCTGACGGCTGCTGTTCCTTCCTGCTGTGACCCGAGAGCTTCCGGGGCTGAGAGATCCGTACGATAGACGACAACGCAATGTCCAACACAGTCTTTTCGCTTTGGACGATCAACAAGGCCGGCGGACTGATCTACCAAAAGACCTTCAATGGCAAGTCTCTCGCCTCCAAACCAAGCCGCCCAGACTCGCAAGCAGACGAGACTGACAGCGTTGAGCGTCGGCAGATGGTCTCGCGAGCCTCACCTCCAACGAATACCTCGTCCTTGCCGGCACTTACCACGGCATCCATGCCATCACGAGCAGGATCAGCCCGACCGGTCACTCGTCCGGCGTCGAGGTCGTCGAAGCCGAGCACTTCAAGATGCACTGTCTGCAAACCCCTACAGGTAAGCTCTTCCCTGTCGCAGACGGCACGGCATCCGAAGGCTCATGCAAGCCGGACAGGCACCAAGTTTGTGTTGATCAGCTCGCCCTCTCATGCGTCACCAGAGAGCGTGCTCAGGAAGATCTACGAGGCCTACGCCGACGTCCTCAAAGATCCGTTCTATACTGCGGAGATGCCGATACGCTCTGCGGCCTTTGACGCCCGCGTCGCTCGTTGTGTCGCCTGACGAACGGCCACGCGCCTACCGATCGATATCACCTCGTGTGCATTGGCCGACAGTACGAGCAAATCTATAGCTTCGATTTGGACGATTTGAGCTTGTCTTGCTCCTCGCTCGAGCCGACGACCGCGCCATACTTGTCAGAGGCACCTTGCACGTCGATAGCTCTCTGCAAGCGATCGGACACGACCAAGTCAGCTTCCTCTCTTCGTGGCGCTCTCGACGCCTCCCACAGAGACGGACGTACGGTGGAGGGACCTTTTGTTCCATGGCGCTCTGTGCCTTGGCCAGAAGTAGGATCAGACTCCTTGCCGCTTCTCAGGCCGTCGCCGTCGGTCTTGACGTTGTCCACCGAGGACGCTGCGGCGCTAGTTGCAGCTCCGTTGGATTTTCCCTTGCCTTGAGGTCCTGACTGGCTATCGGGCGCTGCTTCCTGACCGCCAACTTTGGCGCCGTATTTGTCCTGCGTCTCCAGTACTTTGCTTGCTGGCTGTTGGTCATCCGTGTCAGCTGAAGATCTCTCATGTCGACGACGATGGGTCACTCACTGGTGCCATCGTCGTCCGAGTTCACTGTGTCGTGCTGGTCAAGCGCCGGCGCTGCTGCCGATGATCGATGGATGGACGCGATCTTCGCGCCATCGTCATCGTCCTGGCAGAAAGGCTGTCTATCGTTTTGACTGGCAAGACCATGGCCGGTCCTTCGCTCGAGCTTTTCAAGTTCTCATTCTACGGTCAGCCCCGCTCAGCCATGCGAGGCCATCGAGCGCGCTTAGCCTTGCCAGTAGTCTTCTTTCCTATTGCAATGATGATCCACTACGGCGACCCCGATTGGTATCATCGCAACGTCTATGCCTTTCGAGACCACTTCACCAAGCCAGAGATTGAGCATAGAGCAAGCGGCCAGCCACACAACCTTGTGACGAGACTGACTGCGCTCCTGCAGCGGTCGCCTCAGAATGAGGACGAACTCAGGGAACGGTTGGCTCAGGCCAGGTTGGAAAGACTCGCCAAGCGAAGGGACCGACTTGCAGACCGGCAGCAGTCAGTCGGTGCCGACGATCGTCTGTTACGAGACCAAGAACAAAAGGTAGCAGACGCCAGAAGGCTCGTCTGACGGACATGCGCAAAGCATGATGCGAGGATGTCCTTCGTCTCACTCAAAGATCATCACGACGATACCGCGCGGAATGCAAAGTCCAGACAGCTATGTGCTCGGCTGCAAGCTCTCGCTCCGCCGTACGGCCTTCGGCTTTGATCGGATGACGCAGCGGATGGGCCCGCTCTCAAGTGAGACAGACTCCATGGCTCATTTGTTTCCCTGGTCGCCGAATCAGGCCAATGCACCTGCGAGCTTAGACGAGGACCTACGCGTCGACCCCCCTTCTTCTGGCGGGTGATATGGCCGCGCAGCTTTTTCTGTTTGTCCGCTAACGACGAGAACTTTTTGCCTTTGATATCGCGCGAGTTGACCATCATGACATAGTTTTTCTTCTTGCGCTTCTCTTCGTTCGTCGAGCTCGATGGCGTGCTGTTCTTCTTGCCCTTCGAGCTACCAAATTTGGCTCGGCCTTCGCGTCCTTCCTTGATCATGGCCAACCGCTCCTCATAATTAGCTTTGGCCTTCTTCTGCACACCAATGATATCGCCCTCTGACAAGAATTCGGCGTCTTGCTTCGCCTTTTTGTCTTCCTGAAGCTGAGCAAGCTGCTTGCGCGTAGCCGGGCCATTCGCTTTGGAAGCTTGCTCGGCGGCTGCCAAGCGCAGTTCCGCCAGCTTTGCAAAGTCCGCTGGCGTGAGGATCTGTGAACCGCATGCGACGATTCAGCCACCACATTGAGGCAGCGTACAAGGACCATGCCTTGGTAGTAGCGAGATTCCCCAGCTCGCCGACTGCAGCAGGCTGTGAGAGCTGCACAAGGGTCACATCTGACGCTTCTGTACGTTTTGGCGTCTCCTTGCGCCTCTTGACATGGACATCGGTGTCGCTCTCGCTTAGCTCAATGTCATCTTCGCCATCGCTCACAGCTACCCAGCCGCCGGAAGACACATCGCTGGCCGACTCTGCTTCCCAATCTTGCCACCCAGTCTCAGAATTCTCTCCCTCATTGTCAGCGCCGCCCTCGGCCAGTTTGTCTTGCAGATGGTGCTCGAGCAGCTACAGCGGCGATCATCAGCTCTGCTCTCCGCCACAGAGAAAAGCTTACCTCGAGGCCTTCGATAGCGGTAGTGGACGTTCTGTCGTGGCCATATTGAAGCACCGTCTTGGTGTCCATCGTCATCGTCGCTGTCTTGCCTCTTTCGCGTTTGCGGAGCAATCCTGGATTGACTTCGCGATAGAGAGAGAGCAAAGAGCGCGAGGCCACCATGACGCCTTTGTCTCGACTCTTGCGATATTCCACCAAGTCTTCAAGAAGGTCTTTCTCCATGCACCAAGGTTGACGACGACAGATCTCCGTGATGGCGTTGAGACCGGCAGCGATAACTTCTGCTGCGACGCCGGGATGAACGAATTCGGCCGCGAGCTTACGGACGACTGGTTCGAGTACATCTGGCGGCGTCAGATCATGCACAGATTGCGCCAGAGCGACGAGTATCTGGGTGATATTGAGCTGATGATGCGTCAGATATTTGATCAGGTAGGAGTAGAAGCCCAAAACATGGAGCTTGTGCGAGGATGTGACACGAGCCAGGAGCTGCATGATGACGATTTTGTGCTCGAGAGGATAGACTTTGTCAGATTTGAGCAACTGGACATCGTATAGCTTGTCGACGAACCCCTGCGGGTCGTTCATGAGATGTATGGCTGAGAAATTGGCTGTCGCTGAAGCTGCAGCGTCTTTCCTCTTGCGCTTCTTATTCGCCAACTTGATAGCTTCTTTGGCCTGGCGCTCGTTTGACTTTGTCTTCTTGTTGATGGTCAGCCGATGTTTGACCTGTCTGATATCTGGGCCCTCGTCGCTGTCATCGTCGCTGTCCCAGCCTCTCGATGTGGCTTCGTCGGGACTGCCGCTTGACAGGAAGAAGTGCAAGGCAGCCGATTGAACCTTCACATTGTGATGAAACACCGCAGCTTCGATGATGGAAACGGTCTTCGCGTCCGTCCAAACCTGCCTTCGCCAGAGCTCAGACGCTAGCCTGACGGCCCAGAGTGCTTCTCTGCCCGTCATCTCGGCAGAACGCTTCTCGCCTCTCCGTGAGGGCGGGTGTCCCTGCACGCCCTCTTTGGACGGTAGACCTCGCTGGACCATCTCGAACAGGAGCCCCTGCACGAGGCGATTCAATCGGTGGTTCTTGCCAGTTTTGTTGGCGTTCCTGACGTCGCGCAAGATGATCTTTAGGACGCCCCCGCGTTCGGACTTGCTCAAACCAGCCGAAGAGGAGCCTGCGCTCGAACCACTGGCGTTGAGACTTAGGAGCGGAAAGAGAATCTTGAGAAAGTCGATGCCATTGAGACAATCCCTGTTGCGCAACAAAACGAGGGCACCAATCAACGCGTGAACCGTATCGTGAGACAGAGTCGAGGAAGGATCGAGTAGCAACTCTGAGATCGCCTGAGATAGGTGGGGCAGCGTCATGGATTGATATGAGGGCGCACATTGAGACACAAAATTGACAAGTTCTCTAAATTTGGTCTCGATCTCTCTGCCTCGCCGAGAGCTGCTCCCGCCTGCGACGACATCACCAGATGTGCTGGCACCAGACGTACTAGCGGTCGCAGAGCCGGAAACGAGGATCTGGTACAGCGAGTTGAATTGATTCCATTGGATCAGAAATTCTTCCTTGTAACCGACAGGATCTCGCTTGATCAGATTCTGCAGTGCCGGCAAGTTGGCGATCAGCAGAGCGCCTCTCGACTGCTTCACCTTTTCGCCTTTGACAGTCGTCCCGGACTGGGCAAGAGAGGTGACAGTCGAGCTCATGCTCATGATTTCATGGAGTCTGAGAAATTTGGCACGACACATCACGCGACTGGGAGCTTCGGGACAAAATCGACGATGCCAAATGAGCGACAACGGGTCATCGTAGGCGTGCTCGCTCTCCAAGGAGCTTTTGCCGAGCATCTCCAGCACCTCTCGCTCGTTGCTGCCGCTCACCCGGAGCTAGGCGTCGAGCCTCGGCTGATCCGGACGACTGAGCAATTGTCAGCATGCCACGGACTCATCCTTCCTGGCGGCGAAAGTACGACGATGTCGCTCATCGCAGATCGCATGGGCATGCTTGAGCCTCTCCGTCGGTTTGCCAGGTCATGCAAAGGGCCCGATGCGCAAAAAGCGATATGGGGTACTTGCGCTGGCATGATTCTACTCAGTGATCACGTCGTTCAGGCAAGTACAAAGGAGGGCGGTCAGCAAGGTCTCACTGGCCTGGCCATCAGCATCGTGCGCAACCAATGGGGCCGACAGGTGAGTCATCGCAACCCATCGCCCTCGCATACTTATCGCATCGAGTAGACAGAGTCATTCGAGTACCCGCTCACTATTGCTGGCATCACACAACCGGAACTGCCTTTCCCAGGCATCTTCATTCGTGCACCTGTCGTACATACGCTGCTCGCCCCGAAATCAGACAGTCAGCATCTTGCGACAGGAAGCGATTCGGTCCATGTGCTCTCAGAGATCGAATGGTCTCTTTTGCCACAGCCGCGGCGTACCCAGTCGTCGAAAGCCCATCAACCGGATGACAACAGCCGCACGGGCGACTCGCGCTTACTACCGCTGGGACCGGATGCCAACGTCGTCGCGCTCCGTCAGGAGCGTATTCTCGCGACTGCCTTTCATCCAGAGCTGACACGAGATAGCCGCTTGCACGAGTACTTTGTCCGCGAGCTAGTGCTCGAGCAAGGAAAGCTGTAGACCGAAACGTAGATTGTTGTTGCAACCCATGTATCTGTCGTCGACCGCATCATGGATCGCGATCGTCTCATGACCAATCTACACGACCGGAGATGATCCCGAAGAAAGAGCGTGAAGATCTACCAGCAGAGATCGCCCGGCACCGGCGGGGCGGGGGGCAACTTCAAAGTCGCGCCAGATTTTAGAGCCGAGTTTGTCGATTTTACTCGAGCCCAAAGTCAGCTCATCTACCAGCAGGACGACTCTGAGGACAGCCTGACGCTCTACAGAGCTTGTCTGCGACACGACCATGTCGCTCGATAATCTCACCAATCTAGCCGTGGCGAATGCACAGACGTTTGCACGGTCCTATGCCGGTAACAGCGATAACAGAGAGAGCACGATCACATCATTCTTCTGGTCACAGACCTCGTCCTCTGCATGGACTACCGCACTCGTCATCATCGCGAGCCTGCTCATCTTGGAGCAATCTGTATACAAGTCTGTTCCTGACCGATCACGTCTATCGCCCCTGGAGCTAACCTGGTTCCTGGTGCCGATCAGGCTCAAGAAGAGGCATCTACCGGGGCCCTCATGGACGATACCCGTCATCGGTCGATTTGCCGACTCTTTGAACGTGTGTGTCTCGTCAGTGGCGCGATTGCAAGTGCTCATATCGCGCCTCTTCGCGACAGCCCACCATGGAAGTCTATAAGAAGGGCTGGGAAGTGCCGTTATCGGCCGTGTCTGTCTTCAACATGTGTGTCTGTCCTGCCCCGTCGATCTAGGCCCATTTGACGCGCTCCCCTGACCTGCAGCTTCATTGTCATGGCCTCTGAGAACAAATACACACGCAAGATCCTCAACAGCCCAAGCTACACGGAGCCCTGCCTCGTCGCATCAGCCAAGCAAGTCCTCCTCAAGGAGAACTGGTACGCCGTGTCCGAGACGCGCAGACTGCCGCTGACGCAACATTGCGCAGGGTCTTCCTGAACGGCAAGGTGCATTCTGAGTACCGCAAGGGCCTCAACTGCCTCTTTACTCGCAAAGCACTCGGTCTCTACCTTGAGACGCAAGAGCGAATCTACAAGGCCACCTTTGAGAAGTGGTTGGCCGATCCGTCCGAGAAAGCGCGTCCGATGCAGATGGCGTTCCGCGATCTCAATATGGAGACCTCGCTTCGCGTCTTCTGTGGCGACTATATTCCCGATTCCGGCGCCCAGGAGATCTCGGACAAATACTGGCTCATCACACAGGCCCTTGAGCTCGTCAACTTTCCACTTGCCCTGCCAGGAACGAAAGTGTACAAGGCCATCCAAGCTCGCAAGTCTGCTATGACATGGTTAGAGCACGCCTCTGCACAAAGCAAATTGAGAATGTCGGCCGGCGGCGAACCAAATTGTCTCGTCGATCGCTGGATCAAAGAAATGCTTGTGGCGAAGAAGTATGCCGACACAAGTGAGCAAGGTGAGGGCGACGAGGCAGGCTCGCGTCCCATGTTGATCCGCGAGTATTCCGATCACGAAATTGCCATGGTTGTCCTCTCATTCCTGTTTGCGAGTCGTACGTACTTCGATCCATGGCCAGTCTCGTCCGCTGACCCCCCACGACTGACTACAGAGGACGCCATGACTAGCTCCATCACATTTGGCTTCCAGTATCTCGCCGACTATCCTCAGGTGCTCAGCAAGGTCCGTGAAGAGCAGTACAGGATACGCAATAACGACGTCACTGCGCCCTTGACGCTCGACCTTATCGATCAGATGCCTTACACACGCGCAGTCGTCAAAGAAGTCCTGCGGATTCGTCCGCCCGTCATCATGGTTCCCTATGCGACTACCAAAGCGTTCCCGATCTCAGACGACTACACCGTACCTGCCGGTACTATGTGCATCCCGAGCTTCTGGAACAGCCTCCACGATCCCTCAGTCTACCCCGAGCCGGACGAGTTCTTGCCCGAGCGGTGGCTCGAGGGTGGCTCTGCCATCGGAGAGGGCTCATCGCCCAAGAATTGTCAGTCTCGCGTTTGCCAACCGCAACAGTGTGCTGATCTTTGCGTTCACGCGCGACCCGCAGACCTCGTATTCGGCAGTGGGCCTCATCGCTGCATCGGCCAGGAGTATGCTCAGCTTCACATGACTGCCGTCTTTGGCACAGCGTCGGTCTTGATGAACTGGCAACATGAGCTCACGCCTGAGAGCGACAAGATCAAGATTATCGCCACCATATTCCCCCAGGATGAATGTCGACTGAAGTTCACAGCCAGACCAGCGCCTGGTCGGGACTAGACGGCCTTTATGGCCTGCCTCACTCCATCATCACTTTAGAAGTTGTACAGCATGCAAGCGCGCGATCACTCGTTCCCACTCGGCCGGTGCTGGTTGAGAGACATGGTGATCGACGCATGCAGCATGCGCTTCTTGCCCCATAGCCAGTCTGACTGGAGCCTGGCCACTCACCGAGCCTGGAGGAGCACCATCCCGTAGAGCAGGCTCGTTACGTGCTCGCCGACAATAGGCGGAGCAACGTTCGCACCAATCGGGCAAGATAGCCTGCTCCCCCGCGCGAACTGCAACTTTCGAAGGAGGGGCGGCCCATCTGCAAGGGGCGGCCGTCTGACAGCTGACAGGCTATTGTCACGCAAGGCGAGCGCCAGCAAGACGGCAGTGACACAGCACACGGCTCACAGGCAAGCTGACGAACAGTGATCTGCGCAGACAACCTAGCCTCTCTGAGCAGTCGAGCGTTCTGGTCATAACATCATCTGCCGCCCGCCTAACCGCACTGTCCGGCGACGGAGATCAAGGCTCGACCCGACTGACAAGTCCCGGACCAGCTTGTTCGCAACTTACAGCTCAGCACAAATCACCGCAGTACAAGACTCCGCCCTTGGTCGCACGACAAAGGCAGCAATGCCCGGTTTTGAAGCCTTGTCGCTCTCTAGAGCACTCAGACGTAAGCAAAAGCGAGACAAGGAGAAGACCGTCCAGCGTTCTGATCGCACTGCATCAGCGCACTGCAATGGTGAGCGTCTTCGGCTGTGCCATCCACAACAAAGGCTGACGTCGTCCTGACCAGACGATGTGAGCAGTTCGGCCAACAGTCGATCACTAGCGTCGATGCGAGCTCTAGCAGGATCACAAAACCTCGCAGCGAGTCGCTCGAGTACGTCCCTGCCTGCCCGTAGTCGTGCAGATTCGCTGTATGCTTCGGATACATACTCGTCAGCTGCCGGCTCCGCATTCAGCTCGGAAGACGATGACTCGGATGCAGACAGACACAATGGCGTTTCAGCACCTTACATTGAAGCCAAGATCAATGCGCGCGTCAACGGCCCGACCGCCCATGGGCGTCTGCGACCCGCTGCGCGTACAGCGAATATACCAAGACCGCGCAGCATGTATGAATTAGATGCTGCTGATAGAGCCACGCGACGGAGGCCTGCCGAGAAGAAGCACAAGGACGCAAAGAAAGCTGAAGATCGTCAGAACAGGACGTCAGTTACCGAACGAGATCGTGGTTCGCATACCAGAAAGAGCGCGAGACAACCGGAGAGCTTAGACAGCGCCAGGTCCGGCCGGACCAAAGCATATAGCGCGATAGCCACACGAGAGGACACGATACAAGAGAACTCGCCTTCCTCGAACAGGTCAAGTCTAGCTGGCTCCACAACCTCCAGCGTCGCAGCCGGTCTGAAGCGCAGTATTTCGTTGTCATCTCTAAAGTCAAGCAAGTCGGCAAGATCCTATCGCTCGACCAGAAGCAAGTCATCGCAGTCTGTAAAACACGAGCAAGCCAAGCAGCGGCTCAAGTCCACCATCTCGGGCCCTATCGAGGCGCGCTTTGAGCGCACAGACGACCCCTTGTTCGAGCAGAAGTCGCTGTCCGACGATATAAGTCGAGACGAGCCACACAATGCGAGCGTGCATGCTATGGCGACGAGAGGCAATTTATCCTCATTCGATGCAGGGAGATCGTCTCCATCGCCCGAGCACTCGTCGTCCATAGGTCAAGCAGCCTCTTTCGACATTCTCGGTCACGAACTCAATCACAGACTCTCCACAGATGTACTGGTGCCACGCTCTGTCTCATCCAGTAAGCCTTCGCACGGCAGCGAAGAAGATATTCTAGACATAAGAATCAAAGCATTAGGATCCATGAAGCATGAATCAGTCGGCGAGGGGTGCCTATCGCTCGCTGAGCTGCATGGAGAGACGCAAGAGAGGCCATATGGAGCGCAAGAGCCGCGATCTGGCTACACCGGTAGTCATGCGATCATTCGCCCAACCTCACGTATCTCAGCTCTCGGCATAGATCGGTCGCTGTCGATGGAACCGTCCGTTTCGCTGCCCGTCACAGCATCCCCGCTGATCTCTTCGGCGTCAAGCCTTGAGTATAGTGCCATGACAGCCACGGAAGTACCCGAGACGAACTTTGCACAACTAGTTCAGGAGCGAAATTGCTATCATCCAAGCTCCGTCGACTGTGCCCCTCCAGCTGATCACTTGAGAAGCTCGAGATCAGCTGACCCATCCGTCACGAGCGCCTCACGACGAGTCATTCGGACGCCAAGGACATCTGCGCCTGATCTTGTGTGCTCCCGGACCGCGCACTTAGACACCACTCGCGACCTGCACGCTTCAGCGGCCGTCTACCGTTCGACCGTGGGTGCAAGCCCGCGATCGCCAAGTGTGTCGGCTACGCAAAGCAGGACTGCAAGTTCACACAAGCCGAGGTTGCAGTCTATCACTGTTGATAATCTCGCGTCCGATATTGAGGCAATCGTGCAACATGCTGATGACCAAGTCCTCGTCAGGTCAGCTTGACTAGCTCTGAAGCGTGAATCGAGCTGATACATGGATCTACAGGAGTTTGCTCGGTGACATACTCAATAGGGTTGCTCAAGGGCAGCTTGACCGGTCGCATGCCCTTACACATCAAGATCTTGCCAGCGCCGAAGAAGACGTCGAGCTCGACACGTCTCTACGTTTGTCGGGTGGTTGGCGTGAACGCTATTGTCCCTCGGTGCCTGAGAGTGTTGCCTCTTCTCCGAGATTACATTCGACCGAGACGCAGACTTATCTTGACCTTGACGACGCTTGGCTCGAGCCGCAGGGTATCAACGCGTGCACAAGGAGCAGGATAAACACTGACGGCAGCGCAATACCTAAGAATGACTACTTTGAGCCTCGATCCGCGATTTCAACTCCATCTCTTACCTCTTCGTCTGATCTCTCCTCAGATCCCGGCTCGCCCTATCAAATGGCGCGCCAATCGCGCACTCCTGCTTCGCGCGCCAGAGACGCTCAAGTGCGAACAGAAGCAATGCGCACAGCCCTCAAAGGCGCCTGTCGACCCTTCGAGCTTACTTTGGGCAGTAAGATGTGCTGGGATGCGCGTGACAGCCTTGCAGACGGGCTTGGCGCAGCTGTTGCCGCTTCCAATACGCGACAAGCGCTCTTGGGGGGGAGAGGCGTCAGCGTGATGAACATGGATGGAGCTGCGCTGTACAACGCTGGTTTTGCACCACCCTTGGCACTGTCGGCAGCGTTGCGCGATCGGCGCAGCTCAGATGACAGCGATACGTTACCTTCACCAAATCCTCGCTACTCAGGCTTTCCTGGTGGCCAATCAACGATGCGCAGCCCACTCGAGAACCTCGCACTTACATTGGCCGGTATGCAGCAGCCTAGCGGATCCACTGGCTTGCCATCGGCCATCGCCGCCGGACCTAGCTCAACGTCTGGGAGCACGACTGAGCGCTCTGCTGGTGACAGCTCGACTGATCAATCTGTGCATTCATCCATGACTGGCAGTGCTTCGACAACGCGAACCGATACAGCCATCGATATTCCCCGACGCGGTGGCTCACTCGACCTGAGCAGATCTGAACCGATCTCCACATACCCCACAAAGTCTATACATGAGCCTGTACGAGAAAGCGAAGAACCTGAGGAGGAAGCAGACCACGCTGGACCAGTGGCGCATGAAGAGGTCGAACCAGCACCGCGAATCTACAACGAGCGGCCTACCTCGATGTGGTCAAGCGGTTTCGGCGCCTTGAAGGCTATCGGGAGTACGGCCGCTTCCGTGAGCACGGGATGGGTATGGGGCGCTGGCGACAACGGAAAGTCGACCGATGCGTCGGAATTGAATGATAAGGACGGATCAGAGCTGCGCGGCTGGATGAAAGATAGCATGCGCGAAGCTGCTCGTACCGAGACTCTTCGAGTCCCCGGAGGGTTCAGTAGCGGACATTCGACACCCGGCGCCCCATCTCCTGCGATGACCGCTACTGAACTGACAGACGCGAACGATTTCGATCATGACGACGATATGCTTTCGCGCGATTCCTCTAGAGCCAATGCCCGCGAAGTTGAAGATCCAGACAAGCATCTGGTCACTGAAACTCCTTGGGGTACAATACACGGTATGCTGCCACCTGGCTTCCATGAAGAGTTCGCAAAGGCCATGGAAGAGCTCTCTCAGCAGGAGCATATGCCGCAAGCAGCGACCGCCGCAACAGAAACGCATACTTCGGCTCCGCCGCCACAGGACAGTGATCGCTCAAGTGATTCGCTAGCGACTGGACGACGAGATCGTGAATCCCCGGTCGCCAGACAGCCGATCGTGTCCATGACGAGCTCATTAAGCCAATCCAGATTGTTCGGTGGTCAGACCGAGGGTGGCCGCGCTACGGTTGAGCCTGACCGACTATCCGTTGACACTGAGCCATCCCGAAGAGATTCGCTGTCCTCGTCAAGCCCATCGATGACCAGCAATTCTGTTAGATCGCCTGTCGAATCCGTCGCCGGTTTGCCACGCCCCGGCGATCTGCGACACTCGTCCAGCTTTGCATCCAACTTGACTGCCAGTAGCTCACCGTCATCCACGCGCTCTGGCTCGATCAAGAAGCTCGGCTCTATCTTTGGACGTAAAGAGCGTTCGCCGAGTATTGCTCTGCCTGCCGACGTGCCCGAAGATGACGACGACGCAGACTACGTTGACTATTCGATCGGGCGAGCCATCGGAGCTGGAGCGTCTCGCTCACCCTCGTCAGCCACGGGCGTTCTAGCGGATGCAGCGACGCTCACTGCTAGCAAGGGGGAACGTCGATCAAGCCTGCGGCGAACCTCGCGATACGCGGCCGCTACGCCGCGCGACAAGACCTCCTCCATCTCAGAGGAAGGCGAAAGCAAGAAAGCGTATGGCGTCAGGTTTGCCAATGCGACGTGCGTGATCTATCTTTCCTCTTGACATCCCGGCTGATGACGAGATCAGGCGCGGCCTTGGTTTGCGTCAGGTGGCAGAGAGCGAGGCCGATCACGCGGGAGGTGAAGACTTTGCGCTTCGCTGGGTCGGCATCGGCCGAGGACGGTATGGTAATCTGGTCATCGAAGAGCAATCGGAGGAAGCCTATGCCCAGCAAGTCACAGAAATCAAGAGCAAATGGTCAAGATTTGGTTCTCGTGTTTCCAACGAAGGTTCGCTGCTCCATTGCTGCCTCCCTTGCTGCTGCAAGGGACCCATACAACATGCTGACACTCGCTGTACAGGCTGGAGCGAGGTTCGCATCGACTGAATGCGCACATACATCTCCCCCACGCTGTACACATAGTCGCAACGCTTGCGACATAATTCTATTGCACTCGTCTTTGCCTGCGAAGTTGTAAGAGTTTCAGCTAATCATAGTCATCGTCGTCGTCACTCGCTCGATCTCTCTTGGAAGCGACGTTGTTGACCCTCTGCACCGGCAGAATCGGTTCTGGCTCGTCAAACAGATCATCGTCATCGTCCTCATCTTCGTCCTCATTGACGTGGCTAGCTCCATTGTGTGTCTGCTGTGGGGAACGAGGAGCGTGGGACGGTTTGAGGCCCAGAGCCAGACCGTTAGGCAGCTTGGGCGACAGACGAGGCACGAGATCGAAGTTGGCGGCAGTCAGACGGTCCTTCTCTGGCGGCAGTCTGACGCCATACGACTCCGGCAGGGACGGTAAAGGGAGGCGATTGAGTTCAAGAGCAAGAGGCATGAGGAACTCTTTGGGCCAGGCAGAGCTCATGGAATGCTCAAGCTTGGCTTTGAGTGCCATCCTGACGTCTGCCAGGTCTGGCGTGAGATTGGCGGCTGAGGAGGCGCCGAGACCTCGATGCGCATGATCGGCGTAGACGAGTGCGTCTGTGAGTATCTCGGTCGTGTAGCCTGATCGCTAGCGGGTCAGTGTCAGCAGACGAGCGCAGAGCGAGCAGAGCTGACGGTGGGCAAATTCCATGAGGATGGCGACAACGCCGGGCTCGGCCTGATCGACGCCCATGCTCGACAGGATGAGTGCTATCAGTCTCGCATCCCTGGGGATCGCGGGCTGCTCCATACTCGGCCGCCTGGCTTGCCTGACTCGTCCCTAACCCGCCTGGCAGATCGCCTTGACACGCGCGCGACCCGTCAGTCAACTCAGCCGGACGTCGAGCGTGAGCCGGGCCGGAGCCAAGCGCATCCAGTCGGCCCATGCGAGACGAAGACAGGCAGCCGAACCTCGAGCCTGGCGTCAATCGGGGCGTCAACAGCTCGGCAAGCTGTCGAGTGGTCAGGTCTAGCAAGCGAGCGGATCGGCAGAACCGGACCGACGGCTTCTACCGATCATCGACAGAGACGCTCCAGCGGGCAGACTCCTTTGCACACTCATCCCCGTCAGGCTATGATCCTCTGCAGGTCGCGAGCTGGCAAGTCTTCAGCGAGCCGGACGCCGTTCGTCGTGACCGTCGACAGGAGTGTGACACGTCCATCCAGCCGTTCATGAGCTCTAGCCAATGGAACCATGCTCCGTATGCACCGAGCCAAGCCAGCAGATCGTACGACAGGACGATGACGACCGTGCCAAGCAGATCCCGCCCGCCTTCTCGCTATGACGCCCGGTCATCGCAGGTACCTGCCCAGACATCAAAACCAGCTCCAATGCAGCGCGCTACCAGCAGTGTCTACAGCAGGAACAACTTGAGCATCGGTGACAACCGAGACAACCAAGACAGCACCGCCAGAGATTCAACGGCAGCCCTCAAAGGGAGCGCGCGTCTGCCCCCGCCGCTCTCCAGGGTTATTCAAGCTTATGGTAGCTTCGCCTCTGCTGGTACTTCTGCCCCCAATCATCCCATCGGCGCTTCCCTTCCACCTGCGCCATCCTCGCGCTCGGCCCTGTCCGGAGGCAAACGCCATTTGCCAGATCAGTCTCGACCGCCCGTCTCTAGAGCTGTCAAAGCCGAGTCCCAGTCGCCACCACCGCCTGGACCTGCTGCATCTCTGCAAGCATCTGCCGCACGGCTCAGCAAGCCGCAGCGGCATACCACCAAAGTACAGCAATCTCTGCCAGCTGCAATGTCTGACAATGACAATCGGCCGGTCGTACGTCCCCGAATACATGCAGCGCCTGCTGCCACTCCGTCATCGACGGCACTCCCAACAGGCTACAAGGATTCGACCGAACGTCCGATGCAAGACGGGGCCGTCGAGCGAGGAGAAGAAGTGCAGTTTCTCGAGACTCGCAGTCGGCGGCCCACAAGCCAAAAGAAGCAGCGTCTGCCACTTGCTTCGCCGTCGCGCCTACAGTCCAGAGCTTCGGCCCAGTCGCGAAAGTATGCAACAGGCTTGCAATCACCGACAGATTCGAGTTGGACTGATGAGCCTCGATCGTTCCCAAGTCAAGGGAGCTTCGCAGACACTTCGTCGGCGAGCTCCTCGGTGCCCGGACGGCCGTCGTCGTCGATCAGTGCGAATGCTGCAAGCAGGCGTCATCAACCTAATCAGCCCGGAACTAGCACAGGGCTACAAAGGCAGCGCAAGCGAGCTTCACATGCCTCTTCTGCCGTGCCGTCACCCGGAAGCGATAAAAGTCTGTCGCCTACAAAGCCCAAGCGAGTCAGGCTGCATCAGAATCCGCTCACAGACGAGCACTCAGACATGCGCGGGATGTCTGAAGTCAAGATCATACCGGAATTGCAAGACTGGTATGCTGACATGCGTGCAAGATCCGCTCATCAGATCGAGAGCGCTCGTCAAGTCTGCGAGTTCGAGATCAAGACCTGTCTTGCCGAAGATCGTATATCAGGCACCAGAGAGCCTGGACCCGACGAAATCCGAGACCGACGTATGACTCTGAATAAGCTCAAGCTTCTCGAACGCTTGCTCGGTCAAGGTCTTCATCAAAGCGAGGATGCTCCCTTGGCCAGCTTTTCTGCTTCGGTGCAGTCCAAGAATACTTTCACGCCGACGCGAGGTCCGGCTACGCCTGAGTCAGAAATTGACGGGCCCGAACCCGATTTGCTTCCGATTTCGTCGCCGGGAGCACGTCCGCTCGGTGACCGCAGACACGTCAATGGTGCTCTCTTTGCCAGAGATACGACTGAACTTCCGACGCCATCACTGGCTGGCAGGTTGAAGCGCGTGTTCTGCCGAAGCGACGGCAGAAGCGTTGCCGTCACACACTGCGGCGAGCTATTAAGCGTGCCACAGCAGCCAAAGTAGGCAGATCTACTGCAGTCTACTCGAATCTAACAAAATGTACAGCTCGGAGTGGCGGTCAGAGCACGTCAACAGGCTCAGCCTCGGCAGGGGCAAGATTGACCGCGCTGCCTATGGCCGTCTGCACGACAACCTGATCCTGACGAGCGCTGCGGTCGCAATTGACGCGCCGCTCACACAAGCGTATATTGTCGAGCTGGATATGGTCAGTAAGCTGCAGAATGGCCGACGCGTCACTGATGCTTGTTCAGAGCAGCCGAAGCCGCGCGCATTGCGATACAAGCCTCATGCTGTGCCCGAAGTCAACAAACTCAAGACGCCAGCGATCACTTCGGTCATTGCCCTTCCATCGCCTGACTCGCTCATGTTTGCTACTGGGGGCAACAAAGACCGCGAGGTGTACATTTGGACCGTCAACTCGGATTGGTCAGAAAAGAAGCCGGTCTCCGCCTTTGCTCCTGGCGCAAAGTCGTCGATGATTGCAAAGCAAGCGCATCACAGAGCAGCTGTCGTCAGTCTTGGCTACTCTACCGGTCAGTCTTGGCTACTGTCCTGCTCTTCCCAGCTCTTGCTTGGGCACGATTATTCTCGACAGACAATCACCTGGCGCTGTGATGCCTACAGCGATCTGAAGCAGATTTTCACTTCCCAAGCACGGCCAAGCCACACCGCTATCACTGTTGCTGCATTCAAAGAGAGGCAGTTCAGAATGCTCGATCTTCGCCAATGCGGACTCAATCGACGAGCTAAGGATGCAGAGGTAGCTCAATTTGGCTTCGGACCGGCACAGAAGATGGGGAGCATTCAGTACGGGAGCTTCCACGATCATCATTTCGCTATGGCCTGTCCAGATCAGTGCGTCAGACTGTTCGACATGCGCAACACCACAAAGGCAGCGCAAGAGATTCGGCTTCCAGGCGTGCCCGGTACTGTCGCTGATGCGCACTCTGCAATCGACGTCTGCTTCGGCTCGGGTGGCTTGCTCAGCTGCGGCGGGACTCGACGGCTCTACTATAATCTGTTGTCGTAGTCAAAGCTGGGATGCTCAGATCTGCAGACGGCAGCGGCATATGACAGCGCGTGACGCGCGAACGGAGCGACTCGCGACGCCGACGATGAGAAGCAGCGAGGACTCGATGCCTGCTGTGCTCGTCCAGTCTCCGTCTGACAGCACACTGGCCGAGTCGGGTTCCGCGACAGCCCAGCATCCACTGGACGATCATGCCTACTTCCCACGGCGTCGCGAACACGGCAGACCGGATCGCCCGGCAGGCCTCACGAGCGATGAGGAGGACGAAGAGGAACAGGACGAGCTTGCGAGCCTGGAGCAAGACCACCTCGCCCACAAGCGCAGGAACAAGGGCAAGCAAAAGGCCGTCTTTGTCACCCCACCGAGCAGCACGGCATCTCCCCTCGGCGACGGGCAAGACAACCGAGACGAGTCCGACTCAGAGCTGACGGAGGCCCAGACGATGGAGCAGGAAAGAAGGATAGCAGAGGCAGGTCATCGTCCTGATTCATCGTTCGGAGCTTGCAATTTACATGTCTTTTGCTGTAGAACCTACGACGCATGTCCCTCAACGAGAAGCAACGGCGGAAGCAAGCCCGCAAACAATCTGTACAGACGGTGGGACCGCTCGGGCCTGCGCCGCTGCCGAGTGCAATAGGCTCCGCCGTCACAGATCTGACGAGACGAGGCACGACTTTGATACGGTCAGGTAGCTCTGCCGCACGCCGACGCTCAACCAGAGATCCCGCGACTGATCGGATCCGGCTAGGCAAAGCTCACCGTCTGAGCTCACTTGGCGGTGATCAGTGGCACGAGGTGGCACTCGAAGACCGCGTGCTAAGCAGGGAGGACTTTGAGCTGTCACCCGTCTCGCCCGGCTCTGAGGGCAATGCTATCTCGCCGGTCAGCTCAGAGAGCCGTCCTAGACCCGCCCTGGCCATGTCGTCGCAGACCCGACGTCAGGAATCGACAGAATCAGATCGTGCTGCAGGAGCGCTCGCTCGCGGCAGCCAGTTCATAGAAGATCTCGACGCACAGCTCGTCCGCCAGCCGAAGCTGTCTGTCGATGTACAAAGCATGAGCAGCGGCTCTGCATCGCTGTCAGCACGCACCAGTGCGACTTCGGTTACTTCGGCTGATGAACATTCGAAAGGAATGGATGACATATTCCGGCCAGAGACCAACAAGAGAACGTCCTCTTCGACCGTATCCACCCTGTCAACAGTCGTCCCGAGCTCGCCGCAATTGGAGCGTGTCCCACCGCTCTCGTCAACCCATCTGATGGACGATGCAGACTCAAGGCAGAATGATGGGATTCAAGTGCGCGTGCTGACATGGTCCGAATGGTTCTGCTGCTGTGGCCTTTTTGCTGGTATGAACGAACAAGACGAGAGCGAGGATCAAGCCGGTAGGACGAATCCGATGGAATGATCTGCAAACTTACTGGATCTACTTATTGTCGTACCATGCATGCGCGCGTCTATGTATTGTATATTCTTATCGGCCGCAAAGACAGTCGGTCTCCTCTCGTCGTCTACAGATGAGAGGGCTCATACAAACAAGCATTGGGCAAACAACTATTCTCTCTTTGAGCGTACCTTACCTGTAGCGAGCAGTTCTAGTATTGCTGCCTTAAGCAATGCCAAGCCCTGGTGCAGGATCATTGCTGGGTAATGACTTGCATCAGCTCTGAGTGTTCGGAGCGGTCTTCAACGCACCAGAGACGACGAGGCCGCCCACAGAGTCCAAGAAGGTCAGGCCAAAGATGCTCCCAATCTGCTACAAGATTAGCAGCCCGTGATGCCGCAAAGCAGGCGGTGCTTACGATCGCGACCAAAGCTACGAGACTGCTGAGTGCATCACTGCGATGATGATGCGCTGAGGCAAGCAGGAGGTTTGACTTTTCTTCTTTGGCTATTTTGAGCGCTACAGTCGGTCTTTAACGATGTCACGAACATATCGAAGCAAGTCTGCTTACTAGCACGATATAGCCACTCTTTGACAAGTACGCTACCGACTGCAAACGCAGCAGCCTTCGGATCGGTGGCGTCGTCTTGAGCTTGCTCATGATGTGTGCAGACATGGCCAGCCTTGGCGATGGTCTGGGCAGCTTTCGCGGCTGTTGCCGTCACGGTGGCTGCCAGACTGTCGAACTTCGACGACGCCTCGATGTGCATATAATCGTCAGGCTGAACATGCGCATGAGCATGAGAGCGGTGGCCATGACCATGATTGTGCGTATGGAGGAGCTTGCCAATCACACGTGAAGCCATCGAGGTTGTCGCCCTGACAGGCTCGGTAAGCACGGTCGCCGCGTCAGAGTCGAAACTAGAGTAAGAATGCACCGCTGTCCGGCAGGATCAGTAGCTGTATAACGCTGTAGCGTCTGAACGGACCGATTCCGATGCCCCCACTGAGAAGTAAAAGCGCAACGAGGAGCGAGCCGACCGTCTCGTATTTGACGACTGACCACTTATTCGGCTTGCTAGACGATGATCGAGACAGCCGCCAACAAAAGAGCACTGCAAAGTCACAGAGCAGATCTAAACGCCAAGCTCAGCCTTGCGCAAACGACGCGGCCTCTGTTCGCGCACCGGATGCAGAGTGCCCTGCGTCGGCGAGGAGGGCATTGCTGTTGAGGGCTAGGCCGCCCATCCCTTTTGCAGCAACAAGAGTAATATTGCCTAGCATGCCGATCAGAGTGATGCGGCTTCCAGGGTCTGCCGAACCAGACAAAGCCGAGTAGAGGGCAGCGGCTTCCTCTTCCGCATGTTGCGAATGGGAGTGCGAATGAGAATGCGAGTACGAGGCTGTCTCAAAGTCTTCATCGTCGACTTTGCTTGCCGATGACTTTGCTGCGCTTTGTTGTTTGCCCAGAGAACGGCTCGGTGATGTAGTTGACAACGGCCCCTTGTTGTAGTGCCCGTTCGATCCATTCATACTGCCCTTCGAAGCGGCCAGATCTGATCTACTCGGCCGTTGCCGCAAGGCATACCTCTCCGTCATGCTGCCTGCAGCTTACCAGCCTGTTAGCACACTCGCGAGTCAGGGCCGAGCTCGAAACGCGTCGTGGTCGCGAGGTCGCATCGATCGCGAAGGTCTTCAAGTCATCTCGAACCAGCCGATTCAGCTGATCAGCGCTTGGCCAACATGCGTTCAGATATGATCGGGCTCCACAGTCATTATCAGTTGCGACAAGTCATCGCTATACCAGTGTCAGTCTGAAACTGGGCCACTTTCCGGCTGGCATCTCTTCTTCATTAAGACCGACAGACATCTCAGTAGACATCTGCCAACATCTCGCTTGGATCTTATCGACCTGTTCTCTGCGCAGTGGCCATACATAAGAGTGTACAAACGACACCGTACATTGCCGCTTCAGCAGCCTGCATACTGCCGCAGACACGATAGCACTCGAATTCGACCCCGGACGCGTGATCAGTGGCAAGGATGCATCGCTAATTGACTTTGCGCAGCCTGACTCATTCAATGGACGAAGCGTTGACCCGGACAGCCATCTGAGCGGCAGGTTCCCGACGAGAAGGCGCCGCTCCTCGTCAGAGGGCACCGGTTGCGCGACTGAAGTCCTGTCATGCCAGACGCCGGATTCGCGAAAAATGGACAGTTAGCTTGCTTTGGCGACGCATGGGCAGATGTTTTTGGCGAGCTTTGTGTATAGGCTATATTTACACACTTATCGCTTGATGACGAATGTTCGGTTAGCGCACCGGTACTGGCGTTAAGAAAAATCGCGTCGTCATTGTATAACGGATAGTACGTCACATTGTGGTTCGGCGGACCTGTGGAGATGGGTGTTCGATTCACCCTGACGACAAGCCTTTTTTTGCGCGGCGCACGCTGCGATATGTATGCTACCTTGTGAAAAAGACAGGCGGACTTCAATCATTTTAAAGCTGAAAAAGCGCGCGCGTCTTCATTTCATTTTGATTTTGCTACGTGGCTAACAATGCGGACGCTCAGTGATGGAGACTCGTACGGTCATTTGATCCGCCGTCGGGACAGACATCTAGTGAGATAGCAAGCACATCACCCGAGGCTTACAACAATCATGCTGCAGAACGTCACAGGTCCAGAAACTCTTTAGCCTCGTCGAGCACGGCATGATCGTGACCGAGGAAGGCGCCTAAAAGATGCCAGCAATGAACTTGTCCGTCGCATCTCAGGACTCGGACAAAGCTGTCTGGAATGGCCTGAAGGAGCGTCACAAAGTCGTCCAATTCACCGCGGAACAGCTCTTTGCTGCCGTAATTGATGTAGAATTTTGGCGTCTGTTCATTGGGCACGCTGGCCAATCGAGTCAAAGCTGGAAGAGACGCAGGCAAGCCTGGTGAAAGCATAGGATGACGGGGGCCTTGGTCGTACACACTGTCGAATTGCAGGCCTGTAGCGTTGAGCGGTCGCCCACGTCGGACATTGGCAGTGTACGCATGTGAAGCCTCTGCACACATGGTCGTATTGAGAATGTCATAAGCCGCGTTTGTGTAGTAGGTATCTTGCGACATCGTTAAATCAACCCAAGGCTATACTGCCAATCAGCACAGTGTCCTTGAACGAACAGAGCAGACACACAGAGTGCAATATGACATGCGTCGGCATGCGGAAGTTGAAGCAGGCTTCCTTATCCGAGGAAAGATCCGCGAGATGCAGCAAGAGCGCCATACAGAGGCCACCGCCAGCCGAATCGCCTGCAATCGTGATCTTCTTGTCGAGTCGGCAAAGATGGGCATAGGCCAGGGTTGCGTCTTGCAGTGAGGCCGGAAAAGCTCGGGAAGTATTTGTAGCTTTGCGAAGTGTGACTCCGAACACGGGCAGACCCGTTGCGTTTGCAAGTGCGTAACATCGATCGCCTTCGGTAGCGCTGCCATTGATATGACCGCCGCCGTGCAGATACAGGATAGCGCGTTCGTTAGCATGCAAGGACGGATCTCGGTCGAGCGATGAGCCTTGCTGACTAATTTGAGGCGGAAGAAACCAGTAAGCGCGGACTGTCTTGGGCACGATGACGCCATAAGGGTCTCTTGCATTGTACCTGATCCAGGCAGCCGTCGTATGCGCGTCCGGCGGGAGATGACGGGAGCTTGCTGAGCATCCGTTTGAGAACAGCCAGTGATGTAGCTTACTGACAGTCAGAGCAGCCTTGTCTTGAGCGCAAGGATCTTGGAAGCCCCATGTCATCGACCAGATGAACCGGGTGAGCAAAGGACCCGTGAAGCGCTGGCGAGCGCTCCAAGTCGGATCACGAGGCAAGACTGTGGCAGGCAGGATTTTGTGCAGTGGCACAACCGAGTCGACGAGCCAAAGAAGGAGCCACATCGGGAGAGTGATGAGTGTCCACGAGATGCGGTAGCCTCTGATCATTGTCGCTCTGATGCCTCTTGCGCCAACCCACTGTCTGTCGAGAGCTGAGATCTGAAGATGCCATGGCGAGAAGGGACGGGCAAGATAGGCATCGTTGAGATCCCTGCCCGTCGCAGAGGTACAGCTCAGCATCTTGCGTGTTCTTCGCAAGGGAACCAGTTCGCAGCGGTGTGTTCTAGAGCATTCCAGGACAGGATGGGGGATGTTCGCACCAAGCACAGACACCGACCGAGCAATGATGCTATGAACCGTCGCGATCAACCCAAGCGAGCCGACCTCGAGAGCTCGAGCTCCGATCCGTGCGGCTGCTGCACAAGCAGGAGCATCGTGGCTGGCAATGAGTCTGTCCACATCTGCACAGCTGGCAAGAAGCCCGGGCACGAGCATGCTCCACGAAAGGCTCGCCTGTCTGGACCTGCACACTTCCCCTCCAACCTCAGGACAGACTCGTTCGCCTTCCCACGAGCGCTCGCCGGTCGAGCGGACGGTGGGATACGCAGCATCAGACTCTATCGTACCCCTCAAGTTGCTGCAATCAGTCTATCTCGAGGCAGGCTCATCACCCTCGGGATCGTCGAATTCGTCACCGTTTCTAAAGTCGGGCGGTCTCGATGATCGAACAGCCGTTCAGTCAAGCGTGAAGCCATCGGTGCTCATCGAATCTCCACGTACCGTAGGACGGTCGATACAGCCTCACGTGCAATCAGAGCCAGAAGAGCAAGCGGACATCATCCTGATCTCAGACCGCGAACCGAGCGCAACCGTAGCCCCACCGTCGCCGACGCTGTCTACGGCTTCGACCTCCCTATCAGGCATTGCCAGCTTAGGTCGGAGAGGCATGATGAAGCGCTCCCTCTCGCAAGTCGATCACGAGCTATCGCGCGCCTGGACAATGCAGACAGCTGCCGAACCGTTCTGCCAGCGCACAGGTCTTTCTCGAGGCCAACCTTCGTTACGCACAGCGATGGTCTATACCCCAGCGACATCCTTCCCGCCTGTCAGGCTCATGACCGGCAAGAAGCGCAAGCGCATCCTGGTCACGGGCGGCGCAGGCTTCGTCGGGAGCCACCTGGTCGATCGATTGCTCTTCATGGGCCACGATGTCACTGTCTTGGACAACTTCTTCTCGGGCAGTAAGACGGCAGTGGCGCACTGGGTGCAGGTCTTTCTGCTGCATGCGCTTTGCGCCCCGCTCACGTTGCCTGACAGGGGTCATCCCAATTTCGAGCTCGTACGACACGACGTTGTCGATCCTTTCATGATTGAATGTGATGAGATATACCATCTCGCATGTCCCGCCAGCCCGCGCGCGTATCAATACAAGTCAGTGCTTCGCGCTCTGGTCAAAGCACACGTTCAGATTGGCATCGCAGCGCAATCAAAACGCTCAAGACGAGTTTCCAGGGAACATTGAACATGCTAGGACTAGCCAAACGCGTCAAGGCGCGCTTTCTACTCGCCAGCACCTCGGGTATCTCAGCCACATTCTACTGGAGCCAATTTGACACCGCATCCGCAGAGATTTACGGCTCGCCTGAGGAGCATCCTCAAAAAGGTCAGCTCACGTACATTGGTAGCCGAGACAGCTTACGCGCCGGGCAGAGACCTACTGGGGACATGTCAATCCGATCGGGCCGCGCGCCTGCTATGACGAAGGCAAACGAGTGGCAGAGGCTCTTGCGTACGGCTATCATCGTCAAGACGGCGTCGAGATTAGGGTTGCGCGCATTTTCAATTGCTTCGGACCCCGTATGTCGCCCGGTGACGGCCGCGTAGTCTCCAACTTTGTGACTCAGGCGCTCAGAGGAGACGACATTACAATCTACGGAGATGGTCGGCAGACTCGCAGCCTACAGTACATACATGATCTTATCGATGGCTTGATCAATTTGGTACGGTCCACGGTACCTTATGGTCTCTCGCTGACACTGCTGCAGATGGCCTCGAATTGCACCGAACCTGTCAACATCGGAGGCGAAGATGAGATCACTATTGAGGATCTTGCAAGTGACGTTCTTGAGGTTGTCGAGCGAGTCCTGCTCGAGTGTCAAGAGAATGCGAGACAGCAGGAGCAATACAGCCAAGATTTATCTTCCAGCCCAGGCGCCTATCACGAGCCATATCAGCAGCTTGACTGGCTGCCGGAAGGTCGAAGGGTCCCACTGGACCGTCGGAAGAGCCGGATAGTTCACATGCCCGTGCCGCCAGACGATCCTCCGCGTCGACGGCCCGATTGCACGCGGGCGCGAGAGGTACTGAACTGGTCGCCGCGCTGGTCCGTCAAAGAGGGTATAGAAGAGACCGTCAGGCACTTTCTTGCAAGCGATCAAATTGAGCTCGGCTACTAGCATCTTGTTGTGAATCAAACTTTGCGTCAGATCCTGTCAGCTATGTCTCGCCAGACATCTCGTGACATGTGCCAGCTGATCGGCCGCGGCACAATCGCCGTCGCGTCGCGCTCCACGTTGAACTTGCTATATTGATATCCTCGTCGAAAGTGCCAGATTGCCCTCGCATGGCCGAGAGTGAATATATCGCAGATTCGCAGGAGCTGTCAGAGCTTCCAGTCTATAGTCAGTATGCTGCAGTAACAGTCCGGAGTCTCGCGCTGATGCGCATGTGCAGGCTCAGGACACGCTGACCAACCCGATGCTCCGCACGTCCCGCAGGATCGTCTCCTCGAAACAGCTAGCTCTGCCTCCTTCACGACCCCGGATCATACATACCATCTAGGACCCGGAGCGTTCATGAGCGCAGCTGGAGAGCGCACACCGCTAACCTTTGATCTGACATCGCCTGCTGCCCTAACGCTACCCAATGGAGGTCAAACGGCGCCTTTGACTTCCCTGACGAGCGCCTCGACCGCGACCGTCGTCGGCACCGCTGCTCTCAACGATTTCTCTCTGCCTTCTCTCGGTCTGCCGATAACCTCTCCTGCTCCACAGCTTCGCGCCCGGTCCAAGACGACTGAGATTGAACCTAACCAAGCCGGAGGGTCGCCCGCGGAGCTCACTCGGAAGATCAGTCGACCTCTCACGGCGAGCCAAATGCACGACTGGCAGCTAAGCGATCCTATGGGCAATTTATCTGATGTCGAGATCGACGATCTCATGACGCCGTTTCCTGCTATCGCAGACATGTCGAATGACCAGCGGCCGTCTGCGACTACAACGGAGCAAGTAGCACACGCATCGTCTGACTCGTTCAAAGTCAAAGCGAGGAAGGCCTCCAGGAGATCCCGACCTGTGGTCATGAGCAGTGATTCTGAGGCCGAAATGCCTGCAAGATCCGAGGTAGCGCGCTAGCTTCTGCATAGCTGTCCGGCGCTGATTTGAGTAGCCGAAGCGGCAAACAAGTTCGGCGCGCAAACGCAAGCAAAAGTCACTGAGTCCAACTCCCTTGAACGCGGCCGTGACACCAGCTAGCGAAGCACAGCTACTCCTGGAGGACCAGCAGTACAAAAAGCGAGACGACTGGCAAAAGCCAGCAGGATCGAACGGAAAGTTCGTGCGCCGCGACAAGGAAGACGCCTCAGAGCTAGGAACTGAGCCACCTGCGATCGTGAAGGTGACTAAAGCAAACAAGACTAAACGCAAAGTCGCAGGAGCTGAGCTGCAGTCGCTCGGCAAGAAGCCTCGTTCGCGGAACGCGCGAGGCAAACAAGCCGATGCAGCCCTTTCGGCCGAGTTCATTGGAGACGACGATCTTGCGGACGATGTGATCTCCCAGCTCGATCCTGCCATGCGTATATCCCATGCATCTAACGCTGATTCGCACCAGTCGGGACGCAAGTCTTCGTTAGTGTCACGTAGCGCCGTCAGATCGCCAACTGATGCTCAAGCTGGGATGGTCAAACGCGTTACATTCTCAGAAGGTCAGTGGTGCCGCAGAAGCCACGTGCCTGCCATTGAGGCTTTTGTCTGCAGGTGAAGAATCATCGGCTCGTCAACGCGGCGAATCTACCTCGCCGTCGAAGTCATGCAAAGCCACAGACACGCAGACTGCGAGCTTGTCTGAGCATGAGCGCACTCCTCATACGAGTTCACATGCCGAATCCAGCTCGGTCAGCATCCCGCGCAAACGTCAGCGCCAGTCCAGCAGACCTATTTTATCAGATGATGAAGGCGAGACCTTATTTTCTATTCTAGTAGTGATACGTACTGACGAGCGCAGCTGGCAGAAAGGCCAAGGGACGCGCGGGCAAGCGTAATGAATGTATCTTCGTCTTTGCGTACGTCCGATCGCAGGCAGCAAAAGACTCAAAAGCCACAGGCTCTTTGCTCAGCGCAATCATCGATGTCATCCGGCAGCAGCGTTGGACTGGCGGCCGAGCTCGCCACAACAGTCGACGCATCGGTTCATAGCGCATCACGCGACAACAAATCAGCAGATTTGAGCTTGGCCGCTGAGTGCGATACTCGCGAGGACTATCACGTCGTCGTATCGGCTACACTAGCCACTCTGTCGGATCAAGTCGAATGTGGTTCATCAGTGTCATCACCACTGGCTGCAAAAACCAGGAAAGGCGATCTGATAGAGTCGACCGGTAGAGTCCGCGAGCTGACACCCGAGCCATCTGCATCGACATCGCGTCTCAATCACAGCAGCCAGCTGGATGCCGAAGAAGATTCAAATACCCTCAAAAGCGGTTATAAACTAGATGGCATGAGTCAGAATCTAGTCAAGCGACATGCGCTCAAGCCGCTCGCGCTGAATGCCACCACGGCGTCGAATTTGCCGGCGTCGAATTTGCCTACATCTAAGCAGAAAGGTCTGCACTCTACATCCTGTCTTCGCCCCGCCAGGTTGACAGACGAGCAGGTCTTGCTGCAATCCTCTCAACCAAATCGACGGGCGTCAAAAATCCAGGGCTCTCTCGTAACACGCGTCTGCCAGCACTTCATCGCAACCTTAAACCGGTCGTCAATCGAAAAGCGTTGCCGACAGCACAGCCAAAGCACAAACCTACCGAGGTTTTCTCGGACGATGAGCCGCTGGATCCTCGTCTGGAGCCCCAAGAATGGTGGGGCGAAGACGAGTTTTACACTTACCAGAAACTGCTGCGCGCTAAGGGCACGACTGAATGATAATTTTCGTCTCTTGGCGCGCATGCATAGATGAGGAGCTTCAATAAGGGTCAAATGCTGAAAACACTGCCTTGAAAGCCAGGGTGTCTTCTTCATCCTTCTGATCGGTCTGGGAACACACTTTCCAGTCGATGCGGTCAGGCATGCCGAGCAGCTTGGACAAAGCTGCACGACCGAATTGCAGATTGAAAGGCTTGCCTTTGCTCAATATGACCACCAAGGAGCGCCCGTCGGGCAGCTCAACTTTGAAGTAGTCATTTGACAGTGTGGCGAGAATTTCGGGAGTCGCTATTTCGATGGTGACGCCGTCTGTTCCGGCCTCTGCCATGAATGCGCCTTCAATTCTAGCCGCGAGTGCGGCGGGAACGGGGATAACCTGAATGTGCGCATGTACACCGCGCCCGCCAGAGCGAACGATCTCGAAAGTGACTGGTTGACAGCTGTACTGTAGATAGAGCTCTTTCAATGCGACTTTCGCTTTTCTGATCTCTTGCACGACTGCAGCGGACAGCGTCTCGGGTATAGAACTCAGCGAGGGATAATGTGCTATGGGTATTATCAGGACATGACCACCTCCTGGTATAGCGGACGGGCTCTCGCCACTTGTTGGCAACAGCTGACCTTTGGGAAGGGCGATGTATGTCTGAAGACGCAATCAGCGCCGGAAGGTATCACGGTGACGACACGATCTACCTCGTCGCCGATGGACACTAATAAATGCTTCGACAGCGCAGGATTGCTCAGACAAAACCAGCACGAATCGGCTGCACATTCACGCCGTCAGCATGAACATGGCACACTGCAGATCGCACTCACGCCCTATCCTCAACTGGCCGTCTTGCCGTGGTTTGCGCTCTGGTTTCTCTGGGCAATCCTGAATTCGATGACCTGATCTTTCACAAATTTTGCAAATATAATCGGACGGAATCGGTCTGTCATCTTGACGCTTCTGACGCTTGCCAGGGTCCGCAAAGATGAAATTCTCGATCGATTCTGCCGTTCTTTTGGCAGACCGTATTCCTGCGGATTTGAAAGGACATGCTGTTGCATTCACTTTTGAAGAAGCAAGGTGATCTTCTGGCAGTGCAATGTTGAAGGCATAGAATGATCTCTCCTTCGTCATGCCAGCAAACGCGCCCAGACTGAGGAAACGGGTCGTTCTGTTCGGGCTGTCCGGCCATGTGTAAGGCTCTCTCTCCCAGAAGACAGGCTGATCGCTGGCAAGGTGATACCGAGGCTTTGCGACTGCAGTGAGTTCGGCAATGGCTGGCACGCCCCAATTGAGGGGTTGTTCTATCTTGGGCAAAGTCTTGCTACCGCAGCATATCGGATGAGGCGCGGAATGGGTCAGTAGGATGTCTATTGGTAGTGGTGCAGGTGCCTGATCGAGCGTGCTGGCAGGCTTAGCCGTCGAAAGCTTCTTGATGAAGTCATTCAGTTCAGCGAGAGTGAAGCTTGCGCTTTCGTGCCCATCGCTACCCTCTGGTCGCTCAGCAAAGGTAGCGACATCGAAGATCCCGCCGAAGTTGGCGATCCGTAGACCGCTTGCCAGAGTAGTCACGCCCATTTGGCCTGCTCATGTACAGAACACTGGTCAGCATGAGACCCAAGAAATGTGTGGAGCCATTGGATCAGATTTGATCAAGTAGGCCGTCTCGAGGGACAGCCGCACATCTGTGACAGAAGGCGCCGCTTGCTTGAATCCGCGAACGGCTGAGCAGGGCCCAGCCCGAACACGGCACATCAAGAAGCCAGGCGGACCTTGACGCTTTCTGAAGGCGCCTGTCTCTTGCGTGGTGATGACATCACTTGCGGAGTGTCAACGGCCGAGTCGCCTGCCAACGGGCAGAAGCATCCAAACCTATGACTGACCCAAGTAGAACAGGTTCGGGCAAACTTCGCCTTGGTTAGCGTCAACCCTCTGCTGGACCGAGGCCGGCAAAGGCGTCTTTCCGATAGAAAAGTACGTAGACAGGGGAACGTCGATCTCGCCGTCCAGGAGTGCTCTGAGCCCATCCGCCTGCTCCGGCTCTTCAGTGAGTGGGTCGGAGGGGGAGAAGAGGTCGCCAGAGATGATGAGGAGCTCAAAGTGATGCTTAGCGTGCAACGATCTGACCTTGTCAAAGTAGTCCGCCAGCCTGCCCTTGCATGAGCCCATGCAGAGCACTTTGATCTTCGGCATGTCCCGTGGCTTCACTCAGTGAGGCACGTCCTTGATCATGACTTGGCTGTACACGGTCAGGCTGGCGCAGAGAGCTGGTCTTTACGTTCGCTGGCAGCTGAAACTTTCGGCAACCTGCATGAGCAGCGTTCCAGGCCAGCACGCTTGAATGGCGCATGACAGTGCACCTGCTTACTTTGGCAGTCATGCACTCGACCATGCCTTCTGCGGCGTCGGGGGCTCAGTCGTCTCGACGATGGTCATGCAGCCACTCGATCTTGTCAAGGTGCGCTATCAGGTCGGCCAGGCAGGTCCATCCCGCCTGCCCGTGGCATCTACGTCCAGGACAGACCGCTCCTCTGGCCGGAGGGCACTGAGCAGAAGCAAGATCGTCAATACCCTGCAAGACATTGTCCGGCAGGACGGCTACAAAGGCCTCTACCGCGGTCTGAGCCCCAATCTGGCAGGCAATGCAGCCTCATGGGGGCTGTACTTCCTGTGGTACACCATGATCAAGGACAGCATGCTCGAGCGAGCGAGCCGAGCCAATCCGGACAGCAAAGGCAAGGGCAAAGAGCGACTGTCAGCCGCCTCACATCTTGCTGCCTCTGCGGGCTCGGGTCTCATCACAGCCATCATGACCAATCCGCTCTGGGTGGTCAAGACCCGCATGTTCACCACCTCCTCGCCTTCACTGAACACCAATCGTGATGCTGCAGCGGTGACCCAAAGGCCGTTTCGCAACGTTTGGGACGGTCTCGTCACCATCGCCCGCCATGAGGGTCTCAGGGGACTATATCGAGGGACTGCACTTGCGCTCATCGGCGTCAGCAACGGTGCTATCCAGTTCGTTGCTTATGAGGACCTCAAGGCTCGTGCCAGAGATCGCGCGCAACGTCGGTCCCGCGCACAGGGCCGCGACGGTATACGCGACGATGAGGACGTCGAGCTCGTCAGTACCATCTGCGTCCCTGCCGCTCAAGCTGACGCGCATTGTACACAGTCGAATCTTGCTTACATTGCGATGTCGGGCTCGTCCAAATTGCTTGCGATCGCAGTCACTTACCCATATCAAGTCGTGCGCTCACGCATCCAGGTCAGCAGACACTCATCTTCCGTTCGCACCGTGAGCTGATTGCGCTGATAGCAATATGCCTACATACCCATCGGCAAAGGGCCGACGGTTTCTGGCGCCTATTCCTCGATACCTGACTGCATCGCCCGCACGTACAGACAGGAGGGTCTGCGAGCATTCTACAGGGGACTCGGTACGAACGCTGTGCGGATTCTGCCGGGAACCTGCGTAGTTTTCCTCGTATATGAGAACTTGTCGACATTGCTGCGTCGCAAAGCCCGCGAGCGCGAAGCACGAGCGCAGCACGAGCTCGAATTGAATCATGCACGACCGCCAGTAAGCATACAGAAGCGTAGAGCAGAATGGTTAGGCAAAGCCGAACCGCCCTCGGGGCATTCGTAAGACTTGTTGTGAGTCAGCATGGGTTTACTTGCGTGCCACATATAGATCCTGCTTGCCGTCTTTGACTTTGCGCACGAATCTGAGCACGAGCTTCTCGATGTCCTTGTCTGCGACGACGAGATCGCGCAAAAATGGTCTGATATCTTCTGGCACCCATCTCGGACGGATCTGGAACAGGAGCGCAAATCGTGCCTTTGGATCGGGCGGTAGATCCTTTGCGGACATGTAGCTGACCGTCGGCGTGCTAGTATCGTTGGCTATCAAGCAAAAGCCCTGCGCACGGATCAGCCTTGCCTGAGCGAGACACAAGAGGCGCACCTCGAGTAGCTCTAGCCGACAATGCTTCGCATACAGCACTCCCACGCGCTCAGTCCAAATCTGCATAAAGTCATCGACGGCAACAGCACGTGTCTGTCTTCGGCATGAGCCACCTGCCAGCCAGATCTCCCTGACTGACCTTGCCGGTTGCGCGAGCCTGCAGAATCGACTTGCCAATATCAGCAGCGATGAGGTCAAAGTTGAGACCTTGGGAACCGGAATGATATAGTTGCAGGACTTGATGGGTAAGGTCTATAGGGTGAGCATAATCTTCTGAGACCGTGCGGGCACAAGTAAGCAGATCGACAGGAGCTGTAGCTTCGCCACCCCGTGGAAGGGAAGCAAGCAGATCGCCGAGGAAAGTCGTTAGGTAGTCTGGCGAGAGACGTTTGACAGAGCCATCTGAGCTGAGATGCTCAGCCGTCGGGGGCGTGCTCGGCACACGTCACGCACCTTTTTCAATACACCGCAGATCCCGCAGGCCCGCCTCGATCTCACACGCGCTTGCCTGTACGAGGTCGTCGATCTGGTCTCGCGTGTAGCGTGCTCGTTTGCGGTTCTGAGCGAAAAGACACGTCATGAGCTCAAGTGATCAGATGAAGCGCAGACTGAGTGGATGCTTGCCTTGCGTCCGCACCGGTTCTCATGGTCGCTATCTTCGGCAGCCTCGCCAGTATATGGATCATCGCCGAGTAGGTCGAGTAGCCTGTCCACACGTCCAGGAATGCGATGGAGCTCGAGAGTGAGATGGAGCGTGCCGAGGAGCGCAATGGCTACGTCCTGGCTGTCTGTATCGCTAACGGCCTTACATAGGCCCAGGCTGTTGGTGTTCTGCACAGAACGCAGAGCATAGGTAGCTCCGGAACGTGTGCATAGCACTGCTTCGTCCTCCGGCCTGCCTTTGATCGTCAACGACGGGCGGTTAACACTGCTGTTTTCGAAGATATTCTCAGAAAGATCCCGTCCGTGGCTCGAGCCGATCAAGCTCTCGAGCTCGGCCGGGATACTAAGCAGTGAGTAGCACGTATGCGGGTCATGCCGCGAGTAGGCGACTCTGTGCTTCATGCGTGTCGTCGAATGACATCGAATGGCACTCTCGCTCGCTACGCGCTATGGACGTCGATCGACGTATGAATACTGACGCGACGCTCGCGCGCACTCGCCGCCGCCGCCGGCCGCCCTCCAGCTCCAGCCCCAGCCCCCAGCCTGAGCTCGCGACCGAGCCCACCATGGCCAGCTCGAGCAGCCTCTCGGTGTCAGCAGATCCCGGCACACAGAGGGCAGACGCAATTCGGAGTCTTGCCCGAGCGACCTCGCAGCGCTCTTTGGCGGGCCGCACACGAAATAACTTCCCCCAAGAGCCAGGCATCATGTCAACGCCGTCGTCTAGCCCTATCACTGGCGATCACGGCCAGAATGAACGGGCCGACCATAGGAGAGGCGTATCAGAAGAACGTAGCGTCGCTCGTATGCATCTGATGCGGACGCTACCTATTCGCTCGACCGACGCAGTTCCGAACCCGCAGGTCGACACCGTTCAGGCGCGGACGAGACGGTCACGAAGCGGCAGCATGCCACTCGATCCCCGACCAAACACTGCAAGTGAGATCAACGAATGCGGGCGAGACCTTGAGACGTTGGCAGACCGACCCTCGTCTGTCGAGCCCACACAGGGACTGCGGCCCTTCTTCACTCGCTCTACTGAATCCATGCGGTCATATCGCACAGCGAAAGGCTCCGACGGTACACTGTCACGGCGATGCTCTCTTGATGAGCGTAACGAGAGAGGGCTGCTGCCCTTGCTCACTGCGGCGAAAGCCTCGTCGCACCTTGTATCTCCCACCGAACTCATAGGCAGGCAACCGTCACCTCTCGGCTCGCATGGCTACATAGATCCACGCGAGTCGTTCGTATCATCGATCGTATCGACGGCTGATGGAGGACGGTCCGATCGCGATCGCGAAAGTGCCATTGCTAAGCTGGATGCCGAAGATTCGTTCGAATATGAACACCTCATGCTAGCAGGTCGGGCAAGCCACCTCGCCCAAACGTCACCGCCTGACAGTCATGCCATTCACAACGACGAGGCCCATTCGAATGACGGCGCTGATGAAGATCGGCACGCCAGCAAAGAGTATGAGACCTGCCATGCCATGATGAGCACTGACAGATGCGACGGCAGGCAAGCATCCATCGCGAGTACCGCTCCTGTTCGACAGCAGACACAGAGTCAGCCCAGCAACCAGGCGCGCGAAGCAGTTCTCAATAGATTGAAGCTGCTTACCCATCGTGCCCTGCCCGACCGCGAAAAAATCGGTCGTATCGACCTGAGCAAGCCCAAGCGAACTCTTCAACTGCACTCGGGCGCGCTACAGGTGGTCAATGCCAATGTCGTCAAAGATCGCTACTTGCTTTTATTCGACGACTTGCTCGTCATCGCAAAGCCTGACATTCGACGACATGCTGATTCTGGCATGCCACTCTTCCCAACCTTGGATACCGTCTTTGCAGTCAAAAGCATTGTAGAGGTTGACCGTATTCGCATAACAGCGCAGCGGGAGGACGACGTCTCAGAGGACCTGCAACCGGGCAAGCGTCAGCATCCAATGATTCTATCCTTTATCGAACGTTTCGCCGAGGATCCAGCACTTGCAGTCAAAACGCTTGTCCAGAAAGGCGGCCTTGCGAGTGATGCACCTACTATCGCGAATCTGCTCTTCCGGACGCCAGAGCTGAGCAGGACTCAGCTTGGAACATACCTGTCGCATCGCGAATCTCGCCAAATCTTGAGAAGCTACGTGGATCGCTTCCACTTTGCTGGAATCCAGCTCGACGACGCGCTCAGGCTCATTATGAGCACGCTCAGATTGCCCAATGATGTCAATGCCGCGGAACAGCTACTACACGTCTTCGCCGCCAGATGGGCCGCTGCCAATCCTTCTCTGGGCGATTCAAAGCTTGTCGGGCGATTCGTCATCGCTATCATGGAGCTCAACGACGCACTTCATTCTGGCAAGTACGATTTCGAGGGTACGGGCTGCCTCTTCAGTTTTCCCAATGAAGCCATCACGCGCGACGACTTCGTCGCGGCCTTTCGAGGAACAGACGCACAGTTTCGCGCCTCGAATGACATGTTGGATAGAGTCTACTCATCAATCAAGGCCGAGCGCATGATCAGCGCGTCGGATAATTCAGCGTATGCCAATGCGCCTGATCTGCCTGCAATACTGACGCCGGCACGGCTGCCATCACGTCTACACTATCAACAAGCTTCCCAGGTCTTCCAGATCTCCATACCTGACCCCGATCCAGAGTTCTCGATCAAGCTCCTTGCTCAGGACCTGACGTTTGAACCAGCTGTGCTCACGTTTGCGACGTCGTCGACCGCTTCTTTCAGGGTGACAGGTACTACGGTCGGACGCGCCACAATGCTGTTATTGAAGTCGGGCAATAACGCACCATTTTATCACGGGCTGCCTGTCAGCAAAACATTCGTCGTCGAACGCGCCTTCATGCGGCACATCTTTCAAGTCGCCTTTATTAACCATCTGGGGATCAAGCGAAAGTATATGTTCTCGATGGGAACAGCAGAAGCCCGCTCACAATGGCTTGACGGCCTCAGTCGCTGTGCGTCGAGCCCATCGATGATATATACAGACGCAGCCTTGAGCCTTGCCGCCCATCGTGTTGCCCTGCAGGTGCTGCGTGACAGCCTTATCATGCCGGATCCAATTCAAAGTTTACGAGGGTCTTCACGAGCAATGACGATAGGCATGTCGCACCAGACTTCATCCTCGCCAACCATGGACAATCGATTCGATATGTCTCGCAAGCCCAGCCAGCCGCTTTCAAAATTGACACGATCACCGTCTTTCTCGTTACTGTACTCGTACGGAGCGGGTGCGGTCGAGCAGCTAGGTTCAATGAACTTTGCCAGCACAAATATACCCCCGCCAGACACTGCTGCATCTGACAACGTGTCGCCGGCCTTTGCAAGGCAACATACGGGGCATGAGCTCGTGCAGATCTTGCAGCAAAACTCGCTACTGCCGGTCGTGCTCGGCTTCATGCGCAAGATGCTTCCTGAGACCGACGACAAATAGATGGGTTCAGACTGAACACGTCCCAACGAGAACCGGTTGCGCGGCACTGGTCAGTCTAATTTGGCAGGCACTTGATCTATGACCATCCTTGCGCACACGAAGTGAGCAATGAATGGCCATTCTTTGATCAGGTTGTGCGTCGATGCTTGCCCGTTGGTCAAGATGACTGCCAACCATATCAGACAGTACCTTTGCCAAGTCACATTGCCAACCTTCTGCATAAGTTGTCTTGAGCATTGCTTGCCTCCTGAGCGTCTTAGCATCTGTCTTAGCATCTGTTGACTCGCTCGCGATGTGAAGAACGCTCTGCATGACGTGAGACGATTTTCTGGGGATTCGTTGCCTGCGCGCACCTTCTTGCTCCAACCTGCGGTCGCCCGCAAGGGTCTCAGAGGCTGCAGTGGGCTAGGCGTCAGAACGCATGCCGCGGAAATTTGCTCCAGGTCCGCCAGATCTGTGAAGAAAGTTCAGCTGTGCTCAAGACCAGTCAATGGTTGCGCACCAACGTCAGCCATGACATCTGAGAATGCCTGGCAACCGCGGCCATCGGCAATGATGACAACCCGATCGATTTCGCTCATACTGCGCATATGTTAATTGAGCCTTCTCAAAAGAATAGGCCAGTCACCTGATGTCGCTGTTACGGAACAAGCTGTGCCATACATGCGCTATCAGCGCTGTTCTCAATCGTTTGCCCTACGATGCTTTTCAGCACTGACATCGCTTCGAAGCTGGCAATTATACCTCTTTGCTATGTGAATGAAGTGGCGCCGGCAAAGTAACGTTTACGTCAACGACGGCCCACTGCTGATCGTTGGACAGGCGGTATATCAACTCGCTTTTATCATACTGCATTCGAGCGACGGTAAGCACAAAGGCGATGCGCAGCCAGCGATATACTGACGATGAAAGATTCGGAGGATGCTGGCTCGCCTGTGGCAGCATTGAGCTTGATTGACAGAACAGACCTGCAGCAATACATATCAGACAAGTCAGCATACATGGCTAGCAATCTACCCTTCGTGTATCCACAGGATAGCTTTGGTCGCTGTGCGGATGCTCGATGACACAAACACTTGTCGATCGAAATGTGAAGAGAGCGTGGGTTCACCGAGTGCGACAGAGATCATCTGCGAATGTTTACGCTTCACGATCGCTTCGAAAGGCAAGAGAGCCCGGTTGAGCTCTGTAGCAAGTGGCAGGATGTCATCGGACAGTGGCTCGTAGCGAGGACGCATGGTCTTCCAAAAGCGAGATTGGATTGCAACAACGTCGTGGATAGTCTTGACAGCGCTAGCGCACGGTGCCAGAGACGGTAATGCAGGTGGCGCATCGCCCAGCATGACACGTATACATGCTAGAGCGGATTGGGAGATTGCCTCAATATTGTAGCCACCCTGACAAATCGTCAGTATTGCATCGGGCTTAGACGTGAAGCTTACTTCGAGCGCAGCGACAAGCCGGCCGCCTGCCAGCGAAGCAAGTCTATGCGTCATGTGGGCGTAACCTGCGGGCGAGACAAGGCATCCGCCGAGTTCGTCGCCCTTTGCTGCGTCAAAACCCGCCGAGACTAACAGTTGGCGTTAGCGTTAGCGTCAAGGGAAGTGCAGCGGCCGCGCGCACTTAATACGAAATCTGGAGCAAATTCGCGTGCTAGCGGCATGACTATTGTATCGAAGGCGTAGAGATAGTCTGCATCCCCCATCGCCGCTTGATCCCAAGGTATATTGACATTCCTTGTATGAGCGTTAGTGCTGATTTACAAAGTAACTATATGCCGTACTTGCCGCGCCCGGCACCCTCGCCAACAAATGTCATGTCAGCTTCGGGCCGGCCGGGATAAAAACGCTCGCCGCCGCGAATGTCAAACCGATGAATGGAAACGAAGAGCACATTAGGATCGTCATAGAAAGCCGTTTGAGTGCCGTTCCCGTGATGGATGTCCCTGAAGGTGTGACCTGAGCAGTGGCGCGTTTCAGTCGCAGAGCAGGCTAGCGTACCAGTCTAAGATAAGAATGCGTTGTATCGGAGCAGGGCCCTCGCGATAATGGCAGAGGAGATACTTTGCGGTAACGGCGACGTTGTTGAAAAAGCAGAATCCGCTTGATTGATCTGGGTCAGCGTGATGACCAGGCGGGCTTGCGAAGCGAGGTGTCAGCGGGCAAGTGAAGCAGTGTTTGAGACGAGGAGGCGCACCGAACAATAGCAAACGCGTTGCTGACACGCTTCTCTGCCACAGCGATGGCTGAAACGAGGACACCGCCAAGCGATAGCTTTGCACATGTTGCGGTGTGGTGATTCACGTATAGCGAATGGTATCGAAGATGCTGCCTGAACTCTCTATCGTCCAGAACCGCTTGATCGAGCGCTGTCAGACATTCATTGAGCTGCGAATCACTAAATGCGATATACGCACTCGAAGTTATTTCAAGTTCGTCCCACAGTTGGGCCGAATGGATCAGACATGCTTCTTCGCGAGAGGCAGACCGTATTTGGAGACGGAGCATGCACTTGAGCAAATCTGCCTCTGAAAGTCACGTGCCAAGTCAGCTAGTCCGCTCCCACTCGGTCGCCATAAGCCTACCGAGGATAGTGTGCATAATGCGAGAGATCCGGCTAGGTTGTTCAGGATGCTGATCTTCGGGCAGCATTGGATCGCCGTACTCATCTCTGTGGAGCATCATGTGCTTATCGTAGACGTAACCTCGAGGTAGTCTTGCATGAGCTGCTGTTTGCCATTCGCATAAGTGGCTCACCCGTTCTGGGTTGGACGCAAAGTGTCTGCTCATTCCGCTGATGTATAACGAGAGCCGGAGCGAGTAAAGCCTCCGTAGCGATGCGGCCACCGACGATTCCCTTCTGGGGCGTGACTCCATTCGTGGGGATCATGGTGGGAGCAGTTCAGATCAACGAATGTATTCGTCATGCACGATTGGGCCCTCGCAATGCAGGAAAGGAGCTCTTGAGATGTCGTTGGCTAAAGTGCGGGCCGCAGCAGCAGAGATAAATCAGATAGGTGTGGCCAACCTCATTGAGCAGTACAGTTCCAGGCCTTCATGATCAGCGCCTGCTCGAGTTAGGTTAACGGACATTTACTGTCGCCGAGTCGCGACCAGTGGTGCAAATCCGAGAAAGGGTCTCAAGATCTCCAGCATGTCATCGTCTCTGGGCACGCAAACATGCTTGCAGCTGACGAGGTCCGCAAGGAGCCTCGCGAGGGCCTCGCGAGCCAGCAAACGGTGGGCTTCGAGCTCGGCGATGCCAAGTACGTCGAGATCGGCCTTTGTCATCGCCGGAGGAGCCGTAGTGGGCGTCATTGGCGGTAGCGCTCTGCTCGGTAGCAGCGGATCGGACAAACGCAAGGCCTTACGTGCGTAGTGAATCGTCAGAATGTCACAACCTGATGAGCCCAGTCTGAGTAGTCGCATCGAAGAATAAGGCAGCTACAAACGAGACGCCCAATGTTGTGCACGACAAGGCGAAAGAGGTAGCTCAGCAGACGGCTGCTGGCGATCCCTCCCAACCGGAAGAAGGCGAACAGGACTCGTCAGCGGCGTTCAACCCCGAGACGGGCGAAATCAACTGGGATTGCCCCTGCCTTGGTGGCATGGCTCATGGCCCTTGCGGTGCCGAATTTAAGGAAGCATTCTCTTGCTTTGTATTCAGTGACGAGACGCCCAAGGGCGCAGGCTGCATTGACAAATTCAAGGGCATGCAAGACTGTTTCCGAGCTCATCCCGATCATTATGGCGCAGGTCAGTCGGCGGAACCATGAGCCGGAGGAATTCTGACATACTCTACCAGATATGATCGGCGAGGAAGACGGGGATGAAGACTCGTCAGAAGGCTCGTCCGAGCCTGGCATGATCGACAAGGCCCACGACACATACGAATCTCTGACGGAGGCCGCAGAGGGCGCGCTTGGCCGCGTGTCTTCAGTCTTCAGTAGTGGGGACACGACTGCAGGCCGAGATGATGAGCACAAATCGCAGCACAAGCAACAAGGGTCTTCGCCGTCTCTCAATGCGACGACAGGAGACGTGCACGCTGGCGGCTCGCAGATGCATTCCACTACCGCTAGTAGAAGTGGCAAAGATGCGCTCCATCCCGAAAAGACGCCGAACACGACGGGCGGTAGGAAGGATCCCACGGGGCGCAACGCGGCCAAAGGAAATCAGCCCAGCGGGTCTAGTTCCTCCGCGCAAGACAAATTCAAAGCGAGCGTTGAGAGCACAAGAAGTGGGCAAGATAAAGATCAAGCAGGCAGTGCAGCTAGCCGTCACAAAACTGCCTGAAGTCCTTCAGAAGATAGCAAGGATAGAGACGCTCAAATGCATATCTCAGTGGATTATAAGCCTATACGTCTTGCGCCCGCCAACACAAGCTTGCCCGTCGTAGCTGAGGCCCAACCCATGGCTTTTTTGTACAGGTCAAGCGCTTCCGTGACCCCGATGATGTAGACACCAGATCGCATGAAGTCAGTAGCTTCGAGAGAAAGTCAGTCAGCTCGCGCAGTCCCGAATGTGCTGACCCACCGAGATTGTCCTCCTGACGTCTCACTCGGTACAGGCCGTCCTTGCCCTTGACGAGATCAATACGGATTAGAAAGCGAGGAGCAGTCTTGATGAACGGCAGGAACGTCAAGTAGAGGTGCTCACTGGCCTCTAGTGGAAGGGTATGGTGAGCCTGGTTCAGCCGAGCCTTGAGCATTGCAGTACTCGCCTAGCCAGCCTTTCGTCATATCCTCGTTGAAACAGGCATCACCATGAAACTCCATCTGCACATTGCGCCATTCAGTGCAGAACAGCCTTTTCAGAGGATATGTCATCGCACCTTGTTGCCATACGTAAGGACCTTGAGCATCCTGCGCGCGCGTCTTCAGCAGTCTAGAAGCGATCATCGCATCGAACGAACGTGTAGATGCCCTTTAGACCTTCTGAAGTGACAATGCGGACATGAGTGACAGACGCATCAACACCTCTCCAGCGCACCTCTCGAGCTCGGTGTGTGGGGCTGATTGAGCATAGGATGATCAATGTAGGCGTCTTCAGTGTAGTACCTGTCGATGTTCTGTGCGATGACGACAGGTGAGGCGGGCTCGACCAGCGATCTGACAACGTCGTAGATGTCGTTCCTCGGATTCTCCATGATTGATAGCGAGACTTGGGTGCGATCCAAGGACCGCCTAGGCCCGCCGCCGACGCCGACGACGCGATCAATCGATTGCCCGGTCCGGCTCCTGCTCTTGCCTGAGCATTCTGTCTGTGCAGCAGTCCGTCGCTCGCCGAAGCGACATGTCAACCTCTTCCGGACTGCCCGCGGGCTTCAGTACCGGCCGCTTTGCTGGATGTGGGTGGTCACGTCCGTTGACAGCATGGGGGCGCAGCTGAACGAAGGCTGCCGTTCGAACAGTGCAAGTACAGGACAGTGGTGACGACGACGACGGCGAGGCGATCGAAGAGCAGACGCAGAGACAGTCTACGGGCACGGCGAGCGGTGCAGCTACTGCAGCCGTCACGCCCAGCAAAAAAGCCAGAGCCAGAGCACGCAAGGCAGCAGACAAGGCAGCTTCGCTCAATACTACCCCTGCTGCCACATCGAGGCAGTCGAAAGCGAATGGCCCACAAATAGCTGCCGAAGCGAGGTCTAATGGCCTTGCTGGAGCCGGCCCACAAACGCCAGCCTTGCCAGGGCAGAAAGACTCTGCCCCCGTAGGCAGAGCAGCAACTGATGGGGCGCACGAACGAGCTCAGCTTGCGGTGCAACATCAACAGATCGCTTCTCCTCATCTGAACGGTCTCAAGCTTTCCGCGGCTGGCTTGAACGCTCACTCCCGGACGGATTCGACAACCAGCACGGTAAGGCCCAGCCTGCCGGATCGGACAGAGACGCTTGATTCGCTCTACTCCGGCGCCTCAACACCCTGGGGCATGTCCAGCTCTTCCGTCGTATCCACGAGTGACGACGAGGCTGACGAGCCAGCAACGGCGCGACCTGCTCGAGACGGTCGGCATGCCCCCGCATCGCTCGAGACACGTCAGCTCGAGGCTGCCACACAAGCGTCGGACCGTCAAGTGACGCCTACGATGGATAAGCGGGCCGCAGAGCCGACCGCGAAAATACAGCCGCTGTCTCCAAAGTCTTCAAAGGGGGCCAAGCTTGACACGCCTGGCCAGCATGGCACTGATCACGACCCTGCCAAGAAATGGCAAAGTGTGATGACGCGCATCGTCTGGAGCCTCATCATGGTCACCATCTTTATCAGTAAGTCTCTTTGCTGCGCCGACAAGAATAAATGACGCCAATCAATTCTCGCAGCGATACTGTTGCTCGGGCACGTTTACGTGATCCTGCTGACCTTTGTTTCGTCGGCTCTCGTCTTTCGAGAGCTGACCGATCTTTTCGATGGCGCATCGTCCTCACACCACCACGAGGGCGAAGGAAGGGAGCGCTCAGCTGCTCATCAGCGACGGAAAGCAGAGCGAGAGCGTTGGTCGCGGATCACCGCTTGGTATTTTTTCATATCGACCAACTACTTCCTATATGGCGAAACGATCATCTACTACTTCAAGGTCGGCCGCGGTGCAGGTGTGTAATATGAGAGGCTAACATTGTAAGCAGCACATTGTCCTCATCGATACTTACTTCATACCGTTTGCTCGCCACCATCGATTCATAAGCTTCATGCTTTACGTCATCGGTCAGTCCGCTAATTCTGAATGGCGATTGCTGCTGAGCGATTATCTCCAGGCTTTGTCGGCTTCGTCGGTGCACTGAAGCGCAACCAGCTGCGTCGCCAATTTGGACTCTTTTGCTGGATCCACATGAGCCTCTTGGTCGTCGTCGTCTCGTCGTAAGCCTTCGACAAGAGCGAAGCCGAGGAAGCTGACATTTCTTGATCAGTCACTTCATTGTCAACAATATACTCGAAGGCCTGATCTGGTTCTGGATACCGGCCTCGCTCGTCATCATGAACGATGTCGCTGCTTACTTCTTCGGGATGACGATGGGTAGGACTCAGCTCATCAAGCTCAGCCCGAAGAAGACAGTAGAGGGCTTTGTCGGTGCCTTTTTCGCGACAGTCGTCTTCTCCTACTTTGTATGCAATCCTTGTCCCATCAAGACCGAATGGGCTGACGCAACCATCAGTGGGGCACGCTGTTCATGCGGTTCACATATCTCACATGTCCCGCTACCGATCTTGGCACAAGCGCGTTCAGTACGATAACCTGTTCGACGAATCCTGTCTTCACTTGGCGCGAATGGCCACTGCCACAAGGGGTCGCAGCAGGCCTTAGCACACTTGTCGGTTGACGCAGTGTTCAATGGTCTAGTCGAGATTGACATGGGAGCAGTTCCGGAGATCGATCACCGTTTTGCCTTGGTCACCCTTCCAGCTCCATTGCCTCGTCATGGCCGTCTTTGCCTCGCTGGTTGCGCCTTTTGGCGGTTTCTTCGCTTCGGGGTTCAAACGAGCCTTCAACATCAAAGGTGAGCCCCGAACTGACCGACCATACGTTCCACACTCATGGGGCGATATAGACTTTGGCGACTCGATACCCGGTCATGGTGGCATCACTGATCGCATGGACTGCCAGTGAGGCTCAGTGACTCTGAATGCAGTGTCAGCGCTGACAACTGAGAACGCGCAGGTTCTTGATGGGTCTGTTCTCGTACGTCTACTACAGCAGCCTGATCAGAGTGAGTGCAGACGACAAGCGGCAGCTTGCGTTCTGACGCGGGTGACAGGAACATCACATCAATGCTGGCACCCTGCTTCAATCTGCACTGACCGCGCTGACTACTGAAGAGCAAGTCGAGCTCCTGCGGGGCTTGCACAGCTATCTGAGCGCAAAGGGCGTCGGTATGGCGTTGTAGAATCCTATAGATGCAACAAGGTCGCGATCGATATCGCGCCGCTGCGCCGCCCTCCCTTGGCCTACATGAAGGCAGACCGAGCATGTGACATGCCATGATGTCGTGAAGCAATGCAGCCACAAGATGTCCAACAGGGCGCCATCATCATCCCGGCACCGCCGTCTCAGCATGACATTATCGAGCCTCCTGCCGGCTCGTATCGCTCGAAGAGCTTGATCAGCGAAGGTGCACCGACCGACTTTCGCGGATTCTTTACGCCTGCCGATGGCTTGACACAACAGCAGATCAATGAAGATCCCGTGGGCTTGCCGACGATCTTCAGTCAGCTCGAGACAGCAGGCGCAGGCCAAGATGAAGAGGACATGCCCGTATACGACGACCCGACCGGCTCACTGTTTTCAGGTCTGCCGTCGTTCTAGCACGTCGACTCGTGTCCAGACTGATGGGGCGCATGTCACGCAGGACCTGTCGCAGAATCGGTGCCCACCGGCATCACTGGCATGCGCATTCGCCCTCGTTCAAAGGGCGAACTCACGAGACTGTCAGGCGAGTACGACGATGGAGCCAGCTGCTCCTTCGGCGCTACGTCACAGCACGTCGCACGATCCATCAAGAGCAGTAAATCTTCTCGTAGTCGAAGCAACAGACGTATGTCAGGCGTCGAGGCCTCGCAGACCCAGCGGCGCTCGTCGACTGGCAGACCTAGGCTTGCATCCAGCGCCTCCAATCTGTCAGTACCTGGCGTGCTAGATTCTGAATCCGACCCGGAACTCGAGCATGCTGTCAAACAGTCGTCTTCCTCCTCTTACCGCCGGCAGGCTCGCCCCTCTGCAGCGCGCCGCCAAAGCACGCTGTCTGTGGGCTCAGCGGCATCATCGCGGCGCTCAATCAGCTCTAGGAGATCGGAATACAGTATACGTGGCAAGAGAGCAAGGAAGGAGAGCTCACCCACTCGGTCTGCCGTCGACTCGGAGGATGATGATGCCGCAGATCCATATGGACCATACGGCTCGTCAGTCTCTACATCCTCAACGACGACCACCAATTCAGTCGAATCAACGGACTCTCGCATCACCCGTAGCCGTCGACATCGAGCCGCTCATTTCCCCTTCGGCAGCTATGGCGGCTTTGGTAACGGAGATCCCCTCTTTGGCGAGTCTCGTGTCGATATCGGAGAACTGTCCGAAGACGGAGACGATGAGCCTGCGATCAACGAGGATCTGTCTTCGACCGCCGATAATACTCTCTTTGGTCGCAAGCCCAGATTGCTGGCCAGCCGACAGTCTGTCTATATCGTTGACGAAGACCTGCAGATCCTCTTTGTCGGTTGGGGCCAAAAGACCTATAAACGAATACTATGGTTTTCCGGCTGCATTCTGTCAATTGGCATTCTCTGGCTCATCGGCCGTTGGATTCCACGCTGGTGGCTACAGGGGCGCGGCAAGGAGCGCGACTTTGCCAGAGCGGACTTCATAGTTGTCGAAAGTCAACATGGTGATCGTCACATCGAAATGCTCCAAACGATCAGCTTGCCTGGTCCAACACCTCTCACAGACATCTTTGCACCCGGTTGTGGCGAGCCACCCACAAGCAGGACTGATATTGCCTTGGCATCGCAGACCAAGTCCCAGGCAGATGCGGAAGCGAGTACGCCCTTGAACGGCTCTGTCAAGTCAAACCGACCAATGAGAAGAGCCACCATGCTGACGGAAGTGCGCTATGTTGACTATCGCTATTATCGCTTCTTGCTGCATCCTGTCGACAATAAGTTTCGGATGGCACGAGACTGGAAAGATCCAGAATGGTCAAGTGCGCTCAATCTGCGCAAGGGCGTAACAGCTGCAGCAGTATATCAAAGGACGTCACTCTTTGGAAATAACGCCATTGAGATCAGGGCGCGGACGGTTTGGCAGCTTTTCGTCGACGAAGTCCTGCACCCTTTTTACGTATTTCAGATTATCTCGATTGTGCTATGGTCTTACGACGACTACGTCGCGTACGCCGCCACCATTGCGCTTATCAGCATCATCAGTATCACGACCACTCTGGTCGAAACCAAGCGGAATGTCGAAAGGATGCGCGAAATGTCTCGCTTCTCATGCTCGATCAGAATCTGGCGTGCAGCTCAGTGGACCATTGTCGACTCTACCGAGCTAGTACCTGGCGATCTCATCGACTTAGGAGAACCAGGTTTACAAATCGTGCCTGCGGACCTGATCATGCTCTCTGGCGACGCAATCGTCAACGAGAGCATGCTGACTGGGGAGTCAGTCCCCGTCTCCAAGTCACCTGTCGACGATTCTGCCATCAAGATGCTCCAAACCATTGGAGGCGAGATACCTCCGGCTCTCTCAAAGCATGTTCTCTTCTTCGGTACCGGCGTGATACGCATCAGACGGACGGCAGGACCTGCAGCTTCAGGTCTGGAAGCGGTCGGCATTGTCTTGCGCACGGGTTTTGATACGACTAAGGGCGCTTTGGTGCGATCAATGCTCTTTCCCAAACCGATGGGCTTTAAGTTCTATCGAGATTCGTTCCGTTTCATCGGCGTACTTGCCGGTATCGCTGTTATCGGGTTCATCGCAAGCTCTGTCAATTTCATCAAGCTGGGCATCAAGTGGCACACTATTGTCGTGCGAGCGCTCGATCTCGTGACCATCGTCGTGCCGCCTGCTCTGCCTGCAACAATGTCTATTGGCACTTCATTCGCCATCTCACGACTGCGCAAAGCCGGTATCTTCTGCATCTCGCCTAATCGCGTCAATATCGGCGGTAAGATCAATCTGGCCTGCTTCGACAAGACCGGTACACTCACAGAAGAGGGTCTGGATGTACTCGGCGTGCGCAACGTGCACCGTATCGATCGCGTCTTCAGCGATCTTCACGATGATGTCAACGATGTCCCCATCTTTGGTGCCGAGGATGCAAAGACGCCATTGTTGCATGCGCTGGCCACTTGTCACGGTCTCAAAATTGTGAACGGCGAAGTAATCGGTGATCCTCTCGACTTGCGCATGTTCGAGTTTACTGGCTGGTCGCTCGAAGAAGGCAAGGAAGGTACAGTGCGTCCTGATCCGCAGTTACGCAAGTCCAACGAGAGCAAGCGCGCCAACTCTCGCGTACCAGAAAGGGCCGCTACTCTAGTGCAAACTGTCGTGCGTCCACCTGGCACGCAAGGCTTCCAGATCGAAGACGCCTTGCGAAGCGGTAGCAAGCATGCTCATTTCCTCGAACTAGGCGTCATCCGTACTTTCGAATTTGTTTCTGCCTTGCGACGGATGAGTGTACTGGTCAAAAAGCTCCGATCGTCCTCTGTCGAAGTGTACGTTAAAGGCGCGCCGGAAGTGATGACGGATATCTGTCTTGCCGGATCTCGTCAGTGCATAGTGATCCCAGCTCACAAGCCACTGACATGCGCACAGTGCCTGACGATTACCACGATTGTCTCGAGTTTTACACAAAGCACGGCTTCCGCGTCATCGCCGTTGCAGCCAAATCCATTCCCGGCCTGACCTGGATCAAAGCTCAGCGAATGAAGCGGTGGGTGTTCAATGAGGCAGCCTGATTTTGCTCACGTCAAACGTTCCAGCGAAGTCGCAGAGAGCGAATTGCGCTTCCTCGGACTGATCATCTTCGAGAACAAGCTCAAGCCTGGCACAACGCCTGCCATTCATACGCTTGCGAATGCGCACATCGCAGTCAGAATGTGCACGGGTGACAATATTAGAACTGCAGTTAGCGTCGCTCGCGAATGCGGCATGATCGAACGTGAGGCAGCGGTCTACCTGCCCCGATTTCTCGAAGGCCATCAGCTGGATCCCGATGCGCGGCTTGAATGGTTCGATGTCGAGGACGAAAGGCTCTTGCTGAATCCTTACAGCCTAAAGGTATGACCTGCGCGCATTGGCAGGCCGTGCTGAAGTCGCTCGCCAGCCCATCATTCCTGACAACAGCTCTGAAGATCGCTCGATTGCCTCGCTGGGCGAAAGAATGAGCAATTACGCATTGGCAGTCAGCGGTGACGTTTTCCGATGGATGATCGATTATGGCGCCCAGGAGACGCTACAGCGAGTACGTTGAATCTTTTCCATCCAGAGCAATTGTCGCTGAGAATCGCGCAGATGCTTGTTCGAGGAGTTGTCTTTGCTCGCATGTCTCCAGACGAGAAGCACGAACTTGTCGAACGGCTGCAGGATCTTGGCTATACCGTCGGCTTCTGCGGCGATGGCGCGAACGATTGCGGCGCGCTTAAAGCAGCCGACGTTGGCTTGTCGCTATCGGAAGCAGAAGCGTCTGTTGCCGCGCCGTTCACGAGCCGGTCACCCGATATTTCGTGCTTCATCGAAGTCATTCGCGAGGGCAGGGCCGCGCTAGTCACGTCCTTTTCGTGCTTCAAATTCATGGCGAGCTATTCGATCATACAGTTTGCGACCGTCACTGCGCTTTATGCGATTGCTTCATCACTTGGCGACTTCCAATTTCTCTACATCGATCTGTTCATTATCTTGCCGATTGCGGTCACCATGGGCAGGACGGCGCCATATCCTCGTATCCATCCGAAGCGACCTACGGCGAATCTGATCTCGAAGAAGGTACTGACGTCCCTCATCGGACAGATGATCATCACGACCGCCTTTCAATTTGGCGTGTTCTTCTATGTGCGTGCACAGCCATGGTACAGGCCGCCCAAGATCAATCCGGACGTGCTGAAAACAAAAAATGACGAGAACTCGGCACTCTTCTTACTTTCATCGTTCCAATACATCATCGTGGCGGTCATTTTCTGCGTCGGTCCACCCTATCGTCAGCCAATACACACCAATGTGCTCTTGCTCGTGACCATTGTGATTTTGTCTGCCTTTTCGCTATTCGCAATGTTTGTCGAACACGGCAAGATTTACAAGCTTCTGGATCTTGTGCACTTTCCAAGAGAATTTCACCTCGAATTGCTCCTGCTGGTCATCCTCAACGCTCTTTTTAGCTGGGTTTGGGAGCACCTCCTCGCCTCGAGACTGGCGAGCGCGATCGGCACAGCTAAACGACGCTACCGGCGCTGGCGAGGTACGCGAAGGATCGCAAGCGACAAGCTCTACAAAAGCATTGCGCGGGACATGGAAGACGACTAGACTGTTCCTCTGGTCTAGTGTCCTAGACCAGCACTTTTTGTGTTGTACAACCATTAGTCGTCATGCTTCACGCCCTGCATCGAGCACGCGTCCTCGAAGCTGTGAAGCGCAAAAGCTTGAGCTTGAAGCTTTAAAACGCGTCAGCGTCCACGTCAAAGCTCAAGCACTCACAGCTCACAGCAAGTCGTCGCCAACGCAAGCAGCAGCAGCACGATGGCACGGAGGCAGGTCAAAGCACACACTTGTCGAGAGACGAGATTGCTAAGAGGACGCATAGGTATGATTCTCGTACGACAATCTTCAGTCCAGAGGGACGGCTGTATCAGGCAAGCCCAATCGCTTATTCGATCAATGCGGGTCTTAGCAAAGTGTCGATAGGTCGAATATGCTATGGAATCAGTCTCGCATGCAGGATGCATTGTCGGCATCCTTGCACCAGGAAAGGGAAGCAAGCAGGCGGAAGATATGCTCAAGGCAAGACCGTCCTGAGGATCGCCTTGCCTGAGCGAAGCTCACCCCGCAGCGGACAGGCCACAGAGAAGAAGACGGCAGATTCGACCGTCTCCAGTGCTGCAGCGGCTGCAGCTACAGCACCCGTAGCGTCTACTTCAAGCCCTGCAGCACCTACGAAATCGACCGATGAAGATATTGCAATGAAAGATGAGTCGACAGAGGGCAGACCAGTCAGGCGAGGAGTCATCTTGGCGGCAGAGAAGCGGGTGACGAGCAAACTACTCGACAAAGAAGCTGGCGGTGGCAGGGAGAAGATTTTTGGCATCAATTCGTGCGTCTCGTGCCGGCCCTGCCTGGATTCTCCTGTGTGCTCATGTGGAGCCGCAGAAACATCATTGCAGCCGTCGCCGGTATCACCGCAGATGCAAACTCACTTGTCAACTTCTCTCGTAACGCTGCTCAAGGTCATCTCGCCTCATTTGACGAAGACATGCCCGTCGAGCATCTCGTCAAGCGGGTCTGCGATCTCAAGCAAGGCTATACGCAGTACGGAGGTTGGTAACTTCGCTGAGACCATGATCACTGCTGATCTCGCCTGTTCAGGTTTGAGGCCGTTTGGTGTGTCTTTCCTGTTTGCTGGCCACGATCCCCATTACGAGTTTCAGCTGTACGCATCCGACCCGTCAGGCAATTATACCGGTTGGCGAGCGCACTGTATCGGCGCCAATGCTAGTACTGCGCAGAGTCTACTAAGACAGGACTACAAAGGCGACATGAACCTCGACGAAGGCCTCGAACTCGCCGTCAAGGTTCTCAGCAAGACCATGGACAGCACCACACTTGACAGCGAGAAGGTCGAGATAGCGACTGTCCAGCTCGATGAAAATGGCATGCCGACGGTGCATGTATTGCTAGCTACCGAAATCGATGCTCTTCTAAGACAGCACGGTCTCGCCAAGGTAGCAGAATCAACCGACGAGCCAACTGTGGCCTGATCGTACAAGTGCAACACTTTGCAGTATCGATGCCGTTGCTACTCTTCCACTGTCTGCAGTTCCTGAGAGCACATCAGAACGTATAGACAATCTCCGTGACGAGTGCGCGGATATCTCCCGCTCGCCGCGCACTCGTGTCCAGGACCTGGGTACGAATGAGCACGATCTTGATTGCGCTTTGATGCGCACCTCTTGATGAGTCGTGATGGCCTCGATAGGTTCTGCTATCAGAAGCTCCTTGCCCTGATATTCTGCCTCTTCTTCCTCTTCGGCTGATCGGTACGGTGCATCAATGACGGCATTGCAGACAAGGGAGAAAACGATCACGTTGAGACCCTAAACAATGGTCATGGTCAGCACGCTTCGATTGAGACGCGCCGAGCTCACCTCGTGTCTCGCAACAATGACTTCTGGCACCGTCGACATCCCAACAACATCCGCTTGCGCTGCTCGTAGGAACCGACATTCTGCTTTGGTCTCGTATGTCGGCCCGGAAACCCATGCATAGGTGCCCTCGGTGAGTACATCTCGAGGCAGTCCAATCTTGCGAGCTGCGCGAAAGGCTCGCTTGCGTAATTCAAAGTCGTAGGCGTCGCTCATTGATGGAAACCGAGGACCAGCATTTGCGATATTGGGGCCGATCAAAGGGTTCATGGCGGTGAGTGAGGGCAACGAGATGTGATCGCGCAGGACGACGATGGAACCGACGGCCAGGCCAGGGCGAACACCCCCGGCAGCGTTTGTGACTATCCGTCATGGGTCAGCGCATAATCACGAGCAAGTTTGAGCCAACTTGCTGATGACGGTTTGAACGCCGAGCTTGCTCATGACCCGCATCGGAAAAGTGACCGTCGAGAGCGGATAGCCTTCATAAGCGTGAAATCGGCCAAGCTGGCACACGACAGGTATTCGCTTGTCTGACAGCAGGCCAAAGGCAAGCGACGATGCATGGCCATGCACTTTAGGAAAGGTCAGTTTCTGTCGACTAGCCAGCAGCGCCCACATGTACCTGTCGCAGCAGCGAAGCCAATATCGCTATAGGCCAAATCTATCCGGTCCACGAGCGTGTCGGCCAATTCGGAGAGGCCGGAGCCGCATACTATGCCGCAAATCGGCCTGCGTAGTGCGTCTGGCAGCAAGGCCTGGATCTTCTGCACGCTCTCTGCGATGGACATTCCTTGCATGAGCAGTGATCGGACGTAACGCGTCGCGCGATAAATCAATATGACACGGCAAGCACATGCCACGCCCGTTCTGGACGGGAAGCATCGAGCCATCCGCCAGCGAGACTCATCGGTGAATGCATGATCACACTCTCACATGGCTGGCGGCTCTGTTGCGCGGCGACTCTGTCGCTGCTATTGCTCTTCGCGATGACGCTTCGCATGGATGCTCAACGCTATGCCGTCGAGGATCTGGCCGAGTGCGAGCGAACGCTCTTGTACCCGTTCACAGCTGTGTATGGCTTTGCGTCAGAGCTCTACCTCTTTCTGCACGCCGCATGGTACGCAGACTTGACAAATCGGCAGCTTATCTACAACGACACCCATTGGAACTATGGCCGAATGTCCGACTATTTCGACAGACCTCGGCTGAGCTGTCGTGTCAGCCGCGAGCGCTACACATACAAGCCAGACCAGATCATGGTAGCTGAAAACGATTGGGAGCAGCCTCATCTCGTGTTCGAGCGCTGGACTTATCCGGACTTGGACAAGTATCTTCGGAACCGATTCCTACCAAACCGTACTGACCTTGGCGATTGCATCGTTTACGACAGCGATCACCCGATGTCTGTAAACTGTACCGTCCCTCCCCTTCTTGCTCGTCCGCTTTCAGATCTTCGGCGGCTATTCGCCCATCACTGTCCACGAAATCGACACGTGCGCGAGCTCGAGGAGGCTCGCGAGAGGGAGCTGGACACGGACCCCGACAACAATCTTCAGCTAGGCCTCTTCTTTCGGGGCGGTGACAAAGCTGTCGAATGCTCTGAGCCTGTCAGATCGTGCACCAATCTCTCTTGGTCACTTGAGGCGGTCACATCCAGTCTCCAGTATTTTCCGAGAAGCAGTCAGAAGCGTGTCCGGCTCCATCTGATGTCCGCCGAGTCAACGGCGCTAGAGCAAGCCCGTGATCTGAGCCAGCTATTCGAAATCACACAAATGCATCGCGCGCAAATGGACGTGGCGCCCACATTCCATCAAGAAGATTTCAATCTGCTTCCGATCAAAGACAGAGTCGCAGACACTCGGTCGATGTTGGCAAATCTATACCTGTTGGACAGGTGCAATTTGACGGTCCTGTCCATGGCAAGCAATATTGGGCGACTTGCAGCCCTCATCATGAATACCACCACTTTGAGAAGTTCCGATGTTGTATGGTCGCCGTTCACCTGGCCTATTTGACACTATTTGCACCGTGCATGACAACAACAAGAGGCACAATCCAGGCATAACGCAGAACGCGCTGCTCTTCTCTCATGCTGACATACGTGCACTCTGGCTGGCATGTTTACAGCCTGCTCTTGCTGGCTCTCTTGAAGGCTCTACTCCTTTTGCCGAGAGACCGAGTTGTCGAGCGAGAGGAGTCGCATTGTCGACGAGCATCAGGTCTTGACAAACAGCTTCCAATTTTGCTGCTTGTGATGTCGAGCGAGGATGAGCACAAGGCCGGCTGCGAGAAAGGTTGCGCCAGCAAAACCGATGCCAATCGCATACTGTTCCGGGCCTGTCCTTCCCAGCTTTGAGGCTGAATAAGTATTGAGGCCAACTGCAATCGGCTGTGCGAATTGAGCCGGCAGAACGATTGCTAGCCAGAAGATACTGAGAGCAGATCCAAGGTCCTGCAGGCCAATCAGTTCGGCCGTGACAGCTGAACAGCTCGCCCAGATCGTGCCGCCACAGATGCCTGCGTTCGCATCAGTCTGTGCACAGTAGTGCCGAAAGCCTGGCACACCCTGGACTAGTGCGTAAAAAGCGAGAACGCCGAAGCTGCGTGCTGGAAGCCAAATCGCGATACAGCTGATGCCGGCGATGAGCGTGAAGAGTATCGTCATGTTGAACCGTCCGTAGAGATCAAGCGACCAACCGATCAGGGGCCGTCCGACCATTTGACCGGCGGCCAAAATCGATTGTAATGCTGCGCCCTTTGTCTGAGATAGACCTAAACCGGCAGTAGCGTAAGCCGGTAGCGAATAAAGCGCAAGTATATATCCCAGGATGCTGAAGAAGCCCCAGACCCAGACGTAGCAGAAGCTAGGGTGCCAGATCCAAGAGACTTGGAGTGGCTCGAAGCGTGCACCGGTTGCCTTGACGCGTCCCTTGATGAGAATGACACAAGGTACGAGTACGACCAGCGATATCAGCGCATTGATGACAAGCGCCCATTTGATGGATATATTGTCGATGGCTAGCCGCGTAGTATTGCTGAGGACCAGACCGCCGGCTCCACTTCCCGCAGCACTGATACCGAGTGCAAGTGCACGTCGTTTCAGAAAGAATTGAGAAACGATTGGTAGCAATGGTATGAAAATGAGCCCGATTCCGACGCCGAACATCAGGCCTTGCGTTACAAAAAGTTCTCCGATGTTGCGAGAAATGCCAGCGAAAGCTTGACCGAGTACAGTAAGAATGATGCCAAGGACGATGGGCGCTTTGAAGTGAATCCTCTTGGCAAGATAATTCGAGATGGGTGCCATGACAAGTGCCGCAGAAACAGACAGACCACCAATCATGGCATAACGCAGATCAGTTCCTCCTGAGAAGTAGTTATTGGCGATGTAGAACGAGTTGTAGACGCCAAAGGTCGAGTTGAGTCCCCAGGTGACGCTATTGGTCAAGAACACGCAAGCGACGACGACCCATCCATAGCCACCATCTGGAATGACATCGATGGTGCTGCCCTTTTCGTTATCTACATTGGCCTGCTCAGCCAGCGTCGATGCGCTCTCTGAGTCAACAGCCCCTGGATTGTCAGGCTTCTCGCCAAGTAAATGACGCTCATTGCGTCGATCGTCAGCGTCCTGTGGCGTGTCCTTGAGATGAGCATCTGCTCCGACGTCCATCGACACTGAAGTGACGTTGATCGCGGGATATCTGGCCCTTTACTTGGGCTCCAGATCCATTGGCGCGACTCGTTCGCCTATTCAATTTACGCGGAGGACTTTGCGACGTGCTATTTGATTTAGTGCGATTTGATGATCTCATCAGTTTTTGAATTGTAGCGAGGTGTAGGCAGGCTTGGTATGGCGCGAGAGCTGCCAGTCATTCTATCGTCTGACCTCCGAGCGACTTTCCTGTCCATCCTGATCTGATGCGTATCACAGATCGTCAGAGCCCGCGTCTGATCCGAATCGCAGGCGAGCGCAGAGCCGCATCAAGCCGTCGGTCTGAAGCGAGCCGAGCTGAGCTCACACACAACAGCCGACCATCAGCGCTCAAGCCGGCGCCAACGCGTAATTCCGACGAAGTATGCGTTTGTCGTGTCTACGATGTTAGTGTGCGACTGCTGCTTGAAGCGGCTCACGTTTACGAGGACAGATGTCCGCTTCAAGGTGCTTGGCGCCGCCTGTGGTTCTTCTCGACAGCCCAAGATGCAAGATCCACCTGATGCAATGATAACACTTCATGACTATGTGCAGTTCATTACCACCACGGCAGCCTGCGCATGGATGACGAAACGCTCAGATCTGAGATTGCCGTGCACACTAAGGACCCAATATGTCCCAGCTCGGCCGTTCAAAATCGGACCGCGCGACAACAGCAATATCTTTGCAGCAAGGAGGCTGTCGGCTTTGCCAAAAGCTTGCATCGGCAGACGGAGCGCTTTCGGCAAGAACAGCACAAGCGTCGGCTATCTTTGGGGTTCAGGCAGCAGAATAGTCAGAGGTTTCACGACGAACAGCGACCGCCAGTCGTTATACATGACTGTAGCGTACACGATTATATTGATCATCTGGACGAGTTGGCATGAGCGGCATGGTTGCAGACAAGCAGATCCGCACATCAACACAATGGTGCATGCTGTAGCTGTCTCCCTTCCAAGCGAATTTACAATGCTTTCAAGCGAAGTTATTAGCCGAGCTCGACAGACATTCGCAAGCGATCAGTCTCCAGACTACGGCAGCTCTGCGTCAAATTCTATAGCACATTTGTCAAGGATCAATGCTCACCTCGAATAGACTTGACGCTTCGCTCGGCTGCATCATGGTCGCTTGCCGTTTGTACCACATCGAGAGCGATTAGAGAAGCATGACCGCTCATTGTCCCGAATCATGTGACTTGCATCAAAGTGCTCTGATACATGCCTCGTTCATAAGCTCACCCGCTAGAGATTCTTTGCATACAATCGAAATCTCACCCTGCCTTAATGTTACTTGCTCAACAACATCGTGCAAGTTGCTCGCGATCATAAGCTCTATCGAGCATTGATATATCGCCTTTGCGTCGTGATCGTCAGACCAGCGGCTTGCGCTGGATAATTCCCGAGAGCTGACCGGCTCAGTGAAGCGCAACTGATTTTTCGTGACGTGCGTCTCGCTGGACTTTTATATTGCTCTTGCAGAGTGATCATTAACGGTATGTCAACACATGCTGAGTGCTATCACGAAGTTGGCGGCCGTGACACTGGCTGCTCGGTGATCTGCTACCGAATCAAGCGTCGCCTCGATTTGTCTCTTCGTGTAGCATGCCACGTGCCGCTCAGCAAAGATGCACATGCATGGTAGTATGCACTAGTAAGCAGGAATTGCGATGCCGGCGCTTACGACTCTGTAAATGGGTGTCAGCCCAGCAGCCAAGACTTCAATCTGCCTACTTGGCATGCATATCGCCGATCTGCACGAAGCATCAGCCCGGACNAGCCCGAGCACGGGTNACATACCGCAANGGAGTTGATGCCGACATTGCAACTCGGCACCTCGAANAAAGAGAATCGGTCAGAGCCGTATTTGCGGTGCAAAATTACATCCATGACNGCCAGCGCACGAACGACTGCTCCCAATTCTTCATTCTGATCGAGTGAAAGATCAAAGTAGCGTACGAGTGAGCTTGTACGTTGCCCCACCGCGGGCGTCACGATTGGTCTCGTGCCAAGACAANTGTACGTCGGGCGGCAAATTGCCCGCAATCAAGACCTACGCAGCGTTTGAGCAATCTGTGGTCCATCATGCGAGACGCACGTTGTTCGAAAGGTCTACTCTGAAGCTGAGAGCGACATCAAGACAATGATCTGCGGCTATGCGTGTCGGCAACCATGGCCCATAGTTATCCCGGCCAAACAGCCGCGCCGGCGAAGCAGAAGTTGACACAGCTTGGGAGAGCGTAAGCAGTAGCGCGAGACGAGTAATCATCTGGCAGTGTATCTCTGAAGATTTTCAAATGCAGCAGGGGACGAGCTGGCAGGAAGAGATGACCACGCACGGAAAAGCCTGAGACCATGTCTCCAACGCGTCCGTCGCCGTGTCACAGACATCACACTGTGTCACTCTTACGTGCGACGCCGAGATTCTGCTTGAGGGCTGGTNGACTGCTCGCACTGATCTGCCGGAAGCGCTGCATTCATCACCATGGCGACTTATGATCAAGACCAGGCCAGTAAGGCAGCTTTCCATATTGCTCGCACACATGCAATAATGGATAAGATCACTTCTTTCCTGGACACTATCGATCGATGCTACCGTTACAGGCAATTTCTCCTATGTATTGCCGGCAAACAGATAATATTGTGTTCTTCGAGTGTAAGAGATTGCGCATGCAAGCTGTGGAGTAAATAAAAGCTGGTTACTGATGAGATGTCCACGCGGCTGACTCCGAGCCGGCCTGGCTCACCGCGATCTGCAAATAGACGAGTGCGCTCTCAGGACGGTAGCCTATACGAGAAGCACTTTGATCGGAGGATTTTCCTCTAGTGATACGATGCAGCACCGATTACTGACTGCTACGGCGTAGAATCGCAGTAGTATCCCAGACTCGGTGTGATGGAGCCCAAGTCGAGCAGGTGAGTCAGCTGGCCCAAAAGACAAATTCCGGCAATGAGAAATTAATTGGCAATATTGGACTTGCCGATTTCGCCAATCGATCAAATAAATAAATGTGACTTTTGGCGGCGCTATACAACGCGACTATCAGCAATTCAAGATATGCAACCGCCAGAGTGGCCCCGCCTTTCCTGCGCAGCGACATTAGCCATAATGACGCACGCGGATCACTTTGTTTGTATGAATATTCCCGCCGATCGCTTTGTTTGTATGCGCATTGCCTGACGGCTTCCTACTCGTCACTGACAGAGAGGTACTGCTCTTACTGTCTATCGACACATTCATGTATATCGACCAGGTCCCTCGCTTTATCCGCCCATCGTCGCTTCACTTGGCTAGCTCCGGTTCCGTTCACGAGCAAGTCATGCGCAAACAGCTCTCCTACTCCTCCTACAAACGAAGATAATCGACGGCTTAGTTACATCATGATTCCGCTTCATCAATGAATTGCGGGTCGCTTTGATAGTGGNTAGTCAGTCATTGTCAAAGGACTATTCGTTATCATCCTCNTCGAGCAATCTGCTCATGCGCATAGTCACAATTTGTCAATGGTTCACCGGCTCATCGTCATCTTTGCCGGGTAGCAATCAAACGATCGTTACAGCCTTGACGAAGCTTACGTACCCATCCTCCGAGACACAGCCCATCTTAGACTCTGATAGTCTGCCGACCTGCATGTCTTTAATCATGCCTAGACACTCCGTCGAGCTTCTCTCCAAGTGACTGCTCTGCCCCTCATAGAGATGCGGGACTCTGCCATCAGGCCCAATGTCGGCTACTNTGTGACGCTTGCGACATTGCCAATGCCAAATGCTTTGAGCGTTCGGTCCTTACCGGTGAAACCTCTTACTACAGCAGACGCAAGCACATCTTCAATGAATGGNTAGACGGTCTCACCAGGTCAGTCAGCCTTATGCGAATACTCGCCCTTGCTACATTTGTGCTTCAAGGTCATAGTATCGACCACCATTTTTGAGACATGGCTCCCACGTCGTAGTTACGGCGATGACAAACGCAGCGATCAGAATGACAGACGCTTTCGCCTGCCAGTATATGTACCACACTCATCGCACATGCACACCACATCGAGTCATCGTCGAGCAAGACCACTCGATAGACATGAGCCACTTCTGTCATACCCCAGCTGATGATCTCAACTCACTCAGCGGGTGTCTATCGCGCTTGCATCATATGATATCTATACCGTGTGGCTCGCCAGGCTGCTCGAATCGTCCGCAAGATGGCAACCTGGTCTATCGGCGCCCTACCAGCTTGGGCTTGTCTATCTCGGCAATGACTCTGATCAACTCGCATTGCCGGCACCATTCATGTTCCGCGATGGATTATGCACCGCTTACCAGGTCTGGGCAATCGTTATCCTACTCTCAACAGTTGTCCACATGTGTTTCCGCCTTTCTATTCGACATCTCTGAGCTGGCTGTCTTGCAGTGCACATTGCACATGATCAGANTNNCTTCCCACTAGACTGTGTCAAAGATGACATCAGATGCACCTACACTCCCACATTGATGGTCGTCAATCCTGGACTCACGCTCTCGGCAATGACACGATCTGACTCAGACTCGATGTCAGATACACACCAGATCCTCTACCAGCGCATATGCATCGGCGACTTGCAGCATGCTTTCTGCGACTGTGACATTGAATGACCCGCTCACAGCGGCAATCATCGCAGCCCGTCAGCCATCAAGCCGGCATCTCTCGTCGCACTGACTACCTATTGCACAGTCACCGAGTCAGTGTGTCGAGCTATAGATGGCATCGTCAGACCAGGCGAGTGCTTGACTAGAGCAGACGTTGATGTGACATCATCACTGACGAGAAAGAGCTTGAGATCGATGACAGCAGTCAAGCCAATCAATCGAGCTGGTACTTTACAGCTTGTCACACTATCCTCATCAGAATGTATGCCACTTGCACAGTCAATCAGTTGCTGTGGAGCAAGCATACTGTATGACAGTAAGCGCTGATGCTGACCGCTTCACATCGAGCTGACGATCTCAGACGAGTCATGGACTGTGAGTTGCGCTTGTGTCGTGCTACAGCCAGCTCATCATCGACTCAGACTGCAACTGGACTGCCCCAAAAGTTGACCCGGTCTATCGACTTCCCGCTGAGTGAGAGTTCAGCTACAAGCAGCGACGCCGTCCAGCTTCTACTGACGCCCAGCGATGGTAACATGTATCTACCACTCTGCACTGTCACGATCTCATCATCTGTCTGTGCTATCGTGACACAGGCCGAGTCATCCATCTCAAGATCGACTGCATCTCTCAGACTGACACTGACCAAGTCTATGGCAAGGACGAGCTATAAGAAGGACGAGCCAGTCCAAGGACGAGCTATAACAGAGACCAGCCTGGACAAGGACCAGCCTGAACCAATAGACACAAACCCTCATCTCTTGCCAGTTTGACTGAGGCCGAGTCAATGATCTCAGATGCATCTCTCAGACTGACCTGGACAAGGACGAGCTATAAGAAGGACGAGCCTGGACAAGGACCAGACAAGGACGAGCCTGGACAGAGACGAGCTATAACCAGTAGACACAAACCCTCATCTCTTGCCAGTTTGACTGAGGCCGAGTCAATGATCTCAGATGCATCTCTCAGACTGACCTGGACAAGGAGATGACCTGGCGGGTAGTTGCCATGGCGACGGAGTGCGAGCATGTGACGTGTGACAGGGGTGCCAGCGGGGTGTGACAGGGGTGTGAGCGGGGGTGTGAAACGTGGTAGCGGGGGAGAGGGGTGTGTACGAACGAGGGAGGAGTGTAACGTGGCAACAGGCCGGCGAGGGAGAGGGGTGTGTAACGAGGGTTAGGGTTAGGGTTAGGGTTAGGGTTAGGGTTANGGGTTAGGGTTAGGGTTAGGGTTAGGGTTAGGGTTACGGGTTAGGGTTAGGGTTAGGGTTAGGGTTAGGGTTAGGGTTAGGGTTAGGGTTAGGGTTAGNCGAACGAGGGAGGAGTGTAACGTGGCAACAGGCCGGCGAGGGAGAGGGGTGTGTAACGAGGGTTAGGGTTAGGGTTAGGGTTAGGGTTAGGGTTAGGGTTAGGGTTAGGGTTAGGGTTAGGGTTAGGGTTAGGGTTAGGGTTAGNGAGCCCCCTAGGTAGGGTTAGGGTTAGGGTTAGGGTTAGGGTTAGGGTTAGGGTTACGGTTAGGGTTAGGGTTAGGGTTAGGGTTAGGGTTAGGGGTTAGGGTTAGGGTTAGGGTTAGGGTTAGGGTTACGGTTAGGGTTAGGGTTAGGGTTAGGGTTAGGGGTGTGTAGCGAGGGAGAGGGGTGTGTNACGAGGGAGGAGTGTAACGTGGCAACAGGCCGGCGAGGGAGAGGGGTGTGTAACGAGGGTTAG